AAAGGCCGCTTGTTGCTCGGGTCCCATTACAAATTCACTACCTTTCCTCAATAGCTTGGACAGGGGCTCGGCGGCATCGCTAGAGTGGTGGCAGAAGACTCGGACATAGTTGCACAAGCCCAAAAAGGACTTGACGGCGCGTATCGAACGTAGGTCCTCAAACTTCCAGCTCTGGATGGCCTTGATCTTCTCTGGGTCGATACGTACGCCTTTCCCAGCTTCGAGAACTAACCCTAGGTAGTCAATGACTTCCACGTCAAAGCTAGACTTCTTGATGTCTCCCTGTAGACCAGCCTTATACAAACGATAGATGGCCTCCTCTACGTGTGCGAAGTGTGGCTCGTTCTCCTGAGTATAGATGAGAACGTCGTCGGCGTAGGCGCTGGCAAAGTTGTCTAGGAGCTCGTTCAGCTGAGCGTTGATGAAGGCTTGCCACCAAGCAGGGCCGACCTTGAGTCCAAAGGGTAGGACTTTCCACTGGAAGGTTCCTTGACGGGTCTTGAAGGCCGTCAAGAATCTTGAGTCGGGGTGGACTAGTAGACGATTAAAAGCTCGGATAATATCGATCTTGGTCAGGCGGCGGGCGTTACGGCAGTTGGAAAGCGTTCCTTGGATATCGGGTGCGAGGAACTGGCGTCCTTTCAGGAACTGGTTGACCCATCGGTAATCCACACAGAAACGTTTCTCCTCGGTACCCTTCTTTGGTACAAATAGCGTCGAAGCGGCTGTCTCCTCCATACAGGGTTCCACGAATCCAATCCGTAGAAGCTCGTCTACCGTCTCTTTTTCCAGAGGGAGAAGGTGACCGGGTGTATAGAACCTCTTGGGCTTCCCTTCCAAAGGTCGCTCCAAGTCTAGGGTCACGTCGAACCCTTCACGGCTCGGCGGTAGCTCGGTCGAAGCTTTCTTGGAGAAGAAGCCTTCAAGATGGGCGAGCTCGTTTGGGAGTTTCTCGCGAACTCTCTTGACGTGTTCGGGATCTTCGCCGGCAGGGAAAGGAATTGGCTGTCCGTCGTGGGTCTGCCAGTTTGGACGAGGCGCAACGACGTTCAAAGAAATAGGTGTATCCGGCATATTCTGTCGAGACCATCTGGGCTGCCGGGGGTCATTTTCCACTTGCCTATAGAGAGCTGCCACGTTGACTACGGGGGACTTGTCCTGGTCTCTGGGGCTAGAAAGGGTGATGGGCGCCACAACTGGCTTTATCGTTCTCCAAGGGCGCTGGATAATCTTGGTGACCCTCGCTTGCCTTTCGTCCTCAGCTATTAAGCGGTCGCGACGTACCGCATCTGCCTGAGCCTGTACGTCGAGCGAACCAGTCTGGCATGGAATAGCAATGGTGGGCGAATACTTGGCGAGCGCTGGTAGATCTTGAGGCCAGATTATGGTTCGCGTGGCGGGAAAAAGGCCAACGCGATATTTGATGAACCATTCTTGTCCGATGATTACATCGTCGGCAGTGGGGATGATGAGGAACTTCTGTCGTGGGAATCTCCGTCCGTCGAGTTCTAGGGAGAGACGGATCTGGTGGGTGGCTTTGGCGGCGAGTACCCCATTAAAGTCATTGAGGCGGATGGGCTTGGAGAGTTGTTCTTGAACGGCGCCTAGTAGCTTTACGGCCTTACTGGCCATCTTCGGGGTCATTGACAAATAGATATCTGCTCCGGTATCACAAAGAGCTTTGGTTTTGAGGCTAATTCCTTCCAATTGGAGTTGAATAGGGAATAGGAAGGTTTTTGATCCAGACGATCTGCTCACTTTAGCTAGTCGTGGTATACGGACTGTCGAGGAGACTTCCGACAGTCCTAGTAGTTTTCCGATTCGTCAGAGGACGAGGATGACTGCTCCGGGGAGGTAGGAGGATCCTGGTCAAGGTCTAGCATCATCTTGGCCATAGTCTTCCTCTCGGGGCAGTCACGGGCGAAGTGACCTTCCTTACGGCAGATGAAACACGTATCGTCTTTCCCTCCATCCTTCTTAGCCTCGGGAACTTTGGTTGTAGCTGGCCGGGAAGTCGGCTTCTCAAACCGGGACTCCCTAACATAGGTCCGTTCGCTGTGAGTGGTTGGCAAACGTGTCCGGCGATCCCTCTTCTCTTGTTTGCGCTCTTGGTTCTCCTCCCAAGCGCGCTGGTGGGCTAGAGCAGCATCCGCGACGCTACCAGCAAAAGCCTCATAGGAGATTGTCGGGTTCTTTGAGTCTCCCAAGAGTCGGGGGTCAAGCCGAGCGGGAATACGCTCATAGAGTAGGGTCTTGCGCTCCGACTTAGCAACATTAGCCTTATCCGCCAAGCTATTGACTAATCCAATGTATGAATGGATAGTCACGTCCTTATTCGCCGGATCATACTTGAGCTTGGCTAGCTCGGCCCTGGCTTTCGTGGCTTGGTTGTCATCATGGTAGACAGTCGACAACGTAGCTACCATCTCGGCGACGTTGCGGAAGGGCATCTCCTGAGAGCTGTACCGACTCTCCAGCAGGTCGTTCGGGGATCCCTCCGTAAGAGAGTTCAGAATTGTGTCACGGCCGGCTTGGAATGAGGGCGGAACTCCTCTATGGGGCGCTATGGACGAAGATTCTAAACTACAGAGAAAAGGGAAAAGAAGCAAAAGCCTCCCCTCGCGAGATTCTTCCAGGACGCGTCTCAAGGTGGGGCTCTGGCCGAGCTTCCATTGGTCAGTCGGGTGGATCCACCCGACTGGCGTCTGATTAGTCAGAGCGTCTGGGAGGTCTGGAGGACCAGGCCCTCACAAGTCCTACTGAGCACCCAGTGGAGCACTGAGCATGTAAGGGAAGGACTCTGATTGGTTGTTAATAGTTCTATATAGGAGCTGGCAGTACGCTCTCTGGGAGAACGGTTCTGCAGCTATCAATGCATATGGTTAAGCATACATTGGTTGTGTGTTGAAAGCCTGCCTTTCGCAATCTGTGCACGATACTCCTTGCCTCCTAGCACCTCCTCCCCATCGTCCCGGTTCCCACAATCCTAGGCCGGGCCTAGCTCCGTGGACACCCCGTTGTCCATATTGTAACAGAGAGCAATGTGTCACGAATCCCTGTTCGTACTGGTTGGGAAGCAGGGCAGGGGTGGCTGGACCCGCCTCGTCTAGTCACGTTAAAGGAGGGGCTTGGACCCACAGTTGCTCTGTTCGGTGGAGAACAGAGCAGAAGGACCCGCATTTGCTCTGCACGGTGGAGTACAGAGCAACAGTTTGGTTGGCTGCTCTGTAGCTCTGTCGGAGAGCAACAGAGCAATGCTCTGTAGCTCTGTCAGAGAGCAACAGAGCAACGCTCCAATTGGCCCAGCTTAGATAGATATATACGATGACCGTGGCACCGGTCTTAGGTAGTTCTTGCTTGGTTCTTCAAGCAAGCAATACACATTCACTGCACTCATACACTTTGAGTGGCATTCCGATTTAACTGTATTACCCGTGCGATAGGAGCTTGCCCTTTGTTCTATCTTTATAATTACCAACCCCAGCATCCTGTGGAGCCCGTGCTCCCTTACAGACAGACGACCCTAACAGTCGAGTGGTTTGTAATACAATGACTGGTATTGGCAAGAGACTTCAACCTGACCCTCGTAAAGGAAAAGGGCGAGGGCCTCTGTTTATATACATGACAGAGTGTAAGGCGGGCCTTTAACAAAGGAGTGAAGTCTAGGCCCGCTTCAAAGGAGTGAGTGAGTTATGTGTGAGGGTTGGGGTTTCTTTCTTACATACAAAGAGTGGTGAGTGAGTTGCTTGCTTACTTGCTTGCTTGAAAGGAAATTTATCTAAGGAAAGAACAGGCCTTATATAGACCAAAGGCAGGCTCTCTAGAAGGTTCTAGAGGTCTATAGGCTACGTAAAATGCCCTGTATTCTACAGTATTCTACAGTCTTCTAGTGGGCTTGTCTTACGTATGCCTAGGCTCGTAGAGGGCTCGAGAAGATGCTATGGGGCTGAATAACAAATTTGGTATAGTTGTTACGATCCTGGTTCAGGCGCGCAGGAGGCTGCACGGAGCCTCCCACTATTGGCTGACGCAAGGAAGTGGGGTAGTTCCCCACTTCGCTCAAGTGCAGCCAATAACGGGGCGGTCAGTACGATCAGCATGGTCAGGGCGATCAGTGAGGGAACTGATCGCGCTGAGCACACTGACCGCACTGAGCTCACTGATCACCTAGGACCAACTCTCTGATTGGTCCGCCTTAGATAGATATATACGACGACCGTAGCCACGGTCTCAGATAGTTCTTGCTTGGTTCTTCAAGCAAGCAATACACATTCACTGCACTCATACACTTTGAGTGGCATTCCGATTTGACTGTGTTACCCGCGCGATAGGAGCTTGCCCTTTGTTCTATCTTCATAATTACCAACCCCAGCATTCTGTGGAGCCCATGCTCCCTTACAGACAGACGACCCTAACAGTCGAGTGGTTTGTAATAATAGTGCCCACAACACCACAACTTCATCACAACCACTATAGTTCCCTACACCTTAGGGACCTTACAGCCTAGGTAACTAGCCATACTTCAACAACAAGTATGTGACGAGCTTATTGTTTCGACTCCGCGATGGTCCATTCGCATTCACTCACCAACAGCGCCGCCAGTCAGTCAGTAAATTATCACAGTGCGAGCACTTGTCAGCTTTCAGTATGTGATAGGCAGATGGTATAAGATGATTTTCTTTTATCACCTGAACCCTGGACAGAGGAGAGTGGGGGCTATCTGAGTACATGAACGCATCTTGATGCCCGAGGGAAAGCAGCGTTTTACGGACTGCACTAGAAGTACAGTTGAGTCCTAGTCCTCTTCTCTGAAAGTAGCCCAAGCGAATCAGGGAGTCGATACCGGAATCCGGCTGTAGCTGCTCGCTCGTCGTCGTTAAACAGCCGTAAAGTCCTACCGAGACTGTTGTGTGCACATCCGCCCTCCGTGAGTACCCCCGACGATTTACAATACTAGGACGTGCTCTATTATGGACGAAACCGGATCACATTCAATACATCTAACACTTGCTACTCGTCCCCTCCTCAAAGTCAATTCTGTAAACCCTCTCACCCACACTGCTCCCCTCCGGGTTCTCTTCATTTGTATCCTCATGAGAGATTTCCCATTCCTTGAGGAAGTATTCTCTCCCGGGCGCTTCAAAAACCTTTATCCTGAATTCGCTGTCCCGCAGAGCCTCGGCGCCCTGTGGTATGATTCCGCACCCTGCTCGAGTTTTCGGTTCGTTCTTCTCGCCTCCGTTGAGTAGCTCTTCTTCTTGCGGAACCTCGCCTAGTATCTTGGATCCCTCCAGCAGGAAAAGGATAGCACCGATGCTGGTAGGTGGAAACGGCAGGATCCTGTCGAGGTCTTTCGGCCCAAAGGCAAATCCGATCGCGAGGCAGGCAAGCGTGAGGGCAAATATACCCTGTAAAATCCTCGTTGACCCCTCATTCTGGATGACCCATCGCTGATGATAGTCCAACAGGGACGCTTCAACTCGCTTTGGAGGGACGTATCCTTCAGTAGTGGTGAGGTTGTGCCTGGTGATGGCAGCCATGCCTTTCTGCCACCGCGCCTCCAGCGCCGCCATGACTCTGCTCCGTGACACAAACTCTGAAGCCCGCAACTCGTCTACGGAGATGTGGCCAGGCACTGTGGTAGATGTAATATCCCGGAATACTGCGGAAACCCCATTGGGAAGTACCATGGGTGAGGAGACGTTGTTCAAGCTGAAAAGAGTATTCTGCCAGAAGGTGAGATGTCGGCTGACTGCGTAAGGCTGAATGCTGCGCTTTGGAGAATCGGGATCCATGGTGATATTGGCAATGCCTAAGCTGGATAGCCTGAAGTTGACCCGTCTCTGCCCGAGCTCCAAGTAGGGGCTGCATGCAGCAAAGTTCACATGCGACGCCGCGCAATCTCCATGACCTGCGGGGGGATATGGAATCCAAAACGAGCCTACCAGAGCGGTTCTTGTTGATATTCGTTGAGGAAATGTTGTCCAACTCGAATTGTGCTTCAGCTCCTTTAAGCCTAAACAGACGTCGGTCTTATCGTAGAGTCCGAGCACGTTAGCTGCGACTAGTCTTGGGCACTTCTCTCGCTGGAATAAAGTTTCCGGCACTATGAGGCTTCTAGCGTTGCACTGACTGTAATTGGAATTGTCGGACTCCAATGGGATCGTTATTTCGGAGCATTGTGAATCGATAAAAGTGCAGTTGAGCCTCCATCTGCTTACCGATGTCGACACAGAAACAAGAGAAGCAGAGGTAGCCCATCCTTCAGGAGGGAGCTCAAAGCGCGGGATAACGAGTAATTCAGTCGTGAAATCTTCAAGGGGGAGGAGATTGAAGGCATCGGGGTTAAACATGCCGCTGCCCCATCCAGATGAGAGGAGGGTCTCTTGGGCAAAAACCGAAGTCCAGTTGTGAGTGACGAACTCGTCAAACCCATCCATCTGTAAGAGATGGCCGCTCTCTCGAACAGAAGGGTCGTCAGAGAGGGTGAAGAGGTCGCCGACGACGATTGCAGAAAGCGGCATTGAGATGGCCCCGGAAGCGACGGCGGCTAGGATAAACCGCCGTGCACGAAAAAGCGCCCAAAGTCTCCTGGGGAGTAGGCCAAAGAAGTAGTTGTTGAAAAATGCTCCCAAAGCCGTCGGGCCGCCGCGTCTTAGCGCCACGAAGGGCTCTAAAAGGCGGAGATTCAGCTCCAGATCGTCGACCATCAACCTTAGTCCTGCGATCAAAATAGCCGGCACGATGAGCCAGCTGTAATAAGCACAGCTTTTCACGGCGACAATAGCTAGCCCGTTCCTTTGCGTAGACAACACGAGGGTGACTTGAAGTAGTGCTGTCAGAAAAAAGGAGGGTTCTAGAAGGTGCTAGAATCATGAATTTGTCACTATTAGCCACAGACGCGCAATAACCTCGCCACCTGGCCATGGCTATAAGAAATGCTCTCTGGCAGAGCCAGAGAGCCTAGAAATAGGGCAATACAATCAAGCAATTACAACCCCATCAATTCCACAAGATCCAGTGTGCAGTGTTTCTGACAAGTGCAATCGTTGTCGCCATGACACCAATGGCTATCCACTTAGACATCTGCGTTGTCCCCCAGGGCCGCCACCACTTCTTTTCGCGACACTTTTTGGTGTAATACTCAAGCAGCTCTGTCCTTGCAGCTCTGCCGCCCCGAACGATACCCGTCACATCACGGTAGACCCCGAGAAGCACGACCGTCCCAGCCAGGGCCGCAGGATCCCGAGGGAGCCATGACCTGGCATGGTTGCCGCATGTGCTGTGAGGCATCAAAATCGTGCAGGCGGCGGATACAAGAGCGAGGAGCACGACAACAACCCAAAATGCGAACTGTTGAACAGTCAAGCGCTGAACGATGGCATCGACAACGCCCGAGATGGTCTCATTGGCGTCGGTGAATGAGGTGACTCGGAAGATCTGGATAGCGAGAGGACAATAAAACTCCTCCAGAACCTGTTTGGCTACCAGAGGATCTGTGATGTTCTTTGATTCGTTTATTAGATCAACACCTCGGTAGTGGTCAAAGGCCGTGAAGGTAGAAAACAACAGGCCGTTTCCATACGGTGTGTTCCCGCCGTTCTCCCGTTGGCTTTCTTCGCGACTGAGAATATCTGGTGGAGAGCCGTTCTCCGTGTTTTCGAATCGCATTGTTGCTCTCCCATGGCTGTCGCGGGCCACGCAATTGACAAGTGCGACGGTGATGTCCGCCTCGCTCTGATTCGGTGGTCTGCAGTCTTGAGGCAGAAGCACCAAAACTCTGTCATCGCAAGGTCCATTGTCGGTGTATGCGTTGGCAGTATATCTGTCTATTACCCGTGTCTCATTCCTGCCAGCGCCACACCCGGTCTGATATAGTCGAAGCTAGAATTTGATGTTAGAGTATGTGGTGTTTGGTGGTGGGTTCTCGGGCACCCCTCCTAGGACAATCCACCGCCAATCCACTGGGAGGGTATAAACCGAGTGGTCGTTTTGAAGCGTTATGTTGGACGAGATCTGTGGCTCCTCCAAAGGCCTACTATAATTCGCCAAGCCGTCCGCCGTGACGCCCTTCAAGTGAGACACACTCTGCGTTGTGATATCAGCAGCCAGCGTCACACCATGATGAGTGTCTCCAAATTGCCATATTTTGTTAAAGCTATGGCCCAGAGGGATTCTGAAATTGAACCTGTCAAATATCGGAGTGCAATTGACTGCTGGAGACAGGTAGTCCACGACAGCGGTGACATATTGCATCGACCCGACTGCTATACACCCAAAAGCTATGTTATTAAAACCAGCGGATTGGATTATCTTATACCAGGGAACCATACCTCTGAATTCCTCAAAATCATGCACTTGGATAGGAAGCTTCAAAGGCTGGAAAGCGACAGATCTAGTTGTCCCTACAGGATAAGCTAGGAGCGTGCGGTTCTGCCGTAGAGACTTCGCAACATATGCCGCCACGTAGAGCCTGCTTAGGTAAGTTAGCCCGACGTTATAAGCTCCCATGCTTGGTTATCTTCAGTCGCTGGTGAGAAAATATGGTGCAGCTCACGCATTTTTATCAGGCACGGTGGATAAACTACCCACTGTCGAATTTAGGGCAAACGACATGACCTTGAGGTTGTCGACGGAATGCGATACTGGTCGTGCCTCTCGTTCCAAGAGACTAGTAGAGACTATAGTCGCTAACCCGAGAAGCAGGGTGCCTAAGATAGATAGGGAGACACCCCAGTGTTTTCTCTTGGCAGATGAGAACAGGGAAACAATGTTCATGTTGGAGAAATAGTCGATCTTTAGGGACCCGGAAGTGTCTGTGGTTTTAGAAAGCAGCATCTCCCAGGCGGTGAGTTGCTTCCTGCGGTATTCCACCTGGACCCAAAGCCCAATATCGAGGGCGAGAACTATATGCAGCGTCAGCTTTTTAGTGAACGCCTAGATGCAGAGCGACCTCAAGACTCACCCGAATTCGGACCGTATTTCCACAGCTGGTGGTACTTGTGTGCAACAAATATGATTCCACTATGGCGGCACGAATAAACATATAGCGCGCTGAGCCCCAGCATCTGAACAATGAAGAAGAGGAGTAAAACTGCGAGGGTAGCCCTCCTTAGGAAGAAAGGCCGCCATTGTGATGTTGAGGCATCTGAAACGTCGTTAGCCCTCGTAGGTGCGGTAGGTCGCTGTAAGAGAATAGTGGCAATTCGTACCTTGACCCTGCTGTAAGGACTTCTCAGAAGCGGGGGGGCCAAATGATGCTGCTTGGTGGCTCTCAGAGCAATTGTCGGAATTTTCCACCGTTGCTGAAATCCGAGGTTCATTCTGGGAGTTGCTCGTCACGCGATGATGGATGGTGTCCGTTACTGGTGGGTCAGCCTGTCTCTCAAAAGCATCGGCTCCCGCCCAACTCGTCGTTCTTTCGTCAGCCATTCTAGGTCGATGAAAGGTGAAAGGGTGGAATCAGTGGCCCACGACGGGAATTATTGTTTCAAGAAAGGAGCACCACGAAGGCACTTCACGCTACAGAGCGTGGCTTGTACTTGTGGTCGGAGTTCGAGTGAAGGCCTACTAGCAATTATGTCACTTGTGTGAAGAACAGAAAAAGGGGCGATCGATATCAGTAATGAGATGGATGATGCAATACGGAGGTTAGGTGACTGCCTGGGTAAATAGATACGCAAGGTTCCTGTGCGAGTCAATTTAGCCTCATATTTGTAATAAGGGGCTGCCCTAACGAATGTGCCTTACTCACGACTTGAACCGAAGCAATTTGCTACGCCGCCAGACGGCGCTAATGCTAGGCATTCCATTCATTTATCCATATTTGGAGATCAGCTTCTTCATGATGGACATGGCGCCGCCACAATAGCCGCCGCCAAACAGCGCGAAATGATTCAAGTGATGGTACCTGTGGAAATCAGTACCCAGAACACTGAAAGACGGAAAGGACAGACTGAACTCACAGCTCATATAGCAAAACCCTGTCGCCCCATTCTTCCTTGGGCTCTGCCTTGGGAACCAACTCTTTATACTCTCTCCAAAAAGCACTCCCAAAGCCCCCAAATATGCGCCTGATTCCAAGCTCGTACTCAGAGTGCCCGTACGTGGTCGACGGGTTATAGACGACCTCTTCCGCGCCGCCTTGGCCAGCAAATCTGCCCCGCCCGTGGTTTCCACTCCACAGATCACGGCACCCTCTAGATGCCCTTCCCCCAGCAGTCTCGGCACCACCGCACTGGCTATCTTTTCGACTGCGTCGGCTAACTCCTTATCTGCACCATGCCGGTTGATACCCTCGCGCAGAATGGCACGCAGGCGGTTGTTCGCGTAGAAGTCGGCCCACGAGTCCTTCCACGAGTTATCCTGCTCCGTGGCACCGCAGCAGGTCGGCACGGGAAACCCAAACTTTGACGTCGGCGCCGGCGTAGTGTAGAGCTTCGCGAGCTTGGCAGCCAGCGATAAGCCCGAGCCACCCGGCGCGGACGAGCCCAGGTCCAGAAAGTCTGTGACGAGGAAGAACTTGCCCGCCGACGACTGCAGCGCGCCGTGGGCGTGCGAGCGGGGGCAGAAGTTGGGCACGGTCGTGGATGGCGTTCAGGGAGGCGTGTTCGCCTGTCAATCAACAAGTCAGACACAAAAATAGCAGCGGGTATGGTGAAAATTGGCGAGCAAATAAACCGCGAAACATGACGTCGGCTTTAGCACCCGAGCCCGTCTTGACAAGAGTGCGTCTCCTACTACTGTCAAATCGTCCCCGCATACTGTAATTCACCATATATAACCCTAACTGTTGGAATAGCGATACTGGTGACCGCACACTAGCAGGGAGGAAGCAGAGATCGCGCGAGTACGCACGTGCAAGTAGGCACGTGCGGCGCGCGGACCTCTCTCACACACACACAAAAACCCCGGTCGCACGCAGAACCTACCTTAGTTCCGCAGAGAGAGGGAGGGAGGAGAGACACAAGATTACCCCCGGTAGATCTACCAACCCTTCGACCTGTAGGATCCCTACGTAGTTTGAGTACCACGAACACTAACCTTGGCCGCATACCCAGCCCGCCGGTATATCCAACTTTCTACCGCGTAATAATTTACCACTTTTTACTATAACGTAACCGGACCTTATACCTTTCACTATAATATTACAAACCGCTCGACTGGTGGGGTCAATGCTTGTAAGCGTGCAAACGCACAAGGTGTTGTCAATGCTAGCAATGGTAAACCAATTTGGTCTTGAAATCGGTGGTAATTAAGGGTTCATAAAGACATTATCTGCGCTCTAAGCTTACGAAGTCTCTAGCAATGCGGTCGTCCGAAAGTGGATCCAAACTGGAAAAACGTCGTGGGAGGAAAAGAAAGTAACACGCCGAGGCGTAACTTTGACTGTGGCGCGGCTCCACACCAGGGGGTGTGGGCGCGCCTCAAAAGCAAAGATTTCCAGAGCAATCGAGAGAGCCAGAAACTGGCTACACACGAAAATATACAAGCCAATTGAGCCTACCAAACGTGCAAGTGACTTAATCTAACAGTTTTAGATTGGGAACGAACAAGGTGTCCAACTCAATAACCATTATTGAAGATAAAGTCAAACCAAAACAGCATGGAAATATGCATTTTGCCCTGCCGTCAAAAACCATCCGGCGGATAGTCAAAAAAGACTTCCGCTCCATCCAGATAAACATCATCCAAGTCGACGCTGAAAAATCAACGCTTAAAAAAAACAAAAAAAAACGACCGCTATGGTTCAAAGGGAGGGCGGCCTCCGAGAGGAGAGGCGGGGGGGACGGCCGCCTCAGAGTCGTCGGTGAGGTAGACGGGGAGGTCCTCCTCGGAGAAGGCCTCGGAGTGGTAAGACGGGACGGGTGAGAAGAGAAAAGAGAGGAGAGAAGAGGAATCCATATATGGAGGGGGTGGGTCGAGGGGGGACGGCTCGACCGGAACGGGGGGACGGAAGAAAGTGGTGGCACGAGGGTTGACGGCTCGGCCGGGACGGGAGGAGGGACGAAAGAAGGTGGTGGCCCGAGGGGGGGGGGGGGGGGTCCGCCACCCTGGCCCGCGCTGGCGCGCCCGGGAAACGGCGCGGCGCAGTCTTTTCAAAACTCTTTTGAAAAACATTATTCTAAAATTCCTATATAATACACGTTAGCGACGAACGGGAGACTGGAGGGTTGGGAATCAAGAAAGGGTCTGAGGTATTGGTACGTACCAAGCGAATGTTGATGTTTGACGAAGAGGAGAGAAGAGAAGTTCGGGACATGCAAATGGGTTTTGGGACCATCAATCATGTTTACCACTTGGAAGGAAAGAGGCACTTGTCCCCAAGATACTTGCCTAATGTCTGTTAGGTTGAGGATAAGACTCTTGCCTCCTTGATACCCTTTGGCTCCTAATAACAGGCAAGAGCGAGGACGCATGGAACTCCAGCTCCACTTCTGCCTACCAGCCCTACCTCGGAAAGATGATTGATAGCGTGGAAGTCGTAATAGACAACTTTTGCCGTATCCTTGGCAACCAAAAGGGAAGTAATGATTTCCCACGACGCCAACAACAAGCGTGATATAACAAAACACCCTTCTATAGATATGACAACCATGTCCAGCCCCCTGAACCTAAACCCAAACCCTCCCCACTACCCCATCCTGAACACTCCCAGATGAATCTCCCAAACTGAGCGCTTTCCTATTACCCCAGATTCTAAAATCTATCAACATCCCTTCCTAATTTCCTCAAAGTCCTCGCCTAAGACTGCGCGGCCGAACGCGGCAAAGACATACCAAAATGCGTTTTTAGTAATCTGGCAGAGAGTTTAAGTTGTTTCTCTCATCTCGAAAGTGGGAGGCTCTTTTGGTTAGGTACCTTGGGTCAAGTACATCTAACTAGGTGTATTCCATATTAGGAGGCACTCGATTGATGCATCTGCCATCGGTGTCATTTTAACTTTTGCCCAACCATACCATCAGATCATCCTGTCCTCCGGCGCTCAAATCGCCCCGCTCCCTTTCCGGGGTGAACGGTAAGTGCATAGTCGGCACCCGCTGGTATTTACCACCGTACCCGCTCTCCTTGGGTACGTGAACCGTCTCCCAAACCATGGCTTGCATATCCTTGACCTCCAGTACCCATATCCCGCGCCAGTTGCTTTCCTCTTCGACGACCTGCTTGAGGCACCAGGGAAATTCGGCCGCCTTGTCAAATTGCCATCCTCGTTCGGGCAAAGGCCGTACCGACCGAGGGCTTGCCGGCCGAGGCCGAGGTTCGCTTGCTTTGCTTTCTGCATATTCCGCTTCCTTTTGATCTGTCGCGTTCTTGCGCATCGAGCGGCCGGCTCTGTAGTCTTTCCACGCCTGGTGGAGAGCAGAGAATGGCTGCATCATGGCTTTGCCCATGCTTGGGGTACGTAATTAGACCCATGTAGCTGAGTGAATGTAACATTGCAGACACTTACTTGATCGGCCGGGGCGATATCGGTACCCTCCAAATGTTGTAGGTGGTGTGGTGGGCGTTGCAATTAGGTAGCTTCTGAGCGTGAGGAAGCCGTGAAGGAGGCTTACGTAATAGAGTTAAGAGGAGTTGAACTTTGGGATCACGTGAAATTGCAGATTCAAATGGTGCTTAATAAGTTTTTGGTAGTGGTAGTTAGAATTTTAGTACAGTAAGGTAGGAGAGAGAGACGTGATTTTATAGACGAGCGGCTTCTGAAAATAATTGTTGGGAGTCGAACCCTAAAGCTAAAACTATTAAGCTCCCGCCTACCCGGCAGTCGTAAACGTAAAAGAAGAAGTTTAACTATAACGAAAATTTACGTTAGTAAATGGGAAGGTTAGCTACGACGAAACCGGAGAGCTTAAATACTTGGCAGCGTCGTTCCCTATAGGCATACTCGTTATCAAAGTCAAGGACTAGCTTATGGGAGCCAGAGGCAGACTGCTGAGGCGCAGTAACCCCAATACACTATCACGAGCTGCCGCTCAGTCTGGTCTGCCCTTGCATTGTATAGAGAAAGACCGGGTAAATCACAATTAATATCGGCATGGTTCTCCGGGCTCGCCTTGCAGGTGCCATTGTTGGCAGAATTCGCCACCCTTTCTTGGCTGTGCAGGTACAATGTATTATATAAATCTTCGTCACATTCGCTAGACTCAGCCCTACCAACAGTCAGGGAAGTTTCATTTAAACCTCTTATCGCCCGAAACTGTGATCACCGGTCATTGATGCTGTCCTCCTGCATTGATACTCCCCGCGGCAATGGAACGCGGTGTCACCACCACACCCAGGCCGTTTGACAGCAGTTGCTAGTATGTTAATAAGAAAGAATACCAAAAAGTGCAATAAGGAAATCCATCACCTGACAATGCACGCAGAAAGCGTGAATTTATGCTCATTTTCGTTGCGAATAGCTGCGCGGCCGACGATCGAGAGCTTCCGTGTGGTTGATGGCTGGCTGCATTGAAATTCGGTCATTTACCACCCGAAAACGGGTCTTTGGGATGGCAGTTGCCAGCAGACCCACAGATTAGTGCGCTGAATGCAATTGGCGGGTGCGCAGATCAACTCTCTTTATCCGTGTTCGCGCCGACGATTTGTCCGACTTCTGCAACAAGCTGATCACAGCAACTAATAGCTTCAGAAAGGTGTCCGTCTCTGCATGTGCATAGATGAGCATTTTGCAGACAAACTCGCAGCTGTGGATTCGGTCGCTCACAGAGCTTTGGCGAATTCGGGTAAATATCGGTTACAAAAGCCTGTATGGTACCGCCATTTAATTGGGTGCATTTCCATTTTACGTGTCTGTGCGAGACGGGTAGCAGGCGTTTCTAAAAACGGCATTCTGTAAGCTAAACTCGATACGGAATCCGTTTCAATTTAGATAAGAGATAAGAGATAAGATGCCGCAAATTTATTCAGTGCACTTCTAGCGCCCCATTTTCGACTCCCGTGTACCCTCATTTTCAGCCGCTTTGAGTCCCAAAGAGAAGGTTTCTGACTGCAATCTTGGTTGTCGGAGTGAGCGACTTTTTTTTATTTACCGGAGTCTAGACCCACTATTAATCGGATACACCCAATCAAGTCAGTCTCGCCTACCTCAACCTCAACCTGTCCGCAACAAAGTCTACTAACCTACGAGGCAGGTTGCCAGGTAGGCAGCTAAATTATATGTCTCTGCATTTTGTGATATATATTATCTACTGTTTAACTCCTAAGCGAATACGTACTCACCTCCTAACTGTTAGTTTTAAAGGGCGTAAAAACAGGCCCCGGAAATGCACCGAATAAGAGTGCGGCGTCTCACGGCGCATCCGTTTCGTAGCCTTCAAACCAACGACCACCGTTCATAAGACCACCAAAAAAGGGGCATGAAACGGACGAAAATCTCATACCATCTCTCCCCCCGTTTTAATCCCAATTCCCCTCTTCGCTCGCTATACTTTCAATTCCCTACAACCCCTAGTTTCGTCGCTCTACAAAACTCATTAAGTCAGGTGGGGGACTTTTGGAACACCCCTGCCTATGGAACAGCCCCTGAATCGGACCCCGCACAACACCACAAACTTCAATTGCCAACAACTTTGTCAATTAATTAGCTACAATGATGAAGTCTTTAGTATCGGATTCTCCTGATTCTTCTCTTTCAGAATAACCAAGGTCCTCTCTGCCAGCCTCTCTCTGTGAGGCACGAACCTCCTCAATTCCAGCGAACTGCGTATTAGGGTCGACTTGGACCTCTTCTCTTTCGGCCTCTTGTGCGTTCTAGGCTTTTTTCTGCAGCCTCCAATTGATGCGCCGTATTGGCTAGTTGGAAAACCACGTAATCGAAGGCTTTTGCGGCCTTGCGTATGAAAAGTCGGTCGTTGGCAGTCCGTTTCTGGCCGGCTAGAAAAACCTGCCCCTGAATACGGAAATCCTTCGGCTTTTTAGGGGTAAACCATATAGGCCGGCCCTCCGAATTCTTATTTAGAATGGGGTTATGGACCTCTTGAAGGTCTATAGAAACCGTAGAGGTCAGTTGACCAACGTCGCCGTTAGAATTCTTAATAACAAGGCCGTTGCTTAGGGGCTTCCTGAGGCTGACCGGCCAGAGGCCTGTAGCTTTCCAGCCGGCTTTGATATTAGATTCAGTCATTCCATAGACCCTGGCTTGCCGGTAGCATTCTAGGAAGGCCCTCTTTTCAGCAACAGTGCCTTCGTCGAAGCCGGAAACAACCTCGTTATGCTTGGCTCTGTACCGGGCTTTTAGAGGGCCGAAAACCGATAAATCCAGGGGCTGGAGAACGTGGGAGGTGTGGGCTGGTAGAAATAACAATTGTACGTTATTAGAAAAGGCTAGCCACATGAATTCTTCGGTGGTATGACTACCGTGGCCATCTAAAATAAGGAGGCGCTTCTCCGAGGGGGTAGCTGGCCGAGTCTCTGGAAGAAAGATATTGCGGAGCCATGCGACGGCAGTATCATCGTCAGACCAGCCGTTTTCAGTGGGTTTCCACTTCCAGCCCTTAAATGGCTGTAAATCGCGTGGATACCATTGTTGTTGAAGGCTTCCACCTTTGAAAATGACGACTGGGTTCAAATACCGGCCGTCAGCGGAAATACATTCGATAATCGAGGTCCAAATTCGGTCTCCTTTCTTCTTTTTCTGGAATTTCTTTCTTTCCTTAGATCCAACAACCAGGCCGTTATCTCCAATGCCAGAAGCAATGCCAGTTTCATCCATATTATACCTATGCTTGGCTGGAATAGCCTCCACGCCTGGAGGCTTCAAATAGTCAAACCAAGGCCGGATAACGGCCTCACAGGCTCGATCAGCACGGTTTGCATGGCTTCTCCGAGGCCTAATTGTAGAAATAGATAGATTTCTAGCCAAAAACCGGCTAGTCCAGCGTTTTCCGAGGGTTTCGTTATCTTCGAGCATTCTTCTAGCTAGTTTCCGAATTTGGGCGTGGGTTGGAGGGTGACCGAGCGACCCTTGGAATAGAATCCATTCGGTTAAGCGTTCTTCCATAGCCGGAGAAAGCTTTTGATTAAGAATTTGGGCCTTGGAGGCTGGCTCGGAACCATGAACCCGATTAAAGAGAGTAGTAGGGGGGATGCCGTGATTTTCAGCAGAGCTACGGAGTAAGCCGGTTTCTGCATACTCTGCCAGCGCATTCTGCAAATCCAACTGTGTATATCGCTTCATCTTTCATTTCTCAATTGAATGGAGAAAAGAAGATAAGTATTGAAGCAGAATTGGTCGAGTTGCAAGCGATTGAAATAGGTGAGTTGGGTGGCGAGCGGCAAGTCCTTGATGACAAACCTTGTTCCAAATCCAGGGGTGTTCCATAAGCAGACCACCTGACTTATCTTTATCTTCTCTAGGCCTCACGATGATAAAGAAGCGAGTCAGGCGTCCAGGCCAAAGGCCCACAAGCGGGCTACCAGCACAGCCAACACGTCGTTTTGCGAATGACGTCGAGTCGCAGAGAGAGCGGGATAAAGAGAACGAAGAGTCAATCCGACAACGACCGTTGAGCGATAGAAGATCTATTTCCAAGAAAACAGAATTAAGCCGATATAATTCTTGGATTGAATGGACGGAGTAAGGCGTGCTCGGATTTTTTTTTCTAATTACTAATAATGTATAGGTACTTCGAGCGCACAATTCGATCCGAAGGAGGTTATTCTTGACCTTTGTAGAGACCCCGCTAGCAAAGAAAGAGCCGTACTTCAGGTTAAAAAGTTTCTTCAGTACTGCGTTCAGAAATCTGAAGCAGAGCGCCCCTCCCTTGGACCAACCGAGACGGAATTTTCTCTAACAATCACAAGCGCCCGCACCGTGTTCGAGAAGCTGAAGAGTGTAGTTGGGTACGCGGAAAGTCATATTTTGCATGTATGAGGCGAAATGATCCTGCCCATGCGATGCAATGGACCTTAGCCACATCTTACTTCAACCTCAAGAACCCGGCTCGAATGAGTGGCCCGATACATAATATATACTTAGTATGTTTCCCAATCTTTAGCCCGCTAGGATGCTAATCGGTATCGTGATAATTAGAGTAGACGGTGCAATACTTGGTGCCCGAGTTCGATCTTGCCCGTGAACAACTATTCGATAAGCTCGAGGCAACTAGCGGTGATATACGACAAATTATGGCGACGGCCTGGACGGATGCCGTTCAAGCTGAACCTGATACTCGACTCGACTTCTACATGACTCTTATATTATGTGGTATTACTAGTTTAAACCTAGGTCTCTTATTGAGATATTTTACAGGCAGATAGGAAGCCGTCCGGGGCTACGACATTGGTCCAGTTTAGCACGCTCTCCGGGGACTTAAGAATGAGATCCGACGGCGTCCAGGGGGGTACAGGAGGGGTTCCCGCGCTTCTCGCGCCCCCGACTGGAGACGATGAGGTGGACCGGAGTGGCAACGGGGTGCTGGCCCGGGATCGCGACAGCATCTGGACCATGACCTGCATTGGCAGTGCGGTACGGCTGTGGATCTTTTCGGGCGATAGTGAGTTCCTGATTCCATTCGTGCCTTCCAGTGGGGGTTTAGGCTTGCCTAAGACGAGCGAATATCTGGAGATCTCCACACATGGCGCGAGATTCTCGACGGCCTGGACTACATCAGACAGCATACAACGCCCTCGAGAGAGCTGCTCCGCAAGACTCCATCGCCCAGGCCGGCCAACGCAACAATCCCCGACAATTGGCACGACAACGAGGTCGCTCAGTTAGACGCCCGCCGTCAGCAAGGGGGTCTTGTCCAACTGGCTGCCGCCCCCGTTGCTATGGATTATGGTGCAGGCTCGTCGTCATTTGCCACCAGCCAGGACGAGCACGGGCCAGCGCTGCCGTCAGATCAATCAGATCAAATATAGGGTGCCCATCTGATCTGAAAGGGAATTCGGGCCCGAAATCTGATTGATTGACTGTTTAGTTGATATGTCTGGTAGTGTCTGATATCAGGACCCCTGCTGACCGCCGTGAGGCTATTCCAGCCACCGAAATAGCATCGCGACCCCGATTCTTGGTGTTCTGGGCTTACCACATCCCAACGGCTGCTATTCTTCCTGCAGCTGCTGCAGCTGCTGCTGGCCGCGGCTTTCGTCTTCATACAACCAGTTCTTCAGCAGCTGACAATACTCAATAGCCTCGCTGCTCAGGCTGTGCCTCTGAGACGTCACGGTCAGCTTCGCGATGCTGAATGCTCTCTCACAATCATCGGCCATAGCTGGGATGGCTAGTAGGTCCAACGCAAGGCAGCTAAGACGAGGGTAGGTAGCCTGGTGGTCCCTCCACCACTGAATCGGATCTTCCGTGTTCTCTCGAGGCGTCCTGAAGTAGACCTCAAGCTCCGAAGCCGTCTGAGAGAGCTGGGGACACCTCTGGGCAATCCACTGCCTTGCCTCTTCCAATTCGACCTTCCGTTTCTTCGGAGGGCCCTGTCCAACTGGTTCCGGCTCTGCAGAGGGCGAGCGGCTCCCCTGCTCGTTGGCTTCAGGGTAGTAGGCCTCGAGGTAAGCCTTGAGAGCCCTTTTAGCATCGCTAATCCAGATAACCTGCTCTGGAGCGGTCCAGACGTTCTCGAGCCACCCAAGCCCGAGCCCGGGATGTAGAATGACGGCTGATGTAAATAAGGATGACTCTCCAATCGATGTATAGTAGTGGTTGAGCTTTAGCCATGCGTTGTTGATCCCACTTCGAAGGAAGGACCGTTGCTGGGCTCCAAGGCTATCGAAGTTGCCTGCTGCCCGAGCAGCAGCAAGATTAGTATAAACCAGCCTCGTGTGGTCCGGGAGGGCTTCTTCATTAAAGCGGGAAGTAAACCCAGGTTCGATGGCTGCTCTGTTACGTTGCAAAGGCCGGCTGCGGGTTGGTGGCCGAACCGGTTCTGTTGCTACTGCCGGATTGAGAGATTCATCAATATATAGCTGCTTCCACCGCTCAAGCTTATCAAGGACGTATTCCATGCCCGTGAGGACCTCGTGAAGCTGACCCTGGCCTTGGGTAATCATCGTGAGCCTGTAGAAGGGCGTCAGGATCTCCTGAACCTCTGCAAGGAGCCGTCAGTCCTCTAAGGAAAGACGATCTTCAGCAGAGACCTTGTTAGTTGCGGTCCGGTCGAGGTCGAGGTCCGTTAGGTAGTTCTCGATGGTATTCCGTAATAGACATGCCCTCTCAATCATCAGGAAGGTCGAATTCCACCTCGTAGCATTATTCTGCTTCAGCTCCAGCTCTTTGGTTGTTGCTTCGGCCAGCAAGAAGCTCCCTTGGATCGACCGGTCATCCCGTTCGGTCTTCCTGAAAGCCTCGCTTCGTTGGGGAGACGCTCGGATGAATCTGACGATGTTGTGGAGCTTTCCAATGGGTCCCCTAGTGCGCCAGTGGGTGGCATCTAGCTCGTCTACTTCTAGGGCCTCGAGGGTTTCAGCCTGTTGTTCGAATTCATCTGCCCGATCGCCAAAGAGGAAGGCTTTAGCTGCTAGGTTGAGGATGTGACCGAAGCAGCGCATTCTTCGACTCCGAATAGCATCGCGATCCCAATGGGGGAACAACCGGCTGTAGAGGGATTGTAAACAGGTATCGTTGTTCGTGGCGTTATCACAGATCGCTACACCCAACCGCTCTCCAAAGCCCCAATCTTGGATGACCCCAATCAACGTCTCAGCGAGATTCAGGCCGGCATGGGTTCCTGACTGCTGCTTGAAGGCAATCATCCGCTTCGCAGGCTGATAGGTTCCGTCAAGGTAGTGGACGATGATGGCGATGAAGGCTAGTCGATTTGGAGACGTCCAGAGATCGAAGCTGAAGTGTATAGCCGTCCTAGCATTCAGGATCGCCTTCCGGACCACCTGTTTGCGTGCTAGGAAGAGAGCCTCGATCTCGTTTCTAATTGCAGTCCGACCAAATGGCACTTGCTGTTGCAAAGCTGGGTTGAATTGAACGAGCAGGTCTTGTAGATAGGGGTCCTCGAATATCGCGAAGGGAAGGCTCGAGTTAATGACGAAGTAGGCACACAGCTCCTTCAGCCGGTCAATCCTTGTTCGAGGAATAGCAAGGGCAGAGGCAGGCCTTCGCCGGGCGGCTGTTGATTGCATCTTGAGGACGTTGGGGCCCTGCTGTTGCTGCTGTTCTGACTGTTCCGGATCGACGATGGAGTGTTTCTTGAAGAGATGTTCGATGGAGGAAGATGTAGATGAAGCAACGAAGAACTGAGGCTGGCCCCGGGCGTCACAAGTCCCACAGCACCACACGGTTTGCTTCAGTCGGTTATCTGGCTCGAGCTCGGTCATGAAGAAGCCGTAATCTGCTATCCAGCTGCGTCTGCCGCGGGATTTCTGGGTGTGGATGACTCCGGTCGGGATGAAACGTCGATTCTTCCAGGAAATCTTGACTAGATCAGAGACAGAGGCATCGTCAGCAGGAATCGTACTTGACGCTGCAGCAAATTGCTTGGAGATGGAAGGAGGCCGGGCCTGTATAGCCGCGAAGGCAGAGATGGGAGCAGATGACATAAGGAGGGTCGGAGAGTCGGAATAGCTTCGTTCGGGCAGTCAGGATGCTTGGAATAGCATCGTCTGGGCAGTCAGGATGTTTGGAACAGCTTCCGTCGGGTCCGGAAGAACAGAATTTGCTGACCCTGGCTTGGTTCAGCAGGCCAGGGATGACCGGTCAGGGGTCCTGAACCCCGGTCCAAAACACCAACGGCGCCGGAAAAACGTCTAAATCCGGGCTCTGAACAGCCTCAGATATCTGTTATATCTGTCAAATAAGCCCGGCCGATATCTGATTTGTTTGATCTGACAGTTCCAAAAATCCCGATTGTTTGTTTGAATCGATTGGTAAATTGATCTGATAATCTGGTCTGACGGCAGCGCTGGCACGGGCTTAGCTACAGGTTTGGTAATGAAACCTTTACTTGGGACACCAGTGGAGAGCCGCAGGGCACCTCCCTGAGCCACTTCAAAGCGGAGGTTGACCAAGACGCTAGCCCGCCAGCGAGCCAATAGGGAGGAAATAATCGAAAAGATGTCCAGGTGCGGGCCACCAGGATCCCGCATACTTGGAGGAGGGTTATGTTTACGGGGACGTTGCCTACAATACACCAATACGTCCTCTTCATAAAACGTGCTGGCTGGGCCTCATGGCGGTTAGACTTACAGGCCCGTAATAGGAGGAAAACCAAAAGAGAGGATCAATTAAGATTATTTAGTCAAAATTGTAAAAATACTCCTCGTAGGCGCCCGCACAGACAGCCAGCACAAAGTCCACCAAGACAACCATCCCCCCCACAACCGCCGCCCCAATGCCGAAGCCGAGTGACTAGCCCCATCCTGTCACTTCGTTAGCTACAGATTATGCTGCAATTATACTTGAAGAGATGATAATGACTTACCGGCAATGGAAAACGCTACTACCAAAAGCTCCGACTAGCCTATTACCGCCCGCTGAAACCCCAACCACCTTCTTCTCGCCGGCCGGCGGCCAACATCCCCCCCTACCCCCCCCCGGCAAGTCAACCCCCTCCCTAGCAACCAATTCAGTCAGCACACGATCTCCGAGACATCGGGTTAGAGCCAGATTGGACTCACAGAGCAGCGGAGTTGGCCGGAGGCGAAGAACAGAGGTGGGTGTCCCCGCACGGGCACCGGACCCGATGATGGGTGGTGGTGGTGATGCCGGCGGTGATGCCGGTGGTGGTGGAGGGGTCGGGGGTGCTGCCCATGCCGCTGTGGCTACCGCTGGGCCTGTGGTGGTGTCGGTGCGGACCATGATGAAACTTTATTTTTTCAACAATGAAAAAAAAGACTTTGTTCGATCAGTTTTTTTTGGATGCCTAAAAAAAAAAAAGGTGATGAGAGTCTGAGGAGAGAAATCCAAATTTTTTGGGGGAGGGGGGGGAGAACTGGAATATTTATCGACTCTGTGTTCAGCCTGCCTGCCTTCCGGGTCACGCTTTCCAGAGTGGCCTTGCGCTTGCTTGCAGAAACGAACCCGTCTGAGACGCGACTTCCTCTGAAGACACTAGCCCATCCATGGGTCGCTCTCGGAGGTGGAGCACATAGATAGCAGAAGGCGAGAGAACTGAGGTCGGGCATGAGACCTCTCAGGGGGGCGCCTTCTTTTTTTTACCTAGACCAGTGGCCTCGGGCCTAGACCGAACCATTTAAATCAAGCGGCGTTCGGCGTTCCTCCTAGATTGACAACCTTCGGAAATAATGGCCGTTCCGAGGGTCTGAGTTGCTTGGTTCAGAATGACCCCATAAAAGCCCCAATCTGATCAATAAAAGGCCAAGATTCTTCCTGCCGGGCTCCGAGTCGTGGTCAGGACCTATTTGGCGCCTGGCAGGCGCTCGGATTGCGTTTTTCGTCGCCTGCAAAAATCCACGTCACTGAAAAGTCAAAGTCAGCCATTGACGTGCCAAAGATTGAAGCTATTGCCAACACACCTATTCCAAACCATATTTATTGTAGCCGCGCGTGAAGCCTTTTGTTGCTATGGTTCGGAATAACGGCGCTTACGCAACGCGCGTTGAATTAGAGGGCCACCCCAAGTGGTATCAAGGCATACCCGAGCCAAGTTTTCCGAGCAAAAGAACACGCCCTCACGAAACTTGTGATCACGGGATTGTCAGGCCTCGCCGGCCAAACTTAAATCACGGCAACGCCGAGCCTATATGTAATTCAGGATGCAGGATAGGTGGATTACGGCCGTCATGCTGGAAACTAAAGTTCAGTCTGCTACCCATCAAACTTCGTCAGCAACATTAATGCCGACAAGAGTCGAGTCCATACCTACTATTTAAGGTACAGTTGTCGCCGTCCATTTCTCCTCTCACACACATCCACAAAACTCTATTCATCCAGCATGTCGGACGAGACAATGGGCTGGTTACCGGACAACAAAGTTGAGTATGATGCACATCCCCCTCCTCTCTATTCAGGGTCAGGCGACGACACTGGAGCGCTGCAACAGTCTCAGAAGTCGTCGAGTTCGGGCCACCAGGAACAGGGAGAATATACAATTGGCGAAAAAAGCACCTGGTAGCGGCGGACACTACGCCGAATCCAGGTCTTATCACACCAATCCTTGCGGCAGCAGGTGTTCAATAGCGACATGCATCTCGTAGTCGCACCTGTCACCATCGACATCTCGAGAATCCTTCCAAGATGGAAAGGGCATAACGGCATGACATGCAGTCAGGGCACCATGCTTACGAAGTTGCCGCTACCGATCGTGCCACTCACCCTAGTTAATTCCTGCTCACTAGACATCATATGCTGCTCCCCCGAGGGTTTGGTTGCCCGTTGGCAGCAGGCGCATCTGGTATTCTTGTCGGATAACATGCCGGAGGTCCTCCGGGCACCACCGATTCCGTGGCGGGCGGACCTAGACGACTGCTGCTACTTTGACGAAGTTCGTTTTGTGAACTGTCCTCACCCTATCACGTTCTTCACGCACCAGCCAGAGCCGGAGAATGTCAAGGCGTACAGCCATCACGATAATAATGCCGCTACGCCTTGTGGTATGTCCGTGCCACTCGGCGGGATTACATACGAGCGCACCATTAAGCTCGCGCTGATGCGCGGCCGGGCCGACTGGTGCTACTGGGAACTTAGCCTTATACTCAGAAGCCGAGACGGCAACTGGCTCGCGAGCCTACCGCGCACCGACGCTGCGGCTCTTGTTGGCCTCAATTCGGTAGCTGGGTGAGTGTGATGAATGATGTCCTGATAAGACAAGAGAAAATGGGAGGTGCCCAACTAACACGCCCGAAAAAAAAAACAGAGTTATCGGGTGGATACACCCAGAACGAGATTCCATCAAGAACTCAGTCATGTTTTACGCAAAGACGCACTACCAGCCGTGGCTCAAGCCTTCCGATCTCGAGTCTCACAGACACGAACAACCGTCATATACACCTTCACCTCTAGGCCCGGCCCATGACGAGGAGATGCGCCGACTGGTAAATGGTGCTATCGAGAGTTTAATTCGAGGAGGCGATTGATGCGAGAAATTACCGTATAGTTTGGCAAGAGACGAAAATACTCTTTTTGGTTAGCCTTAGCTATAACCAGAAACCAGGTCAATACGCCCGCATTAGGTCGCACAAAGCCGCGTACTCTATGCGTTTCCCATCAATTCATCAGTGCAGCTGCGCATCTCATGGGACGAGTCGATGGGGAATAAAGTCGGCTGCTGTTAGATATAGGACTGGCCTGCTACGAGAACATAACAATTTTTTTTATTTTTTTTATCTTGGTGGACGAATTGAAGCTCTTTCGTACCTGAGCTCTCTGTTTTCGAATCAGGTTCTTGGACTAGGAACGTCGAAGAGGCGTCTCCTCACTCGCCTTGAACGCTCTCGCAGCAGCCAAACTTCCCCAGCAACCTCCCCCCTTTCCCCTTCCCTCGGCGCCTCCACTTTTCTCCTTCTTTCACTTTCTTGTCCTCGCCAGACTTGACTCCAGGCCCTCTCGACGATCATAGCAGATAGTCCCCTTTGCTCTAGCTACTTCATCACTGGTCAGCTTAGGTGGGTAATACAGTCAAATCGGAATGCTGCTCAAAGTGTATGAGTACAGTGAATGTGTATTGCTTGCTTGAAGAACCAAGCAAGAACTATCTAAGACCGCTGTTACGGTCGTCGTATATATCTATCTACGGTGGGCCAATCCAAATGGTCCCACTGTCCCGAGACCCCGAGGCCGGGCCACCGGCCGCCCGGGCCAGTCGCGCGCCTCCGACCTTTATTGCTCGGGACTCTGGGACACCCCTGATAGGTCAACACCAAACCAGGCCTGCCCCACTACCGTGCATATCCTCAGGGATTCGTAACAGTTGATTAATTTTGGCGTTGCTCACTTTGCGGTCAATCTGGTTAATCGCGTCTAGTTACCAACCCAGCTAGTATCAATTCCGGGGAATGAAGACTGCGACGATAGGAAAGGCAGTGTCTCCTGGCCCTAGGACAGTGTCCCCTTGGGCAGCGGTCTGGTGGCCGAAGTGGATGTTGATATAATGGTTTGGCAGTGTGTGTGGAAAGTACTAATTGAAACTCTCTAAAAGCGAGCAATTGCCTTGTCTAGGTCTAGTAGTGAGGAGTTATTGGCAGCTTACCTTGGTTTCTGTGGTTGAAAGTTGTCGAAAATCAACTACCAGGAAATGGACAATTTAATAAGAGGCAGTGAGCGGCGAAATTCCATGGGATTTATAAGAATGACAATTGACTATCTTACCTACCTAGGTACATAACTATGTCGGCAAGATAGTGTTGGAATCACTAGGTACCGGTACTGAAAGCAACAGGGCGTAACTGCAAGCTGAAAAACTGGTGGTTCAAGTGATGGTTGTAGATGTCTGCCAATATATAGATTCGGTGGCCAAAGGCCAGTCTATATAGTTGATGTCCTGACCTGGGCCTCCACCGCCACCTTTGTGGCTGACCAGTATGTCATTCCAACGATCATTCCAACATTTATATATCTTCGGCGATTCCTCTTCAAACCCGCCTATTTTTATCCAAGGCATTTATATGCACTATTACGAACAGGCATTTCATCGTTCGCCAATGGGACATTTTCTCCATGGTTCTCGCCCTCTCCTTGGCTTTAGGATTCGTACTTAGGTCGGTTCTTTCTGTTTCATCGAAGGTACTAGAGAGCGTCTATTACCCTTTGCCTTAGGCTGATATCATCCCCCACATTTGAGCTAGTATGGGCACTTCACATCTCCTTCCATAGAGCCAAATACCTAGGTCCCTGGATACCTAGACCAAGTGTAACGTCCGCCGCCCTAGCATACCGCTCTTGAGTGTCGTATCGTGGAGCTTCAAAATGTCAACGCGCTCCCAGCATTCGCCCATTACAGCTACGGGTGCCTGCGTCTCTTCCACAATAAGTACGAGCGTGGCGTTGGAGTCGTAGTCATTATGCCGCAGACGCTCATTACCCAAAACAATACCAAGCCATGACTCTTCGAGGAGCCTCCGTCGCAAAATCGGGCCAATATTTTAGTCGCCCTCGCCTGACTCCGTTGAGGGAGAAGACGCGCACTCCTTCCGGTCCGGAAAGAATTCTCCCTCCCACACGCCGTTGCCAGAGTTCACAATGCCTTTGAACTCATGCCTAGGACGAGGAGCAAAGTCCTCGCGGAAACGGGCAGTGACGACATCAGCAGTAATTTCGAGCCCGAGGTTCTGCTTAAAATAGACGTCGGATCGTATCTCATTGGCGGAGTGGCCTCCCAGCAGATGGTTATAGTACTCGTCCCAGCTCACCGCGGTCCCGTCTGCGAGCACGAAAGACAGGTCCACAGCGAATCCATAGGAGAAAGAGATTTGGTGAATACCAGACATGGAGTGCCTCACCACGCCCTCCCAGCCTGTCCAAGACCAGCTAGGGAAACCGGGCCGGCGCTTGGCCGGCCGCTTGCTCAACAATGTTAGTCCGTTGATGAAGCCGACTAGCGGTTGCCAGCTCATGTCCCTGTCGATCTTGTCATCCTGGGATAGGACGGGCACGCCGCAGATATAGTACGTCGGGTTCCGTTCGCGATCGGCAAAAATCTGGAAGATGCCTAGCATGGCGTTGAGCGCATCGGACTGGTACGTCAGCCGCCGACTAGTGTACTCGGCCAGGACGTTGAAAATGCTGTTGAAGCGGGTTCTTGGGTCGGTCACTGCCTGCCTGTTATAGATCCAGCTGAATAAGTCCAGGTGTATCTCCTTCAACCCCCGTTCTACCTGGGCTGGTAGGCGGATGGCCTCGCGGCAGAGGAGGTTGCGGCACTCGTACGACATCTCACGATCCGTGAAGAAGAGGCGACGGCGTGCAAGCAGCCCCTCCTGGTAGGTCCATCCCCGCGTCGCCCAGGTTGACGACGTGATCAGCGTAGCGGGATCCGGGGGGACGCACACGAGAAGGCGGCCCTTGACACGGGCGTAGAGGGGGGTCTCTCGGGGTCGGTCGCCGTGGGTACCGGTACTCTAAGGCCCACCGGGTGATCCGCATACTACATATGCCGAGCCGCTCGAATCCAAGGTAGGTCATTCTGACGTGCGTTTGTAATTTCGATATGCCTGAGTATAGCCTCAAACATATCAAAAGCCCGCAACGTATAGAGAGTTGGAAGGGCTTCACAGAGCCGTTGTTGGACTTATTTGGTGAGGTTGTTCTTTGATGTAGTGCGTAAATAAACAATTCACAGGGCTACCGACCAGACCCCTGAAATGGTCATAGTTTGAGAAAAGCCTAGAAAATGCGTTTTCAGGCCTCATCCGCATGCGGTTGGTTTTCGTAAGCTTGCTATGGCTGAAAATCTACACTCGGGAGGCTGCATTGCCAGTCAACCCCCGTGCCAGTCCTGGACAAATTTGAGAGCCTCGTCTTGTACCGGATTGAGCTTTTTCCCATGCTTGTAGGCCTTTCTTCATGGTTATACTGAAGTGTCAAAGATAATTATTTTCCGGGGGTGACCGGCCGGGTCGATGCATGAGTCGATCGCGAGAAGCGCGGTCAACAACACAGCCCAGCAGCACAGCCCAGAGATCGGGCTGTCTCCTCCCCCCCTCACCTCCAACTGGCCCAAGAAACCGCAGAAGGCGATCCGAAGATAACCGTGGGAGTTGGAGACTTCGCATATCGTTGGATCCATGCTTTGCTCCAGGATGTTTAAGCACTCTCCACCTAGCCGCAGCAGCCACTTGACCAGGGCATGATTTCTTAATATACTCGGGAAACTTAGATCTAGCTGGTTGGCAGCAATTACTCCGCCTGTGATAAAAAACACTGCAGTCTACACAGCTCAGCGCTTTGGATCCCCCCCCCCACTCCACTGGGGTTGAGTTAACTTTCGGGGCGCTGGAGTGGCCCTGTTGTGCGCTGTATTTTACGGGAGAGGCAAAATGCTTGTAAAGGTTGGTAAGGCAGGCAGGAGCAAGCGAGATAGGAAAGAGTATCCATAGGGGAGGAACTCAATATGAAGGAAGGAATGGTGCGAGAAATAAGGGAAACGGGTCGAGGAACGAGATATCTTGAAGAAGGAGCAGCCAGATAAGGCTCGGATGTGACGAGATCAGAGGAAAGAGCTTTACGACCAACAGGCAGTTTATTTACGGCGCGGTGCTGGCTATTCTGTTTTTTAAATTCTTCACCCAAACATCATCAATCAATCATCATACGTATGATTAATCATTGGAGACTTATCCCATCCACCCAGTCGTCAACCCACTTCTGCACAAGCAACCACCCTCGGTCAGCCACCGCCCCTCACCACACATCGCTGGGCCATCGCCAATTCCAACCACCAGAACTCTGCCATTCACGCCGCCTTGCCACTGTCAAACCTCTCAGCCAACGTATTCGGCCATCCAAAACAACAGCCATCTAAAACAACAGCCAAGACCACACCTCCCTCCCTCCCCAATCACCCATGCCGCCGCCGAAGCCGCAGAAGAACGTAAGCCACTCCCAGCCTACCTACTTCTTTCTCAATCTAGCCTTGTCCATGCTCCATTGCTAGTTCATTTGGGCTAATAGGTTTTGTGGGTAACTACCTACGTAACAGCCTCGTACCCTTGACCTCGAACGCGGGAAAAGCGACGAGGAGGGCGGACGCAACGGCATGGGTGATCGTGACAAGACCGGGGGGGTCCGCTGTTGTTGGCCGCAAATGGCTGGATGCGTTGGTTGAGTGCGTTCGAAGTGGCGAGGCGGTGGTGAATGGGTTCTGGTGGGTGGAAGTGGCGGTGGCCATCGCGACTGTGGTGGTGGCCTTGGCGGTGGGGATCGGGGTTGTAATTGCCGTGCAGAAGTGTGATGGACGGCTGGATTGGATGGCTACTATTTTTAATTCTACGCGCAGCGGCAGGAAGTAGCGTTATTTTTTTTTTCATCCAAAGCGTTAAATTTTGTCGTTAAATTTTATCGTTAAAATTTTTTTTCCTTTCTCCATTACTTGACTTGTCCAGGGGGCTTCATGACAACCACATCGCTACGGCAGTGCCGCATGCCGATAGTCCCCCAACCCCGTGAAATCGCCTCTGCCCTCGGCTGCACCAAGAAAGATACCCGGGTGGCGCCGTGCCCTGTGAAGGGCAATAAATCCATGGACAGATTGAGCTCCAAGGCTCACTCGAAGCTAGGTTCGCCGCCGCCGCCGCCCCCGCTATCATTGTCCTCGCCTTCGTTTCGGGCTTGCTCTTGTGTCTGCAACAACATCTATAGGATTGAGACTCCCCTAAGCTTCCAACACTACATTAGCGCAATCGTCATCGCACAATCGGGCTTCCCCCCGGCAAGACGGCATCCATGATCGCCGATAACGAAGTGGATGTCGCACCACCTTGGCACTAAATACGCTGCAACAATTTCGAATCCGACCCTTGCCTGTTCCAGTGATATATGGGGGTTTTCTCCCGACCCCAGAACTAAATACGGGTATAATACCATGCCGGTTATTCGTAGAACGACAAGAGGAGTATGACCCAGTCGAGCGGCCTTGCTACGGGCGGCTATAGAACATTTCTGAAGAGTGAGTGGCTGGGGAATTGGCACGATGCGATAGGTTTCTAAACCGCTGTCAGAATCCCCTCACCTTACTATATGACCTGGATTGGGGTACCGATGAATAACACAAGCCAAGTAATTCACTTTCACGCCAATATTTGGCGCCAAGCGATATTCCGAAAAGTACCTATCCCCAAATGGGGCGTAGTGAAGGGGGCGGCGTATGCTTTCTCGCACATTGCGATATGCATATTAGATATGCACCGCACATAGACAACTACACCCAGTTCGCCTATGATGACAAGAAGCAATGTACTTGTATTCTGGCATAGACGGGGGTCGCTGGCCAAATGATCGACTTAAGGGCTCGAGACCCCCCCCTCGATAAATTGACCATGACTTGCGTTATTTTTCTAGCATCACATCTTTTACCCACCGTGAACATAGCTGCACAGCATAACTACCAAACCATTTAACTGATTCGTCCTCTCATCCCCAACATAGCATCTAGCATCTCCAGACAACAAGCGAGAGACCTGGTCACCGGGATTGCCAAGGACCCTACACATGGCCGACGTCCGCTTTATCTTCGAGCTTCTCCAAAATACCGAAGACAACCAATTCTTCTCGGCAAAAGCGGACGACGAGGCTCCCCATCTATCTTTCGCGTTTTACGAAACCGCATTGTCGTCGATTACAACGAAAATAGTTTCTCCGAGGCCAACCTGCGGGCTATTTGCGCTGTTTCTGCTGGTAGGTGACTGGTGGGGTGACTAATGTAAGTAATGAGCCTAGGGTGATAAATATTGTCATAAATAATCATATAAAGCAGCTTACCAATTAGCCCTCCAAACTTTCGTAGCATCGCAGGCCGACAATCATAACCACCGAGCCTAGTAGTAGTACCACTATACCCGTTATATATACTAATATCGAAAGCCCCCTAGCTATCGTCCGGAACGCCCTAGTTAATGAGAATAAGACGACGTCCTTCCACGATGTACAACGATAGCCGATATAGCGATGACCCTCGGTATAGCCGCTTCCGGCCATATCCCGGTTTGATAGCCCAAGACCCGAACCCCCTCCAAGGGTAGTAGACTCCCTCGGCCAAAGCCACCAGAGATCGGACGGAGGGCTATTGGATATGATATTCACATCCACTTCAGTACCTTCTGGGTCGAAACAAAAAACCGTTCTGCCGAAGGCGCTCTCGACACGTGCCATCGTAATGTTCCCTCTCATTACCTCGCCTTGGCCGAACTCGGATAGCGTCTGACCCGGAGTTGCAGAGAGGATAATACGTCCGGTCCAACGGGATTCGGCGGCCGGGCTGTCGGGGAACTCGCGCAGTCTCCAGGTCAGGACGGGGCTGGCGTCGTCGTAATAGTCGCCGTGTCCGGGAGCTAATTCCTTCTATAGTAGCTCTTGTCCGGCGGCAGGCGTTAGCAGATTACGCGTCGTCCAAAACAGACCCCGCTGCATAAATGCCGCAAGGTCGATGGCGTTAAGCTCGAACATGACGAGAGCACTCCATGGGGAGCTCTCGACCTCGTGGCGATCTGAGAGCCGTGCGACCACGTCAAAAGTGATATGGTACTTGATGCCGCCATCGCGTGACGTGGGATGTAGTATTGCCATGGTGTTCGGCGATTTGTCCGAGAGTGGAGATGCGATGGTGTATGATGTTGATCTTGTCGGGAGGAAGTGAGTCGAGAACGGACATTATAAATAGGTTCGAGGGAAGATTTCGAAGTTGATACGTTCAAAAAACTAAAACTAAAAACTACGGTCCCTCGGCAACAAATTTTATCGCTACCGGAAGTTAGCCATGTCTCTATCGCTATTATCTGAAAGGATGGGGGGAGATACCTGCTACATGGATGAAAAAGTCCCGTGCAAGTTTATTTTTCATCCCGCCCCACATATCGCGTATCTCGAGTAAAGTCTTTTTCGCGCCGCCTGCCCTTCCCTCCTGTTTACAAGGTTCCTCTTGCTCCTTCTCATCTGCGCCACGCTTTTGAACTGTTCGTCTGGCTGCGGTAAGGTACGTCTTATCGCCCTCCCGGAATCGCCCGATCCTGTCCCGGACAAGACATGTACCCATAAAAAATCCTAGTCATAATATATGTAGAAGTGGACAATGTGTGTGTGCGAACGGGCGTATGACCTTTCCGACCTTGTGTCACTTGGGTAAACCTGCCGGCGCTTGCAACATATCGTCAGCCTTTTCTCTACGAGGACCTAAAGACTTTCAATGACCCTCAGTATGGCAACTCAAGACTCCACCAATTCAACATGGTCTGCCTGCTCCGGACGCTCGCTCAAAACCGCGACCTAGCGTCTAAAGTCGGCTCCATCGCCTCAGCCGATATGCATCCATCGTGTGACCCAATCCCGCGCAGGGCCAAGGGGGAGCTCTTGCGTCCCGAGGATAAAGAACGCTAAAAGCACCCGATTAATAAAGATGAATACTCGGCGCACTTACCCCTAATTGTGTTGCCACCCACCCCCACCTCCTTGCCTTGGCATCTGTATCCGGAACCCCCTTTTTTAGCGGAAAATCGGTACTTCTGGATGCTGCACCCCATGTGTAGATTTTTGGCCTTCAACATGCCGGGCAAATCATCCGAATACGACTGAGGCCTGAAAACGCGTTTTCCGGGCTTTTCGTCAATTGTGTTCATTTTCAGGCCTTAGTCAGCAGCTCTGTCAACCTGTCAACATGCGCGTATTGTGCTCAGCCAGGAAAATGCGATAAATTTGGTGCAAATCAGGGTGTTGCGCTGGCTGTTGGCCAATTCGTTGAAATGGGCCAATTTGCGTATAGTCAATTGCATGCATGCATGTGAGGCCGATCAAACAGAGTGATGTTATTTGCGGTGTTAAACCTGTCAGGGGGCATGTTAACATGCGCGCATTGTGCCTAGCCAGGAAAATGCGATAAACTTAGTGCAAATCAGGATATTCGAAGCGGTCTATGCATGTCTGTTTCTATTCCTCGGCGTAGTCGATGGCGCCCAAAATCTTCTAGCTCTGCGCGCGCAGGTCGCTAAACGGGGTCGTCGAGCTAAGCTTGGCAAAGCGCAGGGCTTTGAACCTCACGTCGTCCAGGAGGGAGAGGTAGTCTTGCTACAATGAGGCCTGGCAGTCAGCTCCTGAAGCAAGTTTCTGGCAGGATGTGTAGACCAGGTACCCTGGTGAACCCATCGTATGCAGACTCGGGTAACTTGGCAAACGCCATTCTCTTGCAGAAGCGATTGTCGAGGAACTTGTAAAAGAGATCTTTATTGTTTTGGACAAGCTGGAAGATCGGAATTCTTTAGAGCATGAATTAGTGCCTAGGCTGTCACCCTATCGGCCTGTGTAGGTCGACAGCAGACTCACCCCGCTGTGATAGAGTCACTCGACTTCCTGATGTCTTGTTAGGGTGCGCCGCAGTTTTGATCTGCGGCGTCAAGGTTGATGCACTGAAACAGTTGCCTGATACGGCCCGACGCCACTGAGCGTGGGATTTCGTAGAGTGGGTATCGGTGTCCATAGCGTTTTGATCTGGGGGAATCTGGGGTCTGGGAATGAGAAAAGTCAAGGGTTCCAGGGCGGGGGGGGGGATAAGGTGCACTGCCTGGCCAGGCGGTTGGGGTGGGAGTGAGAGGGTTATAAGCAGAATACGAAATGCCAGTATTGTAGACGTTTGTATAGGACGACGCCGTATCTAGACGCGAGCCATCTCGAGGAGTTGCGTCACCGTGCGTCCTGTTCACACTATAATTATACTGATATTTGTACGTTCTGTGCCGCTTGAGTTTTTCTGTCAATATATGAGGCTCACATAGTCAGGAGCAATCACGTGTCGGGAGCAATCACGTCGTTGGCTGGCTAAAGCTCCATTTACATGTGCAGGAAGCTTACTCGTTCGTGGCATATTGCGGGGGCGCCGAATGGCCAGGCAGTAATTGTTCCCGCATCCTCGCCTCGGCGCGTCAGAATCCAGTTGGGCGAGGCTGTGCATTCTGTGGCTGGCTCAAATGTCTCCATGAACGTCAAAGGGGAAGCCGAAGACGCACCAGCCCGACTTCCATTGGTTGTGTGGCGCAGAGGCGTGGGGGCGCCGGGGTTTTGGGGTGTGTAACCTCGTATCTCAGCTTGCGCATTCTCAGCTATGGGGAATATGCCGCACCAGCACTCCAGTCCTCTTCGATAGACGCCTTTAGACTGCATGTAGCCCGACTAGATATGGAGATGTAACTAGAAAGCCAAAACAGCTTCAGTCGTTCCACCACGACGGAATTCAGAGCCGACTGTGACAGAACAGCTCAAGCAACGGGCGCGCGTAGCTGGCACAAGAGGAGCCTGAGCCAAAGTTGAAAGTTTGGAGCGGATGTTCCTCCTATCTGTGACGGCGGGGCTCAGCACCTACTACCGCTGCACCACACCTTCCAAACGGATGCCAGAATTGCAAGCTGCCAAGCTGCAATCTGTAGTAGGTTATATTATGGTCACGCACCCGTAGGCCTGCCCACAGCGCCTACGGTACCGTGCCGTGACACTATCTGTTCCGTAGCTCGGCCGTTCTGAGAAGTAATAAATCTTGGGGAATTATTTGCCTCGCTCTGTTATGTGCCATCTTCAGGAAACGCTTCTTCTGTCTTACTACATGTAACAACCGTGCAAATTCAAAGATAAAGGTTTAGCACATGTGTCACAACTCGAGGTCATGGTTCGAGACTGTCACGGCAAGGCCGCCGCCCGCGTCATGGATTGACTTGAAGGTACGGTATTGTATCGCAAGAGTCATGATGCTCATTTCAATCAAGTGTTTCGTGGACTTTATTTTCTCAATGGAGCAAGTTACAAAAAGTCGCCTGCTTACTGCGTACGCCTCTCATGTCACGTGTAGTTGTGGCTCGAGTCATTGGTTGCATTCCTCTATTCCAAAGCAGTATTCGCAATAAGCACTGCCACCAGTGGCTAGCTGAATGTGTGTAAGTGGCGTCTGCCTACGCCTCTCATGCCTAGTTCGAGTCATTGGCTGCTTTTTTTTATGTTGGATTTAGTTAAGCCGAGGCGTTCGAACGTGAGCTGAACCCCTCCGGAGGAGCAAGGAATCAGGAATCTCACAAACTTGACCATCACCGCGCCTCATTTCACCGTAAGTTGCTCGGCCCGTTTCGTATCTTGAGGCGACCGAGTTCAGCAACGAACAACAATTTTCCCTCACCAAGCGCAGACACCTTGGCCAGTATGGAGCGAGTTGAGATGACCATGACCACGCCGAACTGGCGTGCAAAAATGCGTATAAAAGGCACCGCCGACCTCCAGCTTCTTGACCCTCTCCATCTACATCACCAAACACTCACCCGCATCCGCTCGACCGCAGTCGCTCATACGCAGTCTTCAACTAAGCCACGACACTCGTAACATCACAAGGAGTCCTTACAGAACAGCCCTCACAATGTCGCAGAAAGTCCTTTTCAAGCTCCTGCCTGCTGCACCTCCAAGGTTTTCTGGCTACTTGCCAGCCTTTGCACATGCCTCCCGACTTGCTCTGCCCAGGGGAGAACCAAAAGCAGTCGGCAAACTCGAGCAGGAGAAAGCCATTTTGGCTGCGCAGAGGGAGGGAGTCATGTCAGTTAGACTATCCCCGGGCCAGCAATCCCCGGGCCAGCAAAAACCAACCAATGTCTTTCGAGCTGTAAAACGTGGATACTGACAAGGTAAAACCGCTGTAGGGATTTGGCACAATCGCTCTTCAATTCCCAGGAGGTCAGCGAGGCGTACCAGAATTTCCTGAACAATCCAGTCTTTGTCTATCTCGCGCGCGATCCAAAGTTGGACAAGAACAAGCAGGTGTTGAAAGAGTACTTTAAGGTAATGTGATTTTTTTTTCCATGTTTGCCTTTTCCCCCCAATAAACCACTGAACCAAGTCTAATCCGCACGATTTCCCAGTGCAACAACTACTTCTTGAATGTCCTGATTTCGAGCCGGGTGAAGCAGCTCGAGACCGTCCCCTTGGAAGAGCCTGCCACCCGCCTCTACGAAGAGCAAAAGATTGAGAGCTTGAAGAAGTACAAAAACACCGAATATGCCACCATGTTAAAGGCTTTTGGACTCGACCCCGAGAAGCTTGGCGAGCCGGACCAGGCGACGCTGGACTACGAAAAGTTCCTCATGGAGGACCCGCCCAGCCCGGATGCATCCAGCTATGCCCAATCCCTGGTTGCCCGAGCGGCCTGTGCTATTGTCAGTGGCCGCAATTACATTCTCCGACGACACAGCGGGAGGGAGGGAGAGAGAGATGTGGTGCTAACAAATCTTGGATACAGGGCTGGTCCTTGTGTGCTCGGCGGCTTTTCGACGATAAATTGACTGTTAAAGAGGGTAAAAGCTCACTCCCCCGTCAGTCCCTCCAGGTTCGCCAGTTTTTCACTGACAGTCACAGGCCCCTTCTGGGATTATGTCCTGCGTGCCAATGTGGCCCATCCGATTGAATACGTCACGGAAACCGGAGAGCTGGCTACCTACGTCTCAGAAGACTCTGTCTCCGCTACAGCGTTCAGGCTCGCTCGTAAGTGCAAAAACCAATTGCGAAAAAAAAAAGATCTCAACTTTTTGGTTCTTGAAAAGATAGATACTGACCGAGACTTTCTAAAAAAAAACAGAGCAGCTCAACTACCGCCTGGGCGACAGCAACGGGAACCTCCTCTGGAACGAAAAGACTCGAAAGTCCATCGTGGAGAAGTTGCGCAAGGGCCTCGAGGCCGAGTACAACTGCGCCGTGGCGATATTTACCAAAATCCACGGTCCGCTGCCCACGCCCATCAAGGGAGTCGACAAACATTGAACTCAACTCTAGCCATCACTCTCTGTTGTCTTTGTCGCACTTTCCCCCTTGTTTCTCTCTTTCTGTTCCCTTTTTACCCAGTATGACCCTGTCTGTCGCTCCCGTTTTTTCCTTAGTTTGATTCAATATTGGCTTTGCCTATATTTGCCAATTTCGCTCGCCTCGCTTGTTTCTTTGGCTTGACGTTGTGCCCTTTTAGCAGGTCGATAGGGGTTTGAGGGGGCCCTCTGGTGCTGTTATGTCTCTAGCTCACTCCAACTATACATGCAGTCTTTTCCACATGGGACGGTAGTCGTTGTTTTCCATTGATAGTGGTACCCTTGCGTGAACCAGTGGCTAGGTTTAGGTCTAGAATTCTCTCCGACGCCAGTCCTCGATGAGGTGCGGAGAAAAAAGCTTATCTCCAAACCAAGGCAAGGTAGGGTAACCTTAGTTGGGAGCCCGTCTCGGTAACCGGCAGTGGAAAGCCGTGGGTTTGGCAGCGTGACGACAACTACCGACGGTTACCCATCCGCTACCTTAGACTACCCCGCATGCGACACTGAAAACTGGCCCCTGAGGGTCCCAAACCCCCATCATGTCGAGTGCCAAGTGGCTCCGGCCCGTGCCGGGGTGGAACGAGCGGATAACCATTGCCATAGATACACGTGCAATGGCTGATGGGGACAGGTAGGGGAAGGGAAGTAGGTTGGAGGAACTGCGAGGTCTAAGTGGTCTGTCTGGTAATTAGGAGGAAAGACATGAAAAGCGCCCTTGTCCCACCCACCAGACATCCGCAATAGTAGAGACGAGACGCCGCGTCTTCCTTTTGACGACACGTCTTGACGTTGCACAAGGAACGGGGCGCCTAAATCTATATCCGCGCTTTTCTTCCAGGTCCAGTCCCTTGTTGGGGCTTGATCTGCCCCTCTGTATCTATTTCCCATTCTTCTTTTCTTTTCTTGTTACTAGCATAGCGGGCTATGTGGCTGGCCTAGAGACTCTGGCAGCGATCGGCTTACGCTACCACTATCCGAGATGGTGGGTCGATTTCCTAAAGCCTATATCTACGGCTCGTATTATTTGCGAGTGAGTAGACTGGGTGTTGGCTTAAGGTTTCCCCCTCGGCCGAAGTGGTCCGCCTTCACGTTCTGGCATTAACTAAGTGTTGATGTCTGTACCAGCGATTAGAATTTAAACGGCATTCGATTGAAATTTCGATCCCTAGACGAATTATCTCTTGGTAAGTTGGCAGCATACTGACATAAAACCATATCCCACCGCCAATGATCCTTCGCTTATTGTTCGGCAAGACTTGCCGTACACTGAACCTTTTGCACGCTGAACACTATTCAAACTCGCCAAGTTTTCCCTCGGGTTAATTGGCTCCCTGATGCTGACAGATTCCAAATGCCTACTCCACCTCGGGAGTTAGGAATTCATCACTAGTCTCTGACTCATTAGCAGCTGCTGATTTATCAGGAGCATCTGGTTTATCAGGAGTCTCCGGTTCGTCGGCAACAGCTAGTTCATGGGGGGCCTCTGCCTCAGGATATACCAGCACCTTCACGCCTGTGCCGTCGTGCCAAAAAGTGCCAGACAGCTCCTTGACTAGCGGGTTCTTCAAAACGTCGCACAAATCGACTCGTTCTCTCCCTGAGCCCACCGCCTTGTAGTCCTTGAGAATGGGCTTCTCGGGACTTTCCGGCTCCATCGGGCACTTGCAGCCAGCTAGACCGCCCTCCTTCGCCCGGCGGTCCTGGAAGAACTCGCCGCAGTTCTGGTGCGTGGCCAGCCACACGGCGTGGTCTTCGTTCCAATTGGCATGTTTAGCCTCGTAGGCCTTGTACTGGGTTATGTAATCGACCAGCGTCTCGAGGTTGACGTAGCCGCACTGGTCCATCCACTTGCGGACGAGGAGGCCGAACTGGCCCTGGTCGATGCGCTCGTCGAGGCGGAAGCGGTCAAAGTCCCACAGATAGCTCCAGTCGAGCGTACCCATGCGGAAGGTGAAGCAGAAGACGTGGTAGAAGTGCATCTGTGGCCACACCAGCGTCTCGGGGTGGTTGGTGTGGTCGATGCAGATGCGGTACTCTTCCGTGATGGCAAGGCCGTAGGGGGCGTTGCCCTTAAGACAGTAGCACTCGTCAGCGGCAATGCACCGGGCTCGCTGTGTCCGCGACCGCTGCAGGAAGACAACAATTTCAGGGTTGGATGACCGCACCATGGCGAGACTCTCGTTGAGCGTGGGCCGGTAGTCGCGCTTTCTAGGCTTCGGACCAGGCGGTTTATGCTCTTTATTGGGGCCCCGCCGCCGCTTTCCAGACGGCACTGGCGAGTCTCCAGTCTCGCCGCGGCCGTCGTCGCCGTCTTGGAGTGGTCGGCGAGTACCGACTGGGGCTGTGAACGACACCTGGCCGCCTGGAGGAGGCCGAACCGGTGCATGTTGAAGCGTGGGCTGAGTAGAATTAGATTGCGTCCCGTTCTCCGCAGGCGCGATGCTAGGCTTAGACACCAGAGCCTGAGCCTGAGCCTGAGCCTGAACTGGCTCAAAAATCGGAGGCGGAGCTTCAGGCTCTGTTGGAGTCTCGTCAACGTTGGCCATTGTCATGGGAGAAAATGCGGGTCAGCATCGAGGAAGACGACAGTGCTGATCGGTCGAGGGGGCAGTTCGTCCAAGATAAAATGCCGGAATTTATGATGCGCGTAAAGCCTTGACCGGCTTGGGTCGCCAAGCAACTGCCTTGAAGGACGACCAAGAGCGGCTATGATACAGCACGGGGAGCCGTCCGATGTGCTTTACAGGGAAGTGAGCTGGCGGAAATTGCTGAACGAAGGACGTTCCCACTTTCCCCACCGCGAACCAGCCACTGACGATTGCCCAAGATCACGTGCTTGAGCAACCCTAACCCCGCATTGTTGGTTCAATCCCAGTCCGAAAACACGTTTTTAGCCAAGACGCGATTTGCAAGTGGCATTCCGACGAGAACAGGACGGATTCAGGGTTTCGAGTACTCGTGAAGCGCAATGATGGAGACATTGCTCACTCGCCTGCAAGGTTCGGGTACTGTCTCCCTCGGCTTTGGGGCCAGTCGAGAACTTCCATTCCAAGAACCAGAGGCCAAATCCATTGTTACCGGTACCCACCCTCTGCCCCACTAAAATAATTACCATCATCCAATCACCTTTTCGCATATCGTCATCATGTCTCACTCCATTTCGAAGCCTAGCATCAGGCCGCCCAACCAGTTAGAGCCGAGGAGAGCATGCATGAACCTAGTTCGTGATCGATTATTAACTGTTCTTGTCTGACCAACGCTTCTCCTCGGCCACCCGCTCAGGCAATCGTCTTCACATCGCTGTCGATGGAGATCATGGTGCCCTGAGAGGGCGTGTACTCGAACCACTCGGCGATCAACAAACCCTTGGGCGACGTCTGTAAGATGGAGAACGGCAGCTTCTGCCCGTCGTGCGCGTGCGTCAGCTCCTGGACCGTGACGGTGCTAGTGTACTTGTCCGCCTTGACAATGGTCTGGCTCTCTTGGATCCCGGTGGGGTTTTCGCCGTTCACGCCCCTTTCCCAGCTGTCTATGACGGCGATACCGCCCGCCACGAAGCCGCTGGCGTCTGCCACCTTGATGGACACGGGCCCGCTGCCCGGCTCGACCAGGGCCTGAGAGGTCGTCGCCGCGGATACCTCTTGCTTCCCTGGGCCTGCCAGCGGGATTCCCGGGTAGTTCGTGCTGTCGTAGGCACGGATCTGCCGTGCGATGGCCATGCCCGGGTATCCCGAGGGGCTCGATGGCGGCGCGCTCATGTCGCCGTGCTCGGCGAACCACGTAAATGCTTCTTCGTAACCCTTTCGCACAGTGAGCACGACGCGCGCGGCGCCCGCCCGTAGAAACGCCTACCTCGTTGCGTCGGGATGTTGCAACGAACGGAGGAACGACCGGTTCTGCGGGACGTTCCAGAAGTAGCCGTGAAGAAAGAAGCGACATTCTCCCAGTCGACCGCCTGGTTGATGAACGACACTTTAGCCTCGTGCGCGGCGAGGCCGCTGCCGCTCCCGTTCTTGGACAGGTTGCCTCTATCCCCGGGCATGAGCTCGAAGTCCACGCCCAGAAACCATCTCAGCACGCACTCCATGATCTCGTCGTTCTCTTCGCGCCGCAGTGTCAACATATCGACGCCATTGACGCGCGCCTCGATGGCTGTCAGCTGCGCCTGCTTGCTTGTCCGCTCCGCATGATACTTGGCCTTCGCCGCCTCTTGCAGCGAGTTCCACACTGACGCCCGCCATCCGCGGAAATACTCGTCGGTGCGCTTGAGCGTGATGTCGAACTGGAAACTGCCGTCCTGGAACCCGCCCGACACATGCGTGATGTTGACGCTCCCCGTGCGGCCATGCAAGAGCTGCTGCCCGTTCAGACCCCGGAGAGTTGGGAACACGTTGCTGACATGGGCGGTGCGGCTCCATGTATCATCGGCGCAGCCCAGCACGTCGAAGCGCCGGTCGTGGTCCTCGTAGCTGAGCTGCGTGGTTAAGTCGACGTGGTCGATGGCGTAGCCGTCGGGCACTACAATGTGGGTCACGGTGGTGAAGATGTTGCTGCCGCTGCCGTCGGCGCCGTGCTTTTTTCCAACGGCCCCTGACGCGCTCAGGGCGGACCACAGCGGCAGCGGCCCTGGCGGGGTGGGCACCCCGTGCTGGATGCACAGCGCCTAGTACGAGCTCTCCGTCACCGATAGGTAGTTCTCGCGGAACGCAAACGCCTTCTGCACATCGCGTCGCAGCTCCTCCACCTCGCTGTAATCGGCGCGCATCGCGGCGCCTGGCTCAGCCACGGTCAGGTCGTACGTCAGCCGCAATCCGTAGCGGTACAATCTAACGCGCCATTTTCGCATCATCTTAATGTAGTCGACGCGCATGGGGTCCGTCTCGCTCGGGTTCTCGAGCGCGCACGACGACGTGGCTAGCGGTACATCGTCGCGCGCCGCGACCGGCACTGCCGCCGTCGAGATGGTCATCTTGTGAGCCTGTGTGACGCGCAACGACGCCGCATGTGTCATCGACGCCGCGTGCTTGCGGCTGTCGCCAGCCGACGCCGACTCGGGCCCCTGCGACCCGAACGCGGTGGCCACCGAGCCAGTCACGAAGCCGCAACCGCCGCCCGATGCTCCCGCCGTCCGTGGAGCCGGTTGCTGTGGGCGTTCTGTGACGACGTGGCCTGCGCCAGGTCGCTGTTCTCGGCCACGCCCGTCCTGCTGATGCTGCAGAGCAAGTCTGTAACGATGGTCGCGAGCTCGTCGCCGACGACGCTCCACTCCTGCTTGACCACGCTCGTCTTCTCCTTGGGTGCCAGCGGGATCGCCGCGACCAGCTCACCGCGCTCAAGGCCTGCCGGGGTCATCTCGATGCGCTCTAGGTTCAGCATCCCGATCGGCGACGTCGCTGTGTTGGTGTTGGATTCACCAGGGTACCGGTACTGGACTCAACAGGGCGTGGCTGCACGCCGAAAACTGGTGGTTCAAGTGATGGATTGTAGATGTCTGTTCTTCTCTCTAGCTTTCTGGTAGTGCCAGAAAGCCCGTTCTTATACTACTATTGTGGTGGCGAAGTGGGTGGCGAAGTCTCTATCTAGAACCTTCGAGGCCCTTCTGCTTGACAAATTCCAACAGTTGGCCTTGAAGGCGTTGATGGCAGCCGCCGACGAGCTGACGAGGTCGGCCACACTTTCCAGCTCGTCGGCCGGCGATGCACCGCCGCCACTCTGCGAGTTGGGTTTCCGGTCATCTTCGCTATCGCCTGGCTTTCGCTGGCTCAATTCGGCGAGCCGCGCTTGTCGCACTTTAGTGAGGGCATTTCCGAACTCGATCAGTTGCGATGGATGGATGTCTGCGAATGCGGATGCTGGAGGCAGCGTTGACGGAAGCGGCGTGCCTTCGAATTGTTTGAGGATTCTCCAGACCGATTCCAGTGACGGCACATTGCTGTCCTCGTCGCGCTTTTCCGTGTCCCCCTTTTTTGCTTTCTGTCGTTCTCCTAGTCGGCCAGGTGCGTTGCGTGTGAGGATTCATGTTCGCGTATGACTTGGTCCACCTCTTCAGGCTGGAGACCAAGTTGGCGGACGTATCCAGCCTCGAGCAGCGCTCGACCGCTACATCCGCTATCTCCGGACACCTTGAGCGGGACGTGAGTCACTTTTCTCAGGCTGCGCGTCGAATTTGACAAAGGGGCCGGCGCCATGATGTGGATATCGATAATTAATAATCATAGTAGGGAAACTGGCAGCGAACTGAGATTGGATGGGAAAGTTGAGGTAATGACGGCTGTTCTGTAATAATCGGAACTAGGCCCAAGCATAAACTAGTGGCGGGGTGTCTCTCTCTGCTGTGCCCCTCTCCTCCGCTCTGCCGAACTTACCGCAGCCGATCATCCCACTAAAGAAAGGTCGTGCTGTGCAGCCCTATTAAGGTTAACTCATCCAATGTACGCAGAAGTATGTTGCTATTGGCTTGTGCTTGGCGTGTCACGTTCCATCCCCCTCGTGCCCAGGTTGAGTAGTGTAGCTGACGCAGCTTCTGACGCAGCTTCCGCCACCCAATCTTGAGAGATGCCTATCAAGCCAATTGGGAGATTCAAGGCCTTTATCTACCCCGTACATTGGGTGCTTCTTTCTTGACCACAATTTACACGGAACAAGCAAAAAAAGTCTAGCTAGATTTTGAGCATTTCACCTTTGTAATCATACCTGCAGACGGCACGCCAAAGATCACACAGTTTCTGTTTTGACTGGCAGAAGAAGATGTGGGTAGCCCTACAGGCTCCACTATGGCCGGTGTACCTATGGCTACCATGTGTAGCTGCCTTATTAGGAATACAATGTGGATGGAGGCTGTCATCGCCTCCACTTTGTCACAAAAGATTTGATCCCATCCAGAGCGGCCCGGGGGGACCATAGCCTTGCCAGCCGTCCAAAGCGAGGAGGGAAGGAAATATTTCCTTCCAGCTCCCATCAGGGTAGGCAACATCTGATGGCAAGCCAAAAGCTCTTCCCAACTAGATTTAGAAACTTTGTGTGGAATGGCGGTCGGTAGCTCCGCCTAGACCTTGCCGCCTAGATCTTGCCGCCTAGACCTTGAGAATCCGAGTGGCTATGGTCTTTATCGAGACGACTACAATCCAATCCCTGAATTTTACGCCAGGCCAATAAACATTCAGGCATTAAAATTTAGAACTCGCTCGTGATGGAATCGAGGTCCACGAACATAATTCCCCAAGGAATTTATTAACGATCTTACGCTACTGTCTTGACTTGTGTTCCTAAGAGGATTCTAAGTCTTTGCCCCCGGACATGGTGACCCCCAGGCCAATTCTCAATACTCCTCCCTCACCTTCGCTTTCAAAACCTCTTCCCTTGAAGCATATGCAAGGAAACCCATCCAGTCAGCCCATCCAGGGAGCAAAATTGGGGCACGGGCCACTTACAAAAAGCTTGTACGCAGTTCTCAGCTTCTCACGAGTCGCGCTCCTTCCGAGCCTTTCTTCCTTCTTCGCCCAATCACTCATCAGTCACCTCGCACCGCTTGGGCACCGCACTACAAGCCTGCGCGGTGACGCGTCGATATCGCGAGGATGTCGTCGCTTGCTAGGTGTGCCTGAATTTTCGATTGCATGTGTCTCCTGCTAATTGACTAATTATTTGCAGGGCCCTTAGCGACCGCATCGTCACCATTTTCGTTGGTGCAGACATGGTCAAATTCACGATCCACGAGAACCTCATTTCAGAATCCAGCCCCTTCAGGCTGCCTTTTGGGGGGAGTTTGTCGAGCAAAATCTAACGACCTTATCGAGAATACTACTTACTCCCTTCATCTGCTACTAATACCCAACTGACTGTTTCACTCCTACATCCATCTCTTCCAGATTCAGCAGCTGCAATCCTTTCTTTCCGCGTCGCTGGCCGGGATCATGATTGGGTTGCCCTGATTGGGTTGTCCCCAAGTTGGGCGGGAATGAATTTCAACTTCCGGGTTAGGGTTGTTCTGCAATACTAGTCAGCCCATCTGTTCGCCCACAAGGCATTGAAGGCTCTGGAGGGTGATTGGTCCAGTACGAATACGTTGAGTGCACCTGGCTAAGCCACCACAGGACCTGACGTGGCTGCTCGAATCTTGAGCGGGGTTCCACCACTTCAGCGGGGTTCCACCACTTCAGCGGGCTTGAACCCACAACCATTTTCATCAACTGTAATGTGGTAACCCAAGTCCGAGCCCGACTCCGGATAGCCTGCGCCATGGCCGAGGTGCTGGGACTTGTGGCGAGTTTTATCGCCATCGGCCAGGTCCTCAGTGCCTTGCCCCAAGCCATCGACTCACTGAGGTCTCTGGCAAACATGAAAAACGACATTGTGGCCTTGATCAGCGAGGTAAATCCTGCCCTCGTCCCGGATCGTACAAGCAGTATTAACCAGTTCTAGCTCGAGTTTCTCCACGAAGCAAAGGAATATATGGACAGAGCCCTCGAGCCACTCAACAATGAGAGTGGACATGTCCTCGTCACGTCAGACGAGCCCGCCTTTTGTCGGACTGTCAAGGCCCAGCTCGAGGACGTCATGCACAAACTGCGCAAATTTCTCGCAGATTGCCACAGAGGGCTCGACAAAGACGGGAACCCCCGACCGCACAGAATTAAATGGGTGTGGAAGCGGAACAAAGTTGACAAGTTGTGCGCAGCGGCACGCCAGGCCAGACAGGATCTACACCTTGTCCTGGCTGGCCATATGCTCTTTATCCAGCAGTAAGCGCCTCTTATCCCCCAAGGCGAGAATGTACTGAGCGGCAGCAGCAAACAGGGAGACCGCCAGGCCGCGGCGCTCGAGAACTTGATGACTGTGAAAAGTCAAATCCAAGCCGTCGACGGCCAAATCCGCGAAAGCGACCAGTCTGTCAAGTCGCTCATGCAATCAGTCGACTCCAAAATTGACTGCGTCTCAGATCGCGTCGGTGCTCTGTCCGTGGCGCTCGCCCAGAAAGATACAGCCGATCCCACCTCTTCACCCGCACAGTCTTCGAATGACACAGATCGCACGACAAGAGCAGGTAGGGCCGAAGAAATGAATCTGAGAGAAGCCGATCGGCTGCTCGTGGAAGCACGCCGGAGTATGATGCTAGGCCCTATATCGCCCAATAGACTTGGACCCAGCTGCAGCAGCACCTGCCGATGCCGATGCCACAGCCGGCGGCGGAACCTGAATCCCACTCCAGAGTGGGTCAAGTCCGCGCTGGGCAACATCGACATACACCAGAGCAGTGGAGGGGCGTTTCCATTTTCAAACCATGGCTGCGACAACCGGGACTGCCTGCGCCAGAGTTCCCAGACCGTCGGCCTCGGGGTTCGATACCGCTTTCCCAGCTGGGTCGCCAGCCGAGAATTCCAATTCAAGGTCGACTTTGGTACCCAGGATCGTCAACATGGCCCTTCTGTGTCTATTCGCGTCCCTGTTATCGTCCTGTCGGACCATGAATTGTGGAGCGCAGTCCGCACGGGTGACGTGAAAACGATAGCGGATCACCTCAAACAAGGGACCTGGTCCATACACTCTGTGGATGAAAACGGGGCTTCGCTCCTATTCGTAAGGTTTCCCCATAGTATTGCCACCCCGGAATCCCCTGATTGACTCATGCAACCTTCAGGTTGCTCTCTTATCCCGACAGCTCCAGCTTGCAATGCAGCTTATACACTGGGGAGCCGTGCTAGACTCTAAGTAATTACAAACTCCCAAAATTGACCGGCGTCGGGCACGAGGTAATGGGTTGGCTAATATAGGTTTAACAGATCAACCTGTTTGGCACGGGATATACTAAGATATCAATACGACCTGGACAAGGGCGGCAAGCTGTCCAACTTGGCAATACTCCAGAATATCGCCTCCGCCGGACAGGACGATGACGGCGACGACGACGAGCAAATGGTCATACATGAGACCCACCTGGCGGCCAAGGGGCTCTTTGATATGGGGCCCGAGCTGGAAAACGACCCCGAGAGCATCAACAGCCGGGACTCGAACGGCAAGGCGCCGCTGCACTGGGCCTGCAACGGCGGCAACGCGGGCGTGGTCAAGCTTCTGGTGCGGGAGGGGGCCGACGTCAACGTGGCGGATTTCAGCGGGCAGACGCCGCTGATGACAGCGGCCAGCCACGGCGCAGTGCCCTGCGCCCGCGCTCTCCTGTTTGAGGAGGGTGGCCGCCGCCGCCGCACGTGCTGCCAAGTCGACAGGCTCGACACCCAGGGGCGCACCGCTCTGCACTATGCCGCAGCGTCGTCGTTTGCCGGGGGCGGCGCACACGCCGTCATGCGGCTGCTGCTCGACTGCGGTGCCGATCCTAGGCGGTGCAACCTGGGCGGCGAGACAGCGCTGCACGAGCTGGCGTCATCGTACACTGCAGCTCTCCCGAGCACAGAGCTACTTCGACGAGTTGAGATACTCCTCAACGCCGGGGCCGACCTGGAGGCTGCCGACAAGTGGGCCTACACGCCGGCGCTGCAGGCCGCAACTGAGGATAACCATACGGCGCTGGGGGTGTTTCTGGGGCTCGGTGCACGGGCCGACGTCGTGGACATGGACAAGATGGGTATGCTGCATTTCGCAGCCCTCTTTGGCGGGACCGACACGATCCAGCAGCTGAGGGATGCCGAGCTGGTGGGCGTCGATGTCGAGGCACCGAACTACCAAGGCGACACGCCGTCGGCCCTGTTCATCTGGCGGCGGCGGGCGCGGCTTTGGGGGTGCGAGACGTGGGTGAGGGTGCCCACTACGGGAGACGCCGAGTTGTTTGCGGCCCTACTCTACGAGGTGCAAAAGCGGAACGGAGATCAATGGGTTGGTCGCGGTTAATCGGCGCCATTCATACGCGTGCGTGATCTGCATTAGGCGGATTTAAGGGTATACCTACCTAGAGCTAGCACACCGTACACTGTCTCCAACAGCAGATCAAGACGAATTCTCGTTCCTTGGTTTCTAGCTTAGAGCATATTTCACTACGAATAAGCCTCAACCTTGAGCTTCAAAACCGTCCTGCCCCTCCTACCAGCAGTGGCAACCGCAGCTCTGACACTATCACAAAGCCCACCGGGCCCCGACACGACAACGCCGACGCGCGCCCACCCGGCGTCTTCCTCGTCAGCAATCAGCTCGTCGACGTCGAACCGGCGGCCGACGCGGACCTCCTTGGCCGCGACCACCACACGGCTCAGGTCGACCGCATCAACCAGGCAGCGCGCAGACCCTACCACGCTCCACACCAGCTTCACGTTCCAGTGCTGGTAGCCCGCCCAGGCTAGCACGCCCGTGATGCCGATGCCGCCCGCGACGAGGAGCACGCGGTCGCAGCGCAGCACCTCGCCTCTGCTGCCGCGGTTGCTGTTGGAGTATGGCCCGTCGGGCAGCGTGAGCAAGCCGCCCCGGGACTGCAGGTGCTTCGTCATGCCCGCGGATTTTCTTGATGAAGAGCGTAATTCCAGCTGTGTCGACATTTGCGCCGCCCGACGCTCCAGAGGCACTGTCTACCCGTGCCACCGCGAAGTCCTCTTGCTGCTGCTGCTGCTGCTACTTCTCCTGGTTCTTGAGCGAGGAGTCGCCGGCCTGGCTCTCAACAAACTCCCCAGCGCTAGCTGACGACAAGGCCGACGACACCGATGATGGAGGAGCATGTGCGTCGGAACGACAAAAATGGGTGGTTCTCCCACGGACGCAGCGGACTCAGGGTCGGGAAGCAGACGTATATACATGCACGCCCGGCTCCGCGCCCCAGCGTACATTAGCAACATCAACCCGCACATACCCTGCTCCGAGATTCGTTACCGTCGCGCGCGCGCACCCCATTCTTCACCACCCGCACCGCTCGCACGACCTAGTCGAACCTCCACACGGCAATCGCAAATTACAGCCAGATCTAGTAGCTCGGCGTGTCCGAGATCGCCATGCTCATACTCTTGTACCACAGCACGACATGAAACCAGCACCCAGCAAGCACGACGACCGCCAGCAGGATGCCACGGCCCTGTCTCCGGTGACGGTCTGCTTCCAGCTGAACTTTAGCTTGGAGGCGGCGACGGCGTACTCGGCGCACTTGGAGCTCATGCACCAAGCCACGGACGTCAGAAACGGCGTGCTCGCGGCATAGCAGGATGGGGTGGACGTCGACATCATCGACATATCGGAACCATGGCTAGAGTCTATCCTGTCGGGGCACGCCAGCATGTACGACGTGAAGGACCGGAAACACGGCTCGGCACAGAGAGGGTCGTAGGGGAGGTTGCCGTAGCCGACGAAGAACTGCACAGCGGAAGCCGGGCTGGTGATTGCGGCCAGAATGGCGGCGAGGCACGACACAAGTATCGGCCGGAACAGATATGAAGCACCCATGGTTCAGAACTCGAGGGTATTGATATGTACTGAACTCTGCAAACCGATGAATAGGGGCGATCAAGGACACAGCCGCGGCCAGAACAACTACTTAGTAGACATATCATATACGGTCACAGTCTCCTGCTAGGCAAGTGTGGGTAGGTGGGCTAATATGAGCGAGTTTCTAGAGTGAGACAGGGGTCGGAACATGTGCACAGGCACAAGTTTGTCCTGATGCTGCAATGTCTGAAATCCTGCATGATTGGCCTACATAGCATAGAAACCTGGATGTGCACAGGTAGCGTGATTAACGGCCAAAGAGGCAGGATTTGAAAGTCTCTTGATGAAGCTAACAATCCAGCCCCTGTGGAATCGAGCGTAGGCAGCGATACCATCCCTAAGTACCTTAGCTACTTACCTGCATGTGCTTGGCACCCATACCCCCTCTCTACAACTCAACAACCAACTTAGCAGCACTCACACCGGCCACACACTTCTCCAGCGCCGTCTGGATATACTCCAACCCCTTGCCCACAACCAGCGGCGGCGGGAACGGCCTGAGCCTGCCGGAGCGCAGCGCAGGGGTAACCCAGTCCCTCCAAACAGGTGTCGCCGCGTCGTTCACAGCAAAAATCATTCCCGCCTGAACATTCTCTGGGATCCCCTCAGACGGCGGCGGGTGGACGCACGCGAGGTGGCCACCTCCCAAGCGCGCCAGCACGGCGAGGTCGTGGGCGTACGTCTCGGGCGAGCAGACGGCGTCGAAGATGCCAACGAACTCGTTTCCGGCCTCATTAACAGCGGCGACAAGCTTGTCGGCGAGGTTCGGGTCCGCGCGGTCGAGCACGGCCGTCGCGCCGCACGTCTTGCTAAACGCGGCGTTGTGCGCGCCCGCGACGGAGACCACGGTGATGCCGGCCGCGGAAGCCAGCTGCGTCGCCATGGAGCCGGCCGACGACGCGCCGCCGTAGACGATGAGAGTTTTGTCGAGGGGTGCTGCCGGGTCGGCGAGGGATGGGTAGGGCAGCCCGACGGCGGGCGTCGGCACGCCGGGAAGCGCTATGCCAGGCTTGGTGACGCATAGGGCGCACACGGCGGCTTCGAGCACGAAGGGTATCACGGCACCTTCTGTGAAGGGGATCGCGCCGGGTAGGATGGCGGCCTTGTTCGCGGGCACGGCCGAGTACAGGGCGTAGGCGGCGTCCTGGGGCTTGCCGGTGGTCAGGTTGATGGTGTGTCTGTGGGTTTTGTTTGTTAGCGTCACTCTTAGCTGGCTGTCTGTTTGCTGGGGAAAGAACTTGCCCGATGACGCGGTCGCCGACCTTGAAGCGGCCTTCCTGCGCGACCTCGGATCCGACCTCGTGGACCACGCCGGCCACGTCGCACCCCAGGATCGCGGGCCACACCTGCACGAAGACGCCGGCGCTCGCCATGTGGGTGTCGAGGGGGTTGATGGCGATGGCGGCGTTCTTGACGATGATCTCGTTGGGGCCGGCCTTGGGCATTGGCGCGTCGCTGACCTCGAGGGGGCTGCCAGATTTGTGGAGATATGCCGCCTGGTTGGCTGCCATTGTGGTCTTGGGCTTGTTGTGCGTTGGGAGGTGAGGAGAGGAATCGTTAGTGGATGATAGGAAGAAAGTAAGTAAACAAGCGATGAGGGAACGCCATGTCTCTTGTTATATACCTACCGGGCAATCAAGCGGACGTTGGCTGACATGGCTTTAAAACTCGAGAAGAAAACATGCTGAGATTACGAAGCTCAAATGGATAGGGTGACCAAGCCTGTTGCCTGTGGAGACGAATTTGTAAGGGACAAGAAAGGGGCTGACATGAAGTTCCAGAACCCTGCATGCCGTTCCCAAATCCCACATGCCGTTCTCAAATCTCATATACCGTTCTACGTGTCAGCAGTTTGACACTCTCAGGGACTAGTCCTATCCGAGCTAGCGCAGCCTGCAACGACATCGAACGGTGACTGTTGGTAGACTCATTCTGCTTGGTGGATTTGTGGCTTGGATAGGTGACCGCAAAAACCAACATGAGTGCAGACAATCTAGTCGAGTTCAACGCCCAGCACGGCGTGCTCATCTGCCGCGAGTGCCACTACGCCATCCAGAAGAGCGCGCTAGAGAGCCATCTACTACGGCATAAGATCTACCGCGGCCGGCGACGGCGACTGTTGGCTTCGCTCGCTCACTTTGACGTGCTCGACCCCGACGACGTGCAGCTCCCGCCTGCCGGCTCTCCTCCGGTTATCGGACTGCCCGTCATCGCCGGCTACCGATGCACGGCCGCCGGGTGCGCCAGTCTCTGGGCCAGCGCGAAGCGCATGCAGCGCCACTGGAGCGAGACACACGGCGTTGGCGATTCCACTTCGGACGATGTCGCTTTTTCCCGGCCAGCGAGTCTGCAGACGTTTTTCAGGGGGACCAAGCTGCGGTATTTTGAGGTCGTGCTCCACTCTGATGATCAAGACAAGGTTGACCAAGCCCCCGGTGCCGTTGTCGATATTACCGGCAACAACCCAGCGAGACAAATCGAAGATGATATTACAGGCAGCACTCCGGAGCTCGGAACAGCAACATCGCCAGACCTGGAAATGCTGACATATTTCCACTACTTCACCACCACCACCGGCTTGACGCTCCCTGTCTCCAGCACAGGATGCACGCGGAAGTACTGGCAAGCCGACGCCGTCGCGCTTTCCCTCCAGCACTCCTGGCTGGCGTGCGGCCTCCTCGCCATTTCGGCAAGCCACATGGCCACCGTTTTGAACATCAACCGAGATGGGACGAGCGTGAAGGGACACGTAGCCCAGTCAGCGCGGTATTTTGAGCAATTCTCAGCCGCGGCCCGGGTCGAGCTGAGGAAGCGTGACAGCGACAGCAGAGACGCCCTCAGGCTCGGCGCGCAGATTTTGTGCATACAGCGCTGTTTGAGCTTGCTCTCGGCACCAGCCCTCGGAGAAGAGGAACACCCGCAGCAGTCGCATCTTCTTCAGCTGCGCTCTTTAGTCAGAGCAATCCGTGGCTGCACCGACGCAGACTTTGCTCTCCGCTGCTGCTCTACCAGGGGAAGTAACGATGAGGATGGTTTATCTGACGATGACGAAATATCAACACCGGACGAGGGCGCAGCAGCTGAAAATATTCCAATTAGACGAGAGCCGATGGCAGCATCCGCGGGCGGTACAAATTTGAATACGGCCATCAACAACAACACGCCGCCCGCGCTGGCCAACCACTTACGCACGCTCACGTTCCGCATGTCGACGGCAGTGGCCAAGCCCGACAGCGCGCTGGATTTCTTCGCCGCGCTGGCCGCCGTCGACGCGCTGGCCGAGTGCTGCGCCGTGAGCTACAAGCCCTCCGCAAACGATGACGACAGGCCGGCCGCGACGTGGGCTGGCATGGCGGCGTGGTGGGCGGGCCCCACGAGCAGCGTGTCGGACCACTTCAGCGAGATGGTGTGGCGGCGCAACGCTGCGGCGCTCGTCGTCGCCGCACAGTGGTCGCTGCTCGTCGAGCGCGCCGAGCGCCATTGCTGGTTCCTAGCCGGGGCGGCGGCCTGGGTGCGGCGTCTGGTTGTCAAGCACCTCCCCGACGACGCTGGGATTAGGAGCCTGGTCGAGGATCTTCCTGCCGTCTGATTATAAGGCACGGACTAGGCCCAGTCGAGTTAAACTAAAGTTTGTCATCTCTCCCAGAACTGTCGACTACACTATTACAACGAGGGACTAAATAAGGGAAGGGGCATGTTTAGCTAATGCAATAGTCTTAGGCTCCTATTCTAGGAGAGTCCTGTCGCCAAATTGTAAGAGGTTAGAACGGAGAAATTTCAAATTAAGGCTTTGGGATTCCGTATTAGACCTAACTAATTGGTCTATACTAATGGGTTTTGGGAGCCGCCGCCTCCCTCAGACAGAAAATTTTCGGGCGATCGACAAGGGGGCAAGCCTTTTTTTACAATAGCCCTTGGATAGTTGTCGGCTTATTACTTTGGAAGAGAGGAGTTTTGGAAACATTATCAGTCTTGAAAAGCCTTCATTGGGACTTCGTGCAATGAGCGAGGGCTTTGTGATTCTATAATAGGCATTCCGATAGCTATCAGCTCCCTCGGCGACAAACCCTGACGGCTAGTCGTCAGATGCTGAGGCCTTTCAAGGGTTGGACTACACGTGCCAAGAGGGAAGTACAGTAGCCAGAGGCCCCGTCTCGGTTCGGAGATGCATCGCCTAATTAATTGATAGGAGTAGAACGAGAGCAGGTAACCAGCCCCACTTGTCTTTGAAGGTCCGCCCAGGGGTTATCGAACAGCTAGTTCTCGCTGCCGGGCAAGGAAGACGAAACAAGAATATTTGCCACGGTCTCTCTGACTGGTGTGTCTGGGCTGGAAGGAATCTGGAAGCCCGGTTTGCCTAACAGGTTGTCGGCCTTGATCTTGTTGACCCTCGCGAGATCTGCTGGAGACAGCTCGGAGGGCGCCTTGCCCTTGTTCGCCTTGAGCTGGGCTTGCAGCCACCCGGGGAATTCGGGAGACCAGCTGAGTTCAGGTAGTAGTTGCATCCTGGTGACGAGGTACCTGATATAGTCTTCGTCGTGGGGTACTGCCTTGGTTTTGCCTACCGCGTCTCAGTCCACCACGTACAGGGCGGCCATGGGCTAGGCCAGCGCCAACACGATCTACCTCACGGCGGTGTTGTAGTCGTGCGCATAGCCCTGCCGCCGGAACTCGGTGGTGCCGCACCCCTCGTTGGTATAGTTTGTTGACAGATGCCTTTCGTAGTGTACACCCCCTAGGTTGTGCTTGATGCCGAAGCCGAACTTCACCACTTCCTTCAAACCCTGTTCTTCCCTTTTGCTGATATGAGCGAGGTGTCACGGCACGGCGGTAGGCGCTGAGGCCCTACGGGTGCGTGACCATACTATAACCCACTATAGAATTGCAGCCTGACGGCTTGTAATTCTGGCACCCTTTTGGAAGGTGTGGTGCAGCGGTAGTGGGTGTTGCTAAACGCCGTCACACGAGGAAGTCTTTCACTTGATGTTCGGTTTCGTATTGTCCTCCACCATCTCAACCGCATTCTTCAGCTTCCCTTCGGCGTCAGTGATAGCCATGGCCCACACGCTCTCCCTTCGCTCTTTGGGTAGTAAATTATATAGAGGCTTCTCCCAGTAGAAGTCGGAATCTTACCCACCCAGTGCGCGTCATAGAATGGAAAATTTTCTTTCCTACTAGGGGTGATTTGCACGTGATGCGAACAGCCGTTGGTCACCTTAATATCGAAGTACTTGTTGATAGCCTTGTAGACCTTCCTGAGCTGGTCTTGCTAATGCTGGGAAGCGTGGTAGGGTCGTGAAATCTCAACGCGCCAGAAATTATCGCTCCCTTCGACATTCTCCTCTTCCAAAGACGATGAAAATGCGCCGCCGCCACCCCCACTCTCGAACCAAGTGACTGCCCGGGTATTGGAAGGCATGGATCAGTAAGACTGTCAGTTGCAGGCAGTTATGAGTAGTTGTGAGTAGTTTTAAGCAGGCCGCAGTTTTTTTTGTATTTTTAGCCCCATTACATAATCAGAATTAAGGAAGCCAGATTTGCTTCTTATTATAGAGATTTGAACGATTTGAGCGAATCTACGGCCCTGAGCTTTATTTACTGCATTTAGGAGTATGTTAACCTTAGCGACGGCAGCGAGGTGCAATTGCACCGCAATTGCGTTGCCAGCGCTTGGAGCGGTGTTGCCAGTGATTGCGGTAATTTTGTCTGTAAAATGTGGTATTTTCCTGGGCGGTGAGCTGTAAAGCCTTGGCGCCAATGTGCCTGCAGTACGTGGGGACGTTTAACAGTACGTGGGGACGTTTAACAGTACGTGGGGACGTTTTAACAGTAGCAGGAGACGCACTCTATATCAAAAAGATCACACAGGACTAGTTTGTTGCAAAGGAGAAGAAGCTTGTTACCGTTCTCACAATATGTTCCGTCCTCGAGAAGAAAGGGTCGGAAGTGCCCGCCAGTGAACGAGAGACATTATCCGGACTCTCCATATCCTCGAACCTGGTGACGTTCTAAATAAGAAGAATGGAGACCGAATTCGATGTGCCTAGATACCCGATCAAAAATTCGATCGGCAACCAGACAGTGAATGCTTGTTTGCGGCTAAACGCCATTGTGGCTACCGAGTTTGCCACGCCCTCGCCAATGCCAGTCCAATTATTGCTGGCCGTTTCAGGTTCCTGCGCCGCTTATTGCATATAAACAACTGCCATATATACCACGCCCATAATTAGCACGACAATGCGGAGCGAGACGGTCCCAAATTTGTCCCGCTCCTCCACCCTCCCTCCTCTCCCCGCTCCCGAGAGCCGTGCAATTATCTTTCCTGTGCCTGCAGCCGAACCCGAGCAGCAGCAGGCAAATAATTAAATTAGATGCAGTCCTTTTTTTATTTGACGGGTGCGGAGACGGTAGCTGGTCTGGCAACAACTGGGCCAGTAAAACTCCCTTCGCTTCAATGTGCCTAAATATGGCCCACGTGTGTTTTTGTACTGTCTACACCCCAAGATTACTCTTTTTGGCGTTTCACGATCATCGTCGATCTTCCTTTCAGAGCCATCCTTGGCACACAGCCGTTAATTCCTATTCGATGGACGAGCAAAGAAGTCTCCGGAGCCCACTCTGCATCCACCAATCCCGGACCTGGGATGGACGCGTCCACCACGTCGTCACCAGTTCGTATATATATATATATGGCACTTCATACCGGCAGCCATGGCTATAGTGTGCCTCAGCTGTCTAGTCTCGGAGGCTCGGAAGGCGGCCGAATCAGGTACCCTTTATAAAGATGAGCATGCTGTCCCCCGCTGGACGCTCTTCCGGTCGTTTGCCACTTGAGTAAGGAAAAGGTGTCAGGTTATTTTTCTTCTGGTTCGAGACTGGTTTCCCCTCAATCCCTCTCCGTAATACCACGCACACGCCCAAGAGCACCGTTTTTAATATTCCAAACAACAAACCCCACGGAAGAATGTTGGCCATCATCCCGGCGCTGCTCCTCCTCCCCGCCGTGCTGGCGGGGGTGGTGCCCGTTCCCGCCGCGGCGCAGCTCGAGCTCGACGCGCGCGCCGTGTCGCCCAACAAGACGTGCGGGCTGGTGCAGGCGGGCGTCAACCTAGGCTATACGTGCCCGGGGGACTTTGCGTGCTGCTCGCAGTACGGGTACTGCGGCACCGAGGACTCGTTCTGCCTGACCACGGCCGGCTGCCAGACCAGGTACTCCAACGGCACCAGCTCCTGCCGCGCGCCGCGCTCCGGCGTCACCATCTCCGTCGATGGCACCTGCGGCACCACCGGCATCGGCAAGGCCGGCTACCGCTGCCCGACTACCGGCGCGACCTGCTGCTCCGTGTCGTACGTATTACCATCAAGCGTCACCACCTGAGTCCTTGAAGGGGAAACCCGAACTGACATAATTACGCCTGTCATGCAGAGGCTATTGCGGCAACACGACGGACCACTGCGACGTCAACAGCGGATGCCAGGCCGGATTCGGCACCTGCACGGGCACCAGGGGTCCCAAGCTGTTCTAGTCTAGGGGTCCTGACGACTCCCCGGCGGCTGCGGATAGAATCCAAAATCATTTTTCGTAAATATTCGGGTGCGGCTGCATGTGGGGATATCTCAGGGGGCGACTCTGCATATAACCTACTTGATACATCAAAATGGGGTAGAAGAATAGGAATGAGAAGAAAAAAAAGGACCGGGGTGGCTTCTGCCCTTGGTATTCAGCCACCATGCCCGGATGTCCACCCCAATTTGCGGCGTGGGTGTTTTTGACGTGTATTGATACCAGTGTGTGATGTGGGTGGCATCCAAGAGATCAAAAGAGGTCGCAAGCGCCTAAATTTGACCACCAGGACTAAAATTATTATCCCCTATGATAATTATCCCCTATGATTGCCTCGGGATGCCCATAGAACGACCTACCCCACTACCTGGTGCACCCCACAGCCATAACAGCCACTAGCAGCTAGCTATCAGTCATCCTCAGCAACTAGCTATCAGTCGTCCTCAGCAGCTCGCTATCAGTCGTCCTCAGCAGCAACCTCCTCAACAACCACAACATCATCACAACCGCACCCCTGCCCAGCACCAGTAGTAGTAGGGGCAGCAGTCGTCGTGGTCGGCCGCGGCAGCGAGGTCGGACAGGGCAGATAGACGACGCGGGTGGCCGTGGCGCAGCCGGTGCGGCAGGCGCAGTTGGTGACGGTAGTCGTCGGGACGGAGCCGAGGCCCACGCACGAACACGGCCACGTCAACGTCTGGAGGATAATGCACTGCGGCTCGGCGCAGACCCGCGTAGACGGCGCGCACACTTCCGAGCGCACCGTCGTCGTCACCGTCGGGCATGACGGCGAGGCAATTCCGGATGTTGACGAGGTCGCGAGCGATGATGCTAGGCTGGGATCAATGTTAAAGAGGAGTTGTGGAAGAAGATGGCTGTCTTGGACAGTGGGGAATTCTGCAATGAGTTACCTGCTGCAAAGCAACACGCTGATGAGAGCTCGGATACTCATGTTCTGAGTTCGAGGGAAGTTGTTGGGTGAAAACGTTTTGCTTTTGGATTTCTGACCACTGCGGAGACGGCGATGCTTCACTTCGCGTGCAAACCGATCGCCAGAAAACGTAGCTACAGCTAGCGAACGACTAGGCCTGTTACTTAATATAATTCTGATAGCCTGATAATTACTGCGGAGAGGGGCGGCGTTCATTCCTCGCACATGTCTGCCACATTCCCCGCGGTGACATCCGGATAATTATAGACAAAGAATAAATTCGACGCCTCCAAATACGTATTCCACCGCGAGCGGGGATCGTGTGTCATGTGGCGGCGGTTGTGGAACTATCACAAGCATCCGTCACTTTGTTCATTGCTCCCCGGCGGCCTTTCTTCGGTAGTCTAGCCATCCTGTCGAGGCATCACCGAATTGTTGACTCGGGGATCCACGATGCAATCATGTGAAAGAGCGTTTGGCCTACCAGCAACGAGATTTGTGTCAGGCAGGGAGCGATTTCCAATCGGGTTAAGTATTGAAGAAATATCAACAGATTCAACTTCAATAATCTGTCGCTTCAAACCCTAAGTAACAAGCCGGGACGTACAGTTCCAGCCTACACACAACGTTACAAGTCCAAGACGCCTATTCAAATCCACACCTCATCATCCGCCCGCTTGTCTTCCAAGTGAGATAGGATCTGGCTGTAGTCCTTGCAGACGTGCTTCGCGTCCCAGCCGTCACTGCCGTCAAAGCCAGGCGGGAACGTGGTCTGCTGGCCCTCGAGGGCCATGTCGCCGCAGCACATGATGCTCTGCCGCAGATATTCGAGGCAGTGGCTCAGATGCCACGGGCCGTCCGAGGGGAGAAAACTGAGCTGGTTCGATGAGTAGGCTGCGAGTGCCCCGGAAATGGAGTGCAGGCAGTGCAACTGGTGCGTCATTGATGTCGTAAATGTCGAGTTTGGGTGAGATTTGAGAGGCGTGGGGAGATTGTTGTAGCCTGCCGTGTCGTTCATTCGGACGTATCCTAGCCCTTCTGTTGCAGTGAGTCACTAATGTCAGCATTGTCTCCGCGGCTTATCGATTGAAGGGGTCGGGTTTGTTTACTTGGAACGATGCCCAGCCACTTTTGATGGACTGCTTCTGTGAAGAACTCGGATCCGTTCTCCGGTATGAAGGCCGAATCGGGTACAAAAGACTTGATCTGCTGCGATACTGGCGGCAACGAAAACAGTCAGCATGCGTCTGCATACCCAGCTACCATAGACTCTGTGGCACGCGAGAACTCACACTGGGGAGCGAATCCAGTGATGTCGCCGGTAAACTCGAATGCCGGACTTGGGTGTTTTTGTTTGTCCCACCCGCGCTCGAATAACAACCCCACGATTATGAGCAATAATGCCGTGTCTAATAGCGACCTTGCTGTCATCACGGCCGTCCATAATCGTGTTCTGCTATCAGTCGACGAGACTCTTGCTGTCATGTCGCTCCATGTCTTTTCCCCGTCATTGGATCCGAGGAGTGAATCGCTCGATTCGGCTTCCGCGTCATCTGCAGCGTCGCGAGCCACACGAACGCTGATGAACCTTGGTGACGGAAGGGAATGCATTTGTGCGTGGTGTTCAGCAACCGATGGTTAATCAATGGCCAATGTTGTGCTGTCAGCAAGCGAGGACAGCTCAAGGAGCCTGCAAGATTGGATGAGAAAATCGGGACGGGATTAAGACAGATAGAGGATTGCAAGACTGGAAAATTTCAGGTCTGACCCTGCAGATCAATGGGGTGGTGGACGTACGACTCCCAAGGTTTCCCAAACATTGGGCGTTTCAACGTGGTCGCCAGACACCCCGGCCACCAAACAAAATGCTCAATGGGTTGGTTTGGTGATACGAGCCGCGCGGCCACGCGCGACGGCCATGCGTGCCCGCGCATCGTTTAGTTGGGCCCGGCCACAAGGCCAGGCCTGGCGCAGCAGATAGGCTTCTAGACTAATCCGATGGTCTGGATCGAGGCCGAAGATCACCGTGGCGCCGCACCTTTGCATAATTAACCTAACCCACCTTCAAGTAATTGCCTTACGTAATACTCAGGGTTCAAAATTTGTTTCATCAATTATTTGGAAAGGGTGAAAACGATAAGCAATCGGATTGGGGCGGGAATGAAGCCCCCTATTTACTCTGCCAACTGGGAAGCTCTTTCCAAAATCAGCGACTCGTCGAACACCAGCACCCCGTTCCCATTGTCCTGGCCTTCACGGCCCGAAAGGGAAGGAATATCGGATGTTGGAGGATCTCCGAATCACGTGGTGATTGGCTCCTTCAACTGGGCGCTAGCACAAAAATGGAAGAACCTCTGCGGATCACCTAAAACATGCCCAAGCTGGCAAACCCAGAAGCTCGGCACCTTCTCCATCGCCAGTCCGCACTCTGCAGCTCAAATGGCCGCAAGCAATGGCCAACAGTTTGACCTCCAGGTTGCACGCAACAGACCGGTCGCCCTCGCACCGGCGCCCGCCAGGTCTGTGGGAGGCACCGCGGCAGAATCTGACTCATCGCGTCTTGGCGCCAAATCCAATGAGCTTCATCAGCTTACCATGGCCTTCACTTGCCAGACTTGTGCAAAACGCAAGGTCAAATGCGACAAGGCGAATCCCATATGTTCCAGCTGTCGCAGGGGCAAGCTCGAGTGTTCGTATCAGCCGCCCCCTCCACGATGGCGAAAGAGGAAATTGGACGACGACGTCGACGTGCTCGCCAGGCTCGCTCGATATGAAGTCATTTTGCAAAAGCACGGCTTATTGGAAGCTGCCGATGATGCCCAGTCCATGGTCGTCGCCAAAGGGGAACCGCTGCAGGAGCCGATATCTCTCCATTGGAACGAGCCTGCAGCCTCGGGAACAGGCAAGCTTTTGGCCGGCCAAGGGACGACGAGATACATCGACAGCAGTCTCTGGCGAAACCTAGGAGATGATCAAACGCACCCCCTGTCCGATGACGACGGCAACGGCAGTGACAATTTTGAAGAGAGACAGCTTGCAGCTTCTGGAATTTCTGGTGGTCCGGGTTACGCGTCTGACCCCTTGACGGAAGCGTTCGTGGGATCCCAGCAGCTAGAGAACCTTGTCCGCTATCACCCGACACACGCCCTAGCAATAGCATTGTGGGAGACGTACGTCGAGAACGTGGAGCCCATTTGCAAAGTGCTACACATTCCGTCGACCTTTGAGATGATCAAAACGGCTTCGCAGCATCCAGAAACCGTGTCCAAGTCCAACGAGTGCCTGATATTTGCGGTATATCACTTCGCCGTCTTCTCCATGACGGACGAAGACTGTTTAAAGAAATCGGGGCAATCGCGTGCCGTATTGCTTCAGCGATATCAGTTAGTGACAAGCCAAGCTCTAGTAAAGGCGTCATTTCTCAGGACAACCGACATGTCGGTCCTGCAAGCTCTTGTCCTCTTCCTCATCCCCTGCCGACAGTTCTATGATTCCCACACCTATTGGATTTTGACAGGGGTTGCCGTCCGCATTGGACAGCGTCTTGGGCTTCACCGTGACGGAGAGAAGCTGGGCTTGCCGCCGTTTGACGTGCAGATGAGACGGCGCCTGTTTTTCCAACTTCTTCCACTTGATGGCAACGCCAGTCAAGTATCAGGCGCAGGATTTTCTGTCCTGCCCGACTCGTGGGACACCAAACAGCCTCTCAACATAGATGACGACCAGATCTGGCCGGGAATGACTGAAACGCCAGAAGAGAAGAAGGGCGCAACTGATATGATCTTTTGCCTATCGCGCTCCACCATCGGAAGAATTTTCGCCAAGGCGGGAAAGCCAGCGTCCAACGGGTCTGGCTCTGCCAAGTTCAAACACTATAATGAAGCTGAGCTCACTATCCGTGAGGCCGAAAAGGAGATGGAAGAGAAATACATCCGCTACTGTGATGTTGTCAACCCGCTGCACTTTCTTGTCATGGGCCTCGCCCGGTCAGGGATCACGGCCATGCGATTGCGGATTCGGCTACCAAGAGTCAGGAACCAGACGGCGACCGACGCTGAGATGAGGGAACTGCTGCAACTTGCGCAGAAGATATTGGATACCGATGCCGCAGCCTATTCACATGCCGGCCTAATACGCAAATTCCGATGGCATATCAAGCCTTTCTTCTTGTGGGGCATGTGGGACTCGCTGATTTTGATTCTCACCACCCTGGCGAATAGATGCGATCTGCTCTCGCCTGCAGAAAACGACGCGGCCTGGAATAGGATTGAGCAGCTCTATCAGAACCACGATGAACTTTTAGACCCAAAGCGAGCACTTCATGTGGCGTTTGGACGGTTGGCGCTGAAGGCCTTTGATGTCCGATCAAGCACAGACGTGCCTGAGCCAGGATTTATCGCGACTTTGCGCTCCCTGCCGAAGATAATCTCACAGAACCGGAGGAAAGGAGAAATGGGCCGTGACAATGACGCAAATCAGATGGATCCGAAAGGGGATGCATTGCTATCCGGCGATTTGTTGGTACCCAGCAACGCGATTTTGAGCGACCTCCTTCCAGAAGATTTCGGCATTGGAACGGGCAACGATTTTGATCTCGATGCTGAGAACTGGATTTCCTGGGATCAGTTAATCCAAGACCATCAAGCACAAGGGAGTTGAATCGTTCTTGCTTGTTAAACAGACGACAGAATTCTTTGGTCTGGTCTCGGGGAGAGGGGGTCGTTGCCGGCTCTGGTAGTTAATGGCAGCCTGTGATTGGTTCAAATCTCGGGTCCTCGCCGGCCGAGCAAAAAACCGCCCGACGGGAACGCCGCACATCTTTGGCCAATCAGAGCACTGGCTGCCTCGGGTCACCTATGAAGTTGAGCCGTTGACATTCAGCAGCTTCTTCTGTTTATAAACGGCCATGTATTGTGGCCAATGCCCACACCACACTTCGGCATCAACTTCCCTCATATCGGCGAACTTGACCCAACCTCTCTCAAACTCCCCCCAAGCGCCCGACCAGAATGTCCAATCTCAGGGTCCTCATTGTTGGTGCCTCTATTGCAGGCCCGACGGCGGCTTACTGGTTTGCCAAAGCTGGAGCCAAGGTCACAGTGGTTGAACGATTCCCACACATACGCCCCAATGGCCAAAATGTCGATATCCGCACTGTCGGCGTCACAGTCATGCGAAGAACACCAGGGATGGAGGCGGCCGTGCGAGCTAAGGTGATGCCCTACGAAGGAATCAGCTTCGTCGGCTCCAATGGACGTCCATTTGGAATCATCAGAGCCACCGGGAATCCCGACCAGCAGTCGCTCGTCTCCGAGTACGAAATACTCCGCGGCGACCTGTCACAGATTCTCTTCGACATGACCAAGGACAACGAGAACATCAGCTACGTTTTCGGCGAGCAAGTCGCTTCGATGCAGCAACACGAGCAAGAGGACGGGCCTGTTACGGTCGAGTTTGCCAACGGCTTCCCAGCCTCGGAATTCGACCTCGTCGTCGCTTGCGATGGTGCAACGTCGAGAACCCGCGCTCTTGGTCTCGGCTGCGGTGTCCGGGACCACATTAAGTCGATCAACTGCTGGGTGGCTTACTTCTCCACGCAACAAGATATTCTAGATGGAAGCAAGCTGGGTCAGTCGTACAGCGCCCCCGGTGGTCGCTGGATTGCCGCCGGATCCAACCCAGCGGGAGGAAGTCGCGTTACGCTTATGGGTCTTTATCCCCGCGACAATCTTGACATCACACGCTCCTTCCGCAGCGCAATGGCACAAGGGGATGTGGCGTTCAAGCAACATATAGCCCAGCACTTCAAGGGGGCCGGGTGGAAATGCGACGAAGCCATAGAGGGCATGATGGGGTCGCCGGACTTCTATGCCAGCGAGATTGCCCAGGTCAAACCCCCGAGTCTGTGCAAAGGACGTTTCGTCTTGGTTGGTGACGCGGGCTACGCGGCAGGCCCGACTGGTGGCGGGACAAGTCTTGCCATTGCTGGTGCCTATGTCCTTGCGGGCGAAATCAGCAAGCACAAGGGTGATCTGGCTGCGGGGCTGCAGGGCTACGAGGAGCGGATGCGGCCCATCATCGACGATCTCCAGAAGATCCCATTCCTCGTCCCGACCGTGTTGGCGCCACAGACGACCTGGGGGCTTTGGGTGCGAAATTCCATAATATGGTTTATATGCTGGACGAGGGTGATGCAATTCTCTCAGAGGTTCTTTGCCAACTCCTATGGTAGCGGCGACAAATACCGGCTGCCTGAATATAGTTGGGATAAATGAGGAGCTGGTCAGGAGAGCCCCGTTGCTTCAACACATTGCAGTTCTGTATCACTATTGCGACAACACTTATCCCGCTCATTCATAGATTATTGCTAGAAGCACTGTTTCTTCTTGGGTTTTCTAATCTCCTCATGATCCCCTCGTTGTCTATGGCTATTTGCTAGGCCTCTATTTTTACATGCCGTAAGTCACGCCATACTGCCCAGACCAAGAATACTAATAGCTCCGCGTCTCAATCCGACATGGCCGTCAACGGCCGCCGCATTAGCTGCCGAAACATGTCAGAAGGAGAAGGCGAATACAGAAAACAAACGCAACCACCCAGACAAAGTTCCCTAACGAATATTATGCCATCTTCCTCCGCTTGTTGTTGCCAGACTCTATAAGCTGATGTCCTCCAGCATTTTCGATTGCAAGGTCGCTTCTGTCTCGCCGCTTCTGTTTAACGAAAGAGTAAATGGAAGCAGCAATTTCATCCTGCATCAGCTGGCACGGCTGCGAGCCGAAGAGAATGCAGCCGATGGCGTGGGGCCAGCAGTAGGCGTTGAGGTCGGGCGGCAGTACTCGCACCCTGAGAAAGTTCCAGCCGAGCAGCGCGCGCGCCGAGTCAAAGTACAGTAAGGGCGCCTCGTGTTCCAGCGTGTGTGGCACGAATATGATTCGCACCAGAATTCCCTGCTCCTCCAGCACCCGGATCGCCAGCGGCAAGTCCACCGGCAACTCCGGCCAATTGCTTGCCGTCACTATCACGCGCCGGTCTGACAAGACCCCGCGGAACTCCTCCATTATCTCTCCAGCCATGTGCAGCGCCTGGATTACGTGCGGCTGCTTCACACTCCCCCAGTCCAGCCGGCAAGACTCGACATCACCGTGGTCGCCCTTGGCCTGAACTATGGCCCCACTCACGAGAGGTACATTGTAGAAAATTTTCGTGATTAGGCGTTCCGACCGGCCCCGTCCTTGCCACGCGTCCAGGAACTGTTCATGCAGCTCTGAGGCGACGTTGCCCGCCGGGCTGCCGTCGCCTCGATCAACACAGAGGACCAGAGCGTGGCTCGTGTAGTTGCCCCGTTTGACCCGCGGGTCGTCCTCCGCGACCCCGTCGCTCTCGAGCCAGTCGTTGTTGTCGTACCAAGCCTCCAGCTTGTCGGAATTGACAGGAAAGTCTGCCGGTTGCTCCGTCGCTGGGCTTTCGTCAGGGGAATACAGCGGTTCAAAGCGGTTGACGTCTTCCATCTCGTCGTCCGCCGCAGCCGTAGTGGTGGGTTGGTCGTCCTCGGGTTCAGTACCATTGCTGCCGCTGTCGCTGCCGCTGCCGCTGCCGTTGTCGCCTTCGTTGTCGCCTTCGTTGTCGTCCTCTATGCCCCCAATGACGGTATCAGATCTCGGCTGCTTCAGTCTGACGGCCAGCGATATTTTGACATCCTCGGGAATTGGGGCCTCGCGAAATGGGGTATCCCAGGTCCTTGCATCTCTTTCATAATACCCACTATGACCTCTTGTACAAACACTTCTTCTCGACTCGGAGGGCGACATGTTGTTCTCGGTGGCCTACCGTCGCAAATTTGTACGCACGAGAAAGTGTGAAGTCAACTACAAGGTGTTGTTGATGAGAGACGAACGACTTGACAGCTGGTTGGGTCGACGGTGAAATTGGTACTTGGGAGGGCTGGCGAGCTGTACTTATAGGGATTTCTGTGCCCATCACTGTCTGCTTCTGTCTTCTCTTCTGACTTTTTCTAGAAATCTGGACCGAGTAGAATGTTCCAGCGAAATACAGGCTAGCAGAGGCAACCTTCAGCTTCTTTGAAATTTTGTATGGTTGGTAATGGAAATTATGCGGTTTGTGGTAAATAATTGGACGCCTACATCTAGTTACAGCCGTGGACTTGCACCCTGGACTTTGGGGTTTTGTGATCTTTCATTCTTTGCCGTCTTTGACGGTGGGTTAGAACCATGGCGAGCAGGGGTTTGCTGTATTTGCCCTTTCATGATACTAAGGTACCTAGGTAATCTGCGAGAAGAAAGTCTTCGTGCGCCTCCAAAAGAATTCCAGTGTTGACTCTTATGCTAGACCTATTTCTGGACCGCGTGGTAACCTGTATCTTGGTCTTTTTCTTTATTTCCCTCGCTCTTGAACGGCGTTTCAGTCTAATCAGTCGTCAGAGTTATTAAAACACGCTGGCCAAGTCGCAAGCTCTTTGCTGACCAAGTCGCAAGCTCCTTGGCCAGAGCGGTTTTGTAACCCTGATGAGCACCTTAGCTGGGATATCTTGCATACGTTCCCGCCGCCTTCTCTGCATTGTACTCTGACTCTCCGATGAGCCTGAGGCATGGGCACATATACACGTGCCTACAGCCTCGGCCAATCGCAATATGTGTGAGGTTGAGTAGGTGCCTGATTCTAGAATACCTAGTCACGCAAGAGGGGACATTCAGAAAAACAAACTCGCACTTTCACCAGCAAAGCCAAACTCAACGTCACCATGTCCTCTTTGTGCGAATTCTGCGGCAAAATTCCGTTTGCCCAGATTGAAGATAGAACGATCTCTTCCGAGCGTTCCGATCTGATCTTCGCCTGGGACGGCGGTCTCGCATCCAGAGCAGCCCCTATGTGTTTTGCCGTCTGGTCAGCGACGTTGCATCAAAGACGGTACTTCTTTATGCCCGTTTCGAAGAAGACCCAAAAATCGAACTTAAGTGGGAATATTCTATGGCTCATGGATATATGGTAGCGCCTTTTACATCCTGGAGACCGAATCCGAAGGTCCGTGGATTGCATTTGGCCGTATCCGACCACTTGCTCCTAGAAGCGACTTGGTGTTTTATTTGCGTTTCAAGATCGGCTCTGAAGTTGACGTCCAGAGAGTGTGTGGCTGGATCGACGGCTGCGCGACGGCCTGTGAAATGGAAAGTGCCGACACCACTGGATCTTGCCGTCGTCCAGCGAAACATGGTAGATTTGTGGCTCCCCGGCCTGGCAGCGGCTCGTTCTCGGATACCTTTCCCGGCATTCGAGTTCTTCGACTCATCGATATCAATAAAAGCTCGCTGGTGCAAGTCGACCAGGTTCCTCGACATGCGGCTCCCAGTTATATTTGGGGAGCAATCCAAGACGACCAGGACGATGTTGAGGTAGGAATAAACGTCATGGGTAGGATATATGAGTTCGCGTGGTTCACCATCGTTGCCGCGTGCGGCCGCGATGCGAATTCTGGGCTGCCGGGAGTCAGATCCAGCACTCAAGACGAGAAATCCATATTAAAAGAGGTAAAGCCAGGCATACAGCTTGGGATATACACTGGATCTGCATCACCCATCAAGAACTCCGTGCACGAGACACGAGCCTGGACGTACGGTAACAACGTATACCCCTGGCTCAATATTTAACTCCAGCTGACTGTAAACATGATTAGAAATCAAGAGCATTACTTTTCCAGAAGAATTATGTACTCTGTTGCCAACAATGTCTTCTTCAGATGCAAGGGAACGAAATGCATGGACCATTGTCTTAATGACCAGCAGGCGGCTAATATCTTGCTATTTTTGAAATACATAGACGAATTCGATGATAAATGCTATTCTTTATCACACTATACATCGATACTGGAGACCTACACCCCGCGAGACTTGACATAGCAAAGGGATGTGTTCCGCGCCATGGCTACTGTCATGAGACGCTATTCTGAAGGCCTGAAATACGGATTGATAGAGAGATGCCAACCGGGGCGTTTGGCCTGTTCCTGCCATTCCGGCCGGCAGAGATGAAACGCAAACACGACTCTCCAAGTTATTTTTGGGCTGGTTGGCACGGTCCAATACGCCGGCCTAAATTGAGCTCCGGGGCATCGTACCGTTTCTGGTCATATCAAATCAACATGTGGCTCAAAAACGAGACTAGATCATTTAGTACAACAGGAGCCCGGCTGGCAAGATTGAATTGGTCTGGGATCCCACTGCAAATCATCTCTTTCCAACCTTGGCTTTAAACATGAAGGGTGCCGAGAGAGACAGCCCTTTCGCCACCGCGAGCTGACGTGGACACGACAAGAACGCGTCGTATCGAGGGTTTCTAGGTTGATAGCATTTGCCGACCTTACCTATTGCTTTAGTTTTGGACTCTGGCTGTGTTCTTCAACTATAGAGTTGCCGAAACAGACACTTAGCCGGAATGCTACCCGTAATACAGTTGATCGACAGAATGGCTCGTCAGTTGGCGTCATCCTATCTGAAGGGCCGGAAGGAGCGCCCACATCACTGGAATTCACCAACCTGCTTGAGCTGGTCATTCTCTCCGGGACGTACGACCATTGCTTTGGCAACCGGAGATGGCCGAATTACAGCAAGTGGGGCAATTACAATGCCATGTGGATCGGATGGACTCAAGGGATCGCCGAACGCCGGGGAATTAGCGTAATAAAGCAACCTGCTGTGCCCGGTGTGGAAAGAGATCGTGTTGGGGTGATGACGAGCTGTGCCGTGGGTCCTGGTCGAAGCCTGGGAAAGCCTTGGACATCATAGGCTGAGAAACAGTTTCCTTGGTGCGATAAAAAAAATTTTCTAGAAAAAAAACGAAAACGGTTGTCAATTAGCAAATGTGAGTATCCGTACACTGCAACCTTGTACAGCAGACGAAAGAGCTGCCGAGTGTCCAAGACAGGACGAGATTGTGGACAGATGACTGCCTTGCGCAGTGTTCTCGGTTTGCGGGAAAAAACAGGATACTATCAAGCTCTTCCTACACTAGTGCTGCAGCTGCATCTCGATGGTTCGCAGGGGGAGGGTGCCAACTTCGATATCACGCCATCTGTCTGTCTCGTCTGACAGTTTTTGCTGGCCAGCCTCAGCTCAGACACGAGACATTGACAGCGAACCAACCGTAGAGGGTCCCGTCTCGTCGGAATTATGCAACCTCGGCCGGCGGAAAGGATTAAATGAGACACCCGACGCGAAGGGATTAGAAGCCGACTTTCGACCTCGGATGCACTGGTCATCACTAAGCTGCGATGCACCAAGCACCACGCATGCAGCCCCCGCTTTCCGGGAGCTGTTGGAAGCCAAGAGTTTGCGACATTTTGGGTCACAATGCCCCGCTCGCCCATCCGTCAACCGCATCCGTCAGCCAATCACAGAGGGCGGAATTCGAAGACAGCCCGGGGCGCTGTGGGCGTTGTGGGCCTCAGGATTGCGACCCCAGTGCGGGACACTTCCGGGATTGGCCGACCCCTCGCTCAAGCCCAGCCCATTTGAAGACAGGCCTGTCCCTCTGCCTGCAGCTGCTTGCCTGCTCCTCGACGTCAGGACATCCATTCGGCCTGGGAAGAACCAGACCGCAGGCCAATCTGCACGAGGCCTACACCACCTCCATTAGAATTTCGCAAGCCTTCGTTCGATCCCGTCACCCACCATTTTGCCCGCCGCGGCGACAGCTTCTCGAATTTCGCGCACACCAACACGGACGGCTCAGTCGGCGTTGCACCACTTCCATGCTTCTCGGGCCTTTTCCTCGACCTCTGTCCCCTTTCTTCTATCGGCGCACAGCCGCTGTCGAAGAGTCAGAGAATTGCCTAGGAATAGGACAAGAAGGCGAGAAAAACTCTATTTTGCCACGGTCGCTGGTTTTACCTTTAGTTCGGCAAGACACTCCCAACCAACGGTCGGCCATCACAAGCTAGCCACCCCGAAAGCGCAAGAGCCCCTCCCAGCCCGGTGGAGAGTGGTTACTAAGGGGGGACCGTGAGCTCGGGAAAATCTTCTTGGGGGAGGGGACCTGGGTCCGTAACGCACACGCACAGCAACCGCAATCCACGACGTCAGGCCGAGGGACCTAGTTGGGGAAAGGGGAGATATAGGCGTTTTTACCCCAGAGACCCTGCCGATCATACCAGTCATATCAACCCGTTTCACGCTTTCCTTCGGGTCTGCTGCAAAACACTGCGTACAACGCTCCCAACAAACAAGGACAAACGTAGCACAAACCCCCCCATGACTTCCAACATGCCGTCACAACGACCCTTCTTCCTGTCGACCTTCTTCGCCGCCTTCCGGCAACAAACCCCGTCGTCACTGTCGGCAGGCGCCGCCGGCCAGCCTAACAAGCACACGACGCCCGCGGCGGGAGGCCCGTCGACATACGGCAGCTCGCCCTCGGCGCCGCGCTCCATCGCGTCGGCGGCAGCGGCCGCCGCTGCAGCGACCAACAACAGCAACAACAACGCCACCACCCAGGCCGCGTCATCTTCGTCGGGCTCGCGGTCCGGCGGCGTCATGGGGCAGCTGCCGCTGCACTCGCCGCGCGGGCCGCACAACATACCGATCCCGCAGCAGCAGCAGCAGGGCGGCGCGCGCCGCCACCACCACCACCACCACGGCCGGCGGCGGGGCAGCGACAGCAGCAGCGAGGGGTTCCGCGAGACGCTGGGCGCCGAGAAGCTGTACATTGGCGGGCGCACGGCCACGGGCGAGGAGAAGTTCTTCAAGCTCGGCGTCATACGGCGCGTGCGCAGCGGCGACCGGTTAAGCCTCGACCGGCTGAGTTTATAAATTTTTACTTTGGCTAGCATGTCATCACTTCCCCTTGAGGTAGGTAGTGAAAGAAAGAAACGAAGAGAATTAAAGGGACGGAAATGGGGGGGTCATTCATGATGGGGTTATAAATACGAGAGGCGGATATCGTACCATCGCACACAGGGCGGCGAGGGAAGGGATGGTATCTTCCTGTTTTTATCGGCGGCTGGTGCTTTTCTCACGGCGTTTCCGACTTTTTTTTTCTCTCTCACTGGGAACGGCGTTAGAGGGACATGATATATCCATGGTTACGTCTAGGAAGGGATTGGATACCCTGTTTCCTACAGCACACACGACAGCAAGCAACAGCTAGGGTCTGGGATGGACGGGGGTGGTTATCACGGGGGGCAAGAAAAATACACATGGTTTTACTGCAAGCACATATCTCGCAGTTTCTCTTGAGTATGGTATGGATGGGATTATTGGTGTCTGATATGGTCCGGCGAAAAAGGGCCAACGCTCCAGAGAATGGCACGGAAGGCTTTTTTTTTTGTTTTGTTCTATATACTCCAGACAAGAAGACCACACTGTTGCACAGGCTGGCTTGCTATATCGCAAGTGGAACGCAGACAGAAAGAAGAGACAAGGGACATAGAAAAAGAGCACTCGTTTCCGCACACCGCAGTCTGCAGTTTTCCCTCGCTAGTGCATCGAAGCGAATTAACCAACCTTGGTTTCACTTCACCACATGAACCGCTGCACTCTTCCGCCGTCCAGAAACTCCCCGCCGTCAGCGCTGCGCCAGAAGAAGGGCCGGAACAGGAACATGTACATGGTGCCGAGGTTGACGGCCAGAAACCACCCCGTCTCGAGCACCAGCCGCACATCGACATTGCTGCCAATGGCGCGGAGCAGGTTGGCCATGCCGCTCTTGTTTTTGACCCCGTCGGTATCGTTGTCTGCTGGTGACACCGGCCACGGCCAGGCCGGGACCAGCAGCCGCCAAAACACCCACGGCAGGATGAAATAGCGGGGCTCGACCAGCGGCGCAGTGACAAGCGACAGCGCCGTGGCGAGCAGCCACAGCAGGGCGGTGGAGGTTGGGGGCGGCGCGGCTGCGGAGCCGTCCAGGCCCGCGTTGTCGTTGGTTTCAGGGCTGGGGACAGGCGCCACCGCTCCTTGCTTTTTGTTCTTCGCCTTCGTAGTATTGCTGCCGCCTTTTAGATCCCGATCATCATAATCTTCGTTTGAGAGACGAGGAAAAACAGAAACAGCGGGCGTCCCGTAGCTAGGAAACAGCGGGTTTGTGAACCGGCCTGCAGAGGTGGCAGATCTGCGAGACGCGGAGGGACCCGAATGCCCGGCGAGCTGACTCCACACGAGCCACCGCGAAGCTGTGTACGCCGCCACGAGGCCGTAGCGGACGCGGGCGGAGCGGAGGATTGTGTACCGGAAGACGTAGAACATGTAGTGCCTGTTGTCGGCGAGGGTGAAGGGGTGGACGATGGTGTTGAACCTGACGACCGCGAGAGACGCGAGGACGGTGCAGCCAACGTACGGGACGTAAACGACGTACTTGCTGGCGAATAGGCTGTCGACTACGGTGAGGGCCAGGGACCGTACTGGCCCCCTCCGGTGGGACGATGCAGAGGTGTTAGGTTGCGGCGGGTCCGCTTTAGACTCTAGGTTTTTGCTTGCAGCTTTTGATAGCTGGCGTGAATTGGGTGGGATTGGAGGAGTGCTTGGTCGGCTCTCTCCGATGGCGAGGCGAGAGATGATACGGACGGGACCTTTTATGAACGGCAGGAAGGAGGGAAGAAGGAGAGGCGCCGAGAAAAAGGCAAAAAAGGGCCATATATAGAGCATCTGGGCAAGATGGATGGTGGCAATGTGGTTGGCCTTGTCTCCTACACGGCGGACAAATTGTAAGCGAAGTGAGCTGGGCGAGTCTGGAACATGAGGAGAGAAGCAACGTACCGAGGACGACGCCCCCATTCCAGGCAACGAAGCCGGCAAAGAGCGCAAGCACTGCGATGTGAGGCCACACTTGACGAAGCACCCTGAGAGGGTTGCAGACCGCCGAGATGGCAATGCTGATCAAGCAGAAGAGCCAATCTGTACAAAGGAGTTAGTCTCTGATTCCATCCAGGAAGTGCTGAAGAACGAGACATGGATCACATACCATCAGGCCAGGCCACATTAAGCGGTGGATCATGCACTTCGCCAATCGAGTACTTCCTTAAATAGAAGCGAAGGTGATCTGCCAGGGTCAGATAACGCGACGTCGGCGGCGACGGTTGGGTTTGGACCGGCGTCAGAGACCGGACGGCGTGCACGGCTTCCAAGCCGCCCATGTAGACGACGACCCAGAAGACATTGGTCTGGCGCATCAGGAGGGCCGCAACGCCCAGGACGACTGTCCACACATCGCTGGCCATCCCGGGCCGGTCCGGCCCGACACGGAGCAGGTGGTTCCGGTACGCGATAAGCACCAGCAGCGTCGATACGACGTCGGTGTAGTACAGGGCCGAGAAGAAGAACAGGACGGGGAAGAGGGCGATGTTTAGCCCCGTGTAAAACGCGTAAACGGACACGGCACGGGTGCGATGCTGCTGCTGTTTGGTGCCCCCGTTTCTCTCCGCCGCTCTGGCTTCGATCAGGCCGCGGCACAGCGTCGCCAGCAACACCATTAGAAGTGTCGCTAGGAGGTTGTTGGTGCGGAGGCTGGCGGTGGAGCACTCGGACACCATCCAGAGCTTGTGGCATGCTACGGAGAGGAGATATCTGTTGTGTCGTCAACAAAACAACGTCACGAAAAAAAGGGGCAGGACAGGGAACCGGAAAGGGGAAAGGGGGAGGACCATACAGGCCGGGCGGGGTGGTGATCTTGTCGTCCCATTCCCAGTAGCGGCCGGCGCAGTAGGTCTGCGCTTGCGGGACGTGGAAGACTTCATCCTGGGCGAGGGTCAACAACAGATGCGTCTTGGGGCGAATCATGGCCTCTTCTCCTTACTAGGTAGGGCTCGGGGACGAAGTCGTTGACCAAGGCCAGCCACGACCGGGCCACGAGGAACACCAAAAAGAAGCCGCCAGCCTTTATGGTCCCGCCTGAAAAAATGGCCTTGTTTCCTGTGATGGAGACTGGGGGAATGCACCGCGCGAGAATAACAGCCAGGCCGAGGCCCCTCAGGAGCTCTTTCACCTGCAGACCCTCTATCAGCGCCTCGAGGACGGGCATCGTGACAAGTACAAATGCGAGGAAAACGAAGGAGTGGACGTCATAGCCCTTTCACGCAAAGTCGAACACGGACGGGCAGGACTATGGCATGATACGGCAGGGAATAATCGTCGGTTGCGGCTCTGACAGATTTAATGGTGCTTTTCGTCTTCGTCAAAGTGATGCATGTTGAGAACTTGAGACTGAGATGAGAGGTACCTCTGTACCTTACAGGTGTTCCCCAATTCCCGACCCTGGTTCCAGCCCCACCATCCACATGTCCGTGCGTGAATCACGTTCACCGAGGTAAAGGCTGCTTGTCTTGTTTTGCTGCTAAAGTCAAAAGGGGCACGGGGCATGTTTAACAGATTCAACAAGTTCACGCATAAATCAAATGACAACAACTGTGGCTTGAAGTTTTGTTTCAATGTCTATAGAACTGCTGTTTTACACGCCGTCGCAAACACCAGAGGGTGTCTCCAAGAAACACTCGCTCGCTCCCAGTCTAACCCAGTCGGCGCCAACGCTTTCACTCCATGCTGTCTGTGCAAGACTCTCTGAATGGCAAAAAGCTTAGAACGGCTGTAGAATAGTAACACGGTTAGCTGCCGCCTCACGGCTCTCATCCCGCTTCGGGGCGCACTCACGCTATCAGACGCCGGGATTTCCTTGATGTAGTAGTTGCGAAGGTAGGGAACTCTCTGTGAGGTCGTCAGTAACCAGCAACAAAAGACTACCATTGGTTATCCGCCCAACGGTGGAGCGTTGGCTGCCCTACCATCAGGATGTCTTGCTGTATCTTGGGAATGCCCGATGTGTAGAAGATGACGGTGAACAGAGCCACGCCGCCGAATGCGCCCGCCTTGAACGCCCTGTAGATGCAGCCTAGTTAGCCATCTGCGCACCAGCTTGAAGTCCTTTCTGGCTGGTAATTGGTGCCATCCCGTCTCAACGCTTCCCAATGTGTGTCTATTCCCATGATCCTGGCGTCCAAACATAGACCAACAGTCTGTCCTCAAACTTTGAGTCGCGCTTCTCCGTCGGTGCCAGGCTTTCCCAGGCCGACCACCACCTCCAAAGACCGTATCTAGCCAGAAAACCAGCGACTTACAAAGGGAACAGGGACTTGGCCGTCAGGCCGAAGAGCTGAGGCTGGAACTGGTATCTGTGCCGTTCTGTCAGCGTCTCGTCTCGGTCGGGGGGGGTCTGCGTTGCCCAGGCAAGCCAATGGCGCTATTCCGCTCTTCGGAATCGGTGCGACAGCAGTGTAGCAGATCTGGAACGATGGTCGACGCTTACTTCGGGGCATAAGGGCTATGGTAGCCGGAATACGACTCCTGGGTTCGTTGTTAGCCGGTTCCGTGTCGGCTGTCTTGCCCTCTCTCGAGCGTGCTCGATTTGCCAAACGGAAGATAATGAATGGTGACAGTGCATACCTTGGGGATTGAGGGGGAAGGCATCGTGACGACCGAGGTGGAAAGAAAAGGGGCGCGCTGCAATGGTTGGCGAGGGTTCTCGAATTGACGGTTTTGGTGATGCTGCGACGCAGTGCGCGAGATTCTTGCCGGAGAAAGCCGGAAAAACAGATTCATGCCTCAGGCATAAGTTGTTGGCAGTCCCGCTTCCGGTAGCCTCAGGCACCGAAATCAAGCTTCCCTGTCTCTTGCATAAACGCCCCACCTTTTTACCAAAGAAGCTCCAATTCGCAAAGAGAGTTGCATCACTGTCTCTGTGATTTGGGTAATTTCGGCGACGCTTAAATCGAACCTCGCTCTTATCTACCCCGACTCGTCGTCTGAGCACCATTTCAACGTCCTGCCGCTCTCCCAAATAGCACCAGCGGGCGGGCCACCACAAATACAAACCATGGACAAATACCTCGACGCGCGCTTCGAGCGGGTCGAGCGGGCGCTGGCGAGCCTGATCGACTCCATCACCAAGTACAACCCATCGGAGAAGCTAGGCGAGGAGCTCATAGCCGCCGACCGGGAGCTGGCAGCGGGCTTACAGGCACTCGAGACGCACCACAACAACTACGCGCGGATCCAGCAGCTGCGGGCCGAGACGGCGGCGCTGGACGCGCAGACCAAGGACATCATCGGGGCGCTGTGGGCGATGCGCAAGGAGGTCAAGAACACGCACACGACCGTGTACGCGGCCAGCGGGCCCAAGTACCAGTTCACGACGGCCGAGCTGCTCGACTACGCGCGCCGCATCAGCAGCACGACGCTGCCGCCGCAGGCCGCCATCATCGGCGCCGCTGACGGAGCAGCCGCAACAGCAGGAGCAGCAGGGACATCGCCCGACGCCGACGACGCGGCGCGCTCGTCCCAGGGTGGCCAGACACCGACGGCAAGCTTCGGCGCGACGCCCGTCACGGCAGGCACGCCGATGGGGGGCGGCGGGCAGGCGCCACCGACACCCGCGGCCAACGGCGAGACGCAGACGCAGACGCAGTCGCAGACGACGGTAACGTCAACATTCACGGAGCTGCCGATGCACATCAAGCCAGCAGTAAACCTGGGGGAGGGGGCCGTGTTCTATCCGTGGCCGGTGGAGGAGAAGATCCGCATGGGGGCACTGTCGACGGTGGACTACCTGTCGACGCACGGGATCGACCCGCGGGGATACGACCCTGAGGAGGAGGAGCAGCGCAAGAAGGAGGAGGAGCAGGCGCGCAAGGAGGCCGAGGAGCGCGCGCGGCAGGAGCGCGAGGAGGCCGAGCGGCGCATGCACGAGGAGCGCGAGCGCATGGCCCGCGAGCGAGAGCGCTCCCGCGCCGAGGCCGAGCGCCGCAGCAGTGTAGCCACGGGCTTTGTACAGGCGCCTGCCAAGGCGCAGTTTACATTTCTCGACGGGCTGGACGACGACGACGACGACGATTGAGCGGTCTCGAGCTCGCGGCCCTTTGGTGGGCTGGCCTTGGTCCCCTTTACATGTGGGCGGACTGACATTGTGCTGAGGTCAGGGCTTCAGGCCGGGCAGCAGTCTGTGATAGACCAGCTACAGAATTCCACATGAAAACCAGCATATCCTGACGTCATCATGTCGTGATAAGCCAAAGTCCAAACGTAGCCTACGGCTTTATATCACCAATCCTGGGACACGACGATAAAGTAAATAGTTGATCTCGCGTTTAGCATCTATCTTCGTAACCAGGCTCGCACCAAGCCAAGGCATATCCTGAGCCCAAGCACATCCCCCCCTCCCCCCTCCCCCGTCTCGGTGCCTCATTCTCCCCACTGGCTTTCCGGGAAAAAAATTAAAGACATAAAAAAAAGTAATCAAAGCCTCCGTTTGCGGCATAGCGTTCCAAGCCCGCCGTCTAGAGGTAAATGTAGGTAGTTTGCGCGGATGGTGGTACACAGATAAATTCCCGTTTTCCCTCCTCCTGTACTCGTACAGAATCGAGCCCGCGCACCCCGGCAAAACCCCCATTTCCATTAAAAGCACCGCCTTTCCTGTTTTTGTCCTTCCTGTATGGGCGCTAGTTTCTCTCGGTCAAGATCCGAATAATGGACAGCCGGACTTCTATTTGTCTAGTCAATCTTGATAGACGAGTAAATCTTACGCACAAACCACCAGCTAGAGAAGTAGCCGATAGACCCTAAAAGGAGAAAAAAAGAGGTTAGCTGAGCTCACCCATGCCATTTCAGATTTAGAGAGAGATCATCTCACCTGTCAAGATAAAGAAGAGGAACGAGATCAGCAAGCTGTAGCCCAGGTACAGGACACTGCCGGGCACGCCGCCTAGTGAGAGGCGGCTGACCCAGTAGATGATGGCGTTCAGAAAGACGTAGAGGGCGCTGGTGCCGGCGGCCAGGAAGGCGCGCCACTGCCAGTTGTAGTTCTCGGCGCAGAGCAAAAAGTAGACCATAAGCACAGTCACAGCAGCGCACGTGAGCACCATGAGGGCGTAGCAGAGGAAGAGGAAGCCGAACATGTAGTAGATCATGCTGAACCAGATGGAGCCCATGATGAAGTAGAGCTCGACAAAGATGGCGCCAAACGGCAGCAAGCCCACCAGCAGCATGCTCGGGATGGGCTTGAGGTACGTCGTCGTGGGCGGGATCTGGCGCGGGATCTGGTTGGTGCGCACGGGCGGCTCGATGGCCGGCGCGCGGAAGCCCAGCCACGAACCCGCAAACGACAGTGGCACCGAGAAGACGAACCAGATTAGGATGATGACCAGCATCGTCGTGAAGGGCACGGCCCCCGAGGAGCCCTCGGCCCAGAGGAACAGGTCGAGCAGGAAGAAGGTGCCGAAGACGATGCCGGGCACGAGCACCGGAGTCAGCGCAATATTCAGCTTCCACTTCTCGCCCTGCATCGACTTGTACACGCGCGCCGAGGCGTAGCCGCCCACGAAGCCGAGGATGGTGTAAAGCAGCACCATGATGGTGCCCAGCGAGCCGCGGTTCGACGGCGATAGGAAGCCGAGCAGAGCGAAGACGATGGTGAAGCCCGTCATGACGAACAACTGGGCGCCGTTTCCGAGGAAGATGGAGAGGAGCAGCGGGTGCGAGGGCGTGCGGAACACGTCGCCGTGCACCAGCTTCCACCCAGAGTCCTCCTGCACGCCATCCTCCAAGGCCGACGTGCCCGAGAGGTCGTCGAGGTTGATCTGGTCGAGCCTGTTGTACCGCTCAAAGTCCTTCTTCAGGGCCCGGACCAGGACCGACATGACGGTCAGGACCAGGAAGACGACGATGAAGGCCGAGTTGACGAGGGAGAACCAGTGGATCTTGGGGTCGATGACGTGGAGGTACTTGTCCCATCTCGTCGCCCAGGCGGTGGGCGACGGGACCCAGGACACGCTGTACGTGAAGGTCACGTCGTTGTCGTCGGTCTTCTCGTTGAGCACGATGGGGTCGAGAGCGGACTTGCATGTGTCCGGACCGACGTCGCCTGAGTATTTCTTGGACCTGGGCTCGACAATGACGCCGACGACGCGGAGCTGGTCCGGGTTCCCGTTGACCTCGTGGTAGTCGATGGTGATGTCGTAGTGGTTGTTGAACGACGGCTGGCCGTCAGCCAGCTCCTGGCCCAAGGGGAAGCCCGGGTTGTAGTACTCGGTGTCGGTGTTCTCGTCAACGATCTGGCCGGCTGGGAGGCCGTCGACGAGCCAGTTGAGGCTGGCACCCTCGGTGATGCGCCGATTTACGAAGAAGCTAGCCCCCTTGCGGTACTTGACTGGGCCGTCGCAGAGCTTCTTGCACGTCTCGTTGTGCTTCATCTTGAGCTCGAACGGCGACGTCTTTATCCTATCCCCGAACAAAATGCTCCCAAGGCTCTCACCGACGCTCTGGGCGCCGTCTTTGGGTTCGCAGAACCGGAAGAGTGGGTGGTAGTAGTCGTAGGAGAAGGGCGAGTGCAGTAAAGCATCGGGGCCGGGTGCTGGTCGAATCGTGTTGACATAGAGCGGTACGAGGTCGTCTGGCTTGTACGAAGTGGGCGCGACGCCGGGGAGGTAGAAGGCGGAGGCGAGCTGGGGCGCGGCCAGCAGCGACGCGACGAGCGTCGCCTTCGCCCGGGTCTGTTTCCTTAATTGCATGATGAATTCGTTTCTCAATCTGGGAGCGAGAGGAGGAAACGCTGTTCTGTTAATGGTCAGCGATGCGACATAGGAAAAAGGGGCGCCGTCGAGGCAGGAACCGAGCGGTCCGTAGGTTGAAAGGGGGTCGTATTCCGTACTTTAGCCCGCTAATAAGTTGCTTCTAAACTATCAGTCCGCGCCGACAGCCAGGTTCACAGCGAGAGATCCAGCGGATCTGCGCAATCAAAAGCAATAAACCATACGAAGCCCAGATTAAGCGTAGGGCATCGTTGGGGCGATAAAAGGGATTCAATGCTATCTGACGCAGGTCAGTTGATGATGTCTGGCATGTTGGAGCATGCGTACGCAGGCAGCTTCGAGAAGTCGGGAACAGCTGGCCAAGCCAAGGAACACGAATTTCAGCCAGCCCAGCCCCAGTTCGGCTGCCTAGCCTTTCAGGGGACGCCGTTACCCATAAGGCCTGCATCCACCGAGGTATTGACTGATAGTGCAGTATGCAATATTTCACCTGATTTATATCAGAAATACCGGCCTTCAGACCCCTGTAAGTATTCCTGGCGTGAGACCTGGAAATTTTCAGGCCGCACAATTGGCCCCACCTGCCGGGGGAACTCCCGACGAGAGCCGTCTTTTTTTTTTTGCCCTTCAGTTGCGGGGCGTGAATAAACTTTCTTCTCCTGCAAACCGCCCTTCGCACGCGGCGTGCAATCAATTGACAATGGCAGCACCAGCGACACTACCAGCATTGCTGGACACGCTCACCAAGTCCCTGTCTTCGGCACTTGAAGCTACACCGAGAATCACAGGCCTCGAAGTGCCCAAAGACGGGCTATCTCTGTTGGACGTCAAGAACGAGCTGCTGCTCTCGTACCTGCAAAATCTCGTCTTTCTGATCCTGCTCAAGCTGCGCCATGCCAAAAACGGCGGCTCCAAAGAAGAATATGTTGAGGCCCAAAACCTGGACGACTTAGTCGTGAAAAAACTCGTCGAGCTGCGGCTCTACCTAGAGAGGGGAACCCGGCCGCTCGAAGACAAGCTGCGGTACCAGATCGACAAGGTCCTCCGTGCGGCCGACGACGCGGAACGCAGCGCGCAGGCCACCGAAGCAGCGACAGCATTGGACGGGAATGGGTCGGAGCATGGCTCGGAATCTGGGTCCGATGCCGGAGGCGAGGACAGCGCTGACGGGGCGGCGGACGGTCGCAAGATTTCCGAAATGCAATACCGGCCCAACCTCTCTGCCTTTATCCGGCCGGCGGGCGCCGGCGGCGGCGACGACAAGAAGCGGACTGCGTCTGGAGTGTACAAGCCGCCCCGGATCGCGCCGACCGTCATGCCCAAGACGGAGAGGCGGGAGAAGACGGAACGCAAGAACCTCAAGTCGGCCACGCTCGACGAGTTCATCGCCGACGAGATGGCCACTGCGCCGATCGCCCAGCCTAGCATCGGCACCACCATCGTCGCCGGCGGACGCAAGGTCAAGACGGTGTCGGAGCGCCGCCAGGAGGACGAGCGGCGCGAGTACGAGGAGAGCAACTTCGTCCGTCTTCCGCTGGAGAGCAAGAAGGACCGCGCGAAGAAGGCTAAGTCGGAGGGCCGCAGCAGCCGCATGAACTTTGGCGGCGAGGAGTGGAGAGACCTGGGAGAGGGCGTGGACAGGATCAACCGGCTGACGCAGGGCAAGAGCAGCGGCATGGGCACGAGGGCGCTGCTCGAGAAGAGCCGCAAGAGAGGGTTCGAGACGACCGACGGCCCCCGCGGCAGCGGCGCCAGCGAGGGAACCAACATGGGCGAACGATACCAGAAGAAGCTCAAGGTGCTCGAGACGGGGCGCAAGGACAGGGGCAAGAAGCGGTAAAGCTGGGTTTCAGCACAAGGCCATGAAATTGAGTACGTTACTATCCATATACACAGAAAAGAGAATAAGAAAACAACCACCTCAGACTGTCAACTAAGTCGCCCCTGGGTTGATGCCTAGCTGTCCACCTCGTTGCGCTGTGTTTTTCTGGTTTGCATTCACGCCTGCCATCAGAACCCAAGGCCCACGTCCGCGTCCGCGTCCGCGTCCGCATAGCCATTTATACCGACCTCTAAGCGCATCTTGTCCTCGGCCTCGACGACTCTGGCCGGCAGGGCGTATTCGGTGCCCAGGAAGACAAAGAGCGCCCACTTCCAGCGGAAGGGGTTGAAGGCGACGCAGAAGACAAGCCACAACACGAGCTTGAGGTGAGGAAGTCGAGGGCGCCGACAGGCGACGAGCGCTTGAGCAGGCGCGTCATGTCGATCCAGCGGCACATCCAGAAGGGGCTAGGCCGCGTCAGCGGGTTGACCAGGAACATGAGCAGCAGCCGCGTGTAGATGCCCACGTGCCAGTTGCCGACGGTGCCGATGGCGCTGCGGTACGTGCAGTTGATCAACGACACGGACGGGTGCCGTGGCGGGAACGTCTGCAGGTACCAGTTGGGCGGCGCGTACGGCGCCTCGAAGCACGTTTCAGGCAGGAACGATAGCTACGGCCGTGCGAACCCCGTCGCCATCACCACCATGTCGGCGGCGATCTCTTCTTCCCTTTCGTCTTTGCTGCGCCGCCGCGCCAGCACGCCCTTGGCCGTGAAGCGCTCAATATCGCACTTGATCCACGCGGCCGAGCCGCTGCGCAGCTTGTCCATGACGTCCGAGTTGACCATGGGCGTGTCGGTGAAGATGCCGCTTGTCGCGGGGGCCAGGTCGCGGTAGAAGAGCCGGCGCAGCAGCGCCTCGGGGATCCAGCTGAGCGCCGTCTCCTGGCCGAAGACGTTGAGCGACAGCAGGATGTTGCACAGCGTGTTGCGCGGGATGATCCACTTGTCGCTGCGGGCGAGGATCTTGACCTTGCTGGCGCCCGCGCTCGCGCCGCCGCCGATGACGACCATGGTCTTGCCCTTGGCTGGCTTGCCCGTCAGGTCGCTCGAGTGGTAGACCGGGCCCTTGTAGTCGGCCAGGCCGGGCAGCTGCGGCATCTTGGGCTCGCCGCAGGTGCCGATGGCGGCGATGATGCCCTCGAAGTGGCCGTTGGTCGTGTTGTTGACGATCCAGCGACCGCGGTCGTCCTGGTAGACCTCGTCGACCCTGGTGTTGAACTTGGTCTTGGATCGCAGGCCGTAGCGCTCCCACAGGTCTCGGACCTGCTCGACTATGCGCTGCCGGTTCGGGTACGCCTCGTCCCATTTCACCGACGGGTGGAAGCGGTACATTATAATGGATTTAGAGGCTTGACGTGTTGTTGACCCTCTGCACGGGGATGGGTCAGTCAAGGCGTTGTTTTGGGGGATATCCAAGACTCACACTCCATATCCCACCGAGGTCCTTTTCTTGGCCCGCCTCGAATATGACCACGTCGAAGCCATGGCCAACGCAGTGAGCGGCGCTGCTCACCCCGTGATGCCTGCGCCGATGATGGCGACCTTGGGGCGGTGGAGGCGGCCGCTAGGAAGAACTGACGACAAGAGCCTGTCGGCTAGCGACTACAACAGATAGAATAGGAATAAAATTAGGTGCGTGAACGAGCTCGGACGCCGGATTTTTGGGCCATTTTTTGCAACGGTTTTGATGGTTTGTTTTGGCGGCGGCGGCGCCCGCTAACAACGGCAATGGTACGAATCAAACTGAGTCTTGATGTTCCTCACCAATTCGTAAAAAAGGCTGTTAGTTAGCAGGTCCAAATCGAAGCTCAACCTCTGTGCAATTGAGTGGTTCTGTCTGCAATTATATTTTACTTCATTCTTCACATTAAAAGAGATGCGCGATGTTGCTGGAGCGTCTCGTGGTGCCCCCTGCCAAGACGCAACGGTCTTGACGTCATTGGGAATCCACTGCCGTGACATGTGAAAACGCAGCGGCGTGGACGACGCAAACGGACATTTGGCCCGTCCGGTTTCAACGTTGCCGCAACCTTATCTGCGATATGATTTTGGCATAGGAGTGCAGTATCGCGGCACGGCAGCCGCAGATTCTCGGAAACTATTTTGTTCCTTTCGGGCTTGTTTTGCATTTCGGCTTAGTTTATCGTGAAACGGGTGCTGGCGGATGCCAAACCTAATGCAACGAGTTTTGCTAGACCCCGGAAGGAACGATGACCGCAGCCGAATGATTTTCCGCTTTCGGGGACTTGGATCGTCCACTTATTCTTGTAAGAAATTTAGAGCTCCTAGCAGAGTTAATATTGATCGAATTGCCTGGTAGGATTTTTTGGATAAGCTGCACATCTCCGAGGAAAACCTGCCGACTAATTAATTCACAACGTGGTGGGAATAACCTCAGATCACGCTACTTGAAACGACTTATTAACGGAACTACCCCCGCAAGTATACCCATTCACAGAACTCCGTCGATCTTGTCGAAACCAGACACCCTTCAATTTCCCCCCATGATTGCCTATTAACCGTCCCACACCGTCCCACAGCATTAAGCAGCATGGGAGACTGACAGAAAAAAATCACATAACCACATTTTAACCCCTTTTATGACCCCCACCCTTATCGCAGCACCGCCTTCTCGTCTCCCACCGCATAATCAATCGCAGACGTAGTATGGCAACCGGCAATGGTGTCTGTCTGGGCTGACGGGCATGGCGCTGCTTCCGTTCTTTCTCCAGCCACCACCGCCGCCGCCACCACCACCACCAACAACAATAAACTTGGCCAGCGAGATACCAAGGAGGGCGATCATGAGCAGCAGCGTGGCAACCGAGGACCACGCGCACACCTGGTGCGCACGCCACGTCAGTGTCGACCGGAAAGGAATGTAGGCCAGCGCGATGGGCGCAAACTTGGACAGGATGGTCACGCCCGCCACGGCCGCGCCGAACCCGTCGCCCCGCCGTGCGCTGCGCCAGAGCCCCGTGAATGGCTCCGTCACTCGTGGCGCAAGCAGCGTGGCCTGTAGCTGGGGTCGGCCGCTCGCGAGCTGCCGGTACGCGTCTGTCCCATGACTAGCGTGCCTCGCGCTTAATAAAGTGTAGGCTGACTATGGGCCCTTTGCTAGCATAAACAAGCATGGCGCTTTGCAACTCCCGGGGGGCGGGTCTGTCGTCGCTCGCTTGGTCGAGTAGAGTAAAACAGCCTGGTTGCATGAGACGAATCTGGACACCCCAAATTTGCTTTTTCGTTCGTAGTCCTAAGCTGGGGTGAGCTGTGGCTGATTTGCCTTGAGCTTTCTCTGATTCTTCCCTGAGCTAGGGTGGTCTCATACGCGGCCGCTGCACAGCCGCAGAGGCTAGTTTTCAATCCCCCAGTTTAGAAATGCCTTACGAGGGAACTTGAATGATGCGCAAGCTGCAGGAATCACCCCCGGGCAATACGTATGATTGCGAATTAACGCGTATGCCTAAGCATTATCGGATAGTAACTAGCTATAACGCCGAATGCGTCAGGGGTAACAAGGATAAGGGGCCGCACTAAAATAAGGTGGTTCGTATGGTAGGTGGTAGGCAAGTGATTAATTGAAGCCTATCTCGCTTTCTGGCGAAGCCAGAGCAAATCAGCTACAGCTTACCGCGGCGCAGGACTACGGACGGGGAATGCCAGCTGTGCGTAGATTCGTCTCATAGAACTAGGGCTACCCCCTGTTAGTAGACCCACGCACCCTCGTCGACATCAGAGTGAAGGCCGGACCGATACCCCAAGTTTTAGAGCGGGGGGATGAGTGTTTGCCCAGTTCTAGGCCACGGCTTGTCAGAAACACTGCACACTGGATTCGGTGGAATTGATGGGGTTGCAACTGCGTGATTGTATTTCTTCGGTTTTCCGGCTCTCTGGCCTTGCTAAAGAGCTATTCCTATAGCCTGTGAACGGTGGCAAAGATTGCGCGTCAGTGGCCACTGTTACCAATCCACTGTTCTGGTCGTTTCCAGACCCATCGTCTTCAACACTCAGCCTTGATGGCGTTCTGGCCTCTGGCCAGAACCCCTTTTCTTCTAACACAAGCTACGTAGACAGTTTTATAGTAGAAAACGATACTTGACAACTAAGGAAAGTACAGATACGTTCGATCCGGTATGTACGGAATCGCTGGCCAAAGGGCTCCGGGAATGGGGGAAGAAGACTTATAGGGAAGAACTGATGTTCAATATTCCTTGAATTTAACCGCGCTTACTGGCAGGTTTCGGTGCCTTACCCAGCCCTCTCCACATCTCGTGCGGCTTCATCAGCCTGTCTGGGGCGCATCTCAGTCGAGCAACACTCTAACAGCGTGAATGTTAGCCGATGCAGCAGGGTGATATACTGGAACTTCGCTTTGTCAGCGGCCTTTAGTTAGATCTGAAGACGTGCGTCATGCCATTTGGCCCTATTTCCCGACTTTTTCACTTGGAGCCCCGCGTAGCTTTCTCGGTTTTAGCATCTCATTTGCATGTTTAGCCAAATGCTAGGGTAACGGATTCCAACTCCAACAAGGGAGCCAAGGAATTGTAGCGTTTACCCATATAATCGGGACTCGGCGTGCTGCTCGAGGTGGCCCGGCCAAGCGAATTTCATATTACCCCTTTCCGCACTAATGAGCTCTAATCAATTGCATGAGACCGCTCACGAGCGTTTTCTCACATTCCGAACCTCTGGGGATCTAGCAAATTACTCGCTCCTTATTATACCCGAGTCATCCTAGGGTAGATCATCCTAGGGTAGATATATGTTTGCACTATGTAGCATTTTACAGACTTGTTTGGTTATCTGCCAGTGCCGCCCGACGATCTGCAAAGATGAAGATCGCAATTCTCACAGGATTGTAGCAGGCCCCCTTGTAGTCTTTGCCCAGCTCGACGCCCTCGCCAAAGATGCTGGACTCCTGTACTTCGGCACGGCGGTTAGCCCCAGTGACGGCAGCGACTCGGCGTACTATAAGCTCGAAAACGACATCAGAAACTTCGGCCAGTACAACGCCAAGAAGCAGGTTCAGAGCCTAGCACGGCTCAAAGGTAGGGTCTACAATTCAAAAGTGCCGAATCTAGAGTACTCTATTTCTAACACTTGGTTCAGGAAATCCGGCCAAGGGGGGCTAGTTGTATTTCTTGCAATTGAAAATGGTTTTGGCGATAATTTACGCTCATTTCTTCGTGGTATGTGGGCGAAAGTACTCTTCTGATCTGGATCAATGCCCCTTAGGTTAATAGGATAAGAAGTGGGAGGCCTCGACTAGCAGATTGGTACGTTCCTGGTACCGAGTTCTGTGATAAACAAACCAGACGACGGAACGTCACCTTTCACCTCCACTGTATCGAACCTTGGCATCGAGCTCAGCAGGCTGGCAATGCCCACAAAATCAAATAACGATAGTCAAAAACCAGCGGTGCCGGAAAAAGTTGCCTTCAAGGCTCCGAACGCCCCCGTGGCTTAATGAAAAAGGGAGATAGTCGTGACGGCCGAGATGGTCCGCTCCGAAGCGGCACTTCCGACCCTTTACAACTCTTGCCAAGGACCCTTCACCTTCCTGGCTAAGATATCAATCTCTCTTATATGACCCTGAAGCGACGGTGCTATATTCTGATCCATCGATGGTGGTTATGGGAATTTGCGTCGCTGGCTATAAGCATTTTAGCTATGATGGCGATTATTATCATCCTGATCAAGGTAGATGGGATAGCACTTAATAAGTAGTTATTCCATATCTAGCCAAACTTTGTAATATCCGCCCTTCTAACGATTTTAAAATCGGCACTCCTCGTCCCTATTACCGAATATATCAGGTACGAAGTAGATCTTAAATAGTCAGTATAAATACCATCATCATAACCATAATGGAGCGTGAGGATTCTTTTTCCTCACGCTAGTAATTACATTATTCATTTGTGCCCTACTATCTAGAACCTCTGTGCATTCATTATAGAGCAATAACCTACAGTGGCATTGTAACTCCGTCTGGGAGCGAGTAGCTCAACAAACCGTCTTTATATCGCCCACCTCACGATTAGCACCTTGCCGTACGCTTTGTCTTAACTTGACCAGTCTTTGCACTATGCTCAGGTGCAGGCCGTAGCATTACACTATACTGTTACGATCCTGGTTCAAAGGTGCAGTGGGCGTTGCCCGCTCGCGACAGATTGGCTGGAGTGGCATTTAGGGCGGGGCTCTCGGCGAAGTGGATGCAGCCAATCAGGGAACGCTTAGTATGATCAGTACGCCTAGTCGGCTCAGTTGGCCTGGGAGCGTACTGAGCATACGGAGCGCACTGAGCAAGACGGCTGCAGCCAATCAGGGAGCGCTCAGTATGGTCAGTACGCTCGATCGGCTCAGTTGGCCTGGGAGCGCACTGAGCATACGGAGCGCACTGAGCACATAGGATAAGGATTCTAATTGGTTGTCATAGTTCTATATAGGAGCTGGCAGAACGCTCCCCTTGGGAGAACGGTTCTGCAGCTATCAATGCATCTGGTTAAGCATACATTGGTTGTGTGTTGAAAGCCTGTCTTTCGCAATCTGTGCACGATACTCCTTGTCTTCTGTCATCTCCTACCTGCCGTCCAGACCCCCACAATCCTAGGCCGGGCCTAGCTCCGTGGACCCGTTGTCCAGATTGTAACATATACTCAGTTGCAGACCGTAACAGTTTCAGCAAGCCATTTCCAGATAACAACTTTCGTCAAGACACCAAAACTAGGCCATGCAGCAGTATAGGCTAGGCTCACCTATAGAGCCGCCCCGTTGCCTACCCGCTTCTAGACTAGGGGCAGGCTATCAGCCAACTTACGAAGAGCGGCTAGTGGCACACGAGCAACAACTGCCATATCGGTATGCTCGTGCATCCGGGCCGTCTGGCGGCAATTCTGTTGGATTCACCAGGTACCGGTACTGGAAGCAACAGGGCGTGACTGCACGCTGAAACTGGTGGTTCAAGTGATGATTGTTGATGTGTCTGTGTATCTGGAAGAAAGAGGTGGTCGTAGGCCACGTATATAGAATCCGTGGCCATGCGCCTCCACCGCCACCTCTGTGTGGCTGACTAGCGCGTTATTCCAACATTCCAACAAATTCTTACTAATACTCGCAGCAAATCTTCCTCCAACTTGCAATCATCGGCAGACAACGTTCACGGGTATCCACCACTCTTCACGCCCAACTCGATAAATACAAATTCGCCACCGACAAGCGAGTCTCGGGCCACTTTGAATGTCGTAGCTCCGAAGCACGGTTCCGGTTCTACAGACTTCGCGCAGTATAACAATTCTCCTATTGCCCAGCAGCCGCAAAGCCAAAACACCACCGGCCAAATTCCACCAGGATCCGCTGGGATGGTTGTGCCACCACTAGAACAACCAGATGGTAATAGTCGGGTTTCCGTTGCCGGTTATACCTTACCTAGACATGGAGCTCCCACAGGCCCGCCACCGCCCAATTGGAACCCGCATCTGGCTGGAGGAGGTAGACGGGCTCCTGGTCCGTACTTTGCACCACCACGGTCATCGTAATAGACTATAGGGAGTCTGGACATGAGTGCGGAACTATTTCTTATCAAATTCTTGTTGTTTGGCTATGAATTTCTTGGCTATTATTTGGAAGAGTAAAATGAGACTCACGAGCCTGGTACTCCCGCGCCGGTATCCGCCGCAAACCACGGTCGCAACCATTCGCGGAACAGAGCAGTCTCATGCAAGCAAAATGAAAATTGGTTATCACGCTCTTACACCCCCAAAATGTAAGCCTCCCCAGTACGTAAGCCTCTGATTGGTGGCAGTTGCTTCGTCGGAATTTGTGCCTGCGAATGAGAGTCTTAGAGACAAAGCCCAACCCCGCGCTGTAGGCCTCTTGCATGAGCAAAGAAGCTACTACTTATGGCAGCTCTCTTGCCTTTTCCAACCCCTTTCCAGCATACATTCCTCGTCAACTTTTATGCCCAGTCACCTGCCCAGGCCCGCCGAAGCATTGCACATCCTGACTCAAAGACACCGAAGATGCCAGCGACCGCATCCCAATATCAGCATTTCGTCCCGCAGTTCCTCCTGCGGAACTTCGCCCATCCCTACAAGCCCAAAAAGGAGGGCCCCAGAAATCGCAAAAATGGCAAGACCAAGTACGAGAAGGGAATGTTCCCAGGCGACAAGGTTGTCCGGACCCTGAATCTGACGGAGGACTCGCCCGTCATCTGCGAGAAGCCCATCTCACGTGTCCTGGGCCAGATGAACATGTACTCGGACAGCAGCAAGGTTGACCACCAGCAACAACACCAGGTGGAGAAGTTACTCTCCAAGCTCGAGAGCCAGGCCTGCCAGATCTTCCGCAGAATCACCAAAGCATTTGAAGACAACGAAGCGGGTTTATGGTGCGTACTTATGCCTCTGTTACAAGATCGATGCCAATCTCAACATTGTTCAAATCAGGATCACCCGAAGCGAGCGAGATCTTATTCGAAAGTTCCTCTTCATCCTAAAGTACCGCGGCTCAGGCTTCCACCATCGCTTTTACCATGACAAGCCGAAGGACTACGCCGAAATTGACCGAGAGCTCCTTCGCGAATATATGGCAGAGAGAGGGTTCACGTGCCCATTCAATGTCTGGCTGGACAACCTAAGGGCAATCATTGAGCTCGAGATGGATCCGGAAGGGGAGTGGAAGAGCAAACTGCTCAAGCGCATGTACATGGACGACGCCATGTGGTTCATCACTCATGCCCAGTGCAGCTACATGGCCATCTGCACGCCATCTGATATCGCCGACGAGTTTGTCTTGACTGACAATAGCTATAACATCTTTGAAGGGCCGAATACCTTTGTGCAGGACACGGACACGGGCGAGGTTGGGGAATCCGGGCACGTACCGATTCACGAGTTCGCCCCAGTTTCCCCAAAACTCATGATCGTTCTGCGGAGCTTTCTGCTTCCCAATCCACGTGAAGACGCTGACGAGAAGGTAAAAGCCTCACGAAATTTTTGGCGTTTCTGTGCCGTGGATGGAATCTACGACTACTGGAAGAAGTCGCTCTTAGACGACCTCCCAATTACCAAGGCCCGAAACAACTACACCCGTGTTTTCGAAGGCCGCCTCCAGTACCTCGACGTCGATGAAACCAAATGGAAGAGGCTCAAAAGCCACAAGTTCTACTTCTCCTTCTTCCCCGTCAGCACCAAGCACGTCCATACCATCAACGCCATTCTGCTGGACAATTGCTGGCCGTGCACCCACGTCGTCTTCGAGTCGGCCGAGAGCTTTACCCGAACCTTGGAGTGGTATCTGACAGCACCTTGCACGGTCGGGAAGATCATCATGGGGTACGACATCGAGCGCCGCGAGGCGGCTCTGAAGAAGCTCGAGACCATTTCACGCTCCCTGGGGTCTACAAAGGAAACGGTCTGGAAGCGGGAGTCTAGCCCGCCAATGCGAGACTACGACAAATTCCGCTTGAGACATGCCGAGTTGCGGCGGGCTTTTAAGAGAATTATTACTGGAGGGGACTCAGCTGTTGAGGAGGTCAGGAAGGAGCGGTTCGAGGCTTCCGATTCGCCCGCCATACAGACATACAGGATCTTAGGCAGGTCAAATATCTTTCTCTCTCGAGACCGCGGGCTTCGGCTACTGTCGCCAGGGAGGCTCTCTCTGACTTTCAACTACCTTACGCAGGCGGCACATTCGACGCCTTTAGTTCGGACATGGATCAAGTCCCCAGGATGTCTAAGCTGAGAGTCATGATTGACATCTGGTCTAGAGGAGTCGACGAGACGATCCGCCAACGGAACCGCGCTCTCCTACTCGACGCATATCTGCAGCTTCCACCGCATCGAGTGTGGCTTTACGTGAAGGTTGAAATCTGGCAGGTGCAAGACGCTCAGGGCCGTTTCCAGCTTTCCACCAACAAACTCTCTGGAAACGAGCCCGAGGACATTATCGCGCGAGGAAAGTGCCCCCTCCTTCATACTCAATTACTCATGACCAATGTTCCTCTTCCAAGCTGGCACGGGGATGGTGGCTAACCCTTCCACAGCTCGCCACTGTGTCAACCCAGAGGCTCTCAACAGGCTCATGTACCGCGCGGGCGTAGCCAGCGACAAAATGAGCCAGTTCTCGGATGTCAACCTCTGGGGAGATATCACCCTAGACTTTGAGGGATACCGACGTTGGGTGTTTGTGACGCAATGCACATTTGTTGGGCCAGGTAATTGCACCTCATCCCAAGCTTTTCTTGTATTTCTCTACCGCAAAAAGGGGAAAAATGAAATAAATAAAAGTTGCTAACGCACATGAATTATCAGGCTGCATCCGTGACTGCGGCAAGTATTCGCCCATTTGGGCTTCCAAGAGTCCTAAATTAATGGCCTATCAGGCACACGAGATGGCTGACCCTAACATGGATCATCAGGCATCCCAGATATCGAGAAGCTTGCGCGACAAGCGCAAGTCGAGGTCCTGAGGAGCGGCCAGCACTTGCTCGTTGACGATATTGACATAAAAGCTGGAGAGAGGCCGCTAATTGAAGAGGGTGAGAGGATTGAGCTGCTGACCCGAATTCTCGTAAAGTTGAGATTCCAGCACGCCCTCGAAGGGAAACTCGAAGAGGATTTGTTGGAAAAGTTGCATTCTGTTTTCTTCGACATTATGTATCCGACTCCGCCCCGTGACTGGTCGATGTGGTGGGTGTTCGCGTGAGCAAGAATACGGGGCGTGATTGGGTGGTACTGTGTCGGAGTACGTCGGAAAGGGTTGAGTATTGTCAAGTGAACATTATCCAAGTGCCGAGAAACATGATACCTCCGCTGAAAGGAATTTGGAATATATCATCATCGGTGTCTATTCTTATACCCGAATTCTTTGATCGAATCCTCACCAGCGTCATCCGCTTAATATCAAAATCACGAAGCCAGAAAATCGCCCACTGCAACTCCAGCATGATAACTCAAAATAACTCAAAACAGCATAACCAGAAAATGCCCGCTTGTCAATGTCACCTTGTGTCGCCCGAACCAACTTTGGCCACTCTCCCGGCCGTCATGCGCCTCTCGGTGGCGCGCTCGGCCCGGCGGCCAGACCGCAAGCGGCGCATCTCGGCAAAAATGGCGACGAGCATCCACAACGTCCAAATGACGGCGGCGACGATGATGTAGGTGCGCTTGCGGTCGGCCGAGGCGCCGGCCAGCTGGAGGCCGAGCCCGCCGTTGATGATGCCGACGGTGACGCCGATGCGGCCGTTGAAGATGTGCAGGTACGACCAGAACTGCCGCCGCTGCACCTGCTTGAACCGCCGGTGGTGGAGCCAGCCCAGGATCGGCTGCGGCAGCAGCGTGGCCAGCGTCACGAGGCCCACGATCGGGTGGTACTTGGTCGAGTCGTTTGTCAACTTTTTTCTGTTAGTTCTCTATCCAAAAAAGAGAAAAGAAAAAAGAAAAGAACAACGGAAAGAAGAAAGGTGAAACACTGACCAAGTTCCCGCCAGTCCCAGGAATCCGCACCATGCGCACGAGGTAGATGCCGAGCCCGACGCCGGCAATAAAGATGCACATAGCCGCAAGCTGGAAGAGGCCGTGGGCCCAGAGAGCGAGGCGGCCGGGCAGCAGGCGCATGGCGACGGAGCCGACGGGGAACAGCACGACCATAGCCAGGGCGGCGAGGATGCCGTGGATGGTGCGGTAGTGAATCGCCGCGCTGATGTCAAAGCCCGGCCCGCCCCTGAACCCGCCCGCCTCGCCGAATCCCCCGCTGCCGCCGAATCCGTTTCCACTGGTACCGCCTCCGCCGAACCCTCCGCCGTTGGCCGTCCCGTCGCCACTGCCCGTGCTGCCGGTCCCGGTCCCGGTTCCGGTTCCTGTGCCGATGGCGCCAGGGTAGCCGCTCGGTGGCCCGCCGGCCCCGAATCCGCCCAGAGGGCCGTGCGCAAGCGCTGAGAGGACTGTCTCGAGCGAAGGCTATTAGCAGCAGCAGAAGCAGCAGCAGCAGCAACAGCAGAAGCAGCAGCAGAAGCAGCAGCAGCAGCAGAGTACGGCCGCTTCTACTTACGCAAGCAGACACCGGCAGCGAGCCGGGCCGTGTTAGCGCGGGGGACGCCGCCGAGGAGGCTCATTGTCGTTTTTGTTGCAAAATCCAAATCAGTTCAACCTGTGCGTTCACTGTCCGCCACTGAAGGGACGGATTGGCAGATCCGGTAGAGAAGAGGTGCACGGTTCCTAGTCAGACTCTTGATCTAGTCGAACAAGAACGGGGAGTGATAGCAAGGTAGGTAGGTGAGACGCCACACTTTCCAAAATAGAAGCGGAGCAGGCAGGCAGGCAGGAGAAACAATGAATAAGTAAGAAAAACGCCAAGGCGGGAGAGAGCAAGGGCGGCCCCACGCGCGAGCGAACCCACCACATATAGCCCAATATCTCCCCGGTTCACTCTTTCTCTCGCTGAGGAGAGGGGTTGGGTCTTGCACGGACAAGCGACCGACCGACCAACCGACCGACCGGGAGGGGGTGCAAATGGCTCGGTCCATGCACAGGGGGACGACTACGTATGTGCTAAGGACAGGACAAGGACAGGAATATGCATGACGGTAGTGCTCTGCATTGACTAATTGCCTACCCAAGAAGCAATTACCTGGGCCTACCTCAAAGGAGGAGCCCGCACCGCCGTTGGGGAATCTGCGGGCTGCGGGCTGCGGGCTGCGGGCAGGGTCTCTGTTTCAAGTTTCAACTCCCCTTTGATGGCGTGGGAGTGGGGGATCTGGTTTGTAGGGATGAATGGAGGGAGGGATATTCGGGCTACGGCAGCGGAGGGTACTATGAATGGCCCCTTTCCTTTACTTGCCCCGGATCGAAACATGGGGTATTTCAGCTCCCAATGCCGTGGGGAAATAATTACGCAGCAAGGATTTATTCCCCTTTCCTTACTTTCTCGTCCTTCATTCTTTTCTGGTTTCCCTTTTCCCTTTCTAGTCAGACCTCTTTTCATCCGGACATTTTAGCCAACCAGTTACACGAGCCCACGCTCTCTCTCTCGTAGAAGCTGAACGAGCCGCTCTTGGGGCGTCGTCAGACGTGGCACACACCCACGGACTTGCGTTCACTCGTCGCGCATGGCGCCGTGTAGTGGGCCCCTGATAATGCTGTGTCATGTCATCGGAGGTTTTTTTGGGGGCACCTCTGGGCTGAACCAAACCAAGACGTGCGTGCGTACCCGTGTGCGACACACACAATTACCCGCTCGGCACCGAGACCACGCCTCTCCTATGCGGACTTGCCAAGGCTCGGGTCTTGGGGCGGTTGCTGCTGTCCCGGCCCGTTTCTTGGCTTTGGGATTTGGTGGTTTTTTTGAAGGCAATGGTTCGTCAGACTCGCTGGGCTGGTATCGTACTTATCAGCGATGCACGCGCTTGGCCGGTGCATATGCTGGGACAGAGGCGACTGCGACGTATACTGTGCTGCTGCTAAGGTTTTGGGGCGGTCTAGATTTGGGCAAATCAGCGTTTGGTGGTGGTGCTGGCTGGCTTGCTGAGCGACGCAGGTAAGGTATCATGTCATGTCTTATCTTCGGACATCCGGCCCGGCCCAGTGCCGCAGCGGCCGGCATGCATAGCGCAATTGCACGACATACCAGGTTGCGCCTTGTTCTCGGCCAGATCTTGGATAGTTTTTGGACAGGAGAAATTAGGTAATTAATTACGAAATAAAGCGCCGTGCTGCTTTCTAATGTGAATAGCCCCTTCTCTTCTCTTTTTTCTTTGCTTTTCGTTTTTCTTTTCTTTTTTTACTTCGTCATTTTCATCTTCTTTCTTTTTCTCCTAAACTTGCATTAAGGAAGCCTTTGGTAGGTAGGTTGCTCGCCTCAATCCTACAGCCGTTCCATGTTTTTCCATGCTATGCCTCAACCAAACTTGAAAAACCATCCCAACCTTCGTCAATGTTTATTTCTCTATCGATTTTGAAGTTTATTTAGATTTCTCTTCCATCTCTCCAACGCAGAAAACCAAACAAACCAAAAAGGCAGGACCAGCCCCTTCTTATACTACTATTGTGGTGGCGAAGTGGGTGGCGAAGTCTCTATCTAGAACCTTCGAGGCCCTTCTGCTTGACTCATTCCAACACTTACCATGCATTCAGTGGCCAGGTCATGTATGGCCGCCAGTCTTGGTCTTGGCTCCGCTGTGCGGGGCCATCATCTTTGAAGCGGCCGTCTTTTCATCTTGGAGTTGTGTGCTGAGCCGGGGCTGTTGTTGCTGTCGTCGCCGTCGTCACCACCGTACCTGTACGATCAATTGGCTTTGATATAATTCATCAAATTGAGAACGGGCTGCGCCTGTTTCAATCTGCACAAGTCTTGCAAAATCGGGCTGGATTAGAATATTATTTTCCTGTTTGGAGCCATCGGCGCCACGGCCTGGGGACGAATGCCACACAATATCAAAGAACGGTGCGGTGGGCATGTCAAGGACATTGTCAACTAGGTACCTAATACCTAAAGAGCAACTTGTTTTGTTTCGGAACCGGGTTCTTAGTCCCTATTCGGCTCTTTGTTTGTAATAGGTTAAAGACTAAAACTAACTCGGGAGTCGGTATCCAACCAGATGATGATCAATAGACGGCACAGAGAACAATGTCATTTTTACCCTGATTAGATAACAGCGGCTTTCAGGTCCAGATTGCAATTATACGTCTGAGCTTCCAAACATAACTATATAACTTGATACTATCCCCCCCAAAGGCAAGATTTCTGAGGGACAAGCAAACATGGATTTCCTCCTGTCTTCCCGACAGGCTACGGGGGAGTCTTCAAACCCCCCCAACTCTGGCAACACTGAAGGTTTCGGGCAAGTGCCTGATGGTTGTGAAATTCAAACTCACTCGGAGCTTTGTTGGGAGTGCCAGGGTGAGGTCTATTTGATCTGGCGCGCAGACGAGATTCAGGAAATAGCATGTAAACAGTGCCATCCGTACGTGGAGGGCCCGCAAGCGTGTTCTTGTCACGGCTGGTACGAGTGCGCCACCGGCATTGATTCGATGGCCGGCCGGGACGAACCCTGCATCGGCGTCAACTTCAGACACCACCGCCTGCACGTTTGCCCCTTCGACCCCAGACACCCTCTAGATCAACAGGACTTTGGCAACTGCAAGGTCTGTGCCACTGAGGTCGAGGCTGAAACTTCTACTCTGAAGAACATGTCGCCACCGAGCTGTTGGCGACATTGTACCGGCCTGAGCGGCGGGTGTTTGCCAAGGCAACCCTTGACGAGGCCAAGGACCTGGGCACAGTCCAGATCTACGAGAATCCAAAGAGAGCGCCTCTGCCAAAGGGAGGACCACCGGGGGGCCGCGTCCCCAAGGGAATAAAGAACCACCGCCTAGACATTTAAGAGAGGGTCGGATTCTACCTAGTCCTATAGCCCATAATTACATACTATTTACAACTAACCTAAGAAGATAAGGATTTAGAAAGGAAATTTTAGGAACTAAAAAAAAATTGTAAGAGAAGACAGGTACGCCTGATCAAGGTGGTCACAATGTAGGTGTTGAAGTAAGAGGGCAATGACTGATATTGGCGAGAGACTTCAACCTGGCCCTCGCAAAGGAAAGGGGCGAGGGCCTCTGATTATATACATGACAGAGTGTAAGGCGGGCCATTGACAAAGGAGTGAAGTCTAGGCCCGCTTCAAAGGAGTGAGTGGGTTTTGTGTGAGGGTTGGGGTTCCTTTCTTACAGAAATCTCCTGACAAACTCACTAGCTGCATGCCTAAATTTGCGTGAATAATATATGTAACTATAATAAACTCGCTTATTTCGTAATTCTAAAACACCATCCCTAGTAGAGTGTAAGTGTACCTATTCTAGACCAACCATGGCAGCGTTATTGCCGCAGATGCCGGCAAACCAGTCCTCGAGCTCGTTCCAACAGTTGTCCTCGTCCCAGTGGGGGAGCATGCGAGAGGCGCTGGAGCTTGGCGGCAGAGGCGAGAACTGCTCAGACTTGATGCAGTTGACGGTGGCGCATGATGAGAAGGTAGTGATGTTGACTTCGCCGTAGGATATTGACTCGTCTGCTCGTTGTTGTCCAAGCTGCACTCGAGGAATCCGCCTTGTCAACGGCAACGTGCGTCGCGCCAAGACTCCTTCTTCCTCCCGTTCGTCGGAAGAAATCGCCCGCAAGGCCATAAATGGGGCAAGGCGACAACAAGGTGTTGCCGAGTGCTAGCTCGTGGCATCGCAGCAGTTTATGCTCCTTCGAGGGTTCTAGGGACTTAGTACCAAGCCAAGGCTACCGCCAACCAAACCCCCGGATTTACTTTCTTAGCTTCCCTGCTGCAATGCAATTCAGTGAGTGCACCGTCATAGGCGAGAGGGGGTGCCACATCAGTCTTCCAGCCTAGCAGCGCCCCCGGAGGAGACGGCGGGCCTGTCCCCCGTGCCGCTTCGTTCGAACCGGCCCCTTTTGTCTTCTCCCGGTCCCCTCCCCTGCACTCATGAAGGCCCAGAACCTCTGTTTGTTCGAACAAGCCTCTCGTCTTACGTGCTGCGGTGCCTAGCTTAGTGGGCCAAGCAGCATTTTTGGCTCTCTCTCCGCCAGTTCGCCCTCAGCCTCCTTCCCCCATATCCACCCAACCGTTTAGGATGATGCAGCTATTGTCTCTTTTCTGAGAGCTTTGCTCGTTTTATCTTCGTGTCGGCCGAGTTCTGTGAGCAGAAACGAGTTTGACACTGATCGGCAAGTGTGCTAGGTCCTCACATGTCTCTATGGCAACTGTCATCTTGCTGAGTTGGTGATGAATCCCGCCTCCCATGTTTGGAGCGACGGAAAGACGGTGGTCAAGCGAAAGTCTCTCCAAGTCATCAACAATGATGTCAATGCCAATGAAGGGTACCGAGCTACCGAGGAGAAGCCGCGAATGGCGAGCCTTTTTGACAACAGTGTGGGGGCTGTGTCTGGTTGTCGATTCTCATTTCTGAGAGGGACTGTGAGGACGTGATTAGCGGGCTGTCAAACTTTCGAGTACCAGCACGGCCAGTTGATGAAAGGAAGATATCAGGTTTTTTATGCCTACACGCCGGCCATTTATCTTGTCTCTGTTGAGGCATTAGGTTTGTCAATGAGCCGACGTGAATTACTCACCCTGTGGGTTGTTGGATAGCTTGGCGGCTGATAACGTGGAATCAATCCAGTTCGGCTTTTGCGCACGAAGAATAACGATAGGTGGGTCGTTATAAGGCTCTCTTGCTTCTAGTCAGATATTTGCACAAGGTTAAAGACACTTGCAAGGGATGCCAAAATCAAAGCGTGCCTACCAATAAAACCCGTTGTCGCAAAATGATAGCTCCCGCCCTTGAGAGATCCTTTCACGTATACCTATGTCAGGATACAGGTAGGTATCCTACATTTAAGCATGTCCGGTATATAGGTACACGGCACAACATGCCCTTCAACCCGTTCTCTCAAGGCGCCCTCTCACCCTCTGAGCAAGAGGTAGTAAGTACTACAGAAGTGCCGATAAGGGTCATCTTAGTCTCAACTTGGTAGTACCTTTTGCCGCGTCTCAAGTGTGTAGCCACCCGCTGTGGCAGTATCTCCATGTCCTTGTGTGAGACGTTCATGTGGTGAACTGTGTGCAAGTTATATGGAAGGAAGCCAACAGAGGAGAAATCTGCGGGCTGTTGTCCGGAGATGGCCCCACCCATGTAGGGCCTCTCACACCTTGAACAGAAGATACCTACCGATTGGGCTGAAACCGCTACTTAGATCATGGCGTTAAGCGGCAAGTGGGTGACAAAAAAAGTGAGCGACTTTTTTTGGCCAGGCCAAGCCGCTACAAAAGATGCCCTAATTTCAAGCATCTTCACGGGGTATTATCTTGCACGAGGCTGATCACAGCCCGCTTCTGGTTAGGGTGAGGAGGTTGAAAGTCGCTCGCTTTTTGTCGCCCGCTTGAGCGCAAGCGGGTGGGGTAATGCACCACTGCCCAGCCGTGTGGCAGCCCAAACACGTGATTGGTCAGGCGCAATTTCTTTCATGACCGAACTCTGCAACCCAGACATGCTTCACCGGTACTTCACTAATTGCTGACAGATCTCCTCAGTGCCATTCTATAAAGCCCCCAAGTCGCTTCCCGACGTCTTTAGCTTCGCAACCAGGCACACTATCTTGAGCTCATTACCCCAAGAACTGAAATGGGCGTGGGCCACAGCAGGGTAGCGACCTCAAGGTAGAGACCCCACTGAAAACAGATAGACTGTGTACTACGAGTTCTGTGCTTACCTCCATCAACCGTTCAGCCAGGGGGACCAAGACTACCAGAAGCACCTTGCCGATGACCGTAAACGCCTCGGGCACGGTCAGGATCAACAACGTGATGTTGTTAAAAAGAGTCGTTCGTCATGTAAGTTTACCTACTCCGCGATCGAATCGAGCGCAATTGCGTCAAGTTTCGTGACACTGACATGCAAATTAACAGCAAGTATCGACACTAAGCACAACGCTGTATTCTTCTAGGACATCCCGGCATCCTACTAATAGTAGGCTCGGGAGATATCCCATGGGTTTAGACACTTTTCTGTGTGTGCAATAACGGAGCCTCGCCTTTCCAATCACTTCATTACTATAGCCTCTTCTCAGTTCAGCCAGTTTCTTATTGACCATCAATTGCGTTACAGTCATGGAACTCGATATTTTGCATCTTGGTCAAGTTCGGCGACCCTAGGACCAAAAGCGCCATCTGGCAATGGGTTCAGCGAGCTTTGGTCGACGACAAGGCTCTCGAATTTCTGCCCGAGACCGACACCGAGCTCTGTCGGCGAAGCAATGCGGTAATCGCGTCGAAGGCCCAACGATTGGCGGATCAGCCTCAGCATTTCTCACCGACTTTTCCTCTTTCATGCCAGCACATGCATTTCGCTCGCCCTATTTTCGAGACTGCAGCTTGTGTCACCCCCCTCCCAAAACGCCAATGATGCGAAGCGAGGTTGCTTTCACACTCGTCACATCCATGATGGCCCCTAAACCCAGCCACGATTCATCCCGTCTATCCGGTCACGATCTCTGTATAAGAGCAATCCGGTCCATCTCGGCCTTGACAACAAGCACTACAACTTGAAGCTCCAGCACGCCACTATCATGGCCGAGCAGAGTATGCACCCAAGGCAGAGCGTGAAGCTCGGGCATTGGACAGACCACTCTACAGGCAGTAAGTGCTCTGAGATTTTACATCCTTGCCTCTTCCTCCCCCCGGATCTCAAGTAGGTAGGCCGCTGAGACCACGCACTTGCTTAGGGGATCAGTACTTGTTAAGCGATTGGGATGCATCCGTGGTGAAAGCCCTCGCCGCGGTCTGGCTTGGCTTGGTAGGGCCTTACACGCTCCGGCTCTTGAAATTCCCGCTCGTCCACGGATTGCGGTTTTTGGAGAGATGGGACGGACGTGCCAGGACTGGGATGAATCAAGCCTTACTCGCAACCCCCCAACCTGGTTACAACGGGAGCGCCTCTGGAGCCCAAGGTCCCCCTCGGGCCAATAAAAGGACTGACACGCGGGACGAGACGCCACACAGCGCGTCCACTGTTCTTAACCAGTTCAACGGAGGACGCGAGTTATTCAACAAAACAGTAGCATATGCATACGATGGGAGAAATCGTCACAAGCTCACCTTAGCCCTGGTTGGGTTAGTTATTTTGGGGTCCTTTGTTGCCCGAGCGTTCGCCGGAGTTCTCTCTGCCTTGATTGCTACGAATAGTAACGCTATTTGGGCGTCCGACAAGTGCGGTCTATACCGTTTTGACAGCGACGGAGCAGGCGAGGAGGCGGCCACTCGTGCGGATGTGTTCGACCGTGCCAAAGAGGCCAGGTCTGGGGAGTACGCAAAACACTGCTACAATTCAACCACCCCTACGACTCTCCTCCCCATGCGTTGTGGCTTCTTCTACAACACCGAGATCAAGTTTAATACTACATACCATCACCAGTGCCCCTTTCCAAAAGACGACATATGCGCTCACGGGTCCCCGGTGGTAACATTCGATACCGGTCTCGTTGATGCCAACTCGATCGGGATCAACGACCCCTACGATTACAAGTTTCGTCGCTCTGCAACGTGCACCCCCTTGAGCACCGAGGGCCAGTACGTGCGTAACGACACCGCCAACGGAATCGCAGCCTTCACCTACTACTACGGAGAGACAGGGGACAGAGGCTACACCTTCCGTAGCATTGGTGATCCCTTCAACTGGCTAGTACCCAGCTACGACGTCAGGTCAGTCCTTCCATCCTGCACAATTTCCACCTTGACAGGCTTCAAACTCCTTACCCCCCCCCCCCCCCCCCAAAGCTAACGCACCCTTCTAGCATCCAATCCACATCCTGGTACGCCAACATCAGCAATTGGACCCCCATCCCCGCTCTGACCCCCCCGCCCAACACCATCCTCACCATCATGTTCATCTCCCCCCTGCACATACTCTACCTCAAACCCAGCGCCGACCCCATCTTCCTCGCCGACAAAACTTTCTACTACGACGGTGACCCCACCCCCATCTACTACAAAAACGACGCCAAGTACCGCGTCCTCGCCTGCCTCGACCGCCACGAGCTATGCCCCCCTTCGGGACCCTGCCATTCCATGACTGATTCCGACACCCTCTTTCCACACAAGATGTCCTCCCACCCCCGCAATACTTCCTCATGAAATGGGCCCTCGAGTCCTCCGACATCTACCACTCCCTCGCCAAGCGCCTCGGCACGGCGCTTGTCGCGCAGGACATGATCGCACAGTAAACCTCTGTGCCGCTAGGTGACAGGCACTGGGTTGTTGAGGCGGAGCGATTATTTGCGACGTCCCTAGCGAGAATCCAGTTTGATGCGTGGAGTATTGGGAGTGGGGAGGATAGGGTACATGAGGGGGAGAATGGGTATCGGGATGAGAAACCGGAAGGTGTGGGGGAGCTGTGTGGGCTTGTGAAGTTTCAGAGTACGGGGTTTATGAATGTGGGTGTTTTGGTGTTTTGGTTAGTTATGGGGGTTATGCCGTTAGTGTGGGTGCTGAACTGGGAAATGGGAAGTGTGACGTGGTTCTGGAGGGAGGTGGTGAGGAAGAAGCGAGAGGAGGAGGCGGAGGAGGAGGCAGAGGAGGAGGCGGAGGAGGAGGCAGAGGAGGAGGAAGAAGGAGGTGGTGAGGAGAACGTGAAGATGCTGGTTTTCTATTTACTGCTTTGGGCGGTGTTTTGGGTATGTCACCATCCGGTTCGCGCCGTGAAGGCGGTTGGAGCTGGGGTTCACTATGCTTGGGGAAAGTTGAGGGTGTGCTCTGTCCGGATGCGTCGAAAATTCAGGGGGTCTGCTACTCAGTCGGTGCAAAGCTCTGAACAGGCGACGGAAGATGCATCGTCCAGAGAAGCAGACTAGTCCGTACCTTGTCCTGAACGGCCCTTAGGGAACATCGGATGGAGAGAAGTTTGGCCTTTCGGCGTCAATGCGCCTAAGACTGTTTGAGGAATCGCCAAGGACTCTTAGAGGAATCGCCAAGGTAATCGAACAGTTAAGCTAAGCCTGTAGTCACGTGGCCATGTACTCTCATTGTAGCCGCATAAAAAGGCGCGAATTATGTCGATGACTTGCTCACCGGGAACTAATTGACCAAAAGCCTTGTCTTACCTTTGCGCGATTTTCAGCTCACGAGAGTCGACGACGCGCCGATTCCACCACGAGACGACTGACCCGCGACCCGTAAGACTCGTAAGGCTAGGCCACTAACGCGGCGATACATATTAACTAGCAATGGATTTCAATCCCGTTATTCTTGTCCTTTCAGCGATGAAGCTTGTCGCAGGCTCGGCCGTTAGGCTCACGACCGACGTTGCTGCCGGGCTTGTCCAGAAGGTTCAGTCGCCTCTAGAAAACGTGCCCGGTTTTCAATACTACGATACTATCGGCACCGATAGGCTTCGTCTCCTGCGATTTGTCGACCCCCTACCGGGCACCCCAGCAACCCACAACCTGCGCCTAGAACTAGTCCTAGAAACACACTCTATAGGTCTGAACTGCCCAAAATATGTTGCTCTTTCCTACGCTTGGGGACCGCCAAACATGGGCGCCCTGCAGGAGTACACGCCGGTGGAAAGAAAGTCAGTGTGGATCAACAGCCGTCGCTTTGAAGTTCGACCAAACCTCTACGATGCTCTGAGCCACCTCCGCCAACTCTTCCCGCCAGGCACGTACTTTTGGGCCGACGCCATCTGCATCAACCAGGAGAATAACACGGAAATTGGGCAGCAGTTCGGCATCATGGACCTGGTGTACAGCCGAGCCGACGAGACGATTATCTGGCTCGGGAAGAAAAGCCGCCACACTGCCGAAGCTGCCGTGCTCCTGACCAGAGACGCCGGGGCAGTGAGAGCCGCAGCCAAACACGTGCTCGAGAAAACCATTGCCGGCTATTACCAGACGCCCATCTTCGCCGTCGATACCACGGCATTCTCCCAGTTCGGCGTCACGCCACTGACGGAGCAGAACTGGACCTCTCTCGCTGATCTGTTCAGTAGACGGTGGTTTGGGCGCGCTTGGATGGTCCAAGAAGTGGCCCTCTCCACGCGCATCCGCGTCTTGTGCGGCGACATATCCATCGAATGGGACGTGATTGCGAACTTTGCCATCTTTATCTGCCTAACGCACACTATTATCAGCTTCCTCCAATTCTACCCAAACAACCCATCGTTCCTCTTCATGGCCGCCGGCTTTACCTTTACGACGTCGCTCGAGCTCGTCAGCTCGTGGTACCGAGGAAACGTGTTTGGTTCTTCTGGTCTCCTAGAGGGGATAGATTGCGTGGCCGGACTCGGGCTGGAAGAAAAAGGACCCGCGAGCCTCTTGCTCAAGCTCATCTTGAGCACCTACGGCTTCTCGTCCACGCAGCGGCGAGACAAGCTCTACTCGCACTACGGCATCTTGCACAGCCTGGCCGACCTCGACTACAAGACCCACCCCGGCTTTCTGCCAGACAGAGACAAATCCACACCCGATGCCGACATTTTCCTGCGCCTCGGTCGCGCCATGATCCAAGAGACCAAGACTCTGCATGTCATCACCCTCGGCGGCGAGGCAGGCTACCCTTGGTGGCCCTTGCCCGCGCGAATAAAGCACCTCCCGACATGGATGCCGGATTTCTCTCCCTACCGCATGAACCTTCCCCTCCTCGGTCCCAGCTTCCGACAGTCTCGAAATTTCGACAGTTCGGCCAGCCGCAAGATGGCCCAAATCCTCCCCGCACACAAGCTCCGCGAACTCGAGCCCCTTCTCTCCGACAATGACCCCAACAAGCTCTACGTCTCAGCCACCAGGCTCGGCACCATCACGCGCCTGGGAGACTCTTGGTCCGACATGTCCATCCACCACCGCTTCTCGGCCACCTTTGACCTGCTCCTCAGCCTCCCGTCCCCGTACCCGCACACGAACCCCAGCCAAGGCACCGCCGAAATCTTCTGGCGCACGCTCCTCACCGACAGCGACGTGTCCAACACGCCCGCCCACCCGGACCTCGGCCACGTCTTCTTCCGCTCCTGGCTCGTCTCCAACATCTTCCAGACTCTCCTCTCGCAACTCGGCGCTCCCGTATCCGCGCTGCGTGCCGCCATGAAAAACCCCGCCAGCGAACTCGACAGAGTCTTTTCCTCGGGACTCTTCTCTACTTTAGACCAACTCGCACGCGCCGACGACCCGACGGGCAGCGGCATCTTCCCCACGCAATCAGACCTCCGGCAGCACCTAGCGGCAATCGGCCACCCCGCCGCCGCCTCCGTGGGGGGAGGATCCTCGAGTTTATTGGCCGCCGCAAAAGGGCTGCTGCAGTACCAGGCGCGCAAGCGCGAACATATCCGGGGCATAGAAGGCGGCGCGCGCCAGTTCGACACGTTCGCGCAGTACTATGCCAACTACAAGCGGCTGTTTGCGACGGACACGGGGTACATTGGGAGTGCCACGGAAGAGATCCGGCAAGGGCAGACGGTGTGGTTGCTGTACGGTTGTCCGACTCCCATGGTTTTGGAGGCGGGCAGGGGGGACGGATGCAGAGTTGTTGGGGACGCGTATGTGCATGGGGCCATGTTTGGGGAGGCGGTGGTTGATGTGGAGAGGGCGAGGTGGGAAAGGATTTTTCTTGTTTGATTTGATTAGGAATGAATGCGTGAGAATTTAGGCACAGTTGAGTTCCCGCGAAAAAAGGGACAAAAAAGTACGATTGAGCATTGCACTACCGAGGCAAGTTCATAGTGCCAAAGCGAAGACTGTGTTAGTTGGGTATTCACAGGTTTGATGTTTTGAGTATATAGACTCTCTTAGATGACTATGTTCACTTTTAGTGTGTGCGAGGTGATAGGTATAAGCCATTTCACTGTTTATCATCTGTGATAAATCTGACTGTGGAAGTCCCTCCTTGAGCAGAGCCTCCTTGAGTAGACGAAATAATGCATACATAGACTCTCTCAGAAACGACTACTCCTGGCTAGTTGCTACTACTAAGAAACGTGTACTCGCTCTCGTAATCGGATCTTGACGAGCCTAAGTTATTTACCGCTTCTCCATTATTTACCGAGTTTGAGTTCTTTACTAAGGTAGAGTTGATAGCCTCGTTGAGTCACTAGACTGAAGCGATTGGTGACATCTGGGCACGTAAAAAAAAAACGAAACATGCGTGCGGCTTAAGCAACAGTTGCTTTTTACGCGGTACTAACGCTATCCGAAACCCATGCGTAGAAAAAATGGACCATAAACATTAACTATCGACTACTCCGTACTGCCGCATGACGCTAAGTAACAAGAAATTCTAGATACCGTGTATTAAGAAGGATAGGTAGTGTAAAGGGTCGTAAGAAAACAGACGCAAGCCCCTGCCATGCTGCCCTTCACATTTGAGATGCAAAGAAAGGTAAAAACAGAATACACCACCGTTTATTTCGCTACGACCACTACCGCTTTGTCCAATATATACGGGGAGCCTCGAAATCAGCTTTTTTCATGGGTATCCAAAAAAAGACCAGCTAGACCATTATCTACAGAGCGAAGGCGCCGGCGAGGGTGAAGAAGGCCACGATGCCCGAGATGATGAATGGCGCCTTGTCGAGTGGCGCCATGAGCGATACACCGGCAGCCTTGCTGCTCGTACCAGCAGCGGCGCCGGCGGTCACGCCCGAGGTGCCGGAGCCGGGGGCGGCATCGGTCGTTGAGCTGCCACCGGCATTTTGCGAGCCTGCGCCCTTGAGGCCGGGGCCCTTGCCCGCACCTTCGGTCAGGAACTGTCGAGGGGAGCCCGGTTAGCAAACTTGAGATTGTCACTGGAACAGACAATGTTGCATACCTTCTTGGCTCCATCGGGAAGGGCAGGTAGAAGCGTGGTCTCAACGATCCAGTTGGTGTCCTTGGTGGGGCACGGCTGGCTGGTGGCGCTCGGGTTGTAGCCACCAGTTCCGGTCGGGGCTGGGTTGTTCTTGAGGGCCTTGGCGAAGGCTGCAAACTCGTCGAGCTCAACACGGGGGCCCGCAAGGTTGGCGCGGCCGGTGGTGATGTTGACAATTCCGTACTTGTTCTCCTCGTACGTGTACTCGTAGAGCAGACCACCCGAGTAGACAGACGTCATCTTGTCGCTCATGAGCGCGTTGACCTCGCCAAAGTCACGTACGTTTGCGTTGCAGCCATACTCGGAGAGGAAGATGGGAAGACCATACCCACTGAAGGACTGGACCTTCTTGTCCCAGCCCGAGGTCACAAAGTCGCTGCTGCACCAGGAGTAGTCGTTCTAAACACCCAGCAAGCAGAAAGAGTCAGTATTATAGCAGTGGTGGAAAAGAGGAACGGAGGCTAGGTTTTAACTAACAAAGGCAAAGAAGTCGCTGCGTTCATCGTCGGTTCCGCAGTTGAAGTACGCTGCGGTCTGCATGCGGTTATCGGTGACATCGGCAGCAGAGTACCCTACGAGGGCGTGGCGGTAGCCGCGGGCGCGGATGTACTGTCTCATGTCACGGGTAGTGGCCTTGACATAGCGGGCAGCAAGAGTGGTGCTCTTGTTGTCGTGGATAACCTCGTTGCCGGAAAAGAAACCAAGCGTGTTGTCAAACTTGATGAAGGCGTCAATGGTAGCAAACACGCTCTGCAAGTACGCAGCATTGTACGAGGGGCCCGGGTTCTCGCGGTTGATGGAATAGAGCGGGTTGTTGGCATCGAGAACGACATAAATGCCGGCATCTGACAGTGCGTTCATGCAGTCGGTGTGGTCCAGAGAGTTATCGGTCGAGTAGACGCGCACCACGTTGACTCCGAGCTTCTTGAACTTCTCGATGTCGGGCTCGCAGATTTTCTTGTCGGCGAGCGGGTCGACATTGGCGGCCGATCCACCGGGTTGGTAGTCGACGCCGCGGATGTAGAACCTGTCATCGCCAACGAAGAAGGCGTTGCCCTTGGTTGTGACAGACGTGATGGAGGCGCGCTTGGTCGGGCCGGCCTGCACGGCTGAAACAGCCGCGAGCGCGGACACGAGTGCGAAAGACCGCATTGCGGATGTGGTTAGCGGGGCCGGGCGGGATGGCTACAGGTGCCGGCAAAGCAAACAGAGACGAGGGACGAAAGAGTAAAAATAAAAACGATTTAAAAAAAAAAAAAACTGCAGTTCAAAAGGCCATGCAAACGAGTGATTTGGCCGTGCAATTGAGAAGAAGGAACAAACTGGGAATTGGCGATTGACGTAGAAAACGACTGTCGGTTCCGCGAGGGAAACTTGGAAAGGGAGAGAGTTTCGGATTTTCACGCGGCAAGAACGACCAGCACTTGAACATGGAAAGGGGGCGGCCGTGGCGGGTTGGCACAATGCCAATGCAGCACTGCCATGCTCCAAGACGCCGCAAAAGGCCCTCTTGTCCGTCTTGGGAGTATCGTTCTGGGCGCCTGGGCTCTTGGAAGCTTGGATGGCGTGCGCCAAGGCCCTGCCAAGCTCACGCCGACGCCTGTTAAATTGCCTGGCCGCCGCCAAGCGCCAACTGCTCACGAGAGACTTGCTTGTGCTTGCTTCGCGCTCGCCCAAGTGGGAAGAGCCCTGGAGACCGAAACAGGGAGCCAGTGGCTTGGCCCATTTCGTAGGTGGATAACTCATATACACGGTTGCGTCGAGACTTGGAGAGAAGAGAACGTGCACTGGCCAGGCATTTTGCATTCCAACATCTTGCTCAGGAGGATGGCTGGGCAAAATGGACCGACGTCTGACTGGCAGAGGAAAACCCATTCAGGGGTGGAGTCGGGTGGGGGCGCCGTCCAATGCAGCTAGCCTGGTACCTGAGACTCCACAGCTCCGGTAGCCTTCAAGGTTGCAGCGGTGGATACGAAGCAACCCGTACTCACTAAATACGAAAGCATCACGTGTAACAAACCAAACAGAAGCATCAATGAGCCTTTGTCATAGCGGGGAAACGATTGATGCATGACCGTAGCAAATAAACCAGGAGATATTTGCGTCTAGATCGTCTGGTTTCCGAGTTTGGGGAACATGGATAGACTTGACATCACGCGCCTCCAGACGTCAGACGTCTCAGTTGTCTTGTCTCAAACATGGCCCCAATCGCTTGAATTTGAGTCTGAAAGGCGCTAGACTGCAATATATCGGCGCTCGAATGAAGGCCGGTCCTTTTTCCATGACATTATGACCTTCAGGCCTCGGTCCACCAGTCCCGATGACAACCCCTAGCCCCGAAGGTGAGAGTGAGAGTAAGATTCGGGCCGCGAGAAAAGCTCTCAAGTATTGCGGCTCTCGTGAAAAAAGAGAAAAAGAAAAACGATTGCATACTACCTACTCATCGAAAATATAAACATATAACTCGAAAGATTAATAGGGTTTATCTCAAACAAAAAAAAGCAATTTCTCAAAACATGCAATCACATGAAAGGAACCACTTCAGACAACACAACCCGGAACTTTTCTAGGCTCTATCAGAGATGAAGGGATATTTTTAACCCCCATTTCAATCCATGTCTTTGACGTGCTAAAAGCAAAGAATTTGAACAGAGCAATTTGCGGCTAACAAATGGCAATAGCTTAGCCTAGTTTCTGGTTAACAAAAACACCCATCATTAATTAGCTGCCTACCCTTTAAACGTAATAAGGTCCCAAGAGCTCATTTGCATCTGACCTCTCTCTCTTGCAGGCAATACTAACCTACCAAGGTGACCTCGATCCTTCGTCTCGCGTTAGCTCCACTTTATTATTGCCTCTCCCCTATCCGACCAAAACAAGTGTTTTTCTTTGTTTGATACGTTGACTGTACCATCGGTTTTCACTCGAAAAAAGGGAATATTCTATCGTCGGCATAGCCCTAACAGAAATAGAGCCATGTCTGATGCACGCGTTTGGCATTGACACTGGATTGGGGCGAGTGGTTACTATCAGATCATCCTTCAATCCTGGAGTTGGCGCCGGCCTCTTGATTCAAGTTCCTACAAGTCTAGGGAGTTGTTGCGGGAGTTTTGGGAACTATGGAGAACAAGGCAACGGCTATCTCAACTGTATGAGTGAGTCCCCGGTTTTAAGCCGTCAGCCTTCTGAAAGCCTAGAGGCATCTAGCCGTTTTGCGAATTGACTGACCCGCGTGGTGTTTGATGTTGTGACAGAGTACTGGTCTGCTACCACGTCATAACTGCCGCAAAATCTATTATGAACAACATACTCCAAGCCGTCTCCCTCTATATCTTCCCAAGGTTCGCCCGCACGATATTCTGTGTCTCGGTGCTACCGGAATTTAGGACGTGTATAGCGGAGAGATGCTTCGCGAGTTACGACACGCCTTTATTGGCAGCTAGTATGGTACTTGGGTTGAAGCTCTTCTGTGTGAATATAGCTACTTATAGAGTCCTGAATCTTTGTCTCTTTTTTTTTTTTTTTTTTAAAAAAAAAAAAAAAAAAGTTATATTTCTATTCCGATCAACCCTAACCCTTGCTAGTCAAAACCTTCCCCCCACTCGGCTGTTGCCGCCCCACTAACCAGCAGGCTGTTCTGATTCTGGTTGTTTACTCCAATTCTCGTCGAGCACCTGCGCTTCGAGTTGCTGCACCAAAAACCCAAGGCTACACGCTTGTGGCCGATTCACGAAACACCTGCCGCGTCAGCTTCTACTGGCTGGACTGGCGAAGGTCTGGCGCGCAGCAGCAGTGCCAATTGGCCCTCTGCCCTCCTCAGATAACTGGCGCCAGCAATCCTCTCCAGTCCCGTCTTCCCTGCAACAACCTCCCCGATGATGCCGCCGAAATGGCAAACCTCCACGCAACCTCGTCTTTAGCCCGCACAAGATCTTCTCGCCTGCCGCCAAACACTAGCACACTAGGCCCCGGATCATCACGGCCTCTCCCATCAAACAGCGCAAGCTCTGCGACTTTCGCCCCACAGACCACCGCCGCTAATCCGACCGCCTTGTCTAACGTGTCCTTGTTCCTGACGAACCTACGACTGCTCGACCTCGATCTGCACCCAGACTGGCCCGGTATCAGCGCTTTGACCTTCAGCACAAAGGATGTGGCCCAGGGGCAAAAGAAGCGCATCCAATGCATCGAGTGGGCGCTCTACTTCCTGTTCACGCTATGGGATCCCGACGAAGCGAGAAACAAGCTACAGCCCTTCTTCCCGCCTCTCGACCAGGTTCAGTCTCTGAATCTGCGCGCCGCCCTCCTACGGTGCCTCGAACAGGCCAAGAAGAATGGCGTTCTAGGCCGTGATGCCGTCGTCCGGAAGACGATGCTCGACGAGTGTAAGGGCGAGAGGCTGGAGGAGGTCCTGGCCGTCTTCTCGTCGGCCGTGCTGAAGAAACTGGTCGCTGAACAGCAGCTCAACCAGCCGCAACACCAGCACCCCGCCCTGGCCCAGTCCCTCGCACTTGAAAACCGCGGCTATTCTAGCGAACGCACTGAGCTCGTCGCCCTCATTCTAGCCCACAAAGCGTCACTACGGCAGACTCTCGACGGCAAGAACGCGGCGCGAGCCTGGTATAGCGATTTCTCAAACCTTCTGGCGTTGAAAGAGAAGTTGCTATCCTGCAGAAGGGAGCAAGCTGAGACCTTGTTGGCAAATGAGAAGCACGAGACGGATATCTCGGACGATCTGAAACTGCAGACGTGGCGCACAGTACGGAACAACTGGTCAGGCAGTGAACTTTGGATGGAGGCACTGCTTTACGGAGACGGCAATGCACGGAAGGATGGGCTTCTTTCCACGCCATTCGACAGAGTATGGCGGCGCGTGGAGGCGGGAAGACTAACCGAGCTTGAAAACAAGTCGACCGGTCTTGTGCAACAGCTCGAGGACAGAGTAAAGAGCCAGAAAGAACGATTGGCAAAATGGCAAACCTTTCGCCAAACGATGTTCGGAAAGACCGGCACGGAGCCGCCGGCCAGAGAGGCAAGTACGCAGCCAAAGCAAAGGGGTATTGATCTGGGGTTCAGGGAGCACGAGAATCTTCACCTTGGTCGGCTGAGTCCAAGAAAACTGCCACGTAACAAACCGCACGAGCTTCACGGCGAGTACGACGAACTCGTCAAGGGGCTTGAGGCCGAACTGGCGAGAATAAGCCCCAATATTAGCCAAGTCCCGTCCTTCTTCCAGCGACCGAGTGAGAAGAGGGTTCCACGACCAGATAGCCGTCTGGAGACACAATACTCTGAGCCAGAGGCCATCTCCGAGCTTAGCGATCTCGACGACGAACCTTTGGCCGCATACCGCGCTCCTCTTTTTCAGGAACCTTCCAGTGAAACAGACATTATACGGGAAACGTTCCTGCGGAGAAGCCAGAAGATTAGCCACGGGCGCTCATTGTCAAACACCGAGCAACCACCACCACCATCCCCCCGGCTGCGAAGATCGGCAACCATTCAAGCCAAGCATTCTATGCTTTCCAGCAGGCGGCCGGCCAACGGGTCTCCGACGAGGAGTCCGGAAAGACGGCCAAGCCCACCGCCGCCGCGGGCATCGCCCACTCGTTTTGCTATGCCGCCGCGGACCCCGCCCATCTCGGCGTCGCCCGAACGTGGATCCTCCCCCGAGCGTGATTCCTCGCCCGAGCGCGCCGTGTCCCCGACGCAGCAGCTGGCGAACCTGATTCTAGCTTCTGTGAATGCTGCGTCGCCCTCTCCTATTAAGAAGCCGCGCCACACGCTATCTCTTGCCGAGCGTACACGCCTGTCTATGGCGCGCCGTACCTCGCACGCCACTCTTAGGGTGGCTGAGGAGGACGAAGAAGCAGACGAAGAGCCCGAGATTGATCGGCTTCCCATCGAGCGTGCACTCGCGGAGGCGCCGGCCACCCCACAGCCTGCCACGCAGCCTAGCCACGGCAACGAGAATGGCCACGACGAAGACGAGACAGACGGCTACGAGGACCTGGTCTCGCGCACACGGCGCAGCATGGCGGGGTTCGAGGCGGCGCGGCAGAAGGCCCAGTTAGAGAGACGACGTTCGCTTCGCAAATCTAAGCAGGTCTTGCCCGGCCTAGGAGGCGGCGGCCGGAACAGCTACTTCCCGGCCGTGAACGAGGAGGAGAACACGACGCTCGTCCTGACGGAGGAACTGATCAGCGGGGGTCAAGACTACGATGAGGTGTTTATGAGCAGGCCAAAGATCAAGACCAGCCCGGTTGGGACGCCGAGCAGGGCGGTGTGGGACGATGATGACATGATATAAGATCGCATGCAAAAGAAAAGTGGCGTTGTAGCAACAGTTTATCTCTAACCAGTATATAGCCCGCTGGGCCGCCGAGTAGCTGACACACGTGATCTCAATCAAGAAAATGAACAGAAATGTAATTTGCAATGACAGGAGGAACATGTCTTTGCTATCCATAGCAAATGAATAGTCTATGTGCATTCTTCCGATACAGGTATGCAGTACAAATGACTTGTTTGTAATGCGTCTTTTTGGTTTTGGTACAGTATACAGCAGGGCCGTCCTTTTCGGCCTCTCTAATTGTAGCGGTCGAAACATAACGCCCATCTCCCAGCCCATTTTCTACCACCCTTGCCTCCGCAGCTCCGCGACGCGGGTGCAGACGGCCCTGAAGCCCTCAATGAAGCGGGTCCGCTTCCGCTCTCTCCTGAGCCTCTTCCGCTTGAGGCCAGGGCGCTCATGGAACTTCTGCTTGGCCGAGTCCCTCCTCACGCTGTTCTGAAGACAGATGCGGTTCAGCAGGCGGAGCGCGCGCGACGCGTCGATCGGGCCCATCACGGGCACCGACCGGCCCGTCGACGGCTTGAGGCGCACGTTGATGTCACCCTTCTCCATATTGTACTTCTTCAGAAAGTCGCTGGTCTTGAACTCCATCATGCCCGCGTCCTTGGCCCGCATCACCGCGTCCACCATCGCCAGCGGGTCGTTCTCGGGAGGCACGTACGCCTTGGCGTCGAAGCCCGGGGGCACGACGGCTTCCTTAAATCGCTCTAGGGCCGGCGGCGGTGGAGGTGGAGGCCGTGTTAAGCGGGCAAAGCTGTCGTTGATGGGCGCCTGGACGTTGCCTAGCTTTCGCGCTTTCAGTGACATTCGGAGTCGGTCCATGGCGGACATGGGCGGTTTTGTGTCTTGGGGCTTGCCCCGGCTGCTGGTCGCGCTCAGGTGGCGATGCTGCTGGACGACGGAGGCTATCGCCGTTGCGGGCTGGTGGTGGTGGCAGGCTGCGAGAAGGAACGACGGCCGCGCGCCGGCGCGGCATAGGCTTTGTATCGCTTGGCGGGCCTCCATGATTCTGTCGAAAAGGCGAGGGACATTAGGTTAGAAACAAGAGGTCTTAATGGCTTATAATGCGTGATTCGGTGGGGGAAAATGCGTACTCAATTGGCCGCGGATGGTAATCGTCGAGGTCCCGGCGGACAAAACACCCATCGAAATCGAACTTGCTTCCCCAGCCCAGAGACCCGTAATGATAAACTTGGCCCTGTTGCGATTTTCCAAGCCGAGTGTTCAAAGTAAGGCTAAGGCCAATTCAAGTTAGCGCAGTGAGCAAATGCTTGGGCAAGCTCAGCCATTGGTGTGGCTTGATTGTGGCACTTGCTGCTCTTTTTTGGCAGCTTCTCGAGTGCGGCTCCAGTGGCCCGTGCCACAGGCCAAGACGCGTGCCCGTTACACTTCGAACTTTCTTTTACTCGGCAGGCAGGTACGCGAATCGCAGAACAACGCAACAACCGACCTCGAACTATTCCGAGCCGAAAGTACAAAACCACCCGCCCTTCCTTTCTGCAATCTCCCCGCACATAACCTGCACTTCCTCACCACATTTCGCGACGCAGAACAATTTCCCTCACCACACACTCGGCGAGAACATTTACAGCGTCGCTGTCAAACCTGGTTTCCCTGTCCTCCCATCAACACTTTGACCAAAAGAAGTGATTGGGCAAAATATTGAAGAATTCGGAACTTCGCAAGGATCGCCGTCGCGCCGCATTAACGTCGCGATGGCATATAATCCTTACGGAGGTATGTCACCTCGGCTTTCTCACTTACTGACTCTAGATGGAGTCTTCATCCTCTCTCCAGTTCCACCCCATCGCATTACTGACCTTCCGGTACCCCCTCCAGCCCCTCCTTACGGAGCGCCACCCAGCTATGGAGCGATATTTCCAGGTGCGAATGCACCACCAGGAATGCCGCCTCCGCCTGGCCTAGGTATGTGACGGCCAAGTCAAATTCCCCTCACCCCTCCCTCACCTGCTAACCAAGCTCACCCCTCCAGGCCCTCCCCCAGGCATGTCTTCCGCCCCAGGCATGTCTTCCGCCCCAGGCATGTCTTCCGCCCCAGGCATGGCACCACCTCCGGGTGTTGCCCAACAGCAGGCTAATAGGCCAAGCGTGCCGATGGCATTTCAACTCCCACCGAGCTTTCCCAACATCAACGTGAACGCGCCGGTAATTCGACTTGGTAACATTGCCCCCCAAGCCAGACCTTCCCTGGGTGGAGATCGTCGAGACGGACACACGTCAGCTGGCGGCAACCGGCACGGAATGGGAGAGCGTGGATTCGAACAGTCGCGTAACCAGATGAGAGAGAGCATGCAGTCTCTAATCCCACCTACGTCTGAAGAGAGACTTCGGACCATATTCATTCACAAAATCCCGGCTGGTGTTGGTGGCGAGCAGGGCATCCAACGATTGCTAGGTACCGTGGGCAGAGTGCGGAAGTGGGATTCGGCACTCTCTCATTGTGAAGCCTCGAAGGGTGAGCTCTACGGATTTGTGCAATACGACGATGCCGAATCGCTCGCTTGTGCCTTGGAGGCGCTCAAAGATATCGAGGTACCCGTGGCGAAGCAAACCCCGGTCGAGAACCCGCCCCAGGATGACGACGGCTCGTTTGCGGATATGGCCAAGGTTAAGCTTCAGGTTGTAGCCGACGAGAACACGGTCATGTACCTTGACGACTGGAAACGCAACCAGGGTGACGATAACAACCTGGAAGCCAAAGTGGCCGAGGCCAAGGCCGCCTTGAAGCAGCACGTTCGCACCCTCTTTTACCCTCCAACCCGCAATGGACAGGATGCAGATGGAGACGCCGTTATGAGCGACGGAGCGAATGGACTTGGCGAAAACGTCGAGGTCATTAATATTCCCCTAGCACAAGAGGATGAGCTGGCCGACATCCCAGCCGAGATGCGAGAGACCGTTGCCTCAGAGATTGCGGCTTTCCGTGATAGAAGCAATCGACGCGATATGGAGCGTCTCAGAAGAGAGGAGGAATTTGAGGAGCAAGAACGCCAACGAAATGGTGCCCCTCGTACCTCGGGTTACGACTTGCCAACAACGGCCTCGGCAAACTCTAACATGGTCCCTCTCGGCCCACGCGGTGTGCACAATGCGCCTTCTGGTCCCAGAGGACAGGTCAAGGGCATAGATTTTGTCAACGGTGGAACTACGAATGGATTCGGGACTACCAAATGGGAAGACTCAGACGACACCGATACAAGCGACGAAGAGCTGTATCGCAGAGAGCTCGACAAGAAAAAGGCGGAGGAGGAGAAGCTTTACCTCGAGGCCGAACGAAAATGGACAAATCGTGAGCGTCAACGAACTGCGGCCCTCGAGCGGGAGACTGAGCGCGAGCGAGCCGAGATTGATGGGTTTGCCCGACGCCGAGACGAGCAGCTTGAGCGTGAGAAGAACTGGGACGATGAGCGCGAGTCGGCGAGAAAGACCCATCCCTACTACCGGGATCGCGCTTATTGGGCTCGGACAAGAGCTCAGTTTCGAGCGGACGAGGCTGCAGCAGACGATATGGATCGCCGTGCTGGGGAAGACGAGCGCCGCAGGGCTGAGGCAGAAATGGAGCAAGCTCGTGGTCTAGCAGATTCATTCCTTGAGCGTCAAGCAGAAGAAATGGAGCGTCGACCCGAAGCTCCTGTCGCCGCACCCCAGCGGCTCACCATCTCTTTTGGCGCAGCGGCCCAAAAGGCGCAGCAGCGCTCGGCACCCGTCCGACGAACCGTTGCTGAGGTTGAGGGACTTCTGGACGACGAGGAGCACGAACACACCACCAAGCGCCAGCTCGTGCCCATCAAATTCGAGCCTATCACCAACACCAAAGCTATGTCGGAGGAGGATATCCACAACGCCGTCAAGGCTCTGGCCCAGGAGGTGCCCGCAGACCGAGACGAACTCTGGCAGTGGGATGTCAAATGGGACTATCTGGAAGACTCGATTATCCGCGAGAAACTACGACCCTTTATTGAAAAGAAAGTCGTTGAGTATCTTGGCATCCAGGAGCAGTTCCTGGTTGATGTCGTGGAGGAGCATCTACGCAAGCACCTGAAGCCATCCGAGCTTGTCCTAACGCTTGGAGAGGCCCTTGACGAGGATGCCGAGGATCTCGTGAAGAAGCTGTGGCGTATGCTTATTCTCTACACCGAGTGTGAGAAGCGCGGCCTGCCCGCCTAAGTGGTTGGCCTGGGTATTTGAACCGAATTCACAAAACCAGAGGATATGTTTGCAAAAAAAATATTTGCAACCTATTCTCGTTGTAAGATATCCATCCTGGGGCCGTCATTTCGGTCGGATCACGCACAGTTCCTCATGGAGTAATTATCGGCGTCCGCTGAGCAATGTCGATTCCCATCGTCCTGACCAGCTCCTTGTTTGTACGAATACATACCGTAGTATCCCAGAACATAGCCTGCCCTAGGCAGAGGATGTACTAGTGTAGTGGAGACTAAGAGAAATGAATAAATGCCATTGTGACCTCCATCGGTTTACTGGAAATGGAACTGTTCATTTTGTTGCAGCACTGGAAATAGCCCGGTGCCCTGGTTAACGCCAAATATGCCCGCCCCCCTGACAGAGCGTCTGTAGCGGCGGCTTCCCCGCAACGCCCGCGCGGGGCTACCTAAACATGTAAGCTGTGGGGGACGCATTAGCGGTGCAGCAACGCGCGGGACGGTTGTGGACGACGCGTCCCTTCCCCCCCCCCACCTTACCGGATTCGCAACTTTCCATCAATCATCCAAATGGACACCATGCAAGATGCCAAGAAGCCGGTACATTGCGAATATACCAAGCCCGCTGCTCTCCAGCGTTGCAACGAGATGAGCATTGTCTTTCCAGTCTCATGGCTCCTCTGGGGCTTGCTGCCAAATGCAGCAGCCTCGCCATATTGCCCGATAGGTGGATCAACTGCTTCCAGCATGCCCCGTGCCGGGTAGCATCCCGCATCTAGCATCTAGCATCTAGCATCCAACATCAAGTATCTGGGAAACCCGGAACGTGGGTGCGGCTGCTGGTTAATCGTCTTCTGCCGGGTCTACGGGATACGGGATATATGGATAGGATGGGTATTCTGATAAAAGCGTGCCCAGCCGCCGCCCCCGCTGGCTTACTGTCTTAACATCGCGAGCTCAGACCATCGCGCTCCATCGTTAGCCAGCCTAAGTAACCATGAAACCGCTCCTACTGTCGTTTCTTGCGGCGGCAAGCGGAGCATTAGCTAGCCTCGACCTACCTGCCGGGATTCCACGCTCTCTGTCCGAGTTCAGGAGGAAGCACCCGTACAAGCTGAAGCAGAATACGGGCCGGCGGATTGTCAACATACGGGCATCAGCCACTGACACGGACGACGTCGCGGATGACTTCTTGCGAGGCCTCCACAGCGCCAACCGCGGCGGCACGCTGAAGCTGCCACAAGGCAAAACGTTTATCATTGGCAAGCCGTTAGACCTTACCTTCCTCGACGACATTCACATCCAGCTTGATGGCGAAATAAGGTTCACCAACGACACGCCCTACTGGCAGGCAAATGCCTTCCGGCACTCGTTCCAGAACAGCATCATGTTCTGGAAATGGGGAGGCAGCAATATCAAGCTCTTCGGAGAGGGCGTCTTGAACGGCAACGGCCAGAGGTGGTGGAACGAGTTCTCTGGGCTCGAGATTCTCGACCCAACTAATGCCTATCTGCGCCCCGTCTTGTTCTATGCTGAGAACGCAACCGGCCTCAGCATCGAAGGAATACATCTCAAGGACTCGCCTTGCTGGACAACCTTCTTTGTAACGTGTTAGTGCGCAAGGCTCGGGCTCCTATCGGCGCGCTCAGTCGGCCCTGTTGCTGATTTGTCTCATATCTGATAGCCAAGGACATCTCCCTGAAGGACGTCGCCTGCACCGCGCAGTCCAACAACGCGGCCGCTCTGCCCAAGAACACAGACTTCTTCGACTCGCTCAATGTCGAGCGTGTCACGGTAGAGCGGGCCTGGGTAAATATCGGAGATGACTGCTTTTCGCCCAAGTCCAACGCAACGGACCTGTACGTCAACACCATGTACTGCAACGGCACACACGGCCAGTCAATGGGCTCGATTGGCCAATACTCGGGCGAGAAGAGCTTCATCCGCGACGTTCATGTCGAGAACGTGTGGTTACTCAACGGACAGCACGGCGCTCGTCTCAAGTCGTGGGCTGGGCCAAACGTGGGTTACGGCTTCATTGACAATGTCACCTTCAAGAACTTCTGGAACGGGAACAACGAGTACTCGGCATTCCTGGACTCTTGCTACTTCAACGTAAGCCTATTCCCGATACTATCCTTAATACAATCAGTGTGGGCTGGTTTGACTTACACCGAGCAGATTAACACGACAGCTTGTGCCGCCTACCCATCGCAGGTCAACATCACCAATGTCTTGTTCGACAACTTTTCGGGCTACACTTCTGGCAAGTACGGCAGAGCCGTGGCACGCCTGACTTGCAGCCCAAATGCGATTTGTCAAAACATCCAGTTCCGGAACTTCAATGTCACGAGTCCATGCGGAGGCTCACCAGTCATCATCTGCGACGGCATCCATAGCGGTATTGGTCTCCCCTGTGTCAACTCGACAAGCGTCGAAGCAACGGCTGCACTCAGAGAGAAGTGCACGGCGGCAAGCATGGCGGTACTTCCAAGCGCAACACCTTGGTAGTTATATTTTGTTCTTTTTCTTGTTTTGCTAGGGGGCATATATATCCAGGGATGAAGATGCAAATTATTAAGATTAAACCACGACCCGGTCCGATCTGCTTCTGCCCAAAAAGAATCACACACCAACACGCACAGGGTTTATACACAAGCCTGTCCAGTGTCAACGCATCCTCCCGCTCGATTTTCTCCATCTGAAATTGCCAAAAGCGACACTACCCATCAGGGCAGGTAGGCACATCCCGTCTTATCTAGAGCGCAGCAACAACGCCGAGGAAGCCAGCCGCAAGCACAACGGCGCCGGCAAGGCCAGTCTCGCGCGGGCCGCCGTTGGTGGAAGTTGGCTTCGTGTTAGAGCTGCCGCTGCCGGAGCCGGTGCCAGCAGCAGAGCCGGCTCCGGATCCAGTGCCAGCAGCAGCGCCACCGCCCGATCCAGTGCCAGCAGCAGCGCCACCTCCCGATCCAGTGCTAGTAGCAGAGCCACCTCCGGTGCCAGTGCCTGCGGCCGAGCCTCCGGTGGGGCTAGCGAAGCCAGTGTCGGTGCCCGAGGCCACGCCACCTCCGCCTGTCGAAGTAGCAGGAGAACCTCCGCCGTTGGCAAGGGTGCCGTCAGTGCAGAAGGGCTCGTTCTGAACGGCGCTGCTAGCGCCGGGGCACTCTGAGATGATGCTGTATAGGTCGTCCGAGATGGAGTAGTACCACGAGTAGGCTTTGGTCAAGTAGCTCGAGAATTCACCCCCAACGGACCCATCGATGGAGTAGGAACAGGGGTTGGTGATGGGGTGGGCCTCGATGTAGCTGGCGAGGTCGGGCGGCGGGGTCGGTGCCGAGGTGAAGAGGGACGCCAGATCTGTGAGGCAGGCAGTGGCGAGGCTGGAGTCGTCCGTCTGGCGCGCCGCGATGTCGCGGTTGTAAAGGACGTGGGCCGGAAAGGGGAGGTCTTCGGCCAGGACGGCGACGGCCAGCGAGGCCAGGACGGTAGCCTTGACGAACATGTCGACTTTTGTTTATGACTGGTTGGTGGTGAGGGTTGGACTCTATCCTTTTCTTCGGGTTTCAAGGCAAAGCGTCAATCGATATGGAAGAAATGTGAGGAGCGGGAGTCCATAGACGCGAGCAGACGAACGGCACCCGGCATCATTTATAAATGTCCGTTTGTCACCCTCTTCCATCTCGCTAATCAATTTAACCTGTTTCCCTAGCTCGCTTTTTTGCTCTCAACGGGTGACACTCCCAGTTTACGCCCTGTGGCATCCATGTCGCGCGCCTCAGCCCCTTGAACGGGATCCTCCACAACTGGCACAACAAGCTCCTCCCAGCAAATTGGGGACTAGGCTCTGATGGGTAGCTACGGGAGCTCCGCTGAAATGCGACCCGCCTCTTCCAACCGTCTGTCTGGTTGTCAATCCACACTCCCTGGGGCCCCTCCACCCGCTCTGCTTCCCTTCTCTGGTTCGAGATTCGGCAGTGGCAGCCAGGTTTAGCTTTTGGAGACATAAACTCGGACGGGGTCTGACCTGGTCTAGATGCCCAGCAGCTTCTATAGCATTGTACAAAACACAAGGCGCTGCTTGGATCCCGATGCACAACAACTGGCTATCGCCTTCTGGTTGGCCCAGCACAACCGCAGCCCCTTGCCCTCGCCTGTCACAGTACAATCTCCATCAGACCTGAACTGTCATGGCCTGCCTGCCGAGGTCTGAGCCCGGTAACGTAGCATGACTGCGGTATTTTTCTTTGCTCTTGACAGCGTGTTTTGCAAAGAATTTCTCTGGGGATCTCCTAATTTCATACTACTCACTGACATTTGACAATCGACGTGATCGCTCCTTGGCAGCGGCAGTGGCAGAGGCACGCACGGCACCGGGGCCGTCTTGGCTAAAGCTGGGCGGCGGTCCCACGTTCAGGGGAACCACTGAAAGCTCAAAGCAAGCGAAGTGGGTTGACTTCCCGAATGAGCTCGCCTTGCGGGGGAAGGGCCAAGAGTTTTTCGCCCCCTGACCAGGCCGATTGATCGTAGAAAGTGGCGCCCCCATCCACTGCGGCGTACTCGCACTCGTGTCTGTTTACGGACAAGGAGGCTGCTGTCGCCAGCTGGAGAAGCGAGCGACTGGTGAACATGTGGCGCTCTGCATTCCCGTGCTGTGCAGACATGCAGACACGCCAAGCCAATCAATCGCGCCCGTTTCAATATCTCGGCCCAAGAAAAAAAGCAGTGCCCTCCTCTTCGTCAACCCAATTGCCGTTTGGCGTCTCGAGCCAAAAACGTGCCACAGGGACCAATTTAAACCATTCAGCCCCAACGCCACTCTGCCAAGGCCAGCCAATTGAAGCCCACAGGACTTGGCATTCACCACAATTCCAGATGCACCCCCCCATCTGCGCCCCGCCTCTGGAACCGGGAAAGAGCTTTTTTGCCTTTCCAGCCTGGGAGCAGACTATTGAAAAGATGCCAGACGTTTTATTCGCCATTACGTCCCGAGCATGGCGTTTTTTCGTTTATGCGCGGCGCCTGCGGGAGCCAGCAGCACAAGTACAAAAAGATTACCCCCCTCCTTTGCGGCGTAATTAATAAACGGCTTGTTAGCGGCCTCGCACAGAACAATGTTTCAAGCGAAATGCGCCTCGCCTGAGCTTCCCGTGCAGCAAAACCTAGAAGCTGATGAGGGGGGTAACGTAATTGAGGTCGGTCGGTGAACTGGCAACTCTCTGCAGCAATGCCTGGGCGGAAGAAGATAGACTTGAGGTTGCAGTCTGCTCACCGAACTCTTGGCTGACGTGCTGGGTGCCAAACTTAAAAGTCAGAGGGGATTTGGAGAAGGCCAAAGTGGGGCCGTCGATGAGTGTTGGACAACGCATCTCTCGAAACTCTGCAATATCATAGGTGATTACCTAGGTGGCCAGATAAGTCTACTTCGAGCACGAACCTAGCGTGTTTCCGATTGTATGTACTTATCGGCACAGCAGTTTCATTCTTTCAACTATTTAACAACGCGTTTGGGACTTTGTTAATTACGGCGAACAAACTGGAACTCCACCAATTAACAGAATCTCCATCAGGCTGTCTGCGAAATTCCCTGAAGAGGGCTTTGGAGCTTGCAGAGTAAAATAACTAAATGCATCTGATAGGCTCATGGGATCAATTATAAACTACAATGATTGGACACTAGACTTGAGCTTTTGGGCTTCGGGAATAATTGCAAGTATTTGAACGACATGATTTCCAACTTTTTTATAGTCAAGACTCTGCCCGAAAGTTGAATCCGCCTTTTGGAATCCTACTATGAAATGCGAATAAGGAATGACCGTGGTCGTTCGTGTTGTATCCGTAGAGCAAAGGCAAGACATAACATCCCATTTCCATCCGTAGCTCCAACGTCTCACAAAGCGTCTCACTCAACAGCAAACTGGCTTCGTAACACGGCTCTTGATAGCAGCCGGACGCCATGCCAAACCGATTCAGCAAACTACAATTATTACTGACAACATCACCAAGAAAGGGCAACTGACCTCGTCTGCCACCAATATAGAACTGGTTCATGACCACCACCGCTCATGCCGCATGCTCAGCGCCAGCCAGTGCTGCATACTGGGCGTGGCGTGGAACAGGGGCGGGCGAGATGGCTTGTCGACGGCGACGAAGACAAAGGAAGCCACGACAGCGTGGGCGTCAAAGTTGGTCTGATACGACCGGGCGACGGCTGACGGCGATGGCGGAAGCACCTTGTGCGGCACGCTCACAAGACCGGGCTTCTCGTACAGTAGCGCCAGCGTGTTCCAGTTCGCGTCGTGTCTGTAGAATTCCGTTATTTTTAGCTCGACGCTGTGAGTTGAAAGGGGATGAAATACAGGGCAGATTGAGAACCAGGAATGAAAATGGGAAAATCAATCAAGAATAAATGCACAAACAGAGACGTTCATGGTGAGATGAAATCAGGGCTTACTCTCTAAACAACGCATTGCTGCCTGCTGCAACGGGAATTGGACTCAAGCTCGCGTACTCATCGAATCCCACGAGCTCCCAGTTCTCATCGGGCGGCTCCTCCTCGACTGATTCGCAACCGCACGATTGCGCTTTGGTTTGCTTTGCCTTCATAATGCTGGCTGCCATGGTCACGATAATAGTGCATACGCAGCAGAGTAATGTGTAAGCGGTGTTCAAGGGGTGGTGTCACCTGCCAGCCTACTTTGACTAGTTGGCTTTGCTATGATCAACCATCTCACTACGTCAAACCACATCAAATTAGTTTCTCACACATCCACCGGCGCGTACTTATGCTTTTTGTAGCACGAGCTTGACTGCGTTGGCGAAGTAGCGCCCTCTGATATATGACGCGACGAATGCGACACTTGAATCAACTGATCCGGGGCTTAATTCGATTCGTGTGCCTAGATCTCTGGGCGCGGGAGACATGTTTAGAGGCGGTTTGATTATCGCGCTTATCAAAAGCGAATAGATTCTGCGGTTGCGGTGCCGAGTTTGGGAAATCTAGGCCCTGTCAGCTTCTTGGTCGGTTCTAGACGGTGCCGCGAGGAGAAGTACGGTGAGATTGCGTCCCGATCTGGAAATGCCACCAACTGCGCAAGGCAGAATCGAGGCGGAGGTTTCTGACGGATCGTGTTCTTTTGGGCCTTCTATAATCCCGATTTACTTGGCGGGGGAGACGCGGTTCGCCCTGCCGTGGAATCGGGTGAGCGATTTATGGTTGCCAATCCCCAAACTCGATTTTCAACAGCATTTGTTTCCGTCTCCATGACTTACCGAGAAAGGTCGATAAAATGCAGTGCATGATGTACGCCAACAACTATTCCCAGCGCACTTGCGTGGTAACGCAACGTATTTATTTGGCCGAGTTAGAAAAAGATGCAAGTCGTCTGCCACGTCGTGAGTGTGCGAAACCCCCCCGACCCTCTTTGTTGAGATAATACAGATAAACCCCTTGACCGCCCTGCTTTCGGACTCTGCCAGCCCAGCGTCCATTAAGCATAGATGCATTTGCTTCATTTCTCAAATATTTCTACACAGAGGTTACCATTTCGCATGTGACAGAACAACGGCTGGGCAGAAACCAGACCTAAGCTTTCCTTGGCTTCAGTCCCTTGGCGCGTATTATACACCCGGCCTGTACATCATGGCTACTAGCGTCAGCCTCTCGTTTTCGCCTGGAACTTGGATGATAAAAGTGCTAATCGTCTCAAAGCCCAGCCACGTGTACAACTCGTAGCCCATGGGACTGGCCATAACCGTCATGTCCTGCAGACCCTCCTTGCGCACGAGCTCCATGGCCCAACGACACAGCGATGTGCCATGGCCTCGGCGCTGATAGTCAGGTAGCGTGGCGAGGATCTGGAGGTGGATCTGGTCGGGGCCGATGGAGCCAAAATAAGTCTTGTACGCTCTGATCTGACCCTTCCAAAAGGCATCAAAGTGCTCGTGGTTGGCATCCTTGCGGGTGCTACCGCCTTGCTCCTCGACCTCAGTCACAGCTATTACTCTGCGTGTCAGTGACCCGAACAACAAGTTTGCCCCCTCTGCGGGCAGGGAGTTGCGAGGGGCGAGACTTGCGGTCCTGAGTCTGGTAGTCGGGGCCGTACTGTCTCTTGTTGGCATACGACACGTCCCAGACGCCAAAGGCGACAATCATGGTCTCGCAGTCTGGCTCGAGGGCGTCCTCGACCACCATGACGCACCAATCATTATGTGTAGGGTCTAGGAAAAGCTCAAACAGCATGCGCGTGTACTTGTAGTGGTCGTCGGGGTACTCATACCGTAGTGGGAAGCGGTAGTCCCACTGCGGGTCAAGCGGCATGGCCTTGATGATGACATTGGTGATGGCGTCGACGTCCGACATGAGTCCTAGCCGTGGTCTCATTATATGTACCTAGAAAGCGTGACACGACGGCGCGCTGCAACAGGGACAGAAAACCGGGCTGCGTCTGTAACGAGAGCAAGGCGAACCCAAACTTTGGTAGAGCAAAAATAGAGGGACAAAAAAAAGGTAGCCCTGGTACTATGGAAGTATTGGAAAGGGGCGGGGAATCGGTGCCACCGGGGCTGCCCAAGGCAGCAGCCTTGGTTGTTACATAGGATCCGTCCCCGGAGTTTCTCGTTCGTTGCAAGACTCCGGACCTCACCGTTATTAGGACCCAAAAGTCAAAATAGGGGAATTCACGCAAAGGGAGCCGCAAAGGAGGCGTTAGGGCGGCGGCCACATGCTTCTATGGTTTGGCTTGAAACAAGAAACACTGCGAAGCCAGGGGCCTCTTCAGGAAGGTGCTCGTCACAAAACCTTCTGAGTCCTTGGCAGTTACGAGTGGCACTTACGTTTGCGGGCTGCGGCATGGCTGGCGTGTGCGTGTTGGTGTTTGGTGCGCTTGCTCCTCAGGTGTCACGATGGGAGGGATGGATGGCCAGAGGGATGGATGGCCGGAGGAATGGGATGGATGGGTTGGGCACTGAGTCACAGATTGTGCACTGCGACTGCCAGTGTCTACCCGTCTGCCTGTCAGTTCGCTCTGAAGTGGTGCGGTAAGGTACAATACATAACGCAGCTGCAAGCCAGCGCAGGAACTCGTAATCACCACCCGCGACGACACGGGATGCCGTGGACGGGCCTCGCCAACTGAGGTGCTGTCGCTACCCGCCCTGTCCGCCCTGCCTAGTGAACAGTCAGCCTTGAGAGCCCGACGGACCAGCGCTAGCGATTTTCGAGGCGGGTGCTGCAAGCCTGGCCTGTGCGGAAGTCGCCGACTAGGGCACTTGACATCTTGGCGGCAGCCACGCTAGCCCCAGAATAGAAATGCGGAGAGGGAAAGAGCAACGCGGTGCCCAGAAGGCGACCGAGGGGAAGGTTGGGGGCAACGCCTGTGCTGCCTGCTGTGGCATTCCGCGGCTCACCACAATTTGTCCTACATAATACCACAGCGAGCAATAAAATCGCGGTCTTCTGGGGTCCAAGCATTCTGCTACTGTCCCTGACCTGAGCTGGTCGAGACGGTTGGTGTGATGACTATGATGTAGCACGATGGCGAACGCGAGCGGACTTCCCGACAATCCTCCCATGTGGGTGGAAAACGAAATGGACGACTTGTTCGACACGACTTATTTTCCCAGAGGCGCCTTGAGCAACGCGACCGGAGTCGGCGCCAGCGTCGGTGCCAGTGCCAACCCCAACTCAACCGCCACAGCCGGCTACGGCAGCCCCAATGTCAGCACAGGTCTCACCTTCGCCTCGCCGACGCGGGAATCGCGGCCAGCCGCTCAAGGGGCGCAGGCCCGAGGTGACGCCTTCGGTGAGAACCCAGCACGGCTTTCGGCCCCTTACTTGGGAAATGCGGCCAGCAGCATGATCCCGATTCTGAACCTCGCCCGAAACACCCCGCCAAACCTAACAGTAGCATGTCCTCCCACGGCACGGTATTCGCAGGCCCCTCCGACCCCAGCCCGGTTCCCGATGCAACGGCCCCAGTCCCACATCCCCGTCCAACATCCTCCGGCATGGGGTTCAGTATCCCGCCCTGGTCCCTCTCCAGTAGATTACCAACAGTTCCAGTCGATGGGCATGGGCATGGGTATGCCTATGGGACACCCTTACTTGTTTAACCCCGCCATCGCGTTGCCAACGACACTCGCCCGATGGGATGTTGGTTCTGGTCTGGTCTCAGCCCAGATTGGGACTGGCAGAGGTGCCGACCTCTTTCCCTATCCCACGTTTAACTTTGGCGCTACGCATGCGATCCGCGACGCTTCTCCGCCTGACAGCGGCCCCGTGCCGACTTCCTTCGTTGATGGCGCTGCCTCGCTCGCTGGGTCGGATTACGACTGCCTGTCGCCGGCCCCAACCGAGAACCGGAGCCGTGGCCAGCGGGCCTCTACAGTGTCCACCGATATCACGGAACCAGACCCTGCTAACTCGACGCCTTCGACTCCCCTTCGGCAAAGTATAGCTTCCAAGCCCACACCGGCGTCGTTCGAGGTCATCGCGTACGATCCAACTGCCGAAGGGAAAGGAAAGCGGTCCCGGAAACGGTCAGCTGACGACGAGGTCGCTGCAGCTGTAAGGGCACCTTCTCGAACTCTCATGGAAGTCCAGAAAAAGGGCGAGAATGGCGAGCTGCAAGGGGCCATGATCACATTTGGGAGCCGCCCCAACAAAAGGACTGCCTTTAGTGAGAATAAGAGACGAGAGACGGCGATTGCAAGAAAAGACGGAGTGTGCGACCGCTGCAAGAAATCCAAGAGAAAGGTGACCAAATCCTATCCTGGTTCCGGGCGCCGAGAGAATTAACGTCTGACTGACACACCACCCCACCCTCCAGTGCGACCTCTCTTTGAAGATGAGCCCGTACGAGAGCTGCACCCTTTGCTTGTGCACGCGTACCTACAAAGGCGTTCCACGGATGCCATGCTCACAGTCGGCAATCAAGGAAGTCGTGTTTTTCCGTAAGGGTAAATGGTCTTTTGCCTTTCGCAATTCCCCATCTATTTTTGCTGCTCGTTTTCCGACATCTTGCAATGACTATCCAGACGACGGATGGGAAACTAACATGCCGTAATTAGGGCCTGCACCAAACGAACCCCTCTTCACCTCTCGGCGCATTCTTTTCGACCTCAGAGATATCTCCAAGCCAAACGTCGCTGTCAAAACACTGGAGCTTACGCAGAAGCCCGGCCGGCACGGCCCAAGTCTAACTGTCTACGCCTCCGAGTTTAGTCCGCTGCCTGAAGATGTCATCTCCTACAAATGGAAGGATACCAGCGGCAAGGCCCGAGAGATGACAATGCCACTCTTCTGTCTGACAAACCTTGACAAGGTCACCAAGCAATTCCGTCAGTATATTGAGGTCGCGAATCGGTCTTACATGGATGCCTTGAGGACTGAGGACAAACTCGCATGGGAGACGTTCTCAATGGCCATGAATCACTCCGAAAAGAAGCCCGTGAGTGTGCCTCTTTCCCCCGCACCGCCCCGCACCGCCCCGGTCAACCTGAACGATGCTAATAAATACAGAAATCACTGGTGTCAATCGCTTTAGACCTTTGGGCTATATCCCGCATGATCGAAACCCCTTGGCAAATGTGTGGGAGCGACACTCTTGGTGTTTCTCGAATTAATGACCCCACCAATCCTCATGACGGCGCAATTCCCATCCCGCCCATCATGGATACCCAGCTTGATCAAATCGTGATCCAGAACGTTCTCTTGCCTCTCCGAAACGAGCTTGTCAGCAAGTTCGACAATATGACTGCGCCACCCAAGCCAGAGGATTGGTTCGAGATCTACCTCACCGCCTTCATCCTCCTTAACCACATTGCGAGGCTCGCCAAGCACTCCGTAGCTCATGCAAAACTCCATACCATGCCGGTGAGTCCTTGACCCCCTTTCACCTTCCTTGCTTTCTGTTTTGCCAGCGAACACTTCTAACATTGTCCTCCACTACCAGACAAAGTACTCCAACAAAGAGTTTCTCGAAGGCGCTTTCCACACGGCCAAGATCATTTTGGCACGCTTCCACTTTGTCTGCAACGGCTCGGCCCCCCTGCGACTGAACTGGAAGTTGCCGACAACATGTGCCATGGCAAATCTTGAGCCTGATCAAGTCGCGTTTATGGAGACCACCCAAGCCGCCATTCGGTCAAGAGGTACGTCATAATCTCCCTTCTTAGCTGGCTGGTGTGAAGGTACCCTGGCTGACCATAGCCTGTCCGATGCTTAGAAAATGATCTTCGCCATCTGCTGCCCACTCACGAGTATGAGAATCCCCTCTACTGGTCTCATCAGCTGTTTTTCAAGGAGTGGGACAAATCCCCGGCATGTGTGGTCGAGGCGTACTAAGAACCGAGAGCGGAGTTGATATCTAGACGGAAGTACATGCGGCAACGCAGCGGAATGGGTTTTCTTGATTTATTTTCTAGTAGGGCCTTTGCCTTCCGTTAGCTTTTTCTTTCTTTCCTTTCCCTCTTCTTTTTCTTTCTTTCTTCTTTCTTTGAAAGGGCGCGTGCTTTGGTTGTTTTTATTTTGGAAATCCTGGTATAAATGGCTGGTAATAGTACATGAATTTACATTTCCTTAAATTTGCAGAGAAGTTTCTGTAAGTGACGAGATAAGTAGCTCAAGTTGAAGAGTTACATGATCCATTTATAGGTGCCAACAAAATCACAATGTCAAATAAATGTGTTTCACAGACTGTCGCTTTAAAAGAAATCCAGTCGAAGTGTAATTGCTTGTCAAATATTCTCAATCGTAATATCCTCAGTCGCCAAAGAAATAGGAAAAGAAAAAAGACAGCAAAGCTTGCACACGGGTTACAAACCAGAACCACTTCCGGTTGCAAAAACAAAACACAAATTGGAATCGGTATCGCAATAACGAAGCAAAACTCCAGACAAATCTCACGATTCCCGTAACATCATAAACATCAGCGGGCGTCACTCGTTTCTCATATCCATAACCCATCTCTCACGCCCCAGCTCAAGCGCAGCTTGCGCGACGGTGCTTAATGCGCAGCTCAGGGGGCGACTTCTCAATGTCCCAGATGGCGTTGCGGCGGTACTCGTTGTCGCCGTAGCACTCGTCGCTGACGCGGGCGAGGGCGCGCGGGACAGGCCACATGCGCTGCTCGTTGCGCAGCCACAGGCGGAGCATGTGGCGCTTGCCGGGGGAGCCGGCCGGGCCGGGGGCGTCGGCGAAGCCGCTGCGCGCGTGCAGCATGGCGAAGTTGTTGAATAGCTCGATGTCGCCGCGTCGCAGCGCCAGCTCGACCGCGTGCTGCTTTGCCAAAAAGTACACCGTGTCCAGCGCCTCGGCCTGCACCTCGGTCATTGCGGGCACGGCCGGGTGGTGCGGCGAGAAGTGCGCGCCGGTCAGTGGCCGCCGCGAGAACTGGAAGCCCGGACCGTGCTCGCCGAAGTTGTAGAGCAGTGGGCGCGTGTGGTATTCGCCTTGCCAGAATCTGAGGGGGTGTGACATGGTTAGGCTGAGCTGTGGAGATGGAGTACAAGAGATAGAGTGATGGGAAGGGAAGAAAGGGGTAGAGGAGACTAACTCGTCAAATGGCCAGTCGTCGCGCGCCAGCACGTGGATAATGTCGGGCCGCGTCTTTGCAATCTCGTTGTAGATCTTGGCCGATGACGCCAGGAAGCTCTCGCCGCCGTAAGCCGCCACGTCCAGCGCGTAGAGTGCCAGCACGTCGCACAGGTCAGTGTGAAAGGGCTGGAGTAAATGGACAGGGAAACGTTAGCAAGTAGGTGGTTTTTTGATGGAGAGATAGGAGAAGGATAGTATTTGAAGGGGGCGGCTGACCTGGGCGCGAGCGACATAGGGCGAGTTGGGCATGCTGCCGTGCTTCTTGACGTCCTCGACAATAGCTTGGATGTGGACTAATTATCCAGACGGATGGCTCCCAGTCAATTGATATTTTTGTCAACGTCAGAGTACAGAGACAAGGCCAAGCACTCACGTATCATCCGTCCATCAAAGTCTTGCATGCCCCGCGTCTCGGCAATGTAGCTTGTAACGCCAAGGTAGAGGAGGATGTTGTCGAAGCTCGAGTACTTGTCCGGCTCGAGGCCACGGAGGATGGTGAAGCCTCGGCCGTCGTGGATGGTCTTAGAAACATCGCCAAGTCGGCTGCCCAGAGATGGCAAGGGGAAGGTATCGCGGTTGACGTCGTCAGGGCCAAGGTCGCCAGGGAGAGCTATCCGAGTTGATAAAAAGATTAGCGGGTGAACTGAGTCGATTTGCATTTGAAATGATTATGGACGAGTTACTTGCATTTGAAGTAGGCCAAGCCAGCTTCAATCTCGGCAATGTCTTCCTCGCTGAATTTGAGGATATACTCGTCCTCGGACTTGAAGTCAGATCTGGACCAGGCCCGCTCGGTGTCGACCTGAGACGGCCATCCTGGCGGGAGTGTGGTGGGCCGGTCTAGGTTAAGGGCAGCGAGTCTCTCAACCCGTTCCTTGTAAACCTTGTAGGACGGGATCCACTCGATGTCAGGCCGCACAATTGTCTGCTGGGTTTCAGTTGCCGTCATTGACTGCTCACGAGCCGGAGTTGCACCAAGAGGGCAAGCCATTGCTGATGTCGAGGGACGAGGTGGCTAAACCAACCAAATTGTCACAAACTTGTGAGTTGTTGTGTCGGATAGAAAGAAGTAATAGTTGTATAGAGTAAAGAAGAATCAAGGGGAGGGCTGGTAAAGGCGGGAAGGAATCGCTGAGGAGCCTAGGGACAATTCGATTCCCTCTCCTGTCCAGTCTGCTCGTCTTTAATACTTTGGGGCGGCTCAGCTGCCTCTCTATCTCGATTCAACAACTTCCGAGGGTCTCTGTCTCAATACCGCAGCTTTCCGCAGAGCCTCAGTCCTTCGTTCTAGCCCTTCGGAACTCCCAAGACTAAAACGAGGCTCTAAGGTGGACATGGGCTTCGGGAAGCCACAGGGCTCAGCCGCGCCGATAAGGACTACAGTCTTGATTGGGGGGAGGGAGTACGGGGAATCTGCAATAGGGTCATCTGGGTTGCCACAATGCAAGCTGCCATTGGTTAATTACTCTCGACGGGGGGGGGGCGGTTGAGCCGCCTGTAATGGGGGTTTGGTCGGGAATGGCGCCGAAGAGGTCTGCATGTGGTTGTCTGGGAGTGCTGCCCATGGCGTGCCGTGATTGCGTAACAAGGGAGCCAACTCATGCAAAGGAGGGTTAGGGCCGTGGGGACGAGTCCAATGGGCAGCCACATGGTTACCAAATCGGTGAGTGCTGTTGTGTTGCGAGGTTACACTCTGGAGCCAGGCCAGGGAGGGCCATTGGCTGGCGGAAGGGGGGCGTTGACGGGATGGTCTGACAAAGGATTGCTCTAGCTCTTGCCGCAGAGAACCCCCGCCCGCGGCTCTCCGCAAGAGTACTAGCATGAGGCTCAAGCTCGGAAATGGGGCGGGCAATGGCTGCAGTTGCAGACCAAACCCCGCTCAAAGCCATCTCGATGGGTACTAGGGTGCGGCTCAAGTTTGAAACGGGGCTGGCTGAGCCACGGCGCCATGGTTCCTCCCGCATGGCCGCAGCAAACTCCCCCGCTCGTGGGTTTAGCTCTCCTCACCGGGTGCTGGCGTGCTGGCAAGCCATGCGGCTCAACAGCCAATGGGCCAATGGGGTTCGAGACGCTCCGAAGAGCCGATTGGATGATTAGATTCCGGAATGAGCACGGCCTGACCACCTTCTTGTTACTGGGCCGAGATACGAGGGCGTACGTCTCCAATTCACACTCGGTATGTCCTAGGACACGTCGAAGAGATAATTGTACTTTTTGGGCTGATCATGCTTGGCTTTAAGCTGCATATGCGCCATGCAAAGGTCTCCTTCTCTTGGTGACAGCGGTTGGTCGGGCTAAAGCACATGAGCTCAGATCGACGAGGCTGCCAATGGCGACTGCTCGCAATGATTCCTCAAGCTGGCGCAACTCTGGCGTCGTGGTGGCTGTGCATCTAAGTCCACCTACATATTTGATTAGCTTAGGCAGTGACACCACACACGCACGATATGTTCTTCAGCTAGATAGGGATTTCTTCTCTACATTGAATCTGCTTAGCAAAGATCTCTGCTGCCATTGACCGAAAAGCGTATGGCGGCAGACTGGACATTTTACCATGCCCGGCTTCGAGCTATACCCGAAGCCGGGACATGGTGGATTCGTATCTCGTTCCAGTCGTGCGACCCTCTTGCCCCGGCGAACAAGAATGGGAGACAGGCGAGAACCAGAAGTTGCCCCAAGTGCCCGATCGACCAACTGTGTTGGAATTTGAGCGGTTGCGGCCTTCGGACTTTGACGTTATGAATACCCGTTTGGTACGTAATGCTTTGATCTCGCTTCAACAGTCCATCCGCGGCAGACGCAACAGACTCTGAGTCTATGGAGTGTTAATTAGCGGAGAGCCTTGCAAGACAGCTCTTTTGAACGCCGCCGCTACAATAACATAGCCGCGGGTTATTAGATAGGCAGGCATCTTAGTTAAGGGCTTGCTAATGAGAAGGTCGTCGTGCTGAATAGGTGAGACCGATGGCAAATTGGTAAGAAAAATTGCCGACATCACTAGCCATCAGTTTGATGGCCATAGGCTTCCTTGAGGTCTTTTAGAAATACGGGTGTGATAGCCTGGTCACTCTGGTGCCATGGCGGACTCGTAGGCTGTGACGTAGGATGAATGGATAATATCACTTGGGCCGACGAAGCCATAGCGCCAGGGCCAGAATTTCAAGGACGTGGAGCAACTGAGAAAGCATTTTCCAATTTAAAAAGGGAAAAGAAAATCATGCCACACTTAATCATCTCACCAAGTGAAGAGGCGGTGAATTGGAGTCAGGTGCACCCAATCATCATCAATGGAACCCACAACATCACGCCTTCCCAGACGAGCCTTTTAGGTTTCAGGCTAGATTGGAAACGGGATAATATGGCAGGTCAGGTCTTGCGGGACTCCACTGTAAATGATACGGCATTCATCTGGGTTCACAACCTACCGTATTTATTACGCGGACCGCCGGCCAGTGGTGTACCTAGTTGTCTATGGCAGGGCACTTGGTCTTGGTCAGAACGCCCAGAAATCACGCGCGGGCTGTAAGTGGGAAGGCATGGCGCCTCCTAAGACCGTGCAGAAAGAGTACGCGGAAAAGATCGTCTTTTGAGCTTTACCCAGGTCCATTTCTTGCTCCAAGAATAAACGAAAGAAAGAGGGCTTCCACCTTCATTCGCACAAGCAATTACCCCATGGGTATCTTCGAGTTCTTCATGTTCGAGCGCGCGAAGGTCGCTTCTGGGCAGCTTGTGGAAGTTTGGCCGGTAATTAAACCATCGTCACTCGTGGCTACAAGACTCCCTCAATAGGTAATCTACCGGCTGGGCCCCGCGCTAATGCCGTAGTGTGCCAGAAGCCGGCTCCTGGGGAAGCTCCTGGTGCCCGACACGTCCAATGTCAAGATCCCGTCAGCGACAGCGAAGTTTTTACCGTCGCACGCCGCAAGCACTGCTGCTCTGCGTTCCACGTGGTTCGGCCACGCAAGCTGCTATGTCGAGCTCCCCTCCGGATTCCGCACCCTGTTCGATCCCGTCTTTGAGGAGCGCCTCAGCGCCATGGGCCGCAAGCGCTTCACCCCAGCCGCCTGCAGGCCGGGGGACTTCCTGGCGCTCGGCGCCGTTTTCATCAGTCACAGCCACCACGACCACCTCTCGCTGCCGTCGGTCAAGGAGCTTGTTCGTGCTTACCCTGGCGTGCATTTCTTCGTCGGCCTGGGGCTGGCAAAGTGGTTCCAGGACAGCGGGGTAAGCGCAGCGACAGAGATGGACTGGTGGGACGGTGCCGACGTGGTCTTGAAGAGGAGCAGGGCTTCAGAGGCCGGTGTCGATGCCGGCCAGGGTGTTGGGAACGACAATTCGTCTCCGCCAGAACGCATCAGCGTCCGAGTGTCGTGTCTCCCCAGCTAGCATAGGTGCATGCGGAACGGGTTCGACTGCGCCCGCTCCCTGTGGACATCCTGGGCTGTCGAGTCGGGCGGCAAGTCGGTGTGGTTTGCCGGCGACACGGGCTACCGGTCTATGCCCGAAGGCATGGAGGAGCTTGGGCCGGGCTTCGACGAGCTGCCCCGAACTCCCGGGTTCACGCAGATCGGGAGTCAGTGAGGACGACTGTTCGACTTGGGGCTGATCTCTATCGGAGCGTACCAGCTGCGCTTCATGTACAGCCCGGTACACGCGAGCCCTTACGACGCCGTCGAGATCTTCCAGGATTCCAAGTGCCGCAGGACCTGGCCCAAACAGGACTTTTCGACATGTGTGCCATTGGCGAGAGTCGGGACTTCTGATTCCTCTTATTTTGACTCAAATCAACACTCATATCATCTTATCGACAAACGAATGCCTTAATCGTGGTCTTTGATTTATGCAGATAATTACGTCGGTGCTCACTGAAATTGCCATTTAGGTAGGTAATTAGTAATAATGCTTCTTTTTCCCTTCTAGCCTGTGAGTTTGAAAGAAGCTGATCTTGCCGAGGGCGCTCTTCTTTACCAAACCAGACAATTTTTCTTTGTATGTCTATGGTTCCGAGCATCCTGCATTCCGGACTGTGGATTCACTGGCCCAGGGGCGGAGAATTTGACCTGGATGCTATACGCTGATTATTTGGAAGGATATGTAAATGTACGATACGGTCGTTGACCCATCTGAGGCGGCCACCGTGACATTGCATCATCTGTCCCTTCCACCCGCCAAAATGAAACTCCAAAACCTGGGAAATCACACGGGAGAAAATATGTGGAGATTCCATGTTGGTTGAGACAGGAGCGCCGTTTCATTTTTTAAGTCGGCCAACAAAACAATTCTTGCCGGCTGCCAGATCGGCACCCGAAAACCGCCCTTGTTGGGGACCCAGATATTTTGCGCAAGATTTCTCTCAACGGCTATTGGCTCAATTTTTTTCCAAGTCTCGGGGGGCTCCGTTATTCTAGGGTGGTGCTGAGCTTGCAGCCAAGGGGATGGAGCTATTTCAAGATTCCTAGAGGCACAGGCTGAGACTTTCTAGGGTCTTAGCCGATCCTGCGCCAGGCTCGTCGTTTGAGGCCAACGAATGCGGCCCGGTCCTCGGTGGACTCGGAAGTACTTTGGAAGCCGCCTAGACCGGCAAATTAAATGCATGCCTCCAAAGTACCTGCCTAATCTTCAACTTGATGGCGAATCCGTCATTTGAATGTCTTCTTCCGTGATGGACCGTCTTTGATGGGATGTGAGCCGAGCCCCGAGACATCCCCGTTTCTCAGGCTTTTTAAGACAATTGTGTTGGCTAGCAGTTGCGCCGCGCTTGGCCTCCTTCCCCATGTGGCCAACGGACCGACCAACGGACTAACGGTGACCATTAAACCCGCTCGCTTGCTCCACTACTCCCTTACGACTTTAAATCACGTCACCTACCCTTGCTAGCGCAGTTGCCAAGGGCTAAAAAGCGGCGGCATCTGTTTCGAACCCAATACTCAGCCGAGGCCTTGTCGTCGGCCATGAAGACGTTAACAAACTCGTTGCGATGTTGAAAAAAGTCGATTGGGCGGGAATCTCTTGGTATAAGACCGAGCTCACCCTCGAACCTCCCTTCCTCAATGACTAACCTTTCATTTCAACCTTTCTTGCCGATTCGATTCCATCGCCTATGTTATTCCTCCGCTACCTTCATAAGTCCCAGGTACCTCATGGCTTCAAAAGATGAAACGGCGCACGTCGCGACGCTTCAGGCTGCTACGCCATCTACTCCACTCAAGCCCAGGAACCTGGGTCGAGAATCAACTGGACTGAAACCAACAACGCCGGCTGTAACGGCGCAGAATGGTTCACTTACAGTTCCCGCGCCGAGATCAAATAGGACCCATACAGCTGCTCCGAGTAAGTGGCTATGGCTGAAGTGACCAAGATCAATCTGTTTTGAGCCAACATGCTAACCCACTGCATCTAACCCAATAGCTACCATTCCTAAGGATGTTGGCGCTAACGACGGTTATCTTGGTGCTACTATGCGCATGGGAACCACAGTGGCAACCGCGTTGGTAACCACGGTGGGAAACGCAGCCGATTTTGTCGCCGAAAATAGCCCTTGGAGGCCCCTTGGTCCGACCACCCCTGTTCCTAGTCTTGTCGATGGAATCAGGTCAACGCCAATATATGGGACAGCAATAGTTGGTGTTAGTTCAACGCATGATGGACATGAGGCCATTCCTAGTATTGTTGAAGCACTCAAGACAACGGCAGTAGTTGGGACAGCGCCCATTGAGCATGGGGTCCTCGATCGTCAACACCTGCCGCTTAACCAGACGGCCAAGACCAAAGCCACACCCAACAAGACCATTCCCGTAGCCGATGACGTTACCGGGCAGCCAGCGGTCAGTGCACCAAAGCCCAAGGCAGAAAGGGCCTAGGGGCCCGTGCAAGGGTCCAAGGCACGGCGGAACGGGGGTAAGAAGAATGGAAGGTGACTATGTCCAACTCCCACGTTTGCTTTATGTCTGCTTATATCGCTCTTCGGAGCCGGTTTGTTTGACCACCTATCCGATAGACAGTTCCGCGTCCTGCTCTTCTGTTACGTTCTGAATGCCTGGTGCGTTCCGAGAGGCAGACCAGCAACGCCATGAACAAGGGCTTGGACTTTTTCTCAAGTGGCAATTTACCAAATTATCCTACCTCTGGGTGGATTCAGCTGTGTTTTTCTCTCTTTATAATCTGTGGTCTAATTATGCCTGGCTATTATGATTTGAGTTGGTCCAACGCAGTCCCGCGGTATGTGAAGTTGTTTATCGAGGCAAATTGCCTTGGTCCTTGGTGTTCACAACCATGTCAGCAACGTGCTTGTCATTTGCCTTGACCCAACTGTTTCATGACCCCAAAACCGACAAACTCCCTTCCAAAACCGGCCAACTCCACCACGTGATCCCTCGCTGCTTTTGCTCAGCCCAGATCAGCCCCGGCTCAACTTCGGCTAATAGCTGCTCAAGTGGCCCAGCGCAGTTTCTCAAAAAGTGCAACTCTTACCGGAGCCCAAAAACGGTCCTCGTGCAAGAGCAGGGGTTCAGAACTGGGACACCTGACCATTCACAACTTTAGAGGCGTTAATTTATCCCATCCCCCCGTGGGGATACTTCTATTTTGTCTGAATTGTACTTATTACTAGTAGTAGTACGGGCCGCATATTCGTAAGATGCTATTAATAAATGGCTGTTATCAACCGCCAGAGACAGAAGTGCATCGGTTGTACTTCGAGTTCCACAATGCGAACCAAATAGCTGTGTTTTCTTAAGCAGTACTAGAGGGAGCCTAAAGGACTTCTGGGTACAATTCTTACATATTCCCTCCCTCTTCCTAGCCCAAAGGCTTACATAGTCTCTACCGCTATAACAGTGCTATAAATAATCTCTTCCACCTCTCCATCTCTCTCACATTCTCTTCTACAATCTCTCTAGTTGCATCTGCCATTTCATCTTATTATTTGTCTTCTCTCGTTTCACGTTAGAAATTCATATTAGTACGCTTAAGACTTTCTATACTATGAATCCCAAGCTAAAGAAAGGTAGCTTAAAGGGTATATACCCGGACAATCTAATTAAAGCGGCCATATAAAACGGCCTATCCGAAGATAAATCTATCATTAATAGCAACCCTATCTACAACGAATTCGCCTGTAAGGAAACCACCCTCGTAGCCACCATGGCCACCGCCACCAGGGCCACCATCGCCACCATCGCCACTATCGCCACCGCTACCAGGGCCACGCACTATCGCCACTACCACCCTGGCCACGCAAGGATGACTCGTAACCCCTTTCACGTGTATATAGACCATGGCCTTCGCACACCTCTTTAGCTCAGGCCAGGTTGAAGTCTTACGCCAGTACCAGTCATTGCTCGCCCTGCTTGTTGCTCCTATTGTGACCACCTTGATCAGGCGTACCTGCCTTCTCTTACATCGCCCTAAGCTCGAAGTTCCAGTAACGTGTGTGATAAGCGAGATGAACAGACAAGCGAGTTGAACAATTTCCACAACCTCACCACAACTACCCTCAATTACACAACCACAACACTAGGAAATAACAATAACTGAATCGGAAACAGATGAATCAGACGATTCTGCAGCCTCCTTGCACGTACGTGCATTATGGCCAGGCTTGCCGCATACGCCACAGCATCGAATCTTCGAACGAGACCCCCCTGCACCACCACCATTTTGTCGTGTTTCCTGGACCAACTGCCCACCCACAGCCTTCTGATCCAGTAGATCCTGTGCCTCTTGTACAGTAAGTGATCCTCCAAGCCGAACACGTGTTTTCTTGGCTCTCCGTCGCTTACTAAGCCCCTCATTGGCCTTCCGAAGTGCTGAGACCTCTGTACGCAAAAGAGCCACCTCGTGCATCATAGCCATCGTACCTTTAGCTAATCGATCCACAGCAGTCAGCATTGGTGTTGGAGAGCTGCCCTGATGGTTGGAAATTCGAGTTTTGATGAACGCTGACTGTGAGGCAGCCTCTCTCTGGTTTTGTGGCGTTTGGGAGACCCAAGGTAGCGATGTAGTTGGGCTTGTAGCTGGGGGTGTTGGAGTCCGAATACGCACATCCAGCTTGGATATCACCCTCTCTGGATCGTACGGCACAAGGCCGGCTCCAGCAAACCCCCCCTGGATATTCCTTTCCGTAACCGAAGCAAAAAACGCCTCTCTAAACCCACAAAGAAACTCCAGCTTGCTAATATGTGTGATGTTCATCCGCATCAGCTGCTCAATCTGACAGCCGTACGCCTTCTTCAACGGCCCAAAGCAACCAACATCCAATGGCTGAAGTAGGTGTGAAGAGTGCGGAGGCATACAGAGTGTGATGATGTTGTGCTCCCGGCAGTAAGTCTCGAATTCTTCGGAGTGGTGGCTATCGTGGCCGTCGAGAATTAACAGTCGGTATATTCCCTTCGTACGAGATGCTGTGTGGAAATCGAAGTGCCGAATCCAATCCATGCCTTTCTCATTAGTAGTCCAGCCATTGTCGGTTGTTGCGATACGCCAGGTACCCGGAAGGTTGCACTCTTGATACCAGTTAGCAAGGTGATATTGCCCAGCTAAGATAATGAATGGTGGGATAGTCCAGCCTAGAGCATTCACTCCTTGGATGACTGTAGCCCACTCTCGATTACCAGGCTGGGCTTGCTTAGCCCTACCACGGCCATCAGAGGTAGTAACTACCATAGCGGGGATGATAATGCCCATCATAAAGCCGGTCTCGTCGAAATTGTACAAATCTTCGTCAAGGATACCGTACTTGGCCTTCGTGTTGTGCACAAGCGCAAACCACTCGCGAATAACTTTTGGATCTTCGCATTTGGCCCTCTGGTAGTCGTATTTACGCGTAAAACGCGTCCGAAGTTCTGGCTGGCGCTTGACGAAGTTGTGAGCCCAGCGTGTACCGACAGAGGGCGCGTCGCGTTCGCGTAGCAATCGATTGGCCATATCTTCTACGTACGAAAGCCGGGGATGAAATGCGCGCGCACATAGCTCAATGATGTACTGAACAATCGTTTTCTCTTCCAAATCCGTAAGCTTACGCGAATTGGCTGGAGTATCACGTCGTGCAGGTTTGCCGTCGCGTCGGTTGCGTATAGTATTTACCGTGACTTGATATGTTGTTGCTGCAGCTCGAATACTGAGTTTTGGGTCGTTTTGAATAGCCCTGAGGGCCAAATTCACCCTAGCTTCGTATGAAGGAAGAGACATTTGAGTTTGTTGAGGAATTTGGTGTTTTGTAGAGAGGAGGCGCGTCGCGTCAAAAGTGTTCAACTCGCTTGTCTGTTCATCTCGCTTATCACACACGTTATACTAAAATGATAAGCATATAAATTGCGTCAATTACTAGCATTGCAAACTCACGCTTAGGAACCTGAATTAACAAGCGCTATAGGTACGAGAGGAGATTTCCTAGCTCAGACACACGTAATATAGAGACAATAAAACATTTTGCGGAGGCTATCGGACGTTCGACTAAGGGGAGGCTGGATAACATAAACAAACCTACTGTCAAAACAATACGGAACAAAATCCGAAAATTCATATTGGCACAGGAGCGCGAGACCAACCATCTCCAAAGCAGTCCATGACTCGATGTGCCCTATAAGCATACCTAAACATTGGATATTATTACAGATTCGGTTAATACTAGGTAGTATATCTAAACCGTACTGAAGCACAAGTGTAAGGAAAGGAGCACCCCAACCCACACACACTCCCTGTACTGCGCGCGCACCTGTGCGCGCCCACCACCTGCCACCAGCTGGCAGCGCCACCAGAGCCACACCGTGGCTCCACCCTTCCACAACACACACGGGGCTTAGTCTCCCAACCATGTGTATAAGCAGTAGCCCTCGCCCACCTCCCTTTGCGAGGGCCAGGTTAAAGTCTTACACCATTGCCAGTTATTGCTCACACTTCTTGTTGCCAATATTGTGACCACCTTGATCCGGCGTACCTGCCTTACAACAAGATTCCTCTGTCGATGGAGGAAAAAGCACTAACATTCCTAACTATAGAAAATTATATATATATACAAGAGAAGCTTTAGTAGGGTAACTACTATAACTGCGTTTACGAAGGAGTCTGCGCATATCTGTCTTGTTAAATACGTCTCACCCATCCCGATGCAGACTGCAACCAACGCCTTCCTGTAACACATCAGTGCTGGTTAAAGTCTGGAAAGGAAGCGGTAATGTTCAGAGGGATGTCACGGGGACTTGGGTCTCAAACTCGCTTGGGAACTCTGGCATGTCTCCCCCGAATCTGACGAAACTCCAGCCAGGGTGCGCGAGTGGACTGGAGCTCACCCTCGATCTGGGAACTTATCACTCCCGCCGAGAAGGCGCGGCACGACCGAAGCCTTATCAATATCGCCCTTTCCCATTTCCAAATGTCTACGTAAGGAATGGGAAGGAGTGACACTACCTTGGGTCAAATTCGCGTCAAATTCGCTGGCAAATCTGGCAGAGCTCTCTCCCATTTCGGGACATGGCGTGGTGCAGTGCATTGAGAACCAGTACCCCTATTGTTTGTCCAGGCGCTGTTGACTTTGTCCTTTGAGCTTTAAGCTCCCTACCTACTTGAATGGATTGAACTTTGAGGATTTCTCTACTTTAAGACGAACGTCGACATCGAGGCCCAGCCACCACCTCCGCCCGCGCCCTCCAGCCTCCGCCAATTCCTCGCTGGGGGCTTCGAAGTCCCTAGATGGAGAGTAGAGTCGGAGACCGGTCGGCGGGACATGCCGACATACAATGAGCCGGGTTACCTTCCCGAGCCCAATTACGCCGAGCCTGTCGCCCGTCACGAGATTCCGGAGCATCAGTGCCCCACCATCGTCTTTGTGGCTGGAGGCCATATCACCGCAGTCGCTGGCCTTGCGTCTTTCGTTGGGGACCTGGGAGTCAGCGAGCATCTCCGGCTGCTGTGTTACCTGGATACGTTCGGACACGGTGCTTTCGGCCTTTTGGGCCTTTCTTATTGGCTGTGCATGAGCCAAGGCTGGGGTGCGACGGGTTAGGGGCCTGTTCCCCTGGTTGTGACTGTGGCTCTGATGGTGTTTGGTGTCGGCGATTTGGCCTTGGTAGCGCTACGCGCCGTCGAAAGCAAGTTTACCGAGGCTTGGGAGTGGCAGGTGCTTTGTAAGTATCTACCTACATTCTCCCTATCTTGACCCCCTGGCTTCTCACGGCCCTCTGGTAGGGATCCCCGCTAACATATGGAGCTGGCGCATAGACCCCCACTCGGGCGCTAGGCCTCTGGATCAACCATAAGCCGTGCTTCTGCGGCGCTTCGAAGAAGCTGCAGCACGACCCTTTAGCCTACGGAAAACCCGAATTCATGCACCTCACCGTCTTTGGTCGACCAAGCTTAAGGAAGAGTAGGCTCTTCAGGGGCTTGCTTACGTTTAGGGGCCAGAGGCCAGATGCCCTCCACCCTAACCTAGCATTACTCTCTATAACTGCCTCCGCGCGTAAAAGCCGGTAACGCTCCAAAAAGGCACGTTTTCCAGCAACGGAAGAGTCGCCGAAGGCGTTGGCGAGAAGCTCCTCGAGCCGTTCACGATAAATGCGCTTCGGGGGGCTCAATACAGTTAAATCTAAGGGCTGGAGAACGAAGCCGGCATGAAGGCGCACAACCACTTGTAACACCCCGGATGCCCGGCGCGCTAGCAAAGCTAAGCCCTGGCACTGCCAGAGAGAGCTTCAGCAAGCTGAACCACAACACGAACGAAGTTGAGGTCTTACAGGCAACGGGTATAAGAAGAGCTCTCTGGCTCCGCTCAAGAGCAGAAGGCAGGCTTCAATTGAACTAATACCATACCCCTAACCCTACTCCACCATTTGCTGTGCACATAGCGTATCCTCGTCAACCACAGCGCAACCTGCGTTACACCACTCCATTGGTTATGCAGGTTTTCTGATACATTCTGAAGATAGGGAGGTTAGTGGTTTACGGGGTTTCTACCACCTTCTGGAGCCGGCTCTCCCACATGGCGTGCCTGATCCTCTTCAGCTCCCGCGCGTACATTCCCCAATAAGCTCCTGGTTCCTCATGAAGTCTGGATCCCAGAGCTTTTACAACCGCGTTCTGTTTTCCCGCATCTTTACCACTACCGCTTCCCTCTCATCCAACTCTCGCAGCTGCTGCCTCGCTCCCTCGAACAAATTCCTCTTCCTGACCAGCACAGCCTAGCACTTCATCTGAAGACTGAATTGGTGGATTTCATGAGCGTAGAATCTCCTGTACGAAGATGAGTATCGAAAGCGTGCCCATATTTTCCTCCAGCCGATAAAGTGTCTGTGTGACAGAACTGCATTCCATTCAGCCAGTGCCTTTTGGTTCTCATCCCAGGTCTTCCAGTGCAGCTCCTGGGCTAGCTTGACGGCGCGGAGCTCCGAGTCCAAAGCTGCCAAGGCGGCCCAGAGGTCTTGGATGATTTTGACTCGGTCTGCATATGCAAAGCTTGATATCGGGCCGGGGATGACGAAGCCCCTGAGCCTTTCGTTGATGGAGGACTCGGCGGCTTTGTCGATCTTGAGCCTGGATTGCTTGCCATCCTGGTTGGTTCGTTTCTCGTCCCCCAAATCCGGGGCATATATGTAGGGCATGCCTGGTATCTGCAGTGTTCGGCCGTGCCGTAACACAGTGATTCCAGCGGAGTCATCGGGCTCTCTTGAAGAAGGCGCGGTTCCGCAATTTGACTGAAATGCAGAGCTGCTATGTAACGCCAAGTGCGCTATGTTACAAGCGGACACTAGACCTAATCACAGTGAGGTAGGTAGAAGGTGCAAGGTTGTGTGTTGTTAAGGTAATGGATTGAAGCATGGCCTCCCATTCCTCATGGGCAGGCCAGCGGCCTTCTATAGGCGAGGAACCTCAGCAGTTCCTGTCGAGCCAAAGTCTATCTTGTGGGTCCTACATGGTTCCTTGGTCCGAGACGAACTTAACCTCCTTAACCTATCTTAGGTTTCTTCGACCCACGGATCCCGAAGGCCTTCCTTAACAATGAATACCTAGCACTGCCAGAACGCCAGTAAGGCCGAGACACTGCGAGGACGCAATCTGAATCCCACAGATAGGTTTATAAAAGAATGAGGTTCTGGCTGCAAGTCTAACACAGGTCGAACTGCAAGTTTTACGGGGATGGGGGCACGTCAAGATGAGGAACATGTCACGTAGAATGGGTGCTCCAATTGACCACACACGGCATGATCGGCATATGGTTATAGCAGGCTTCTGCGACTATGCCATCCTTCCCCTGGCCCTTTTCCATCGCAGACTTCCAAGTTACAACCGCTGAAGCTAGGTTAGCCCACGCGGCTGGCTGCGCCTTGCCGTCGTCACACCCAATGGCTCATTTATTAGTGGGTAAGTCAAGTGATCGTTTGCTCCGGTGGGAGGGAAAAGAAACGGGGTGGCCAGGTGGTGGGGCACCATTGTCCTGAAATTGGGCTCAGAAGAGTATCCTCACAACTCCACTGCCCTTTTCAGACGCGGCAAGTATAGCCGGGGTAGCCTAAAAAATGGCCTCTCCCTCAGCCTAGCTTAGCTTAAAGCGGCAACTGCTCAGCTCCGAAGGCGGAAATAGAAATTCTCCTTGTCGGTTTTGGGGTCATGCAATGGCTGTTCCGTTGGAAAAAAAAATTGATTTTTCGCCTCCTTAGTAGGTCGAATACTAATTTGCTCATGCATCGTGCCTTCCTGTCTGATTGTATCATGTTTTATCTCTGTCGATTCGGGCCCTTGTCAAGGACCAAACAGATTAGCATCGTTCATTTGCTGCATAAACTATCCCTTCCCAGTATCTAATTAATTATCTAAGTTATGCTTGGTAACCAAAGATAACTCATGATTTGGAGGGTTGCTAAACGTTCACATTTAGCTAGGTAATGTGGCATGATTGGGATTGGCTTGTCGAGCCCGAGGTGTGTGAATGTACGGGCCGATTGGTTCTTGATGGGCGAGTCCCGCACATGCATTATGCAACCAGCAAGCAACCAGCAAGCAACCAAACCAGAATCGTCACCCGAGAAAGATTCACCACCTGAGAAAGATTCGTCACCTGACTGAATGTCCGAGTCCAGCACCTATCCCGAGCAAATCGCCATGGGCCCCTACCAGTACTGGAACTTACAGGAGAAAGGCTGGGTCAGGATCCTCTCTATCGAGCCGTCTAGAATGCTCGCGGACCCGATCCGAGCCAGCCTGCTGCACCAATCCCTGAGCGACCTCGAGGAGCGAGGCTACGAGGCCCTGTCCTACTGCTGGGGCAAAGCCAACGCCACGTGCGCGATCAGCATCGACGGGGCCTCGTTTCTGGTGCGGCCGAACCTGCTGTCGGCGCTGCGACGGCTCCGCCGCCGCGCGTCCCGTGGTAGGCGGCTGGTCTGGGTCGACGCCATCTGCACCAACCAGGGCGACATCGCGGAGCGCAACCGCCAGGTCTCGCAGATGCACCAGATATTCTCCAAAGCGTCTCGCGTCGTCGTTTGGCTGGACGAGGGCGGCCCGCGCACCGACTTCGCCGTCGACACGCTTCAGCAGTGGGCGGCCCCGGCTAAGCAGATCGAAGACCGCTGGAGGGTGAGGGTCAACACCACCACGGCCAGCTTGCAGGGGTTCTACGACGACTGGACCTTGCTGTACCAGTCGCTCCAGGATCGCGACGGCAGGCCGTTCTTCCACACCTGCCTGGTCGAGGTTCTGTGGCTGTTCCAGTGCGACTGGTGGAACCGAATGTGGACGATGCAGGAGCTGGTGCTCGCCAGGGAGGCCCTGGTGCAGGTCGGGAGCAAGACGGTGCCGTGGAGTGACTTTGAGACGGTCGCCAAGCTGTTCACGATCCAGTCGGCGCACACGGCCGGGGGGGAGCAGCCTCCGTGGGCGGCGTGTACACGTCCCTTGTCGCGTCCTTCTTCAACATGGCCGAGGACCTGAGAGTGCTCCGGGCGCACAGGAGCGCCAACATCCCCATATCCCTGTCGTTTGTGCTCCAGTACACGTCGGCGCGGCTGGCTACGGACGCGCGAGACAAGGTCTACGCCGGGCTGGCGATCGTCGACTGGGAGGAGACCCAGGAGGCGCTGAGAGCCGACTACAACCTGAGCTGCCGCGAGGTGTACACGTCGGCCATCAAGACCCTTCTGGCCGAGAGCGGCGATCTGAGGGCATACAACTTCCTGCTCGGAACGCCGCCCGGCGGCGGTGGCGAGTTTCCTTCGTGGGTTCCGAGCTTCGCTGCGGATGTGGTTAGACAGCCCGACCTGTGCTTCCTGGGTGGCGGCTCGCGAGGGGACTTCATGGTCACTGCCAGCAAGGGCCGTCTCTATCTCGCAGGTGCCACGCCGGCGCTTGACATGAAGCACGAGTTGCGGTTCGAGGGTCGCGACAAGATCATGGCCATCAAGGGGGTCTTGATTGACAGTCTCCAGTCGATCGGCGACGCTGCTCCACAGGACGACGGCGTCACGGACAACCTGGAAATCAGCATCGCCGGCGCCATCCAGCAATGGCGTGCTCTGGTGGGCAGCCTCGACGGACACTATCCCACGGTAGGTCCGAGCGAGAGACGGGAGTCGAAAAAAGAGGCATTCTGGCGGACAGTCACGCTAGACTGCAAAGTTGTCTTCTACCACGCGGGGCTGAAGCTGCACAACAACCCCCGCGATATGCGGCGCAGGCTGAACAGCCCGACGGACGCAAAGATACCGCCGCGCACACCCAGCGAGGAGAGAGAACTGCTCGCCGCGCTAGACGAGCAGGTCAGATGGAAAGAGGGCCAGCAGGTAGGGCGGCGGTTCTTCACGACCAGGCGAGGCTTCATGGGCATCGGCCCGCCAGAGGCGCAGGCTGGCGATGTCGTCTGCGTCTTTCTCGGCGGCGAGACGCCGTTTGTGCTCAGGCCTGGCAATGGGGGCCGGTACAAACTGTTGCGGCAGTGGTGAGTACCTTAATTAGTCCCAGACGCCTCTCTCGGCGTTATTCCAGAACCTCGTCGTGGAAAAGCGTCGAACCCTGCTAACGCCAAATCTCGAGCTATCTACATGGGTTCATGATGGGCGAGGCAATTGCTCACGCGTGTCACACCGGAATATTGAGGCTGGAAGAGATAAAGTTGGAATAATCAGGCAAGCATTAATTGGCAGGGGGGAGAAAGAACGAATATTAGATGACTTGCTGCGAAAACTCAAATTCTGTATTGCCGATTACTGATAGATGGTATCATCTCCGGACGTTACGTTGGTCGAAGAAGAACTTCCTGCTCGGAAAGCGTGTCGTTACACCTGGGCCCTGGCCCATTTCCAATGACCTTCCCTCGTCGCGGCGTCACGGCCGCGTTAGGTACACACTGCTGATATATTTCTCCAAGGCTATCCCAGCCCTGGGTATAAATATGACTCAATCCTAACCTTGACTATGCCCGGTGCTTACCTTTGTCTGCTAACTTGAGTAGTCAAAGCCGACCGCCGTTCCTGGCACTTGCCGCATCTCCTATCCGCCTTCGTCTACCATGAATCGCACTTCGTTTTTCTTACTCTTAGTCTAACTCTAGTCTCATCGGATGCTCATACTAGTGTGCGTAACTCTTTTTTGCTTTGCACCTTCTGACCCACGGGGCCTACGGAGGGCTACAATCAACCAAAGCACAGGAGAAAAAGACTGGGCAAGTGGTCTGAGCATCTGATGAGATCAAGGTTGCACCAAGAGTAAGGGGATAGCGACGTGCGACTAATACCCGACATTGCTTGGATTATTGGCTCTGCCTTTCAAGTGAACTTTTTATCTAGCTGGGCGGCTACGTGACGCCGGCAAGCTGGACACGGCCTGCGTTCCTGTTGCATGTTACGCGATGTCTCTTGGGGTCTGTTTAGCGAACTTCACGCACAGGCTCCCATGATGAAATTAGAACCCCATGCCAGAGTTACCTCTGGTCTCCACACGGTTGACCGCAGTATCACCGGGTAAATTCTCCATCCTCGTTTCCACACCGCTCGACTTCGTAAATTCAGTGCATGACACTGCAAGAAGGCGTTGCAGTTGATTAGTCAGAGGATGCAGTTCCGGTCCGGCGTTTCTCCTCATAGCCGGACAGTCGGTCATAAGACTCTCTTCTACATCCTAACTCTTGCCCGCTCCTGTCATCAGCTCCTCCCTGGTCAGGGACTCCTCCCTCGCCTGTATCCGTCCGAATCATCTCTCCATCTTTTGTCACACACCTATAGTCTCGCAAGTGACAATGGTCACCCTCGCTGACCCCTTCCGTTATGGCGATCTCCCCTCTCCTGGCGAGGGGAATCTTTCCCAGGTTTTTACCATCCCATCTTCATCAGACATATAATACTAACCACTAGAAACGATGTATAGAACATATCATCAACTATATCATTAGCGGACCCATCCGCAATGTCTTCCTCAACCACGGTGCCAATCGCACCCACTTCCTATACCTCCAGCATCATAACATCGACACCGACGTGTGGGAAATGCGAATGCTGTGGTGGCCATTGTCATTGCTGAAGTGTTGTATGGATAAAGCACCTGTATTGGAGACTGAAATAAGCACGGGTTCCCGAGAGGAGCCAACTCCGCTTGCGGAGTTGGTGGGTGGCGCGATGGAAATAGCTAGCATTAGTTTACGATTCAGCATCGTGTCGCGCTAGGATGGCTGGACGGGTCTCCTTTATCGTCGTGTCGTCTGTAATTGTCACTCGTTTATTTCTACTAACCCAAGGGAAAAACCCTCTTTCAACGTTCCAACATTCTGGGCCAACCTGGCCTGAAATGGGGATTGGAAAAAAGAAAGCCTTAAAAAGGAATGTTCGCTAAAGTAGGCATTCCCATTTCTTATGCTGCCTGCTGCTTTGCCAGCCATTCTTCGTGCATCTCTTTCTTTTTCTCCCACTCTTTGACCAGCTTCTTGCGCCTATTCTTGGACACCACATTCCCCGCTGCGTCCAGGATGGGATGCCGCTTTCGTTCCATTCCAAGTACGCTTCCGAGGTCCTAAACATCAAGAGGGGGCCGACCTTGGCGCACTCGTGCAGCTCCTTCTCCCTCTTAGCATCCTTGGCCTTCTGTTCCAGCGTGGCCTTCGTCTTCGCAGTGCCAGTTGATTCCCGCTCCGTTCGCGCCTCTATGATCAACTTATCGAGCGGCCGTACCAGAGCTGGTTGGGGTTCCTCACGGTCCTCGAGATAGATGCCTAAGTTCCAGAGGTGCACATCGCGGAGCTGGTCGTATAATGCGAGCAACTCTTTTGCTGGCGATTGCTGGGCCGCGAGGGCTTGACGTTGGTGCGGAACTGCTGCAGCATTTGATCGTATGGTGCGGAGGACTCGACCACTAGTGCTGACGCAGCGATTGTAATTCCGTCAGCGAGCCTCGCAATGGCTGTATGATCCACCGAGCCGGAACAGGCCAAGGTTCGAACCTTGTCGCGCAATTGAGATGCAGGGTGGATATAAGGCTTTGCTAACGCAGGAATATCGAGGCTGGACCACCCTATGCGGTCCACGTTGCTGAGATCTCCCTCGGGATCCAGACCAAATATTGTGACAATGCGTGTTATCCACCAGGTAAGCAATATGACTGTTTGATCTGAAAGTGCCTCTGCCGAGTTAGACTCGGTAACGAGATCAGAGAGGATTCTCATAACAGCTGAGGTGTTGAAGGAATCGCAGAGAGCTGTATGGACATCGGCTTTCGCCTTCTCGAGGGAGCTTAAGAATTGCTGGTCTCCGATGGTAAGCTCATGCGTTGTTGTTGTTGCTGTTGTCTCGGGACTGGAACGTTTCCAGAGGTCCAAGCTCTTTAGAAGTTACTGAGTTTGCCTTCACAACCGACTACGGCCTTCGTAAGCTCGCCTGTGATCTCAACGCCATCCTGCCAAGGCATAAGGAGGAAGCAAGTTCATGGAGAGCATGCACTCCACTCCTCGTCGGAGAGAATAGTTCTGATGGTCGTATAGTTCTTGAGACTCTTGCTAATCTTCAAGCCTTGCTGCTGGCGGCCCTTGAGAGGATAAACTTGTCGTCGATATCGGTCGTGTTCATGACGAACCTGACGCAGAAACCGAAGTAGTCCCTCATGATCCGGCGGATGACGTCGGTCGAGACGTAGTTCTTGGCATGGCCCAGATGGGCATCTTCGTACACTGTCGGGCCACACGCGTACCACGTCACCACCGTCCCTGTCGGGTCGACTGGGACAAAGTCATCCTTGCTCTTGGTCAGGCTGTTGTAGATCTTAAGTCGGGGCAGCTGGGCATCAGGTCGGGCTTGGGGGGGGGATCCATGGCGGCTGTTTGCGACCGTTAGAAGCCATGTTACGTGTGCTCGCTTAGCTTTGAGATTGAAATTGTCAGCGCCAAAGAGTGCTTGTCTAAGAAAGAAGGAAGGAAGGAAGGAAGGAAAAGGGTCGTACTTTTGGTAGAGAAGAGACAGCTCGACTTGACGGTATGATAGCATCAACGTTACTGGTCCTATTCTACTTTGGTTCTTGCATTTGGCAACTCGAGGGTTAAATAACTCACCCGAGCGATCTTAATCCCCGCTCTCGGCAAAGCTCTAATTGAGGGAGCCAATTGCTTTGACAAACATGGCACAAGATGGCTTCTCCGCCTGTGGCACAGTACGTTTCCGAGCCGTAATTAGATGACTCCAATACCAAGATCGTGATGATTGAGAGCAATACGATAGCGCATGCATGTATATGTGAGGCCGATTGAACAGAGTGGCGATCTTATATGTGGTGGTGAGCCTGTCAGGGGCATGTCAACATGCCCGCATTGTTCCTACCTGCCCAGGAAAAATCGTCAAATGTGCTGTAAATCAGGGTTTTGAGCTGGCTGTTGGCCAGCAACACGACACGGATGAATTCGTACACAGTCAAGTGCATGTATTCAAGCGAGGCTGACTGGGCAGAGTGGTCATCTTATTTGTGGTGTTAAGTCTTGTCAACAGGCATAGTTAACTTCGCTCTATTGACAAGCCCGGAGATGCCTCAAAGTGCCGATGGTACGCTAAAAGTGCCGATGGTGCCGCTAAAAAGGCCGCCAGCTGATACTGGCTGCTAGGGTGGGTCTTTTGTAAGTAGGTGGGTAGCTCGTAACGATAGGGGTGGGTGCCCCGATGGGTTCCCTAAATATGACGCTATTGATTTGATCTGAGGGCAACAGGCTATTGATAATTTTGTTATAACTACTCAATTCATTTTCTGGCACCCTCCGCGCTAGTGAAGAGTCGTCCAAAAAAAAAAGCCCCGAAGTCTAGAAACTTCATTTAACTACCCAACCCTTCAAACACAAGATGTAATTGAAGGTATCGTCACTAAAGGACCTTTCCGGCCCTGTTCTTTGTTAGCATATAGAGAGATGGTTAATTACATACGCACCGTCAACGGCATGCTGAAGCCGGATTGGCCCCAGTCAGGGCGGTGTGCCCCGGTCCTAGGAAACCCCAAAAACCTGGCTAAAATGGCCTGATTAATGGGAAAGGCAATACCTGTCAAATGGTCAAGTACTTTCGGATCTACACAGAATATTCGATATGAGTTGACCCCCAAAATCGCACATTTGACTAACAACAGAGTTATAATTGATCCTTGTACGGAGTATTTGATCTTATTTGAGTTGGTGCCAGCCAGTGCTGGGACTCGATGTTACAACGGAGGTCAGGAGATTTATGTCTAGAACTGGATTCTAACGGCACTGATTAATAAATATGAAGGTGGTTGTTGGGATGCAGTAATTCTAGGCTTTCAGTTTCGCTGTTGACTTCAACGCTGAAGTCTTCAAAACTGTGTTTGGTGTTTGCAGGGGGCCAGATTCTGCACTGGCAGATTACTGATAATTGTCTCCTGACGTGCGTTGGTCGAAGGACACGAGAGTGATTTTGATGGGACGACCAAGCACTCCACCAGATGCTGACCTCGGCGCCCCCAGGCCAGGCCAGGGGACATGTTTACACAGCAAGACTTTGTAAAACAAAACTTTGTGCAATGTCAAACATCACCGTTCCCTTCCAAACAAACATCCTCTTCACGTTGCGGGTAGTACGTATTCCAAGTATGTGCCGGCTAGGCCCGCATCCGAGCTCGAGTTCCCCGTCGCTGGCTTGTCTCCAGCACCCCGGAATGCCGATCAGCGGTGTGCCGTTGTGGCCCGAGCTGTGCCGTGGTGGGGTGGGGGGAAGGAGGAACGACTGTGGGGCCTTAGGCTTGACAATAGAAATCCCGCCGGTCCCCCCTGCCTACGCCTTAATACGCGCTGATGTCAGTCTGACTGATGTGGTCCCTTTAACTCCACACATCATCCTCGGAATCCCTCTATCGATATCGTCGCTATCCATCGGCGCCGACAGCGAGGCATGCGACACAGTCGGACATACTGTACTGTCTGACTCTGAGCAGCGGCGCTTTCTTTCCCTCTCGCCTCGGGCCTGCTTCCGCTGCAGCCCTCCCCCTCCCCAAAGCATATGCACTTTGCCAACCCATAGCAGCGTGCTATTCTTGGACTTGGCGAACCCGTTTGATCCAGTGCCTGATTCAGCGCGGCGAGTTTGCTCTGCTGCTGTATTGAGCTCCAGCTGCCAAACACCCACGTCACCACTAACGACGTTTCGAAACACTCGAAAACACAAATTACCTCATCTACCATTCGCGGGCACGAAGACGACAACGTACCCGCCTGCCCACCCGCCGCCACCGTAGCAATTAGTATTTGTCTTATCCTCAGGTGAGCCGGGCATGACATATCCGTACTTCGGATCCTTCCGACTCCATATATCTGGACTCTAATCATTTCAAGGTCCACCCCCGGCTCCAGCTACTCCCTCCCTGGAACTTCTTCGGCAGCGTCACCCGTAACGGCGGACATTTCCGCCAACAAAGGAGAATTGACCGCCCTCATCATCAGTGATACGCTGATCTTTTTTACTTTTAAATCCGCCATCCTCCGAGTGGCCCGCCATTCCAGAACAGAGTGAAATGACATGACAGTCCCCATGCTGCTGGGTCTGTCGGCTAGGGAAAAGGTGATATTTTAGACTGAGGGCGCCCTGCCCTGCCTGCTGCTGTTTCCGTCCAAAAATTATATCATGGATGCCACGTCCGGACCGACACACGTCCAGCGGCACTGTTCTGTGACGCTTACGGGTCGCTGACAGTTCTTGACACGCAGTAGCTTGTTTAGTTTGGGCTTGCTGTCAAACTCTCTTGTTGTCACATATTTGGGACAGCCCATATTTTGTTTGTGTTTTGTGTTCGTGGGTGTTGTGTCAAGCGGCCTGCCTACTTACCCCCTCCGAACACCAACCCGCCGACATGGACCCGTCGCGTTTGACGATTGACGGGGTGCCGAACGAGGTACGCCGCACCATCTCTTCAACTTTTATTTTTGGAGAATTCTGGGGCATTTTAGCTTTCTTTCTCGCCGCCGCCCTGCGTTTCGTCTCAGACTAGGTCCGCACTCTGCTGACTCCGAGCCTTACCCACCCGCCCTCCAGATTCTCCTTACTATTCTGTCGCTGCTGCCCACCGCCTCGCTCCTGCCGCTCGCCGCCGTCAGCCGGCGCTTCTACTCGGCGGTGGCGAGGCTGGCGCACACACGCATGTTGCGCGTGACCGCCCAGCCTGACTACCGCCTCAGTCTCGAGTGCTACCACCCGAGCGCCAAGATCTCGACGCCGTATCTCTACTGCGACTTCATGCGCACCGACAGCCTCGGCCTTGATGCCAAACTGCCGGCGCTAGTCGGAGGTGGCGAGGACCATGTCGACCGAGGCTTGCCCGAGCCGACCCTCGGCAGGCTGTACGGCATGTACTCGCACTTCCGGCCCGTCGTGCAGGAAGAGAACCGGCGGCCGAGGCTGCGGTACCCGAGGCGGGGCCACGCGACCCTGGTGCAGCTAGACGCCAGCGCCAGTGAAAGCAGCAGCAGTGCTGGAGGGCAGTCGCAGTCACGCGGCGGGTTGAAGCCCGAGCCCGACCAGGAACCGGAGAGGCCGTCTCAGGACATCTACCTCGACGAAGACCAGCTGTTTTCGCAGCTCTGCACCGTCACGAACCTGGTCAAGCTCGGGCCTAAACCGGGCTTCTTCTTGAGCCACGTCAACATCAGCGACGGCGTGATACGTGTGTTTCGCGACTGGCTAGCAACGCAGGCGGCGGCGGCGGCGAGGGCCAGAAGAGTCCCCAGCAGCGGCAGTGACAGCGGCATAGACACTCCGGGCCAGGAACGCGCGACACAGGAGGTGCTCTGGGCCGACGGGCGCTGTCATGTCGGTCTCAAATTCCGGGTCGCGGAGAAGGATGACATGGCGGGGCACGTGTGGCGGGCGCCGGTGCTGGTGGAAAAGGCTGACGAGCCGCCGGTAGCCTACCGGCTGGAGTTTGATGAACTCCGGGTCCGGACCAGCCGGCTCCTGCTCATGGTGGAGCGGTCTGAGGCGCAGGAGCTGAATACTTCAGGTAAAGCCATTGTGATTGCGTCCATCTAAAACCGAACAACATCCCCACTCGCCTCTCATCCGCTCACCACACATGTTGCACACGCAAAAAGGCACGAGTAGTGCTTTGCATCTGGGCCGAAGTCCCTTGGTGACGATGCTCGCGCTGTTGTTGGCGATCGTTACTTCACGGCAAAGTTGCCTAGCTTACTAACAAGAACACCAACACGGTGCTTGTTTCTTACCCAGTCTTGTATCACCCCCTATCCACTTCTTTGCTGGGGACCGGGCTGATCAGTCCGCTTGTTTGGTGTCTATTTTTGACGACGGGACCAGGTTGGCCCCATGCACCTTCTCTCTAGTGTATAGTTGCTCCATCATTAACCAACACCGAACTAGACTGTGCGCTCCACTTCACGGGAGGAATGGTTCGCGGCCTAGTGTCGATGGAGGCAATGTGGTCCCTTCTTTGCTCGGCATAATCTGGGATGAGGATCCCCAAAATGAGACCAGAAACGAGAAGAGAGATAGAGAGAGAGAGACAGAGAGAGAGAGACAGAGAGAGAGAGCCCCCCCCCCCCCCCCCCGTCCCTCTTTTCGTTCCCGAGACATATCATGTTTGGCTTTGGCTCACGGTTTCCTATCCCCCATCTTGGTGGGGACACAACTCTTCCCAAAATTAGGTTTCCTCTTCGAGCCCTTTGGTCCCGGGTCGTACCCGGCCCAGTTCTTTTTCTGGTCCGATCTGCAAAACAGCAACAACAACCACCATAGCCCGCGATGGGCGTCGGCTGCGGAGGCGAAGGCGGCGGCCACGGGCTGAGATGACCGGTTGACGATGTGCGGGCTGCTGCTGCTGCAAAACGAGCAGAGGGCCGGTCAAACATGATGGGCTTTTAGCCTGAGAGAGAAAACATACCATTGGCAGGCCGTGTACGTTTTGGAGATCGCGTCATCGTCAGAACCGTGGGGAACATATATGGGGGATGTTGTGGATAAGTGATCTCTCGACGATGACGAGAGGGGGGGGGAAGAGAGAGAGAGAAAGAAACAGAAAGTCGGAAGCGAGCTGCTATGCGCGGCGACTCGCGAAACAAGCTGGGCGGGCAATCAGGATGGTGATGGCGGACGGGATTGGCTCTGAAGGCAAGATGTGAGTCGCGGATCGGGGAGAGAGAAAACACGCGGAAGGCATTTTGGACAGGGGATCGCCATTATGGAGGTGTTTACTCAGTTCCTGGGACGACTATCCGGAGATGGAGAGATGGAGATGGGCATTTCTCGGAGCTACCCAGTTCTAGGTATTGCGTGGACAGGCCGAGAATAGACTGCGCGAGAGTCGATCAAGAGAACAGGCTCAATTCAGCCCTCTGAGAGGCTCCGGCCAAAAAAAAAAAAAAGCTTGCCTGGGTCTGGGCTCATGGGAGCACACGGCGAACGATTTTGCCGATTACACCGGTGCGTGATCATCCTTCGGAGCCAGGGCCACACCCCGGCGCCATCACCTTCATGCCTCTGCTCGAGGTGCGCAGTGGGGGAGGCCAACCCGGTGGAGTGTGATGGCCATGGGCTATCGTAATGCCTTGGAAGCCCCCAAGAAACAAAATCCTCTACGTACCGTGGTACGTACGCGGAGGCGTGCCGCTGCTGCTATTTTGGCCTTCTGGCCAAGCCAGGCCACAAAGGGTGTTCTGTCCTGTCCCTCCCGCCCTCCTAACTTAACCTTCCTGACGCGGGAGCCGCACCGAAACGGAATCCGATCCACGGACCGGTTTTGTGGGCCGTGTGTTCCTAGTTTTATGTTGCTGGCTCTTTTACCACTGCGATTGACAATGGTGAACGGAGCTGCATTTTGTGCGTTCGCGACAGCAACGTAACGCAATTAATTATATGTCGAGATGTTTCAATTTCATGGCGAAGGTGGGAGCGAGCGAGCAACACCACTTGCACCCCTAGGTTGCATTGACACTGTAGTAAGGTACCTCTAGAGGAGAGGTCTTGCCTAAAAGAGCCAGCCCCACGTCCCCTTCCTCTCCTCTGCCAAGCCAGAACAAGCATGTCAAACCTTACGTCGCCCCATGCAGGTACGCTAGTATTACAACTCTACTCCACGAGCACTGTAAGGTAAGGTGTTGAGAAGGGGAGGATGGATGTGGGGAGCTCAGGCTCCCGGACTCGGGACGCAGTGCCATTTCTGGTGGTCTGTGACAGAGTCTGTGACACGACAGAGTCTTCAGGTTTTGCCATCCAGCTCCCCTTTGTCTCTTTTTCGTCCCAACTCTTTCGATTGATGCCACGATACGGTATGGTCGATAGCGCTTCGTCGGGCACGTCTGCCGGACGCCTCTGGTCACGTCTAGTGAGGTTCTAGCTCCCTTGCTGTGCGCGGAATCGTCCGTCGGGTGTGAGTCTCTCTGGCTTCCTTCTTTATTCTCGCCCAGCGGACGTGATAGGCAATTGCGCCTTGCACCAATGCCGGCATATCACTCTGACCGTCGTGGATATTGGCTCGGCTTTCCGGTGGTCTGAGGACGACGCAAGCCCTGGGAATACGGCTGTGCAAAGTCTGGTTCCGAAGGGAGTCGGGCATTGGGTACGTAAGCAAGGGCGGTCTGGTTTGGAGGTTTTTTTTTTTTTGCGGGCATCTTTTTCTTCCATATTCTTTTTGATGCTGGCTGATGCGGCCTGCCAGGGCGCCCCTCCGCCAAGATTTGGATCACGACGACGGTTGGCGCGGAAGTAGCCGATTTTCTTCAGCAAGCCGTGGGTCTTGCCCCTCACAATCCCGCCTCGCCAGGCCCCGCTCTTTTGGCGTCAAACTCGCGTCGTTCTGCTTCTAATTTTTCGGAATCTCGTCTTGTCGCGATGCGCAGAGAGACGCCACCCTACGCTCTGTTTTGGGCAAATTGAGAGGCATGCGTCGATACTCCGTGGCATGCAGTAGTCGGTTTATCGATGGGCACACCCGATGATGATCGACTCGGGCGGCGAGTCGAGAAACAACCCCTCCCGTCAGGTCATGAAGGTCAGGTCAGGTCCCGTCGCGGTTTCAGCCTCCCCAAAACTGCTTGGTCCCTGCGCTCGCTGAGGGCCAAAGTGTCCGACGGCCTGGTCAAAGCGGGCCTGATCACCGCCAGGGACCGGCAGCACCCACCCAGTGCACCTACCACTTGGACCCCAGGAGCCCGGCGGGGGCGGGGACAGGGGGGGGGGGGGGGGGGGGCAGGCCTTGACAAACTGGATCTGCCTCTGCCGGGCCTGCCCCTCCTCCCTCGCCTTTTAGAGTAGGTTTCTTTGAGTTGCCCAGGTGTGCACTGCACCTGCGCACGATCCAGGGATCCCGAGGTTCAGCCCAATTGGCCATCGCAGTCGTGGCACCTCGACCTCCTGAGCCCTCGCAGCCCACGAGCCGGGTGGGTGAGCCTGGACCTGCATGAAGTAAGGGCCCAAAAAAGGCACCAGTGCTCCGGTGTCACTCTGGTGTGCTTCATGCCTACAAGATACATCCATACCTTACGTACTCTACACTTACCCTACAATCCAGTATTGTGCACGTAAACCCACGGATTACCGATGCTGATGCCGGCAGCTGCACCTTCTTCGTATTCAGCCAACAAGCCAACAAGCCAACGGCGGATACCTTAGGGAGGGAGGAGCAAAAAGAGAACCAACATGGCTGGCTCTGTCAACTCGCACCGAACCCGAGTCTGCCGCCACTCCGCGGGCGAGCGAGCGAGCGAGCGCGATCAGCGCGGCCTGCTTTTGCTTTGCCTTCTCGCCAAGTCCTGTCTGATCGGATCTGGTTCTAGTCTCTGCTGGTAGCTTCTCTCCGGAACCAACCCGGCAAGGCATGACTGGTGCTGTCGTCGCCAACAAGGGGTGCCTTCATCGTGCATTGGATCGCCGTCTGCTCCCATGTTTCCCTCCCCACCCGCCAGGGGGGGTTTTCTCGTCTTGGCTCTGGTCCGGCCTCTCGAGTGCCTCGCCCGTCCCTGGCAGTCAGTCCCATGCAGGCACGCCACTGCGGTCTCCATCGGCGGTGGTGCCGCATCGCATCGTATGTATGTACGTACCATACATACCGTCCGTACCTGACCATCGCACCGTCATGACCCTCCCCGGAATGCGAGGTCAATGCTTACACGGGTCTCCTGTGCCTTGGCTGTGCCTGTGCCTGTATCTGTGCCCATCATCTGTCCCCCCTCACCTCACTCATCGCCCTGTCTGGCTTACTGCGTACGTAAGGTACGTAGTCCGTACAGTACCTACCTACCCACGACTTGGCTTCGCTCCTTGCGCACGCTCTCTTTTAATGCTTATTCTCGCCGCTCCCCGGTCCTCACTTTCAGCCTTGCCCATCTCGTCCATTCTTTGCGGCTTTGCTTTTATCACCATCGTTCCGCCTGCTGGACAGCGACGACAGACGACCTTCTTTCATTATTGACCGCCACATTCACTCGCTCACCACCCTCCGCAAGCCGCGCTGCGTATTTCCATCCGAGAGAGGGTGCTGTCCTTCCGCAATGGGGCTAGACCTGGATATGGACCTGGAGAAGGAGCTGGCTGTCGAATTTCCCCGTCCGCCCAATGCTCTCGGCGTGACAAGCCGATGGACTATTCCCCCGACGCCCCCGGCAAAGGACGAACCCACTCAAGTCGAGAAGCCATCGCCAGTGAGCTTAGATATATCACGGCCGACCACCAGCCCGTCGGAACCCCCCAACAGACCGCTGCCGCCTAGGCCCGCGTCCAAGATGGACGCATCAAGGCCCAGTACGAGCATATCAGAATCCCCAAAGAGACCAGCGCCAGTACAGCCACCCCCACTCAAACCCCAGGCCCCCCTGGCTATGAACCCTCCAACAAGACCTGGGACAGCAGCATCCCAGATGTCAAGAGAGAGCAGCCCACAGAGAATCAATGGCTCGACAAAGAAACTCTCGTGGACCTCGATTGCGTCGAGCAGGAGACCAATCAAGTACGGCCAGGGCAAGTATCGGTCCATCGAGTTGGTTCCGCAGCCGAGTGATGATCCTGATGATCCTCTGGTAAGCTGACTTCCCCTTTTTGAGCGGGGACGACGAATCCAGTGCTGACCACCCTCCTTCCAGAACTGGCCGACTTGGAAAAAGGAGCTCAACTTCGGTTCGCTCCTGCTCATGGTCGCCATAACTGGGGTGCTGAAGACGATATTTTTGTCTGTAAATGCCCAGCTCGCTGAGGCGTACGAGGTTTCGTACACCTCGGTGGCCGCCCTGACTGGGGTGCCATTGATCCTGTCTGCCGTGACCGCCTTTGCCAGCCTTGTGGCTTCCCGCGTGTGGGGCAAGAGGCCGTTGTACCTGGCCTCGCTGCTCTTGGTGTTCATCGGAACCGTCTGGAATACCAATGTGGCGACCAGCTATTCCCAGTGCATGTCAGCCAGAATCTTTCAGGGATTTGGATGGGGCGCCTTTGATGCCCTTGTTCTCGGCTCGATCCAGGATACCTATTTTGTGAGTCGGATGCGACTCAATACGCAATGATGGACTCTTGCTAACCGGCATCAGGAACATGAACGTGGTCTCCGCATCGCCATCTACTCCATTGTCGCCGTGACCACCACCTGGGGCCCGCCTCTCATTGGCGGTGTTGCCTCGCAGACCGGCTCTGGCTTCAGTCTGCAGTTCACCATCCTCAGCTCCTTCTTCGTTGTTGCAGTGCCGGCCATAACCCTCGGCGCGCCTGAGACGGTCTTTGACCGGGCATACACATTGGCCCAGACGCCCGCAACGGGTGCGAGCAAGTTCAAGGCGTCCCTACCCATCGCTCCTCGCCGTTTATTTTCCCTTGAGGCTTTCAATAACTATATCGTGACCATGAAGCCGTACTCGTATAGTAGCGCCTCCGACACAACCACGCTCCTCCAGGCTCCGCGCGCCTTTATTGCCCCCACTACCGTGCTCCTCTTGCTCGTCTCATTGCTTCCGTATTGCACCCTCTGGGGCCTCAGCTCCTCGCTTTCGCTTTTTTTCTTTCCCATGCCCTTCGAATCCTCCCCTGCCAACATTGGTACCCTCATGACGGGCCCCTGGCTTCTCAGCACTGGCGTAGTCGCGACGTTTGCCTTCTTCAGCTGGTGGCATACGCACTTTACGCCCAAGCTGCACGTGGCTGCCGTGGCCGGCGGCTCTCTGCTCGCCTTCATCGGCGTGCTGACCTTTGGGCTGCACATCGACGCCAGCATGACGCAGCCCGAGGACGATAACACGTCGGTCTTTGCGCTTCGGTACCTCGGCGCCAAGGTCAACTTCCCCGCCATGAGCTTTGTCCTGGGCCTGCTGGCCGCCGGCACCTACGTGCTGGATGCCACGGTGCGTCCGCTCATCCGCGCCAGCACAAACTTCACGAGTTCCAACATGGGCATCGCCCTCCGCAACACGGCCGACATGAGCGCCGGCGTCAGCTGCTGGCGCGCCGTGTTTGCCGGCATCCTCGTCATTGCCACGCCCAACGACGTGTGGTCGTGGGACGGCCTGCGCTCCCTCTGCATCGGCGTCGCCATCGCCCAGATGGTCATCGCCGCGCTCGTCGCCAGCGTTTGGTGGCTATGGGGCGAAGACATTCGCCGCTGGGACGGGCGCATCATGCGTCTCGTCGATCTCGAGATGCTCAAGCGCACTGGCAGCTTCTTTGACACGGACTGAAAGGAGAAAACCCTAAAACGAAAGAAATATGAAAGAGGAAAGCAGCAAAACAAGTCTTGTTTTTCTTGCTTCCACCGTGCTGCAAAGCCACGTAAACGAATTTTTTACATTAGCCCCTCGCTTTCTTTTTTTCCTACTTTGCCTTGGGATGCTGGTGTTTGGGGCAGGGGATATATCATGACGGACACGGATGGAATCTGATGACTTGAGAAATGAAGTAAAGACACGAAGACCTGGATGAGAGGATCTTTTCTTTCCAACCTATCTTTTATACTTAATGAAAGGCTGGAAATGTGCCGGAGATGCTCCAGTTTGGTCCCCCCTTTTGGAGTCGTTGGGGGATCGTGGCCAAGAGATTGGACGGGACACCGACCGGAAAGGGATTGGAACTTGGGAACTTTGGGAGCGGACGATATATAACTTTTTAACCCTTTGAGATACCACGGACGGGATGACAATCCTTATTTCTCTTTCTTCTTCAACAGAATCCTTTTTTTTTCGCTTCTTTCGCTCGCTTCAATTGGTGCGCCGCGCAGGTGCCCAAAACATTTTTGCTGCTGTTTGGGTCTTGTGGTGAGGAGGTGCTGGATTTGATCTGATTCGATCCGATTAGACCACACAAGGGGGAGAAGATGAGGGTGAAATGCTGTTTGGAAAGAGTGGAAGAAATAAATAGACGAGACTTTGCTAATTGTACACCAGAAAGCAAGCCTACACAAGAGATACACACAGAGATATATAACTCTTCTAGAACAAAATAACCGACTTCCTCTTCCCCCGGAAGACAATCCATCCATGATCGATCAATCGATCGCACTTCAGCCTGTGATGTCTCCCGCAGTCCCGTCGTCGCAGACTGCAGAAGCTCGGCGGATAAAATAGAATGTGCATTTCGAAGCACCCAGTCACACAAAAGCGGCACGGCTAGGCTAGGCTGGCTAAAAAGGCTGGCAGCTCTACGAGCCTTCTAGAAACTCTGGAAGCCCTGCGAGCTGGGGAAATCTCCTTGGTCTCGGACCCGGCCGCCGTGCCGATCAAACGTGGAGAGCGGCAGATCCGGGGACTGACTAGGGGGTGGTGGGAGATGAGAGCGGGGGGGGTGGGATGGGAGGATGTTGAGAAGGGATGATTTTTGGGGTTGTTCGGATGAAAGGGGTGTGGGATTGATCGAATTCCAGATGTGATGTGATGTGATGTGATGCCTTTCATTTCTATGAGGATGGGGAAATGGCAATCATCTTGCCTGGAGACTTTACGCGATATGAATTCAATACCGCATTTCTATTCAAGTTATGGCACAGACTTACAGAGGTATTCACATATCTCGAGCCAACACAGCTCCATATAAGCAGAATCCAGTATCATATAAGAAGACATGCCCCAATATGCATTATCAACCTGACAAGAAAGGCTCCGAGCAAACGAAATAACGCCCTAACCACACCTAACAAATAGGCACGATGGCTGACGGTGCTAACCGCTCTTGACAAGCGCCGACCGCACCTTCAACGATAAGTGGCTCATAGCTGACTTGATATCGAATTGATCTAGGCAGTTCAGAACGTTCGTAAAATAGGCCTCTAGTTCGGGATTATCTGCCTTGGCCGTTTCCTCTTGGATAGCGACTCTCAGCTGGCGCACCTCACGAAGACTTTTTGACACTTGCATTCTCACGGCCCCACTGCTGCCTGACGCCCTTGCTGAACAGAAACCGGACAGTCTTGAGTCTCCTCCCGGGCAGTATGCATAGTGATTCGGGGTACGTCCAGCTTTCTGGGTTCAAGCGGCGGTAGCCGAGGATGGCGCATTCGAGGAGAGGCACCGAGAATTCGTGCTTGTAACTCTTGTATACTAGCAGCCGCGGATTGGCAAGCGCCTTGGCTCGGATGTACGGAAGCACCGAGAACTGCACCGCAAGCCCGAAGAAGGTGATGGTTGGGGTTTGCCGGTGAGTCCCGCTCCACGTATCCCACCCTAATCAGTTGAGCCAGTGCTTGTTTGAAAAGGCGACATCCCACTGCTGCGCTGTGTCGTCAAAGGTGTCTAGCGTCTTCACAAGGGCGGCCGTGTCGGTGGCGTCGTCGTCTCTAATGTTGCTAGCATAAATCATCTTTGCCGTCGTTACCTTGAGCAGGATAAGCGCCGGGTCAAACTCGGGCCCAAGCAGAGCACGCATGCCCTGTATGACCTCGGGCTGAACGGATCAGTCGTGCACCGTGCGGTGCGTCAAGTCGATGCGGTCGCCGACGTAGGTCTCGCTCGTCAGGTCCAGGATGCCCCTCGTCTGCGAGGCCAGCCTGTGTCGGACCGCGCTGCCCACTCACTCGTCGCCCAGTGTGTTGGCCATGGCGACGGGCTGAATGCCCGCCCTGATCTCGCTGGCACGCCAAATTTCCACAATACTCAGGGGCTCACGGGCCGCCAGGACCAGCTGAATCATGGCCAAACCGTCCCGCCGGGTACGCGGCAAGATGCGTGCCCATATAGCGTCGTAGAGGGCCCGGATGTCTTCGGGCAGCGCGTCCAGCATTGCCTCGAGCTCTGCTATGCTGCTGCCCTCGGTGGCCGACTCAACAAGAGCGCCAACAACAAGGGTGACCTAGATGAAGATGCCGCTAGCCTTGCGTACGACGCCCTCCTCGAGCTGCCGCGCCCGGTCTGGGTAGATATGCCTGATTTCGGTGACCGCCCCGGCACGCGTCAAACTTTTTGCCCACGTACGCAGTGATATCTCCCTTGTCAGCAGGTGCATGTGCAAAGCCGGCACGGTGTCGCGGTACGCGTCATCAAACTCGGTCCACGGCTGGCTGGCCACACACAACTTTATGCCATCGCCCCCCTTGCGTGCTATTACGTCAACCATCTCAAAGACCTTGACTGGCGCGACATCAAACTCGTCCAGCCGGTCTATGAAGAGGGCCAACCGGATCGACTTGCCCGACCCGGGTTTGCCGGTTACCCAGTATATGGGCGCGCCAGACCGCTGCTTCAGGCAGGCCGGGAAGCTGCTCTACAGCGGCTTCCCGTCGACCACACGAGCCTCGCGGTTGAAGACCCACGAATAAGTGCGCGCAAACGTCTCGGCCACGGCCTCCTCGCGAGCCCGGAAGGCCAGAAACGGGAGGTCCATAGTTACCGCGGCCGAGACGATCTTCGAGCCGCCCAAGGCATTAAACGTCGACAGAGAAGTCGTGGCGTCGTCACTGTTATCGGCGAATGCGGAACTAAAACTATCATCGTCGAGCTTCCATTCCTCGTCCCACAGCACACTCAGGGTGTCCTCGTAGACGCGCATCGCGGGCATGTTATTGCCATTGAGTGTCTGCACCACTTCGTTTGCAATTGTCGAAAGGCTGACGGACTGTCCGGCGCGGACGAGAGATTTCAAGACGCGTATTATTCTCCCTGACGAACTGGGACTATCTTGTGTCACAAGCTTTTGACTTGGGAAACACGGCTCAGATTGATAACGAGGTCTTCGGCGGTTAATTCTGTGGCCTGGGCTGAGGCACTGCTGCTATTGCTGCTGATGCCTGTGGTCGGCGCTGACAAAGTTTTGTTGTCAATCTTCAAGAGGTCAATGACGGCCTGCATCTGGCCACCGAACTCGTGCTCAAAGCGGTTTGTTCTCCTCGGATTTTCCCTGCGGGTGTTATAAACTAAGCAAGTTAGAATGGCTGTATAATCAACAATCCGGAGAAAATCAAATAACTAGGATACGAAAGACGAAAGCTAAGGTAGACATCTCTACATACCAGAGACAGGACAATAGTGCATTTCCCATGGTTAATCTCAAAGACTCCAAACGCCTCTTGATTCTGCCAATTTCGTCAGCGTTCTAGATGCCCCCCAGCAGGGCGGTGGTTTCGGCATAGAGGTCGCTCTTGGAGCCACCCGGCCGGACGGGCATGGCCGGGCGCTTGTCTCGGATCTGGACGAGGGTAGCCTGGAGCTCTTTCGCAACGCTATCGTAGCCGTCGCGGGGCCTGATAAAGGCATCCTGGGCTGCGTCGTTGGGGCGCGACGGGCCGGCGGCAGCGAAGTTGTCGGCAGCCTCGTGGATGGCCATGGTCAGGAGCGAGGGCTCGTCTGCGAGACGAGAGAGCTCGGCGCTCTCATCCTGGCTCTTGTACCTGCTCCAGCTCCTGCTCACGATTTTGGCGCCAAGGTCGATGAACTGAATCACGCCAGCCGCGATGGCAAGAGCACTGAAAAAGATACATTTATAATCATGTCTCTGTATGTATGCGGAGAAAGTTTGATAGTGAAGCGATCAGAGTGGAAAACATCGCCGCCCGCCAATTTTCGTGCCCATTTCTTCCTTTATTGATCCTGCACCACCCGCGATTTTGTATGCATCAAACAATAACCCCAAGAGACCCGGCTCTCGTTCCATAAAGTAATACAGTCCCACCCGTGACGTACATGCCGCCAAGAATGAATTCCCAAAGTACCAACCAAAACAGCCGCTGACATCAATCTAACCACGTAATATATTCTTGAAACCCATTCCACCGGCGATGTGGTCTAGGACACCCTTCTAGGCTGGGCTCTCTCATCTAAGTGGCAACCTGTTGTCTCTCATTCGTGGAGACAGAACTCGATCTTGTTTGAACTCCCCCATATCTGATTGAATAGACACCTGACTCACTTCGTCTGGATCTAGCTCCGCTCAGTGATTGTCCAACGACGTTTTGTAGACGCAAAGTCACGTCGCTCGACTTCATCTACCGGCGATGGCCCAGCACCCCAGAGCCCACCCTGACCTCCGCCGAGCTCTGGGAATCTCTGCGGGGAGTCTGATAAGGCGCTGGGGGACCCAAGGTCTTCAGCAGCGTCGTTATTTGTAACGGCACGCGGCCCAAACTCCGAGTCCCGAGGCACCGATGGTGGTGTGCCGGCAGTGCTACAGTTTGTGGCGGGCATCGACGAAGCTGCCGTAGATGCATGGGCGTCTTGTTCATGGCTAAAGTTCAACAGTATGTCATCGTCGTCCTCGTCTTCATCGTCGGGAGTGTCCGCCGATATAGGAGACCAGAGCCCCACCGGAGGCTTCCGCGAGGAAAAGCTTGGGGACTTGATTTTAAAAGATGTCACGCCACTTCCAACCGTGATGCCGCTGCCGTTGCCGTTCCCACTGCTCACGCCAAATGCTGGCCTCGAGGAAGTGTTAGATCCCCTTCGAAGGCTCGATAGCGCGGCATTGGCCGACGAAGACCTGCTGACAGAGTTTTCGTTTAACGGAAAGTTGCTCAGAGAGGACGAGAACGAGTTTGAGTAGCGTCCTCGGGTTCCGCCGACGATACTTGCCACCGATGGAGACCTTGAAGAATGGGGCGTGGACGAGGGCGACCGGATGTGGTCGGTATTAGCAAACATTTTCAGGTCGTAATACTGATGGATCGGCACAGTCTCCTTCACGCCCTCTACCGAGCTGGTCACGGGACGCTCAGCGCCGCGCGCCGCTTTCCCGTCCTCAAACGGTCCAAACCCCGGCTTCCGGACCGCCATTGTTAGCGACGCCATCGCCACATCCATCAGGACAGGCTGGTGAGTAATCGCGCCAATCAATGCGTTGCAGCCGGCGCCATGGGACACCAGAACGACAACTGCCTCTGTTTCCACCTCATCTCCATCGTCTATGGCGCATTCGTCAGAGTTTTTCCTGCGACGTATGGCAGTCTTGGTCACCATATCCGTCGGATTGTCCACCGTCGAGTACCAATCGACGAGGTGCTGAACTCCTGCACGGAATCTTCTGTGCATAGAAGTCCACTCCTCTGGAAACGTGCCGCCATCTCCCCAATTGAGCGGACTCCTCATCGAGTCCCACTGGTAATCGATGTCGACGCAGGAGTCGCGGGCATGGGCAACGTATCCTGGAGGGATGGTATGGTTGCCATTCACAGCGTAGTGCGGGACTGGAGACATGTAGCCGGACGCACCGGTAGGCAGTGATGACGAAATCCGTTGGCCGCCGCTCGGGCTGCTGAGGCTTGCACTCCGCGAAAGTGACCCGCTCAGGCTAGTCGCGCTTTCGGGAGAGTCGGTGGAGCCGCTGGTTGGCAACGAGCCCGGACTCCAAAGATGGCCCTGCGAGTTGGAGTGGAAATGGGCGCTAAAGTTGGGATTGCTGGTGTAGTCCTCGCGTCTAAGTAGGTCCGCCTTTGCACTAGCTAGCATCATCACGGACTCGGGGGGTGGGGTGATGAGCTCGAAGTAACCGGGCGAAAGCCACTCGCCCAGAAATGCGTCGAGACGTAAGACGGATCTCCGAATGGGCACAGCCCCAGCTGGCCTTCCTATGTCCCGAACATCCGTGACAACTGTTGGTCTCGTAAGGGGCGGGGTTTGAGTAGCCGGGGGCGAAGGGGGTCTAGAGTCGGACTTCGCCGGTCCGAAGGGCGTTGAGTCCTGTGCTAGGCCGGCACTGATAGCGATCGAAGTTTGGATGCACCGCAAAAAGGGCGAACTGTGCAGGACGACCTTGTATCTCTTGCGTTTCCGCCTGAGCGAGGGGTCTGATGCCTGTTTGGCCACAGCTTCGTCCTCGAGCGCCCTCTCCCGTATTATTGCGCCTATCCTGACGCCCAGGCTCTTCGCCGCCTGCCAGCCGCTATATGTCAGTGGGGGATCGTATGGGGTGGGCGACGTGAGGTGCCATTGCTTGTCGGCAGCATCGAGTCGGTAACCGTGCCTGTGGAATTTTGGATGTTAGCCGTGACAGTCCATCGGTTTTGGGGATTGCCCTGGTTGGCGGGGAGGGGAGGGGCAGGGGTAGGGGATGCTCGCCTCACAACGAAGAGAAAGGCCGGTGGGCACCCCATTTCGGTCCTCTGCTGCTGCCAGGTCTAGCATGCAGTCTGGCAGCCAAGTGCCTGCAGAGGGCCTGCAACAGATTGTGGGTTTTGACCTGGGGCGCTTCGACGTCGAGCAAAGAGCCCGTGGTCTGTTGGAACTCGGATCCAGCAGAATGCGCGACAATGCGGGGCTGCTCTGATGCGGATGGGCCGATGAATCGTGGGGTAAGCGGGGGTCGGATTTGGGTAAGGCTAGGCAGGGCGAGGGCTTCAGTTAACCTCTTGTTCGTAGGTAGCGGAAAAAGGAATCAGGCCGTGGAAATGCCTGATGTCGGGGAACAGAAGAGGCCGTGAACCCTTATAAGAAAGTCTGCAGCCAATGCTATCCGATCGACCCAATGCGGCCAGCGTGGGAAGGTTTAGCGCGAGAGTGGGTTTCGACTAGAAGTAGGACCAAGTCCGAGGGTCTGGAAGGCGAAGGCGAGGGGCGACTGGGACCACAAGAATGGAAGGTATCGGGCTCCGTCGTGCGCGTGGTTTTAAGCTCAGGTTGTCCGTCTCGCTCTCAACGTCCTCGGGGGCTTTTTTCACTCTCGTCCCTCGTGGCCAGTGGGCAGGCAGGCGCGGGGCGCCAGCGAGTTTTGCGATCCGCGCTGGTAGCCACGCCGAGATTACGTAGGACTGAGCTGAGCAGAGCAGCAATACCAAGAGAGGCGCGGCTTCAAAAGTTGGTTGAAGCCTAAGCCTGAGCCAGGTAAGGCGAGGTTTCGGAGGGTCTAAGACAAGTGAAAGGATTTCGTCTCTCTAATATGTAGACAACCTAAACTTCACTCCCTGTGTCTTCGCAGTTCTTTGCTACTTCCCCGGGGTTGATAGAAAGTTGGGTGGCACTTGAGCTTTATTAACAGAATCCCGTCCAGAGCTTGAAAACCGCGCGGGGCCAGTGAGTGACGCGACAGCTCTAAAAGCTTATGCAGCTCCCGTCCCCACCTGCGTCCGCAGGCCGCACCCCAGAGCTGAGGTGCTCAACCGTAGCCGACCGCCTATGGAAGGTCGAACCTATGGAATGCGGACTGTCGTCACCTGCACAACATGCAATCCAGGTCCTCAGCTCCACTGTTGCACTGTGGGGAGGTCCTGTGACCTCTTGTGTGCAGCAGGCGGCACAAAGCCGTCGCCGCGTCCAGCCGCTAATATCGCATTCTTCGGCGTTCTGCGGGCGCTCGAGACCTCCGCCCCCAGTTGCCCTGGGTTGTGAGAACGGGGAGAAGCCGTGGCCTAGATCCCTGGTGTTTCCGCCCCGCAGCGACCCCAGTTCAGAGCAGATTATGTAAGGAAGGGGGTCCAGGTTTGAAATCACGTTCCCGTCTGGTCTTGGCAATCCTCATGCCGCGCTGTCTGTTGGCGCATTCGCAGGGCCACTGCAGTGGACATTCTGATGACAACCCTCCACTCCACTGTAAATTGCACGTCGCCGTTGCTACTTGCTGCTTGCTACCAAACCTTGAACCCGCCTTGCGAAGAGCAAGAAGCCGTCGCCTGCACATATCTAAGGTGATGCACCGCCCAAGATGAAACTCGCCAACATCCTTCGTCTGCCAGCGCTGCTGGCGGCAACGCTTCTGGCGCCGGTAGCCCTAGTCGGCGCCGAGCACACCAGCAACTGGGCTGTGCTTGTCTGCACATCGCGCTTCTGGTTCAACTATCGGCACTTGGCCAACGTGCTTTCCATCTACCGTACCGTGAAGCGACTCGGCATCCCCGACTCTCAGATTATCCTCATGCTCCCCGACGACATGGCGTGCAACCCACGCAACGCCTTCCCTGGCACCGTCTACTCCAACGCGGACCGCGCTGTCGATCTCTACGGCGACAACATCGAAGTCGACTACCGCGGATACGAAGTGACGGTCGAGAACTTCATCCGCCTCCTTACGGACCGCGTGGGCGACGAGATGCCGCGGAGCAAGAGGCTGTTGACTGACGACCGGAGCAACATCCTCGTGTACATGACGGGCCATGGAGGAAACGAATTCCTCAAGTTCCAGGATGCCGAGGAAATTGGGGCATTCGATCTGGCCGATGCGTTCGAGCAGATGTGGGAGAAGAAGAGGTCGGTCTCTCAAGAGCGCGCACCGCTAATCAGGAGTAGCAAAGCTAACCTCTGATTCTAGGTACCACGAGATACTCTTCATGATCGACACATGTCAGGCAAATACCATGTACAGCAAACTGTACTCGCCAAACATTATCGCCACTGGCTCGTCGGAGCTCGACCAATCGTCGTACTCGCACCACGCCGACAACGATGTGGGCGTGGCAGTCATCGACCGATACACATACTATAACCTAGAAATGCTAGAGATGGAAGTCCGGGACACTAGCAGTAAGAAGACGGTGGGTGATCTATTTGACAGCTACACCTACGAGAAGATACACTCCCACGCTGGGGTGCGGTATGATCTGTTTCCAGGCGGGGAGCAAGCCGCGCGGAGCCGGCTCGTGACAGATTTCTTCGGCAACGTGCAAAACGTCGAGATTGACGGATCAAAGAACGCGGCTCTCGAGGAGGATATGCTCTCTCTGAGCAGGGCCATTGCTGCACTCCGGCAACGGGCTGAGGAGGAGGATGCGGCACAGAAGAACACGACAAGTACCGCCAAGAGTGTACCTGTCGCGAAGAGGAGGGTGCAGTTTGCAAAGCCCCTCACAGATGACAACTGGTGGACGAAAAAGATATATGGGGCTTCCGCCCTCGCCGGCTGTGCACTATTATGGGGGCTAGGCTCGTATATGGAAACGGCTCGGTGACACGCATAGATAGTTCTGATGTGTGGGCAGAATTCCACAGCAACTCAAACACAGTTCAAAGACCAGTAGATCAGGGCTTTTAAAGAAATCCAGATTCTTTCTGAAATGCTAATAAGATTGTATAAAATACGTTCTCAGATAGGGGTGGATGAGGTGCCTGGCATCCGCGAAACTGCATTCGGCCAGGAAGGTTTCGGTAAGAACGTGGGGCAATATGCCGGCAAGACCAGGCGCGATATATAAGACACCTAACATGCTCTCAGCCGTTACCCTCTTTCCCCTTTTCGAGAATTTCCAAGTCCTCATTGGGCTTCCATCCTTTGGCTTGCTATGTAAGGGTTAGGGTTGGTGCCGCGCCCAATTTTCACCTTCATGTTCCCTGAGCTAAACTTCTAAGTTATCTCTAACCTCACCATTACCAATTTGCCCAGGTCCCAAGCCAGCGAAAAAAAGAAAAAACCCTCCCTGGGGAAACGGGCTAATCCATCAATTCCAAACAGGGCAAAAGTGTAAGTTCGGAATTTGGGTCAAGATGAGCGCCAACGTACCGAAACAAAAGGTGGGTTTTTTACCTGCTCCGTTCTTCCCAGCCATTGAGGTCGAGCCATTCACAATCACGTCGTCTCGTTATTCGAGTAACATGAGTGGTTGCGTGCAAAAGAGCCATGATATCAACGGTTGCAATTCCACACCCCTCCCTCCCCCGCAAGTCAATTAGAAGTACGATGCGTGTGGAAAATACTACTCTGCACCCGCGCATCATTTACCCCCTTTAGAAGTTGTCTACTTTCTCTAACATGTCAAAAGTACCTGCCACTGCGCGAGATCACTCTGAGTTCGCGGCCACTAGTCAAGCGCGGCATCGCCTTCTCATGCGACGGCGAGCTGGCCGTTGCAGCGGATGACTCGGTTCACGTCTTTGTCCCGGAATTTCCAGACCTCACCAAGCGCAGGGAGGGGATAACGAAGCTGATGGATGGCCGGCCAAGCGGCAGTAGAACCGATGGCGCTGAAGTACATGATACCGACGGGAACTCTCCAGAGGAAGACGAGGACCTCAACTTTAACGACAACCGCAATAACAAACGCCACCAGTATTCCGAGGGGAGCAAGCATATGCCGGTATCATTTCCACCATTAGACCCGCGCGTCAACAGAGAGCTTTTCACCACAGCTCGTATCCCTTTCCCATACGATCCGACTGGCGGCCAAGATGATAGCCTCGAAGACGACGAAGACGAAGATGTCGACTACGATGCTGAAGAGAAGTACTCGGACCAGAACGACTCCGACTCGGGGGACGGCTACGGGGCTACACCGGCCGACAAGCGCCCTTTTGGCGCCGGATATGGTCCGTTAACTGGCGTCGGTAGCACCATGAACCACGTTGTACGCATGTCATGGTCTCCGTCCGGCCTCGGCATCAATCGCCGTCCCATTCTAGCTGTCATGACGGCCGCCGGATCGGTCGCCATGTACGGAGATAATAGCGCAGCAGCCAACATCCCGCCGCGCGCTAACGGGAACATGCTTAAGCGGCGCGAACTTAGCTCTTGGGTTGTGCTCTGGGGCGTAGGCGAGAGGCTCATTGTGCCAGGGCAGCAAGCCAAGACCGCCGAGAATATCCAGGGATTTGCATGGTCTTACGCATATGGGCCTGGCCAGGTCCTGCTAGCGACCATCAACGACCTAAAGGAAGTGGCCATCATCAGCGTCCAGACCGTTTTTGTGGCAGAGACGACCCTAGACGAGAACAATGCCCCAAGAGTGGCAGAGCGCCGTGAAAACCTGGTGTGGCAGGTACAAGAAGTAGCACGCTTCGAGGCCAAGGGACCGCACCCCCCAAGGAACGTAAGTTAACGGATGGAGAAGCATCCAATTCCAACTTTCCGTGTGGCGTAACTTACACATTGTATAGATCATGGACCCAGACTGGGTCCCTTGCGGAACTTCGTTTGGGCTGAGCTGGAGTCCAATGGCGCAGCGCACTTGCGTAATCTCGTTTATCGACAGAAACTACGTTGGTTTCAGGAATATTGTTTTCAAAACACCATGGATCAGAGGGGAGCTCCCAAAGCTGGATATTTCCAGCCGTGATGTCTATGGCAAGTGCATCCATATGTCTACGGACGCGTTTGTCGAGTTTGAGGATACTGTTAGTCTACTCCACCAAATGTTTTACCCCTTCTGTTCTGTACCATCTCGATTCTCGATTAATATGGCAAAGGTCTGGCCCTTGGGTACTTCCGCTCTTTGCCGCGGATTAATCGTCACTGGTTTTCACGTTAAACCCTTTGAAGTTTCACTTACTGGCACTCCACACTCTCAACAGGCACCACATAGCCCAAAGGAATGCGGGACAACTTATCTAGACGAGACCGCCGACAAACCATCGCATAATCCCATTATAGGTATTTCAGAATCTAGATCGTTGCTCCCGTAGCCCCATCATATGACACACTGCTAAATATCTCGTTCAGACCTTTTCATCCACCCTCCAGATCCAAGCAAGCCAACCTCTGTGCCTCTCTACACCCTCGCCCGGTTGTCCGCCACTACTACTAACCAGGACTGGTACGAGACCAACGCACCGCATGATGAAGACTCCGAGACTGGCGACCCCACAATACCGCAATGGGCGCGGGATATATCGGACAAGCTTCAGATTTCTATTCCCGCCGATATGCGGTTCAAGCGGAGATATGGCGGTGACAGCGAGTCGGACGTGGGTTCTGCGAGTGACAACTCGGACGCCGACATGGAAGGCTTCGATGTTGATGAATCTGATGAAGACGATGACGAAGACGACGACGCGGATACCACCGCTACCAGCACCGTGCCGGAGATTCACCCCCATCGTTTTCGTCTTCATGGGCTCGCGGCGTCCCCCGGCGCTGGCGTCAGTGTAGTGCTTGTCAGCACACACAGCACCCAGAATCCCGAGCGAGGCGGGTGGCACACAGTACGATCGGCGGTCATGTTTGGCTACAAGCCGCCACCGCAGCCTACCCTAGCCGACCAAGGCAGCGAAGAAGCTCCGTCACCAGGCTCAGCTGACCCAACTCCCCGTCCGCAAACCCTTACCACCGAGGCACGGCTGTTCGAATGGCTCTACGGCGGCGGACCCGAGGTGCCGGGCGTGACCGTGAGCAACCGCCAAGTAACTAGCGCCGAAGACAGCTGCCGGTGGCAGGCTGGGGAAGTGGCACGGCAGGCAGAGCTGCTGCGTATCCGCAACATGTTCCAGCCGGCGATCGAACGGCAGACATGCGACCTGTGCGGGTCTAAGATGGCGCAGAGTTCTTCTGCAAACGCAGCGGGCCGAGGCCCGAGGCCGCTCAGCGGATGCGAAAACGGCCACTTCTTTGACATCTGCGCGACCAGTGGGCTAGCCATCCAGATGCCGGGTACTACCCGTAGCTGCGGCGCCTGCGGGCAGCGCACAATGCGTGCCGAAATTCTCGCGGAGAAGATCCCTGAGAGGTGGAAGGATATCATGGCCGAGGTCGGTGACGGCGTGTGTGGAGGCTGTGGGGGCAAGTTCTTGAACTGAGCGGCCGGGGCTCAAACAGGGCCGTTCATGGTGGAGGAAAGAGAACAAAGGGCTGTATCCTCTGCGGCTTCGAAAGTGTTTGTTTGTATATGCATTTTAGATTCAGCAATAGCGTGCATTAGGGATAGCAGGACGGTTTACTAGGTAGTCTTTAGGCCCCGCGGCAAGAAGGTGGCGGGAAATTTCAGGGTTACCTACACGATCCATTGTAGCATCACAATGAAGTTGTACTCACCAGACTTGGTACGCGTCCCCGAACGTTGTCTGGCGTTGAGATGCGCCCTCACCAGCTGCCAGCCGCCGATATGGATGGTGTAAGGATTCGACGACTCAGGGGTAGCCGTGTCTGCATCCAGTATCTTCAGGCCAGCTCACGAACATATAGACCGACGTACGAGTAGACAGCAAAGTTTGCAGCACATAAGAGAGCCCCGAAAGGACTGTGCACATAAATCTCTAGCTGAGAGATTGTACAACACAATACATACATCAAGAACAAGACGGCGATGACGAACACGATGGCCTGGCTCTAAATTTCTCGCTGGAGCAACAAAATATTGCACGATTTATATGACACAGAGAAATACCCTCCAAAAACACATGCCCGCGTTCGTTCCATTGATGCGCGAGGAACAGGGGAAAACAAAATACCCAGACTCCGTCCATATTTCTCTCTCTCTCTCTCTTTCTCTCTCTCTCAAATTTCCCCTGGCGCAAAAAAGGGGAAAGGGTTGATAAGTGAACAAGTATCCATATATATATTTATATATATCCTGCCGTCTGATTCTTTTTGATTTGCAAAAACATGAAAGAAAAAGAGGGAAAAAAGAAAAAGGAAAGTCTAATGCTGGCACCGTAAAGAGGGAGATAAAACCAACTACCCCTAACGACTTCCATCCTTACATAAGGACATTGCACCCTCCCGGGGTTACATACATACATACGCATTACACGTCTCGCTCGCTCGCCCCGCCCGCCCGGCCTGGATCTAGTTGAAGACCTTATTCATGGCCTGGTGGGCGAGTTCGACGCCGAGGAAGGTGGCGGCGTTGGCGGGGACGGCGCGGGCGAGAGCGGGGCCGAAGCCGGGGAAGAAGGCGCGGTAGCCGCCCTTGCCGTAGAGGCCGCGGACAACGCCACCAATCGTCACATTGCCCTCGGCGGTCTGCAGGCGGCTCTTGACCGTGTCGATGGGGAAGACGGGGATCCACATGGCGACGCCGGCAGCAGCGCCAGCGCACGTGATGGCGACGAGGCTGAGCTTGCCGCTGGGCTCGCCCGTGACGGGGTCTTTAGGCGTCAGCTTGCGCTTAATGTACTCGTAGGCGGCAAAGTAGGCGGCCGACCCGGGCCCGTCGCGCGCCAGCGTGGCCACGGACCCGCGGAACACGGACCGCACCCCCCCTTCGCGGTACAGCTGCCGCACCACGTCGGTGCCGCCACTGTACTTTGGTTTCTCGCCGGGCGCGAGCGCCTTCTGGCCCTGCACCTGCAGGATCACCTTGACGCGCTCGAACGGCGCCGTGATGGCCGTCATGGGGATGGCCGAGAAGAAGCCGGCCGCCGAGATCTGCGCGATCGAGAGGTTGCCGTCGGCCGCGACCGTGCTGGTGCTGCGCACGATGGACTTGCCGAGGTCGTAGCCCCAGAAAGACACGGCGACTGCAGCGGGTTACCGTTTAGTATTTATTGGGGCATGGGCAGACCAGAAGAAGAAGCCGGCGCAAAGAACTTACACATGGGTGTGACGCCGAGGAGCGGCGCGCTGACTCCGGCGTAGAGGCCCCTCCGCAGGCCGTCGCGGGCGATACTCTTGCGGACGACATCGACGGCGCTCGAGTAGACGCCCTTCTCAGCCGTCTGCATGCGCACCTTGACGAGATCGAAAGGGTGGCCGACGACGACGGCGCAGACGCCGCCGAAGCCGCCGGCGGCGAGCGACCGCAGCTGCGCCATGCCCGACGACGCGGCGACCTTGGCCTCGGCCTTGAGCTCCTCCTTGAGCTCGGCCTTGGTCTCGGGGATATGGGGGATCTTGTCGGCCACGACGAGCGGCAGCGTGGACTGGAGCTTGCGATTGACGGCGGCGCCCGGCGTTTCAGAAGACGGTGAGGTCGACATTGTGTCCGTGTGTGTGTGTGTGTGTTTAGCGAGAGCTAGTTGGGCGTGTTGCGCGGGCGGGCGGGCGGCAAAGAGAGATTTTGCTGCTGTTGAAAAAGGAGGCTCCCGTTTGCAGCGAGATGTCGCTAATAAGTCGAAACAACCAGGCCGGAGCTCCGGTAAATCGCAAGCGATCGCCGTCTTTTGCTGAGATTCGGCCGCTCTCTCGTTCGCTCGCTTGCTCGCTGTCCCACTTCCCTCGACCGAATCACCTTGGTCTACACCCCTGTTCCTCTCGGGCCTGTCTGTTCTTCGTGTTTTGAGCAAAGCTTCTTCGTGTTGACAAACCGGGCAAAATTGAGATTTTGCTTTCCCGAAACGCTCGAGTTGAGAGGTCTAGGACGTTTTGTTGATTTTGGGTTTGTGATGGTCCAGGCCGTCGGTGTGAGAGAGCTTGGGGGCTTTAGCTGTTTTTTGTCGGCTTAGCCAGCCACGGACGTCACAGTCTAGAGCCTCGGCAACAGGGAGCCCCGCTGTCGGCTTAGCGCGGGATCGCGAGGTGGGTGGGAGATCCTTGGGCACAGCTCACACAACCCCGGACTGGGCCGGCAACGTGTGGATCGGGGTTTGTAGTGTGCAGAAAAGCAAAGGCAAAAACACCGAAAGCACTGCGATCTCGATTACTCTGTGACTTGGTTGTCTTTTCTTTTATGCTTGGCGTGGACTTTTCTTTGACTACAAAGAGCAAAGACTGCGGGGCCACAAGTATCGTCTCAAACATCAATTCATTCCAGTCTTCAGGTCTCCCGAGGTCGTTCGGCGCTGGGTCGCGCAATTGGGGAATTGACCCCTGAGCCGCTGGCAACTCAAATTTAGACTGCTGCGAGATGAACCTGCGGGCCAGTGGATATCCGCTTGCGCTCTGGACGTGGGGTTGGGCACTGGGAAACTGGGGCTGGCCAGGGTTCATCCATCCATTCATCCCTCACCCCGGCATCATGGAGGGGCAGAGGAGGGACAGAGGGAATGCGACGATCAGAGAGAGGTCCTTCCTTCAATGGGATGGAAGTCATCATCCCATCGCATCCATTCCCACCTGGTGACCTGACGCACGCTCGCTGTTGCAAGCCGCGTCGGACAGATGGATCCTACGGCAGGTCGTGGTCTGGGCCAATTGCAATTGCCAACGACCCAGCAGCGGCTGAGTTCCATTGGTATCGGCCGCATCTCGTGTCTTGCAGTGCATGGTGGGATGGAATGGATGCTTGGTGGCGCCTTTGGCTGCCAAGACCCTGGGAATTTGCATGTGAATGAGGTGAGGCATTAGGGCCAAGGGAAGGGCGGCATTTGCCTTTGCCAACCAACCTAACGTCAAGTTGTGCTGTTGATGACTACCGGCCATGAAAACAGAGCCAGGTCACCAGTTGTCTTCCATCAAGGTACGTAATAGCGGGCACGGATAATTGAAGAATCAATCTACGCGGCAGGTATAAGGGTATCTATCTCTGCTTCTATTCTCAATATACCTAGGTAGTCATTCGCTCCTATACTCGGAGTAAAAAAATTGTTCAATGTATGTACAAATGAAGACGATGAAAATGTGTGCCGGCCAAAACAAGCCAAAAAGAAGCTTCTCCAACCCGTGTCGTGATACTTGTCATTACGGCTTTCGCCCCGAGAGCATGCTATTCGCGCCTCCAAAAAAGAACCTCACAGACCGCATAGATGGTCGTATGCCAATCAGACAGCCAACGTCTCGATGAAGCGTGCAGCCAAAAGAAGCCTGGTCCTTAAACCAAGCCCTCAACCTCCCCCTAGAAGATGCCCATACTTTTCGTTGGCCTGTGCGAAACGGAGAGAGGGCTGCGTCCGACACCACACCAGCAGCTGGTGTCGCCCTCCCGCTCAACCTGCAACGTGATATCGATATCGTGTTCAAATAGGTACTTGTGTACCCGGCTGCGCACGTCTTCCATATCTGCACCCCGGACAGCAACGACGTGCATCACCCCAAGGAGCTTATTCGCCTCCCCAGAGTTGCGGTCGTCCATCCAAAACTTGGGAACCGAGTAGCCGGCCACCCCCCGGATCCCAGATATCCCCGACAGCGTTTCGCGCAAGTTGTATTCGATCTCGGGTGGGATCGTCAGCAGCAGTCGCCGAGCACAAGACTTGACAAGCGGCAACGCTGAAAGAAGAATCAAGACAGCGATCAGAAATGACGCGAGCGGATCCCAACCAGCCCACTTCCAGAAGTGCGTCAGAATCGTCGACACAATCACAGCAGCGCTCCCCAGTGTGTCGGCCAAGACATGGAGATAGATGCCATGCATATTTTCGTTGTCATGCGAATGCGCTCCGTGGCCACGTCCATGCGCATGCTTCTCGTCATGGTGGTCGTGGTCATGGTCGTGGGCGTTAATGTGGGAATGGTCTAACGAGTGGCCATGGGCGTGGCCGTGGCTGTGGTCATGACCATGATGATGGTGACCAAACGCCGCCATCCCAACCAAGTTCACCAACAATCCGAGCGTGCTGACCACAAACAGCTCACCGAGCCTCTTAGTCTCCCGGCCCTCGATTATTCTCTCGACTGCCTCGAACATGATTTCGACACTGATGAGGATCAAGAACACCCCGTTGCCGAAGCCGCTCAGCGTTTCGATCTTGCCAAACCCGTACGGAAACCTCTCGCTCGGAGGCCACTTGCTAGCAACAGCCGCAAAGAGCCCAACCGCCAAGGCCACACAGTCGAAGAACATGTGTATACTGTCGCTTAGCAGACCTAAAGAGTCGGTCAGATATCCGTAACAAGCCTGCACCATCATAAAACAAAGATTGAGCCTATTCAAGCATGTCAGTCGGCTTTTCCCTTCCCATATAACGCAATCAAAGCAATCGAGCAGCACAACGCACATCATGAAGTAGAATATCCGACGGGAATCCTTCTCGGTCATAATCGCATGGACTAACGGCCATTTCGAGGTATAGGGAAACAGCAGAGCTGTCACCTTCGACCGCTCAGATGAGTGGCTATGGTGATCGTGCGAATGGCCATGCGCATGATCGTGTGAATGATCGTGCGGATGGTCGTGCGAATGGTCATGCGAGTGGTCGTGCGAATGATCGTGGGAATGGCCGTGGGAATGGTCGTGTGAATGATCATGGGAGTCTGTGAGCGTTGGCGGCTCGTATCTGTGGGCAAGGTCGAAGGTGGCATCTGTCGGCGTAACTAGAGGTTTCCCCCCGGGCGTCGATTCTGTCCTCCAGTGGTTGCTAGGTGCTAGTTGGGGAGGAAGGCTCGGGTGCGACTGCATAGAAAAAGTGGGATTTGCCCGGAGGTGAGATTGGTTGTGTTCGTGGGTTTGGCTCCGGGCATGGCCATTAGGTCGAGAGGCCCGACGGCTTCGGGAGGAACCGAGAGAGGCCAGTGACGGCGAGTGTGAATGCGCGTGTGGTTCGGATGGTGGGTTCGAGGCCGAATGGGAATGCGTGAAGCCATGGTCGGAGGAATGAAGGTGATACTGAGGAATGGAGGAGGTGGGCAAGGCATACGAGGAAGCCATTGCGCCGGGCGTTCTCAATCGATGCCCTTCTTATATAGATTCAAGTTGCACTGCAGGAGCCTCGATGCTCCAGTATCATAAATCTTTGTTCATGAGGAGCAGGTCGACAGCCGGCGGGGTTCGAGCTCGACGGAGCTGCAATCGTGGAGGGAACACGGCCGGACGAAAGCAGCGCGACTGGATTAACAGCAGTGTTAGTACACGCTCGGGCGTTCAACTGCGCAATCGGCGAAGACAACTCAAAGTCCTTACCGGCAGAGAATGGGCGCTGCAGTTGCTGTTGACCGTCGTCCACGATGTCGTCGGCAACCTGCGAGAACAGATTCCTGGTTTTGTTTATGCTTGTCCGACAGGAGACGGTGGATGACAACCTATGTAGCGCCAGAGTTCAAGAAAGGATGCGGCAGCTGTGCCTCGAGAGAGCAGGACCACTGCCGTTTCAATTGTCGGGTTGGGGCAGCAAAATGGGATAAGTGACGATTTCCCGCCGCACCGCAAATGGTTTGTTTGTTCAGAACCTTGGACGTTTCTGGCCCTCTTTCCTCGCTTGGCCTTGGCCCTCGCTCACCGCGCGCCGCCGCGGCCGCCTTCCTTTTTCGTCCGCCCCTGAGAGTGAGCTTGGCTGGTGTGGGGAGAGGCTGTCAAGCCCCATAAAACCTCGCGCCCTGATTGGCCTTGATGCCATCATCCAGTTTGTCGCCCCTGATGTCAATCACCCTGCATGCGCGCTAACAACCCAGAGGCTTGGTAAGATAAGATGATAATCAACGTTATTCCTGCGCGCGGCAAGGACACATCCTCGCTAACACGCTCAATCTCAACGGGGTCTGCAGAGAGCTGTCAAGGTGCGCTCCTCCACAACTTCTTGCGGTTGGTTGCTGAGTGGTTGTCGAAACTGCATCACAAGACTGAGCGACGGCCGCCTTGGCCTTGCCATCAGGTAGCTACAGGCCGGAGCTTGTGCTGCTTTAGGGACCGTCCCTTACAACCTGCCCAGAGCGGCCTCGCGCGCTACCTTGGACGTGCCAGGTTCCTAGGGGGGTTATTCGCTCACTCACCTTAATTAGGTGACACCTGTCCCCCAACTTAGCCGCATTGTGTGGTTCTGTAGTGCTCAGCGAGCCCTTTACCACAAACAGCTCGTGTTTTGAGCACATTCGTCATCATGTATACACTACCTGCGTACATTTTTCTTGCCGTGGCGTTTCTGCTACCGTTATGGGTTTTTTATACCAGATATGGTCCCTCGGAATACAAGGGAGCCCCTGCCGGAGAATCACAAACCGGCGTCTCTGTTCATATTCTCGTCCTCGGTGACATTGGGAGGAGCCCGCGCATGACATACCATGCCCTGAGCATAGCAAAACATGGAGGCAAAGTCCATCTAATCGGCTATCTTGGTAGGACAGGTTGCAACCCCTAAATATGGTCTGGAGCTGACTAGTATCAACCCGGCCTCAGAAAGCACGCCACATCCGGATCTACTGAACAACCCCAACATCACTATTACCGCGCTTCCTCCCCCTCCGCGCTGGCCGCAGTCTGTGCCCTTCATCTTGTTCGCGCCATGGAAGGTTATCCACCAGTTCTACTCCTTGACCAAGCTGCTTTCCTACGGCCTGCCGCCGGCGCAGTGGATTCTCGTCCAGAACCCGCCGGCCATCCCCACCTTGGCAGTCGCAGGTTTCATCTGCTATCTCCGCGAGAGCACGTTGATGATCGACTGGCACAACTACGGATGGACCATTCTCGCCGGGACCAAGGGGTCGAGACACCCCCTGGTCTATGTCTCCAGGCTGTATGAGAGCCTCTTTGGTCGCCTGGGGTTCGTCCACGTGACGGTATCTGCTGCCATGGCGCGCCAGCTCCGGAAGCCCCCATACAGCATCAAGTCTGCCATGATAGCCCTGCATGACCGCCCGGCGGCCATCTTCCAGCCTGTCACCTCCCAGAAAGAGCGCAAAGAGATCCTCACTCGGGTCATCCCTGAAAAGAATCTCGTCCCCCGCCTCCTGGACGGCAGCATGCGTCTTGTGGTCAGCAGCACGAGCTGGACCCCCGACGAGGACTTCTCGATCTTGCTCGAGGCGCTGACGCGGTACGCGGCAGGCCCGGGCGAGAAGTCGCCAGTGCTTGCCGTCATCACCGGGAAGGGGCCCCAGAAGGGGATGTACGAGAAGAAGATCCTGGAACTGACCAAGGCCGGCCGCATGCCCAACGTGAGGGTCACGACGGCCTTCCTCCCGTTTCCCGACTACGCCAAGCTCCTCGCCTGCGCCGACCTGGGAGTCTGCCTGCACACGAGCAGCTCCGGCGTCGACCTCCCCATGAAGGTGGTGGACATGTTTGGAGCGGGGCTGCCCGTGGCGGCGTATTCCGGTTACGAAAGCTTCAAGGAGCTTGTGAAGGAAGGCGAGAACGGGCGTGGGTTCGGGACGGCCGAGGAGCTGGCGGACATTCTCGGCCATCTCCTAAGTCCCAGCGGTCAAGCGGAGCTGGGCACGCTCAAGATGGGGGCCGTCAAGGAGGGAAGCAGACGCTGGGACGAGGAATGGGATTCTAAAATTGGAATGATCATGGGGTTGGTGACGTGAAAGCTAGTGCTTCATCTATTGTTGTACCGCCTTGTATAGGTATATATACACGGCTGGTGCCATGGTCGCTTGCATTTTCAATAAGCATATAGATCACTTTCTTACACAGTATCCTCTGTCCGCTTTCCCCAAATGCTTTTCTACACCCTCTTCGTCGTCGCCGTCCGTCGTCCGCATTATTTTAGGTTTGAAAGGGCTGCATGGCTGAGGTCTTTAGACGAAGATACCAGACTGGAAGCAAAAGAAGCTGCTAGATTCGATAGGGAACCTTCCGCCAACGACCTGGATGAGGCCGACGGCCTAGACGAGGCCGAAGCCGAACTCTAGGATCTTCTAGCACAGTTGACGACTTTAGACGCTAATATCATGTGCCTTTGTGATTTACCCGTGATAGCCAAAACCAAGTGAATACCTACTTCCCCTCAAGAGAAAAAAAGAAAAAGGAGGGTGAGAGTGAGGTTAAACAATAATCTTACAGTCCAACCCCTGAATGTTTGTTAGCGGAGGGTTTTACATGCTCTGGAAGATTCGAAAGGCTTCAATACCTTACGACTCGTCCTTCAGGCTTTTCCTCGAAGGAGGCAAAAGCAACTGGAATCCCTATTTTAGAATCCTAAAGGGTTATCTCTTCCTTAATAATGCCCATTAAAGGCTTCTTCCTAGCCGGTTCGTTTGCTGCTGTGCTATAAGGTCCATTCTGCCCAAGTACCACGCCAACAAACACTCAGGGATTGGATTGTGCTGCGGGAGAGGGGTATAGAGAACAGGTTCAATATCGAGAACTTCATGGGGGGGTATAAGGAGTATATTAACGATCTGCTGTAACGGTCTAGCCAGTTACCTTCCCTCGATACGCTGTTCATCACTGGCAGCGACACGTGCCCCCTTGATCCCTCATGCCGATTACGAAACTCAGTCTTCCCCTAAACTTTCCCGCACGCACTTGCGACATTGCCTGCGGTAGTCCTTGCTCTTCCCCTCGCGCTCTTCGCGCAGCAGGCGCGCGGCCTCGACGTTGGCGGGGCTCTCGTCGTTTGGGTCCTCGAATAGGCTAATGACGCTAAGCAGGATCGACTCGGGCGACTGCACGGGGCTCCAGCGCTCGCTCGCCGACTCGTAGCCGTACTTGTCCTCCCCGGGCGGGTGCAGGATGCTGATGCAGAGCTCGCCGTTTGGGTAGATGTTGGGGTGGAACGGCACCGGCGACTGGAAGGTCATCTTGGGCGGCATGAGGGGATATGTTGGCGGGAAGGTGACGTATGCGCGGAAGTTGCCCCCTGGGAGAAGTCCGCCGTCAGTATTCCTATGCGACTCTCCGAGCGAGGTGGGGGTGGGGAGGGTAGAGGGGGAGAGGGGCAAGAGATTGCCGTACCGCCATAGTATTTGCACTCGTCGCTGATCATCAACATGACTTCCCACTCAAAGATGTTGCTGTCATTGACGAGCCCGACTGAGATCCCGGGTATGTCCTTGTCCGTCTGCATCTGCTTGAGCTGCCGCCGTAGAAGCGCTGCCGCTGCCATCGAGCTTGTCGAGGAGCTGGCCATGGCTGGTGGTGTCTATCGTCACCCCCAAAAGTGTCTTCTGTCGTGCAGAAGGCCCTTCAGCTCGAATGTTTTCCCTTGGGTGTGTGCGGTTCTACTATAAATGGCGTCTGCCCCGATCTAGACCTATTATGTAGAGTGTACAGCAAACGGTCGTCGCGATGGCGAAAGTCGTGTATCCGTGCGTTGTGCTGTGGAGGCCGAGCCAGAGGTGTCTGGGCGCGAGCAAGAAGCAAAGTCAGAGGCGAGTTGGCAGTATTAAGTGTAGTCGAAAAAAATGGGTGTTGGAGTTGCTGGGAAGAAAGAGAGGCTGTTTGCTCAGGTCGTGTCTTTATGACACAATGGGAGCAGGCGCGATCGACCCGAGCGCGGGAAGGCGGGGTCCCGTTGCGCTTCGACCCCGGCGCGGCGGCCGTACTGTACCGGGTAGCGACCCGTGGGTTTGTCAATCTCACCCGGAGGCGCAAACGAAAGAACCCCCACGTCCAATCATAATCGTGAAATATCCCCAGAGCACGAGAACCTTCTCTTCTCACGCGCGTGACAGGACTTCTCAGGCAGTGCATATACCGTGTTCGTTGACTAGCAAAGAGGGGGGGAGAACGGACAGTCTTGGGCACTAGACAATACGTATAACGTCATATAATACAGTCCAATTGCAAGTTTTGTTACAGCCCCGTATAAAACACCAAAGCTGCGGGGTTATCGCTAAACCCCAAATCCAAACGCCGAGTTATGCCAGGTGGTATCATTTTCAAACGCCCGTTTTCCAGATAGCACAGTGTAAGATCGAAACTCGGAAAGAGTTGGCAACCGAAATCATGTCCAGGGGTGCTATTTCTTGGTCGTGGTGCCGAACCCGGTGAACCCCATAGTAGCCATCATGTCGTCTTCGTCGTGCTCACCCTCGACACGGACGTCGTCTCCGTACTCCGTCTTGACCTTGACGGCTGCCTCCTTCTCTAACCGTTTGCGCTCCTCGGCCTCCTTGCGCTTCTTCCTCCTCTCGTCCCTCTCCTTCTCGTCCTCTTCGCGGCGCACCTCGAGCCTCTCTTGCAGCGACACGAGCTGCTCCCGCTTGCGCTCCTGCAGGCGCTCCCAGAGCTCCTCGATGCGCGCGTGCACGTCCTCGGCCGTCGCCCGGCGCACCTCGCCCGTCCGCCCAATGGCCCGCTGGTGCTGCATGCTGTTGGTGTGCTCGATCCACTGCAGGTTGTCCTTGAACGTGAGGTCGCACGCCTCGCACCAGAAGCCCGCGCCTCGCCCGCGCTTGCCGACGCCCGCCCCGGCCGGCACTAGCGTCGACGTACCGACCATCTTGCTGAAGTCCTGCGTCGCGTTGCGCGCCACCGTGACCGACTCGCTCCCGTCCATGGGCTTATAGTACTTCTTGCCCGCCATCTTGGCTTCCCATCGCGCCTTGCGCTCGTCCTTCTCGGACTCTTCGCGGTCCTTTGCTTTGGCTGCATACTCTTCCAGATCGTATTTCTTGCGGAAGTCCGTGTCGCCCGCCGCCTGCCCGTAAGCGGAAGAATTTTGGTTTGACATCTTTACTCGACAATAATGTTTGTCTAATCGGTAGAGTTTAGGCGCGACCCGGGCGCGACAGAGCTGATAGAGACGCTTGAAATCGGTGAGGTCTTGTTCGTTGGTGACAGCTTCTGGCCTTTTTCTTTCTTTTTCAGTGTTTCGCGATGGCTTGTTTAAAAGCTTTGTCTTAAAGCTTTGTCTTGGCAACTGACTGGAGCTTTTGGCGGGGCAGGTTTGGCGGGGTAGCGCTAAGTAGCGACCTAAAATCATAGCCCAAGGCACTAGGATCTGGGCGTATCGTGCTATCTTTCGCGGGGCAAGAAAATCCTCTTCATCAACTTGAAGCAGCAACCCTTGTCGATAACCTATCCACAAACACCTAGCCAGCGTCGCCCTCGATTAAACCATCACGCCAACATGCTTTACCTCGTCGGCCTCGGACTGTCCGATGAGACGGACATCACGGTCAAGGGCCTCGAGATTGCCAAGAACGCCTCGCGCGTCTATCTGGAGGCTTACACGAGCATCCTCCTCGTTGACCAGTCCGTTCTGGTAGGCTGCCGCCCTTTTTGCTTCTGCTGGCATACAATAGTCACAGCCTCGAGCTAACGCTAATGAGAAGTAGGAGAAATACTATGGCCGGTCCATCGTAGTTGCCGACAGGGAGATGGTCGAGTCGAACAGCGACGAGATCCTGCGCGACGCGGCGATTGTCGATGTGGCCTTCTTGGTCGTCGGCGACCCGTTTGGCGCAACGACTCACACAGACCTGGTGCTCCGCGCACGCGAGCTCGATATCCAAGTGCGGACCGTTCCGAATGCGTCCATAATGTCGGGCATCGGCGCGGCGGGTCTGCAGCTGTACAATTTTGGGCAGACGGTCAGCATGGTCTTCTTCACAGACTCGTGGCGCCCCGCGAGCTTCTACGACCGAATCAAGGAAAACAGGTCCATCGGGCTGCATACGCTTGTCCTCTTGGATATTAAGGTCAAGGAACAGAGCATGGAGAACTTGGTTCGGGGAAGGAAGATATTCGAGCCTCCTCGCTATATGTCGGTAGGTACCTGCGCGCAGCAGATGCTCGAAATCGAAGAAGAAAAGGGCGAGGGCGTATATGGCCCCGACAGCTTGGCCATTGGTGCAGCCAGGGTTGGCGGGAAGACGGAAAAGTTTGTGGCTGGCACCTTGAAGGAGCTCTGCGACGCAGATGACGCGCTTGGCCCACCTTTGCACAGCATGGTCCTGCTCGGACGTCGGACCCACGAATTGGAGCACGAGTATGTCCGCGAATTTGCCGTCAACAAGGAATCATGGGATAAGATATGGAAAGCCGAATACGAGGGTAAGCAATGAGGAGTTGGGCCCGGTCATTTAACGAATGGCTCTCATATCTATAGCTTGGCTGCCCCAGGTATGAAGTGCCCCTTTCCTAGTCCATCATCTCATTATCAAGCGTGCCTTGCCGAGATTGACGACGACATCGATATGAATCCAATCCACGCCTACTTCTGCGCCAATGACAGAAACGAAAAAAGAGGGCCAGCCTCTAGTGCGAAGACCGCCAGTTCTCGACCTCTGCCTGACTAATCTCGCGGAGTTTGTTGACGTGTGCCGGCTTTCCTGTCATTGCCCCCTGAGCAACTTCAGCAGCTCTGCTGACAATATTCTTGTGCGTGATCGAGTAATGGGCCGTGACCATCTTGACGCGTATGACTCCGATTCGGGGATCGGACGATCCTCCGTTGTGAACTCCATCTCCCAGATCGCCCAGCCAAGCCTTGAGAGATGCACTGTAATGCTTCTTGACGAGGTCCCGGTCCGTCACAATGCTCGCAACTCCACTTACAGACGCCCACTCGCCCGAGCTGTTGATGAAGGCTATGTTGACGTGAGGATCAGTTGTGAGGTCATCCGTCTTGCCAGACTCGGTGTTGGTGTGGAATAGCAAGTCTATTCCTCCCGTTTCCTGGATGATTCAATGTTAGCCATCTAATCCTTGATAGGGATTGGTAGTTAGGTCTGCCTCTGTACCTTTGCGGCAAGCGCCATACATCTCGACACTAGATTCCCAGACTGGTCGCTGTCGCGAGTGGTCATCATGCCGAACTTGCAGCTCGACATGAAGTCGCTCACGTCTTCAATCTTCTGTGCCAGAGTCACGTCCGTGTCAAGGTTGGTGGCCTTGTACGGGTCGACATTCTTGGAGTCAGTCGAGGTGTTTGAAAATTGTTGAGCCATGATGTAGATGCCGGCGTGGTCTTGGTTGAGTATGTATTAGCTGTAGTATATAGCGTTATTAGAACCAATGTACTTCACTGTTATCACACGGATTGATCAATTGTGGTAGAATGTGCTTTTGCCAGTCTGGAGTGATGCTCGTGGCTCTTATATTGCTCATATTCATTCGCACCGAAGATCAACTAATCGATGAGATCATCACTTTGGCTGTCCACGCTTGCGGGCAGAAGTAGCCCCTTGGCGTCTACTTACTCGCGACTTCCACTGAGCTACTACGAAGGAGCTGTAAATGCCCGCATCCCCACTCCTAGTGAACTGCCATTTCATCATAGAAGCCACGACTGTCCCTTCTCTGGTTGTATGTACAGTACATAAAAGGGGCATTTGCCGGACTTGCGACTACTGACGTCAGTGCTTTTGTGGGGGGTAAATACAGCTGAGACCGATCGCTGCGGTGTCCGGCAGTCGATACTTATCCCTGGGAGATTTTCGCGGGATCGCGGTACGTAGCACCCAAGTCATGCGAACCAGGCTCAGAGCTGATCTTGTGTTCAGTTATTTGGGTTCCGAGACATAAGGCCAATCTGCATGTCAGATCCAGGCAGGCTGTTTCATGTACCATGGTGTCCAAAAAATAGATTGTTCCGCTTCTAACCCTAGATTAACAAATACGGCCAGGTTCGGGACGGTGCCACACGTGCGGTAGGTAGGCAATCCTGCTAGCTAAAAAGATTTACAGTTACGGAGTAACGAAACTTTAAAATGAAATAAAAATTTACCTGCCTTATGCTGCAGGAATCCACGTTATCAGTTCTCGCGTGCTGTGCATTTCAATACCCCATCGTTTTTGGGGTTGGGAAAGTGCGACTAGCTTGGCAATCAATTCGAATTCGGGTTGCTTGGGATGGAATGAACAACCACCAACCTTGACAAATAGCTGCCACGGCCCCTCCATCCACCTGCCCCGCCATCCTCTTCCCGAATCAAAACCTGGGGGTCTCACTTCGTTTAGGTTCCATTCATGTTTTTCCGAAAACTTCACGACCACCTTGACACCAAAGTCCAACAGATGCGGCGTACCTAAAAGTGCTGCTTCAAGGAAAGGACGTGAGATCCTTTCGCGAATCGCGGGCACTCAGGCTTGGCGCCTTCTAGTTCTACGCCGCCGTACCACGTCGCCCTCCATTTCCGCGGCCACATCGGACTGTGTTTGCCTGCCTAGCCCTTCCACAAAATCTCTCATCCTTTAACATTCCACCAAAAACGAGCCTTTCTCCCTCTCAAAGGCCACATCTCTCAGCTTCCATTAGTCTCTCGGGGAACATTAGTCCCCTGCCTGTGGAATCAACGCGCGACTTCCGAAGCGACGCGGCCTTTATCCTCGCCTTCCTCCAATCGCGCGACCGACCAGCGTCAAGAACCAGATGGTCCTAATCTAAGGCTCCTGGCCAGCATTTCTTCTGGCACTCTTCACCACCCTCCTCTCCCCTACGCCCTCGGCCTCCTCCATTGCTGGGGACTTATTTAATTCCCCGCATTGCCCCGCGGTAGTGGATCGTCGCCTTTTAGGGTATCATTAGCATCCGCCGAAACTATTCTGACAGCGCTTGGCGGCTATTTCCGAACTCCGAGGATTGTCGACTGCTCGGCAACTGTTCGGCTTCGTCGTTTTCCCACGCCTTCTTCAACTAATCACGGAAGTCATACCTTGACCACCGATTCAAGATGGCTCATCCCTCTCGCAGTGTAAGACTTCATTGCCAATGGGTTTCTTCAACCCCCCTGTATCATCGATCGCGTGCTAATATTGAAGCAGCCGATTGTCTACCCCTTCGAGGCCCGCGATCAACAAGACCGCGCCGAGGTCTGGCATAATGACCCGCTTCGAATCATGAATAAGCAACTCGCCGACGAGAACTTGCGCCTCAAGAAACTGCTCCGCGAGAATGGTCTGTCATGGTCTACCCCGTCCCGGGAGGGATCTCAGCTGGCACATGCCGTCGACAGCATGTCGCCGCCACTGAAAAAGGTCCGAAGAACTCGCTCATCCGCAGCCTCGGATGCTTCTGAGATCAAGGCTCGACTACCAACTCTACCTGTGGAGGTTCAGCTTCAGATTCTGGAGTATGCCATGACGAGCGAGTACCCCATCGTCGACCCACTTTGCGTGTCGGACTCCGCAAACACCACAAGCCTAGAGAAGGCCCGCGGTAATCAGATTGCCATTGGGTTTCTCGTAACGTGCCGAGCGTATCTCGTTGAGGGAACTCAATATTTGTGGAACAAGAATACCTTCGTGTTTACAAGCCATGTTGCACTGCGGAACTTCTCTAATCTCAGTCTCGACTTTCGCAAGAACATCAAGCACGTGAACTTCCGCATCATCGCCAGATACTACGATGACGAGAAACGCACCCATTCCATGTCTCAAGGAGGCTCGCGGAAGAGTGTCAAGTTGAAGGTTAATCAGCGCGTCAAAGAGCACAACCTGGCTCGCAGGGGATTCCGCAGCTACACATGGATGCAAACTGCCGACTTCTTGGATGCACTACTACCGCCTTTCGACCCTAACCATAACAAGACTAAAGCGCGCCCTCGTCTTCTGCCAAACCTGGAGTCGCTGAGGATCGACTTCGTCAACTTCGGCTACAACTTCCTCACCTTTCCCGACCCTGAGCTCCACCAGTTGACGGTTCACGACCTCGGATGCAGTCTCAACGAACTCATGCTCACTGGCCTCCCTATCTGCGATGCGGGACACAAGGCTGCATCCGATTTGACCGGCATGGTAAAGGATGAGGGGCTCCTTCTGAAAGCCAAGCAGACTTTCATTCAGTCAAGCAGCCAGGTCCGCCCGATGCCGGATGGTGAAGTGGATGCCAAGACTGTTCGGACCTGGAAGGCTCTCGCGAAAGAGTATGCAGAGGCGAACAATTCTGGTAACAGCGACTATAGCCACATGGCGCATCATTTCTCGCACGGCCTTAGACACACCGATCTCCCCGAGATGCCTCCTGCTCCCAAGGAAGTGGGACATCCCGAGTCCATCTGGAAGAAGCGTCCGACAGTCTGGAAACGCGTTCCGAAATCCCGTGATTCCGAGGAGCGCGAGTGGGTTGAGTTTGATCGGACAATGGGCCAGTCAATGGACAATTGGACTCACTCTGACAAGTCCGATACATACGATCTACACAGCCTTGTCTGTGATAGGTGTGGCGAGATTCACGATCCTCTCAGCTGGGATGACTAGTGCGCTCATCTCCTTGGTCAACCTTGAGGCTCCGAAATAGTTTCCTTTTCCCTTCCCTTATTCAGCACATTTTACATAATTTCTGTTTCCACATATTATCGTTCTTGGGGGCGCCAATATGGATCCTCATTCCTCTTTGCTCCTTTGTTGCCCTGCGGTAGATGAAGCGAAGACCTCAGATGTAGAAGCAGAAAGAGTTAACCAGGACTTTTTGAGCAAGCGTTCAAAGGGAAAACTCATAATAATGGACCGCGGCGATGCGAAATTGGGTTCCTCTCTGAACGCACTTCTCATTCCGAACTCCCGCTTCCTTTTACACTTTTAATGGGCTTTTTACGTTACGGAATAATGTTATGTACATGATGACCTGCGGCCCTCGGGTGTGTACTTTGCGGAGTTTATATGGGAGTCAGGCTGCTACGGCATAAGATTGGACTGGTCATCTGGGACTCGGCGTCAGAACCAATGAATAATGCCTACCATGCCTTAGACGCCGAACCTGATCAACGAACCGCAGTCCTACGTCGATTCACCTCTGAGTGGCATACTACTACCTTCGTTGAGAGATCTTTTGGAAATGACTAGTTGTGACGAAATGTTGCCTCGCGTTGATGATTCCCTGCTAATAACTACATTGGTATCCTGCTATGTTGGGTCTATAGCTGACACCCGAAAGCTGGAAGCAAAAAAGAAGGGGGAAAAGTACTACATGGGAGCCCGCTTGTATTATGAATTCAAGGACAAGATAAGAAATAATTATTGGTAGCGTAAGTATGTAACCATGTTCCTCACGATCCCCATTTGTTGCCCGATATCCCGAACTCGCCTCTATAGCTCCTGACACCGGTGGCGCCCGTCATGCGCTTCGCCGAGTAGGTCCCGTTGAAGCCGGCATAGTGGCCGAGGCTCGGCGGGAGATCATCGACGTGCGTTCCCCAGGTGCTCTCGTTGCGGCCTAGCGTCAGCACCAGCTCCTTGCCGTCGGTGAAGAAGCTGTGGTCGATCCAGTTGCGCGTGTACGGCTCGCCGTCGAGCGTGGCGCTCTGGATGTAGATGTCGCGGTATGAGGCGTCGAAGCCGACGTTGCGCACGACGGCGGTCGCGCCCGTCGTCGGGTTCGTGACCGCCACGCGCTCAAAGTACGGCGGCGTGATCAGGTACACGTCCTGCCCCGGGTTCGGGAACAGGCCCATCATGGCGAACGCCACGAACGACCCCATCGCCCCGCTGTCATCGTTGCCCGGCAGCCCGTCGGGCGTCGGTGCGAAGAAGGAAGGGATGTAGAAGTGTGATCGCTTGGCCGAGAGCGCGGGGCGTCCGGCGTAGTGGTACTGGAAGACGGTCAGAAAGGCCGGCTCGTTGCCGATGTACGTGATGTTCTGGTCGTGTAGGTAGTCAAGCCGCCGCACGAACGCTTCTGGCCCGCCGAGCAGTGTCATGAGCGTTGCTTGGTCGTGGGGCACGAAGCTGGGTTGGAGAATGTGTAAGTGTGCTGGGGTGAGCTGCGGGCGCGGGTGTTTTGTGGGAGGGGGCAACTTACAATCCATACTCCCAGATGCTGCTCTCGAATGTCTCTCTCCCAGTGTTTTGGAGGGAGCAGACGCTGAATTGGTCGAGATTGCTGCAGTTGAGGGGGTTCTGGAATCCCCAGGTCTTGTTCAGGAAGCGCGGCTCAAAGAAGCCGACGAAGCCCGTGTCAGTCCCATTCCACCACGCAGACGTCTGGTCGGCCTTGTACAGGTTTTTCCAGTGTTCGCTCGTCCCGAGATACTTTTCCTCGTCGCCCGTCTTCCCCAGACCCTTGGCTATCTGGGAGATACAAAAGTCATTGTACGAGTACTCTAGCGTCCGCGAGATGCTCCGAGTCATGGTGCCAAATCCCTTGTAGTCAAAGTCCTGGACGGGGATGTAACCGAGCGACTTCCAGCTGTCGAGTCCGCCTCTGCCTTCGCAACACCAGTCGTAAGGCTCGACTTCGGCATCTTTGACAACAGCAGTATAGCCGTCGTTCCACTTGCAGGCAGAGTTAGGACCTACGAAAAACTGAATCGCGGGGACAGGAACGTCTCACATTAATGCCGTCTTTGATCCCTTTGATGAAGGCATCCGCAAGCACATTGTCGGCATTAGAGCCGCCCTATCTCGCGTCAGTGACCCGGATCAAGATGTTTAGGCAAACTGTCCAGAGACTTACCTGCGTATATCCCTTGTTCAGACTCATTCGGCAGTCTGGCAGCCAGCCCACGTGTCGGTAGGTGTCAATGAGAGATCTAATCATCTGGGCCACTGCGACCGGGTCCGTGATTGTAAGGAACGGGAGCTGGGAGCGAAAAAGATCCCAGATGCTGGAGACGTCATTAGCCACCATCAAGAATAGAGCCTAGGTCCTGGTAATTCGTACCAGTAAAACGAGTCAAAATACGGCTCGCTGCTGGACCAGAGAGGATTCTCCCCTGTGTAATTCTGCGGGTTGATCATGGTCCGGTAGATGCCGCTGTAAAAGTTGGTTACGGTAGACTCGTTGACGCCCTTTGTTGACACCTTGATGGGGCTCATCTTGGCGCGCCACGCCTCGGTTGCGGCATTAGATATCCCTGCGAAGTCAAAGCCGGGGATTTCTGTTTCAACATGCGAGCAGGCTTGAGCAGCGCTGATGAAGCTCGTGGCCGTCCGCACCAAAATCGGCTTGGCCCCTGACTTGAACCTCACAAAGGCGCCTCCCGGGAGCGGGTAGCCATTGATAGACCTCGAGATGGTCAGGTTCTTGACTGCCGCGCTTGCCCGGCTGTTGACGAAGATGCCGCTGTCAAGGATCTCGGCCCCCTTGAAGTCGGTGCAGAAATACAAGACAAAGTTCCCTCCGCCAAAGCTGGGCAAGAAACGAGCGCTACCAGTGATGCGGCCCGTTTCCGAGTCCACAGACACGCTGCCGTTGTCCTGCCTTGAGTCGGCCAGGTCTGTGAGGTCCTGCAGGATAAGGGGCTGAGCTGGCTGGCCATCCAAGCCAGTCGAAGGAAAGGAGAAACTGAACAGCGAGGCGTGCTGCGTCGTGGTCATCTCGGCACGAATTCCGCCGGCCAAGGTGATACCAAAGGTGCCCGGCTTGGCAGAGACGCTGCTGTTAGCAAAAGCTCCGAACCTAGCACGAGCCTTCTTGGGAAAGGCGCATTGGTCGATGTCGCCACCGGGGCAGTTGGTGTAGGGGAAGAGGGCGAAGTTGCCCAGGCTCGGGCTTCCGCCAGTACCGCTGTCGTGCATGGTGCTGAAACCGGTCACGACAGAGCCATCCAGGGTGAAGCCGCCCTGGTTGCTGCTGCTGTTGGTATCGGCGACGGCCTTGGCCATGCCGTACGGTAAGGAGGCGCCGGGGAAGACATTGCCGCCATCGCTAGCCCCGATTAACGGGTCAACATAGGCAAGGGGGTCAAAGGTGCTTTGGGCGAGCAGTCTGTGCGCCAGACCAAGGAAACAGCAGAGAGCCAGAAAGGGGGCCATCATGGCTGTGTAACCGACATTAACGACGGGTGAGGAGCAGGAGGGCCTGGGCCTGGGCCTGGGTCTGCGCCTGGGGTATGGTAGAAGAGGGATGGAGAACCAGGAAGGGCATTCTCGGGGTTTGGTGGTGGAACTCAAGGTAGTAAGTACGCCTTATCGTATTGTGAGATGGAATTCACCCGCAGCAGCAGCAATATCGACCGAGCCCCTGAATAACCAAGCGCTCTCTCGGCAACCCGGCCACAAAGTGGTTGCTGCATATACTACCTGCGTACCTCCAGGTATGCATGCATGAACGCACCGGGCGGCACGTATGTACATACTGTACCACGCAGATCAAAAGGCTGCTGATCATGATCAACTGTCCTGATTGTCTCTTGGACCTGGCTGGCGCTGGAGACGGGAGCTATGTAAGATAGGTTCCATGTCTCGCTCCATCACGTTGGTCGAGGCTGGCCGCTTCCGGTTAAATGTGTAGGCATGTACTTACTGCATGTACATGTAGAGTAAATACCCCACGCCACGCCGGGCAGCGCAAAGGGTTCGGCAAGAAATGGAGCCCTGTTCTGCTAGCCCTAGGCCATCAACCACTCGTGACTTCTCGGCGACGGCAGCTGGTCCCTCGTGCCACCATTCCCAGTGGCTTCCATGTGGACGACTTCCATTTTCGACGCGGTCCAGCCACGCCGAGACTCGTGGGGTACGAGGGAGGTGCACAAACCTTAAGGTCAGGTAGCTCTCACAGGCCACAGGTATGGAGTCGGCCGGCCAGCCACCTGCTGTGCATCCGGAGCCAAAACCAGGAGGAACGAGAAGGGCGCAGCGTCAAAGACACGAGCTTCTCGAAGCTGTCTGTCCTCTGTCCTCTGCCCCTGCGGGTCGGGTGGCTTCCAGCAACCAGGACACATACCATACCTGGCAGGGCAATCGCACGATGCCCGGGCGAGGTGTGAGGGATGGTTTCTGTGTCCGGGTACTCCGTAGACCTAATTAGGTAGTACTGTCCCTGCCAAGATACGGCAACCGGATGATGGTGCAAGGGCATCCAATGTCTTCTGCCGGGATGCATGCTCTGATTGCTGCGGGGGGGAGGGCGGGTGTGGGCGGGAATCGTCTGAGCTCCACGATCGCTCTAGAATGATCCGCAGCGCTACCTATTAGTGCCCTGCACGGCGCACGCAATGGGGGCGCAATCTCGGTAGGATGCGGGCAATTGCCGGTGCGACAGGAACGCCACCGGCCTCGTCTCCCGTCGCCCTCAACAACTGATGAGGTGAGGTGCGGGTGCTGCGGGTGCGGGTGCTGCGGGTGCGGTGCGGTCACGCTGTTGAAGGAAGCTGCGAGCCCGGGCACTTGCGCAACTCGGCACAGACCTGCCCTGGCCAGGCCCTGTCTGTCAAACTGGAACTTGAAGCTTAATTGGTAGGTGCGGCTTGCCATTTTCCATTGCAGCCACCCGGCCTCCTTCGACTCGCAGCGCAGCACCAAACACCGAGAAGAATCACGATTACGAAAAGATGACGGTGAACCTTTGTCGGCTTCTCTCTTCTCCTCTCCTCTCTACGGAGACTGCCGTTTTGTTATTGTCTTGAGCCCCAAAGCAACACCCTGGTGTCAACAATGCGCGTCCCGTAACCAACCTCCTCAATGTACGAATACATACGGACGACTACAGTAGGTTGTTTCGCAGATCCATTCTCCTCCAACCAAGGTTCCCACGGTAATCAGGCCGCGAGGGCGAGGGCAGGAAGAAGTCAATAACATAAGCACTATACCCAGTCAAGCGGACAACCACGAGCTACTGGCTGCCCAACATAACACGGCAGAACCCAACACGATGTTAATCCACTCCACGCCCAAGAAGCGGCTGTCTTCTCTCCCCAAGATCCAACCCGCCCACAAACTACAGACCCGCATTACGAGAGCGTATCTCTTACGAAGGAGCACGAAGCGAGAGGCAACATCTTCGGACTCCCGAATCGTGACTTTGAGCTTCGCAGGTCAGCCTCAGGCCTGTACTTTTTCGGTTCTCCGTGGCAATGTATCGAGAGTCCGTATTTGCAGCCTCGTCATTGAGGCCCCTCCGGTTAATATTCTCTGCTCTTGATGGACGCGACACGAGAAGGGTCGCCAGGCCAATCCCCTGGTAATCCCCTGGTCTCACCTCCGCCTTGGAGAAGGAGCCACAAACGCTGTTCCACGACGCCGAAACAAGCCCAAACGACGCATGTTCGGCCAACAGAGCACCAATGCCCAGGTTCAGCGCGTGGCTAGATACAAATAAATGGATGGCCATTTAGTCGAGTTAGCCGAAACACGGGAGGCGATTTGGCTCGCCATGGGGTGAAGTAGCCCGACGTGCCACGACTCGATGCGATAGCAAAGGCGTGTTTACTGTGTACTGGGTTTCGATGCAAACAAGCGGGAGCTCAACCACCGCCCCTGGTCCCGATCGTCTTGGCTTCCCGCGATCGCTGCATACCCTAATTTATTGTCCGGTGCCCTCCAAGCATTGCAGCACAAACGACCGATCTGTGGATACCTGGGTGGCATGTCGACAGGGACCAGCACAACATCTGCCGCGCCTTCGGCAGCCCTGGATTCGCAGCTTTGCAGATAAGGTTTGTGTCGTTTGCAAATCGACTTACATGTAGTCGTTGATTTGATGAACCGAACCGCTGGCTCCCTTCTCGTCCCGAAACCCACTCGGGTTCGTCACATGGCCAAGTACGTAGGCAGGTACCTGCTGTCGTCAAACGGAAATGTCTTCGACGCGGCACTTCTTGCACGCGGGTGCGTTTCGCTGCATTATTCTCCACTCGTTTCCCAATCTAGGCCCATGCAGAGTTCGTCCGCTTGATCTTGCTAAGAAAGTGGAATGGGGCTTTGGATGCAGAACTCGAGTCATTGATTGCTGCCCGAGGACCCTCATATCAAGCTCAAGACTATCCCCCACCAGCATCTGAGGGCCGTTGTTCCGTTCTTGTTGATGTCATCAACCCCAGCTAGTCTTCACGTTATGATTCACTTTTTTTTGTGTGCGTGTGTTTGTTCGTACCCTGACCTTTTTGGACGTTTGGATTTTCAACAACTGGTCCCTCTCTTCATTGTCGACACCCTTCAACTGCCCCATTGGCAAAAACGCTAGTTCTGTTCGTCATTCTTGTTGTTTCATAATGCTCTCAGCCGAGAGGAACACGATAGAATCGCTTTCCACACTGGGCGAGAATCGAAGCAGGCGTGGCAGCGCCCAATCGAACCCTGTCCTCGTTCTTCCCTTCAGGTTCGACCCGAGAGAGAGTATCCTGAACACCACAGCACTATCACCACCCCCTGTTTCCGGAGCCCCCAAGCCCCAGCCAAAGAACCTGCACCTGCGACTGAGGAGCGACTCGGGCCTGTCGTTTCATATGAACCAGTCTGCATTCCGTCAGTACACCGACTACAACCCGGACGGCTCAACCCGTTCGGTTGCTGTCTCGAAAAGGCCGCTGAGTTTTGATGAGGCTGGCCACGCGGACAACATATCTCTGGGGAGTGGTAGTACGCATTTCAGAGACTACTCGCCCCGAGGCAGGTCTATTCCGAACTTCTTTGACCGGGATGTCATCAAGCTGGCGTTCTGCAACCCTACGACGGGCCAAAGGTTGTGCCGGTTTGCGCAGAGCAGGCATTGTGCTGCCGATGTCGAGTTCTTGCTAAAGGTTTTAGCTCCTTTCCCATCAAAATTAGACAAAAATGACATGCTGACTGGCTGCCAGGTCGACGAGTACACGCGTGCCCTCGAAAGCATGACAAACCTGATCGGTCACATATCAACGAACTTCACGGGCGTGGCAGCGACGTCTCCGCTGAGGCTGCCAGCTGACCTGTCGGCTAGCCTCAAAACAAGTACAAAACACTGTGCGAGATCTGTACTGCCACCGCTTGAAAGGCTGTACCAAGATGCCAAGACATCGGTTGAGGAGCGGCTTGCCAAAAGCCTCTACCCCGATTTCATAAAGTACCAGCTTTCACAGTGCATGAGGAGCTCGCTGTCGGTGAGCCGCTCGCTGACAGGCGGCTTCAAGTCGGCATACCCTGGTCTTGGTGATGCTTTCTGCCTCACCGACCCTCTGGAGCCCGATAATCCGGTCGTCTATGCCTCGGACGGGCTCTTGAGGATGTCGGGGTTTTCGCGGCATGATGTGATGAACAAGAACTGCAGGATAATGCAGGGGATATATACCGATAACGACACGACGCGCAGGATCAGAGAGGCCGTCTCGCTGGGGCAGGAAGCGGCCGAGCTAATTGTCAACCACCGAAAGGATGGCTCCCCCTATTGGAATCTGCTCTTCGTCTGCCCCCTGCGAGAAAATGGCAGCGTGCGGTATTACCTCGGGGCGCAGATCAACGTGTCGGAGAGCATAGGCTCGGATTACAAGGACATCCTACGTATTCTCAACTTTACCTTACCAGGCGAGGATCTGAGCCCTCAGACAATCCCTACACAGGAGCGGCCGGTCTGGAAGGCGCCTGTTGAGCAGAATGAGTGTATGTCGGAAAAGGCGCCCAGTGTGCGAAGCCCCATAAAACGGTCCCATCGCCACCGCTTTTTCAGACGCTTCTCCCGGACATCCCGTCCAGCCAGACCGCCTCCTCGGCCCACCACATCGTCGACATCAACGTCAGCTTCCGCCGCAGAGGACCCACCATCCGCCAAGCGACGAGCCTTCACGACACGGAATTGCCAGCTTGAGCGGGAGACGGACGAGTTCAGCACGCCCTACTCGCGCTTCTTTGTCTTGAGATACGCACCGGTGTCACCCAGCCAGCAGCACCTCTCCACAGACAAGCGGCGCAATTTGCCTCGCCTGCCCGTGGCCTTCTGCTCGTCGTTTGCGCTCGAGCTATTGGGGCTTAAGCCAACCGATGCCGACACTATAATTGGCCGTGACATCTTCTCGGTGCTGGCGGACTGCATCAACTCGCCCAGCGTCAACCGGAGCCTCAGGGCAAACGTGACGGACAAGATCGCAGCGGGCGAGACGATCAGCGTGGACCTCATGGCGAGCGCCGACGCGCCATCAAAGCAGCAGCCGCCGAAGCATTCCCGGACGGGCAGCGCCATCCGCACGGGCGGCCCGGCTTCACTGGAGAGCGAGACGAGCCGGCCGAGATTGAGCGACACGCTAGATCGGGGGGCTGAGATTCTAAGCCATGTGTTCTTTGGGTCAAAGATGCGGAAGCTGGTTAGCCATTGGGCGCCCCTGAAAGACGGGCAAGGGGCCGTGGGGTGGGTGGTTGTGGTGTTGACGCCTGCCACGGTGATGGCTTAATGGGCGTCGGTGCGCGCCGTCTTGTGCTGTGCGGGATGAAGATACGAACGATATGTCTTGACGATTTGTATGATGGTAGGCTATGATCCATGTACTTTATCTCCCAACCTCGTCTGCCGCTCTATGTAGGCAGATGGCCGATTAATGATGTTTAATATTGCCTCACTATACTACCCCTTTACTCAGTCGGAGAGCTAATAGAGATTTAGCTCAGCGCCGCCTCTCGCCCTTAGGGCAGGTGGGCCGTGTAGCCTGCCGCCATCAACCTCTCAGCCGCTGCCCACACGTCGGGCGGTATGTGTTGTGGTATCTGAAAGCCGCGGGCCGGGTAGTCGCGCACGCGCACGAGGTCGCCGACCATAATATTAATAACCAGGTCGCGCGGGTTCTCGGCGTCGGGATACTCGTTCCACTCGAGCTCGGGGCTGGTGACGCAGAACACGGTCTCCCCCTCGTCGCCATTCTCAGGCCACTGCTTGACAAACGTCGCGTACGTGCGTCGCTCCATGTACGGCTTCTGCACGAGAATGAACCCCCTCGGCATGGCCAGGGGACCACCACCACCACCACCACCACCACCACCACCCTCACCCTCGGCAGCAGTAAGAAGAGCCCGCTCCTTCAGCAGCGCGTGCGTGAACCGCACGTTCTCGCCCGTGTTCGTCGAGCGCGGCTCCTCGACGATGCGCTCCGGCGGCACGCCCATGGCGCGCGCGACAGCCGCGAACGCGGACGCCTCGGCCGCCGCCCCGAACCGCCCCGCCGTCAGCGCGCCCACGCCGCCCGAGAAGATTAGGGTCTGTGGGCTGGTGAGCGGGTGTGTCGCTGGGTCGGGGAACGAGAGGAAGAGTGAGGCTGCGCGTGCTGCGACGCGCACGTCGAGGCTGCATAGTGTGAAGATGGCGATCGGTGCGGGGAGGGTGACCGGGATGGCCATGTGCATCCGGTGGTAGTTGTAGATGAGTGCTGCGTCGGCGTCGGCGTCGATGGATGCCGCGGAGGGGGTGGTGCTGGGGGGAGAGGCCAGGGATGGGGATGGGGATTGGGATGGAGATGGAGATGGAGATAGGGCCGGGGATGGGGATGGGGCCGGGAGACTGTCGGCGTCTACGGCTGGGATTTGGTCAGGGGCTATCCGTGCTTCGTTGCCCATTGTTTCTGGATCATGCGAGGGGGTTTACGGAGTATTTGGTCAGACTGCGTGCCAGGGAACGTAGTGTTGTCAGTTGGAGATATATGCTGTTGGTGCCTGACGTGCTGCGGCTGATGATGAGGGCTGAGAGGAGGACGAGGGAGGAAAATAACCCTAACCCTTGACGGTGAGTGTTTGCGTCGAGGCAGAGAAGAAAAGGGGTCAACGTTGACGACTGTTGCTATGGGCCACATCTGCTGGACACGTGAAATGCCAACACGCCGCACTGGGACATCAGATGCCATCCCAAGGTTCATGGAGGAAGGCAGTGCGGGCCGATGCCTGAAAGCAAGGCTTCTTCTTATTTACCACACGCCTTCATCCCGAAATAGCAAAAGGCGAATCTCAAACCAGGAGGTTCTGAAGGGAGAACAAGATCTCGTTCTCCACAGACCAGCCCGGCACACCTTGTCGTCCAAATTTCTTCGCCCGAATTTCTTCGTCCAAATTTCTCCGAGCCTGCACAGTCAGGCGTGGGGTTGGCTTGCAGGCGGGAGATGAAAAAGTCAGATGCAAGCAATCCGGGAACACCAGCAGCCCTCCCCTTCCCCCGCAGTCCAATCTATCCCCTCGCTGCAATAAGCTGCCTAGGTGGGCGGCCCTTGCTGCGTGACGCCCTGTCCCTCTCTAACCTCCGGTAGACAGGCAATCTACTCGCTGGCACTGAAAGGAGCAGATGTCATGTGCGAGTTTAGCCGCGGCGCCGCTACCTGACCGCTGGGCATCGCAGACTGTGGAGAACCCCTGTCTGTACCGTCGACGTCTATATTACCCTCGGGACTTTTCTTGCTGCACGCCTCTGAGTGGGGGATTTTCTAATGCCGGCGCTGTGCAACTTGTTTGTTTAATTTTCCACCATGTTGCAGCCGGGGGGAGCGGACGGCATCGGTCAGACCTGGGTCTTGGAAGCGCACCTGCTTGGCATGCCTGCGGAGGTATATAGGATTTCGCCCTTGATCTGTGACAGAAGTTAGGAGATGGCGAGGCAAAGAAGGGCTTCGAGGTGAGCCATATCCGTCCTCCGAGTAGACGGTCTGTCGCTCACAAGTGCGCGCTGCTTTGAAGATCAGTGTTCTCAGGCCCATCTTAGAACCGCGGGATAAAGGAGCCGCCGCCACCATGATCCGCCTAATCGCCACCATTATTCTCTGTGCGGCTGCTCTCGCCCACCCGGTTGACGACTCCAGTCCTTCATTCCCATCGTTCCGGTCCACGGCGCGCCCAAGAGCAACCCACGATGAGGCGCGCGCCCTGCAGCACCGACAGGCCGGGTTGACAGTAACCGTCGACTTGTCCAAGACGTACCAGACCATCGACGGCTTCGGGACGTCGCAGGCCTTCCAGCGGGCGGTGCAGATGAGCAAGCTGCCCGAGGCCGAGCAGCGCCACGCGCTCGACCTCCTCTTCAGCACCACCAAGGGTGCCGGGCTGTCGATCCTGCGCAACGGCATCGGGTCGTCGCCCGACATGTCGTCGGACCACATGGTGTCCATCGCCCCCAAGAGCCCGGGCTCGCCGAGCAAGGACCTGATATTTGCCTGGGACGGCTCCGACAACAAGCAGCTCTGGGTTTCGCAGGAGGCGCAGCACACGTACGGCGTGCAGACCATCTACGCCGACGCCTGGAGCGCCCCGGGATACATGAAGACCAACGGCAACGACGCCAACGGCGGGTCGCTGTGCGGCGTCAGCGGCGCGACCTGCTCGAGCGGCGACTGGAAGCAGGCCTACGCCAACTACCTCGTCAGGTACATCCAGTACTACAAGGAGGCCAACGTCACGATCACCCACGTCGGGTTCCTGAACGAGCCCGAGCTAACGTCAGCCTCCTTCCCACAATCTGTCGTTGGCAGCCCGCTTGACTGACACCCCCCAAAAAAAAAACAGGACAAGCTACGCATCGATGCGCTCCAACGCGCAGCAAGCGGCCGACTTCATCAAGGTGCTCTACCCAACACTACAGAAAGCCAACCTCAGCAGCGTGGGGATCAACTGCTGCGACGCGGAGGGGTGGCAGAGCCAGGCGGGGATGCTTGGCACGCTCAAATCCGTCGACGACATGCTCTCGGTGATCACGGCGCACAGCTACACCTCGTCGCCGTCGTCGCCCATGAACACCAAGCACAAGACGTGGCAGACCGAGGCTGGCGACCTGCAGGGCGCGTGGACGAGCGCGTGGTACAGGAGCGGCGGGGCCGGCGAGGGGTGGACGTGGGCCAACAACGTGTACACGGCGCTGGTGAATGCCAACGCCTCGGCGTACCTGTACTGGGTGGGGGTGCAGGCCGGCAACACCAACTCGCACATGGTGCACATCAGCAACGGCAAGGTCGAGGCATCGAAGCGCCTGTGGGCGCTGGGCCAGTGGAGCCTGTTCGTGCGGCCGGGCGCCGTGCGCGTGGGCACGTCGGGCAGTGCGAGCGGCGTCAAGACGGCCGCTTTCAGGAACCAAGACGGCTCCGTGGCCGTCGTCTTCCTCAACAGCGGCGGCAGCGCTGCCAAGGTGGGCGTCAAGCTGGCGTCGGGCGGCGGCAGCGGCGACAAGGCCAAGGCTTGGTACACCGACAACACGCACGAGGCCGCGGAGCTCGACGCCAGCGTGGCCGACGGCGTCGCGAGCGCGAATATCCCCTCGCGCGCCATGGCCACGATTGTGCTGTATCCGGCGGGCAGTGCTAGTTCGGCCTCGAAGGAGTCGAGGCCAGCGTAGAACTAAGCAAGAGTCATGTATATCGAGTCACCAAATAAGAGCAATTTTAAAAAGAAATGATCGACCGCACGGAGACCATTGTCCAAATTTATCGGTACTTAGCGAGTGCTATACCTAAAAGGCAGGAGAACCAAACAGGCCAAGCCCCCCCTTTCTCGGCCTCTCTCTCTCTCCTTCTTTTCCTTCCGCGCATAATATGTGTGTCATTAAAAAAAAAAGGTCGTTCTCTCTTCGCTCTCGGCTGGGTGTTTGCGTGTTTGTGCATGGTAGAAAGAGGGAAAAAGAAAACAAAAGAAACCAACTCCCGCCCCCGGTATTCAACGAGCGGACGCCATCGTAGTTTGTCTGCCGGACAGCCAATGAGAGAAAGGAAGGGAGACCCCAAACTACAGCAACGAATGTGTTGTGTGCCTGTGTATTCCAGCGCTTTCCCTTCCTTCCCTTCTCTTCCATCCCCTTGGAAAAATCCCCCCTGCTTATTCCCTACGGCGCGTAGCAGACGAGCGGCACGCTCGCGGGGGCGTAGTGCTGGGCGGCAGCGACGGGGTAGTACGTCGTAGCCTGGGTGGTAACAACAGTAGTCGGCCCGACGATCTGAGGCTGATGATGCACCACAGCAGCCGGCTGGACGTAGCCGGCGGGGTACATGGGCGCGGCGGCGACAGCGAGGGGCACGACGGGCGGCGGCGGGGGCACGGCCATGGCGTACGAGGCCGCGGCGGCTGCAGGGTATACGACGGGACCGCCAGCGGCAGCGGCTACGGCGGGTGCGTAGCTGACGACCTGGCCCGGAGCGGCGACGTGGCCCACGGGAAGGTGGTGGTGGCCGTGGCCGTAGTGGTGGCCGTAGTGGTGGTGGTGGCCGTAGCCGTAGCCGTGGCCGTGGCCGTGGCCGGCTGGGTGGTAGACGTGGCGGCAGTCCATGATTCCAAACTCCCTCTCAAGAAATTCCCTCTCGAGATGGCGCTGGATGGTGGACGCGTGGTAGTGAGCAAACGGTTCCTGAGGAGAGACCACAGAATGGCCGAGAATAACAAATACGGAAAAAAGGGGGAGAGAGCAGCTGCCAATCGAGAGACAATTTACCTCGTAACTCCGCAAAACGCGACACAGCATTAATGACAAGATGGCCGCGATCACCCGTGTGGCCGAGAACAATCACTAATAATAGAGCGGACCGACAGTCATCCACCGTAACTCAGCCGGCGGGGTTTCTAGTAGCCTGTTATCTCGCCAATATGCGGTCGTTGAGGTCGGGCGAGTCTGGTTTGGGAGCGAGCATGAGTTGAATATGATTTCGCTGCTGCCACGATCAAGACGAGTTTCGGGGAAGGAGGCACGACTTTTAAGTACAGCCAGAAGTGGTACCGCTGCGTGTTTGCGGGAGCGCGTGCCGTGTTAGCCTGTCCGGGCTGCCTGCCCCTGAAATATCATCTCGTCCTGTTTGTGAAACGAGCGCTGAGCAGCTGGGCGCTGCGGAGGTGGCTTACTGAGCTGTGAGCACGCTCATCCGCCGCAGACAGAAAGCTCTCCGACTCTTGGAGTTTCCAATACTATGGCAGGCGGGCCAGATTTGCAGATGGATCTAAAATATGCTACAATGTGGAAGACAAGTATCAGGAAAACAACGAATAAAGCGCAGCAGCAGGCTCAAGCTGTTTGCCCAAGCCGGTTAGCCATGTTTTGTTTTCCTGTCGATTGGGCGTTGTTCTGGTGCAACACCTCAGCCCACCCCTCGAGAAGAAATGAGACTGAAGCTGCTTTCAAACACGTGTTGCTGTTGAAGTTTGGCCTCCAATGTTAATTAAACACGCACTCAAGACACGTGCTTCAATTCGTCGAGTACTCCGACAACACTTTTAGCACACATTCCCAAAACGCTGGCCGACACAGTACAATTCTGCTCGACAGTCCTCGGACCAGATACCAAGGCCACAGAATAAACCCTCCTAATTCATACCGCATTTGGGCCAGATCTTTTTATAATGATGGTGCTCCGCTATGTTCAGATTGGCATCTCCTTCGAGGCCACAACTGTGCCCGCTTCCTAGCCAGCTACAGATCCTCAATCAAGAAGATATCACTACAAGACGACTAATCTCGAACGCCCTTGTAGGCGGCATCGGCGAGGTCTTTCAATGCATCCCGGCGCTTGTACTTGGCGTCTTGGATGACACCTGGAAACCACGCATCAACAATCGCGATACATGCAATACTTCGCATCATACGATGCTAGTCAAGGACAAGCCCGAAAGCGGCTTCACAAGGGCAAGCAAAGGAGGCGGCGACGTACCCAAATCTGCATCGCTGGTGAATTTCGAGGTCCACTCGACAAACGTGCTGTTTTCAAAGTCGCCCGCCGTTACTGGCCAGCAGCGAATGGTGTTGGCGACGCCAGAGTAGGTCAGCGCAGGCTCCGCCAAGATGACGCTGAATGTGATGAAATGGGCCAGATTCTAAATCGGATCGCCTCTGTCAGCGCTGCGAGCTCGCTCCGAGGAAGACGAGGAAAGGGCGTACGCTGTGTTCGTCTTGCTTGACTTCGACCTTGCTGCCATCCTTAAAGTGCCACCTGACCACATCGGTTTCGTCGCTGACGCCCGTGACCTTCTCCGTCTTCTTAATCGCGGACCAGAACTTGTGGAACTCGGGCAGCTTGATCAAGTGCCAGACTTGAGCGAGCGGCGCCTTGATGACTGTGCTCTCAATCACCTCATTGGTGGTAGCAATTGAAGCCATCCCGAGGTTCGGTAGCAGAAGTGTCGAGGGGTAGGTAGTCTCGGACTAGGTCTAGCAAGCGGATGGATTGGTGATGAGCAGAAGATGCGGCAGAGATTGTCTTGTCTTCGCGTGTTCGTGTCTCACTTGTGTTTGTCGCCCACGCAATGGAAGCAAGTCAACAAGAAAGACGAGAGGACTAGGCGTGTTTTTGATGGCGGTGCCGCACGCGTCACAAAAGCGATGGACAGCAAGCGCCTACGTCATGCACTGGTCATTCGTGGAGAAGAACGGGACGAGAGGCGGGGAAGCGACTTCTTCTCCAACTCAAACGAATTTTGCGAAAATGGACACCGGATGGGCACGCTTATTTGTCTTGTTCAATCAAGGAAGCTGCAACTTTTGACCAATCCGTGAAGAGTTCTGGAAAGACCATTTGAGCAGGGAGCTGATCGAGTGCTGCTGCCCTTGTCATCTGGATTTAGGTTTAGGTTTGTGATTAATCACAGCTAGCGCTCCCTCTTGGCGGTGCTGTTGGTTATGCTTTCATTGCTTTGTTTGACGACTTCATCAGTGAGGGCATACCAGCTGGTTTCTGGGGGGACCGGAGACAATATTTGGGAGTAGGGCTAGGATCATGAACCCCATTACCCACGATAATGGTTAGTCTTTTTCTTTCCCTTTTTCGTGGGTAATTGTATAGGCATGTTTCTTTAGATTTTATGTGATAGTCACCTCAGCGATAGTGATCACTGGCAGTTAGAAAAGATTTGCCGACTTTGATAAGCAGCGAATTCGTGAAATGACGGCGTTTTTGATCAAAATGGCCTTCCGGGCTTATTAACATGTCTTCTTGGAGTATCGCACACAGGCATATACACTGTGTATATGAGCAACTAGATGGATATATGTTGCGTGGCATTGACTTTATTGACTTGGCCCCGGCCTGAGGACTTGAACGGCAGGCGAGCGGTGCCGGCCTTTGAAAATGCAGAACCATCATAGGATGGACACGAGCCAGAACTGAGGGTTGCCGATGCTAGGCACAATAATGAAATATATGCCTCGGGTCGATGTCAGAAGGATTCGGCTCAACCTGGCACGATGAGATGTTCTCTCTTCTTGCTTGCGTGGACAGAGTGGATTGATAATTGTCGAGTTGAAAGATGTGGTAATCTTCATTGAAATGGTAACAAGTAAAGGCAGAATGGAGCGTATAACACAAGAACGGAATCTACTGTGGTCAACCTGGGGTCTTAAAACACTGTGTATCACCAACAGTCGGTTTTGTTCTTGCTCAGCCCGCTGAACAGAGCCATCGGTAGAGATGCATGTGATAGGGGATGGTCGATCATATCTGATTTATTATTAAGGCAACCGGTAACACGGGGCAGGGTGGGATCCCGCTGCGCAGAAAGAGGGGAAGCCCACAGGAATTTGTGAGTGGACGGGGCTTGTGTTTGGATTTGGAAACAACGTCAGTTCGAACCGTTCGATAGGTTCAGTGTTTGCATCCTTCTTGAAGATATCTGAGCAGGGTACCGGAGTTGCATCCAGCTCGCTTTGGCAGAAAAATGGAGACTTCCTATACGCGCAAAAATGCAACTGCAGCAAGGCGAGTGTGGCACCGCTGCCAAGATGCTGCGGCTGCGTAAGGATCTTGCATGCAGGCAGTGAACTTATATCATGGCTGTAAGGCTCGGTCTTGGAGCAACAATACCAGCTATTGCAGAATCCGGGGAAGGATCTCAACGAGAAGCCTCCAATCGAGGTTCTGCTGGTTATTACCTTGCCTGCCTCATGATGCTGAGGTGAGTGATGTGCGGCCTGCTCTTTACACGCTTTGAGCGCCGCTCGCTCTTTCTGCCCCAAGCTCCACTGTCAGACAGGCCTCCATGATGTAAGGTAGGGCATCAGGGCATCTACAGGTAGGCAAGGTGCCGTAGGGCCGAACCCAGAACCGTCGGATCTTCAGGCCCCCCCTGTACTCAGTATTGCGAAAGTGTGGTTTTGTTGATTGACTGGCGAATAAAAAGCGGCATTACTTGGCAGCCTGGGGATGCCGCAGTGACCTGTCTGTGTATTTTGGCACCCGTGCCCTGCTCCGTTCGTATCTGCCCTGCACCTTCCGAATCCTAATCGTAATCCCAATCCTAATCTATGGATTGACTGCACGATTGGCATGCCCACCTTATTTCAACAGAGAGCAGGGCAGGGCTGAACGCATCGTGTTGTGGAGGCAGTATACTCGCCTCAACGAGGTGGAGGGATTGAGGCGAAAACAAGTTGGGCCCGGGGCCTGCAGGTTTAAGCCTCCCGGTGGGCCGAATCAAGACGGCCCAGCGGCGGCCGCAGCGCCAGAGAGGAAGCGGCTTGTCTGGTCGGCTCGAGGGTTCCCAGAACAGCCCCTGGACTTCTCGCTTTCAGGAATGCCAACATGCCAACATCGTACCAAAATAAGCACAGCTAAATATGGAACACAGCCGCCTGTCTGTCAGCCCAGCCCGGGCCGTGAGCGACCGGGTCACCCTGGGAGCTTTACTTTTAATGGTTGATGGACGATGATCGACTTAATTGCATTGTATTTTGACGGCCCCCATTTGTTTCTCGTCTCTTGTCCCTCGTTTTTCGTTTTTCATCCGAAGGACTTTTGCTAGTTGTCCCTTTTTACCCTGCGACTGTGCGAATGTCTCGTCCTTGTCTCACCCACGCTCGACAACAAAACACCTTGTTCTGAGCTGTTCTGAGCTGCCGGGACTCCTCTCGACAGGAGCCCCAATAACACCACAACAGAATGCGGACCCCAAGGGCGATATCAATCCTCCCATCGTCTCTCGTTGCCCTTATCCTCATTTCCACATCACAGGCCGCAAGCCCCAGCTTCGGCTTCTACCCGGAGAACTCGCAAGATTGCCTGGACCAGGCCGCCGACACAGCCAATTGTCCCTCGAGCACCGTAGAGGTGTTAAACTCGTGCTTATGTAGCAATGGGGGCGACTTTGTCACCAATACGGCCAAGTGCCTGGGCACGAAGGACCCGGACGACGTTGACGCAGTTTTCGATACCATGCAGTCTGCCTGCGCGAACAGCCAGACGCCGCTGAACATGTCCAAGGCCCGATTCGAGTCAATCGCGGCCAGTGCGGCATCAACCACTACCTCAAAGACGCGGACAACACTGTCAACGTCGACCAAGTCGAGCACTTCGAAAACAACGAGTTCCACGCAAGCGTCAACAACGACGACGACTTCATCGTCAGCAACACCAACAAAAAGCACGGGGCCTGAGCAGACGGACGCCGGAAAGGGGGGCCAAGACGCTAACAACAACAGCAACGGGCTGTCAACTGGCGCGAAGGCGGGAATAATTGCAGGCTCGCTGATCGTGGGCCTGGCCCTGCTCGGCGCGATTGTACATTTCTTCATGCGGTACAGGAGGAGGCACGAGGGCGAGGAGTCACACCCGATGCTCACCTCACGGGCCGGACACGTCTCCTTTGTGCCCACGCTGTCCGACGCGGGCGTGGGCGCGGGTGCGGGCAGCCACTACAACAACAATTACAGCAACATGAGCGGGCCGGTCGCGGGGACATTGGGAGGTGCGAAGTACAACTACATGCAGATATCGAATGCGGCAGCTGGCAATCGGGTTAGCATGTTCAACTGGGAATCGCCCGATGTGCTCGCATACCCGGGGTCGCCAGCCACGGACGGCGGGATCGTGACGCCACCTCCCCTGGCTTCGCTCACCCGATATTCGACACCTCTTTTCGAACTAGCGGGGTCGGACCAGCAGCAGCAGCAGCAGCAGCAGCAGCGCCACCTCGTGGGCGGAGATGCAGTTGGGGCAGGCGGTAGTGGTGGAGGAGGAGAAGCAGGCGCCGCCGAGTTGGGAGCAGTGACGCCCATCGTCCACCAACCAACAATAGTACCCCACGAACTTCCGGGAGCTGCACCCGGACAACCTCCATTGCTACAACCTCAACTACGGAGATAGGTAGCCTCCACTAGCCTCGTATCTACACATCTATCGTTGCACTTAATAATCGCATGCGGGGATGCGCAGCTACCTACCTACTTTGGACTTTCCGGGACTAACTGCAGTTGTGTCCCGGATGAGTTTATAATCTTGCCTAGACTTTGGCCGGCGCGGGTTGGGTTTTATGGCATCTTCAAAAAGCAGCAAAAGGCGAACAAGCATATGGGCCGGCGGACGTCATTCGGATTGGGGGGAAAGGGGAGCGAGGTTTCTTGTTTGTTTCCGTTTTTTTTAAACTGCTTACGGAGAATTTGGCATTTGCTGCGATCCTTCTACGCCCTTTCTTGGCCCCTGGGCCGGCTGGCATCTCCAGAAGTCTTAGCGCCGCGCTGGGACCTTTTCCCCGACGGGCAGGCTTTCGAAACCTTTTCTCAGGCACAGCTGTTCGGAGAAGGGAGACCGATGTGGAGACCCAGGCGATGATGATGTGATACCAAAAACACATAATAAAACGAATCGTAATTGACAATTAAAACGGGCAACTTGCTTGCGCAATTGCTGTCCCTTATTGCGCGTGCATGCGTGCGTGCCTTGACTTGTGGAATGGACTCTTTAAGGTTGTCGTCGGACTGTCTGCCCGTGCTTTCCATCCATTGCAACCAAAACGGCAGCGGACACCGCGGCGCAACGGAGGGTTCAAGTGCTCCTCCCTCCCACCACTGTCTTGGCTCGGGGATTATAGAATTTTAGTGCAATTTTTTGGCGGCTCAGCGACCTCCGGGTTGGCTGGCTGTCTAGGCCCGGGACAGCCCGGCCAAGATTGTCAGCCAACACAAGTTTCCGGCAGCACCTCGCCTCCGGCACGCCTCTCAAGCAGGTAGGGTTGAGGTTCGTTAGTAGAGTTGGGGGTTCTTTTAAAAGTGAAATTACGTGGATGTTAATTCGACATGGACACGCACGCATTGCGGGTGGATTGCTTAGGGCGTTCTTTCCACATTTGGCAGTCAATTGATGCCCTGCGCACAACCTCCTCCACTGGAAGTTCCCGTCGCTGGTTTGACAGCAGATATGGATCTCTTCTCTAGGTGTTGGGGCGATCTTTGAAACAGGACCCCGCACATGTGCCAATTCAACATCTGCCGAAATGCAATGCGACAGTCCGAACAGCCAACATCGTATTCTTTGCTGTTTGCCATCTCTCTGCTATCTCTTGGCGGCGCTGCTTGGTGCTGCTGGCGCTGTCGCAGTGCCTGCTAGTGCAATAGAGTCTAGTGTCATGTCTTACTGTATCGTCACCCGTCAGCAAAGCTGCTGCCCCGGCCCCCCAACAAGCGACCTGACCGACCCCGGGCCTTGGCCCGCCCGGGCGGCCTGGGAATTGAATCCTCTCAGCCCTGTTTTTATTTTATTTTATTTTATTTTATTTTATTTTATTTCTTTCAATATTTTCTCTCTCTTTTACTTCCACCTCTTCTCCTTCTCCCTCTCCCCTCCACTCTCTGCATTTTCATTTTATGCTAGGAAATATATTTGGGATCCTTCCCTGTCCAATTTCCTTTTCCGAACTGCAGATTGCAAGAGGTTTCTCTTCTCCGAGCCTCTTTGTGCCTGCATCATCTACATCTTATTACCCCGCCCCCTCACTTGATGTCCCGTTGATAGGGAACACGCGTATTATTTACCACGTTTCCCGGATCAGTAGAACGGGTAAAGGCCCCCCGCGGCCGAGATCGGGGGACCACCCTCAAACCCGTCTCCGTCTTGATCTTTTCTTTTTCACTTTCCCCTCTTATTCCACCACAGGATGGCTCACCAAATAAATCTGGCGAGCCATTCCTTTAGCGGCCAATCCCTATCGTCGGAATGGCCGTTGCTAGTGGAGAGCCCGAGTTTCTGGCCATGCTACAGCTGTTGCAAGAACTTTTGGGTAAGTGAAGTCCCTAGCCGGTTGCCGAACCTTTCTCCTTTCTCCCTCCAACTGGAAGCAAGCTAACCAGTCTATGCAGATCCCCACAACGGGAACCTTTGGGACTGACTGCCTTGGGGTCATCGGCCACATCCCGCTGTGGATCTCGGTCCTCGTGGTTCTGCTACGCTACGGACTTGGCCCGGTGTGGAGGTTCCGCCCTCAGTGGCTACGCAGGCTCGGTTCCGAAGAGGCCGAGGCCGCCTCAGCCTTGGGCCGGGCCGGCGATGAAGAAGTCGCAGCCTCGGCTAGGCAGAGGCCCTGGACGGCATGGACCGTCTCCGTCCTGCTGTTGACCATTCTCGCCGCAGCCTGTGGCGTTGCCGGAGCTCTGATTTGGCCACGGCACCGACTGCAGTACATGGTGCCTGTCATCCCAAACGTAAGTGCGTCCGCCGGGTCAGTCCTTTGCATGCTTTTTGCTGATGCTTCCTAAAATCAGATCATATCAAGTCTTGTTCTTGTCATGGAACGACCTAGAGTCATTCCTGGGGCGGTGTTTGTCATACAAGCCGCCCTCATTGTCGCTGAGCTGGCCGTAGCTGTCTCTGCCCCGATAGCTACCGGAAGCGGCTGGGAGGGAGTGGTCGGCTGGACGGGCGCCATCGGGCTCCCCTTGGCATCCCTTGCCATCATGGTCAATATGCCTATGAGGGATCCTTTACTGGATACCACGGGGATAGCTAAGCCATTTGAGAAGCCCACGGCGTCCGCCCGGAGTCCCGAAGACGTTATCACCTTGTGGCAGTGGATGACTATCTCTTGGGTGGCCCCGCTAATTGCCATCGGCTACAAGCGGCAGCTGCACGATGAGGACGTCTGGTTCCTTGCTTACGAGTTCCAGCACAGCCGACTCCACCGACTCTTCCGTGATATCCCAGGCACGGTGCTAGCGCGGCTGTTCCAGGCCGCTGGCCTTGATCTTCTTCTTACTACCGGCCTTGGCGTGCTCGAGACTTCGATCCAGTTGGCTGAACCTATCCTGCTCAAGCAACTCCTCAAGGCGCTATCTTCCGAGACGCCAGATACCAGGACAGCGCTTGTATACGCCGGAATCACTCTCTTCCTTCGATTGGTCATGGCCCAATCCGGTATCTTCAATCTAGGTTACTGCCGCCGTGGTTATGAGAAGACTAGGGGTGCGATGATCACAATGGTGTATGAGAAGACTCTGCGTCGGAAGGCCTTCACTTTCCCCAACACCCAGACAGTCCCTGGAACTATCGAGGCGGCAGCACCAGAAGAGCAAGAAATTCCGCCATCTGGGGGCACCTCAACCGCGACCACCCTCACTGACGACGAGTCGTCGTCAGACACCGATGGCCTCCTCGGCCAGAGCAAGAAGCCGCGCGAAAGAGGATCATGGCTCCCGGATTGGGTTTGGCAGGCAGTCCAGATGGTCAAGTCGCTGAACGTGAAGGTGGGCCCAGCGGCCGACTCTCCGGCGTCGACGGGCAAGATCCTTAATATCATGCGCAACGACGTTTACGAAGTATCGCAGCGGTTCTGGGAATTCCAGTATATTTTCACCAAGCCAATGAACCTTGTCTTGTCTGTTGTGCTCATCTGGAACATTCTCGGGCCAGCCTCGCTCTCTGGAATCATTGTCCTTCTTGTCGGCATGGGCATCAATGCCTTCTTCATGCGACTTCTGCTCCGCATCGAGCGAGTACGTCGGACAGTCACTGACTCGAAGCTGCAACGTATCAGCCAGTTCGTCGAATCTATTCGCCACCTGAGATGGTACGACTGGCAGGACTCGTGGCTTGCCCAGATCATGGAAAGCCGCCGAGCTGAACTAACGAAGCGCATCATGAGCAACATCATCTCGGATCTTATAAAAACCGTCAACTCAATGACAGCTTACATGGTCCCGGTAGCAGGATTCATGGCTTACACGCTCATCTCCAACAGACCCATGACCGTCGATATTGCTTTCCCGGCGCTCGAACTGTTCACTACTTTGCAGAACGCACTACGAGAACTGCCAGATCTGATCACGGTATTGCTGAATGCACGAGTCGCCATGCAGCGCATCGAGAAATTCATGCTCGAGCCCGAGAAGGAGATTTCTCTTGATGATAACAGGGACGCTGAGCAAGACCTAGCCAGGCCGCCTGGTCCTCTCGAGATTGAGATTAGGGACGCCTCCTTCTCCTGGCCGGCATCTACTAAGAAGGTTCTCAGGCACGTTTCGATGGTGTGCAGGCCCGGATTGACCGTTGTTTGCGGCAAGGTTGGCATCGGGAAGACGGCTCTGTTGTCGGCAATTCTGGGCGAGCTCGACTTGCTCCATGGGGAGACTATCGTGCCGCGCGAAATGATAGGATACTGCGCCCAGACGCCTTGGCTGGAGAGCATGAGCATCCGTGAGAACATTCTCTTTTCTTCTATCTACGACAAGGCTCGCTTTGAGAGTGTCATTGACGCCTGCTGCCTCCGCGCCGACTTCGAAACATTCCGCTCCAAGGATCTCACCTTGATTGGTGAAAATGGCGTCGGCCTCTCTGGCGGACAACGCGCCCGCGTCTCTCTGGCGAGGGCCATATACAGCAATTCTCGCATCCTGCTATTAGACGATCCCATCGCGGCCTTGGACCACCACACAGCTACCAGCATCATGAAGAACCTCTTTGGGGACAAAAGGTCGTCGCTTACCGAGGGCCGCCTTGTCATTTTTGTGACGCATCGGGTTGACATCGTCAAGCAATACGCGTACCAGGTTCTCGAAGTCACCACTGGCGGCCGGGTAACATCCTTTGATAGAGAAATCGTGGAGCCTGATGGTCTCGAGGCCAACCTTGCGGCTGCTGCCGAGCAGGTTGAGGGCGAAGAAGAAGATACAAAACCGGCAGAAAAGTTCATCGAGGAGGAGCACCGGGCCCATGGCGGTGTCTTGATTTCGGTTTACTGGGAGTACGTCAAGGCCGCAGGACTTGTATGGTGGGTTGGCCTGATTTCTGCCTACGTTTTCTTCCGCGCGGCCAAGGTGGGATATTTCTGGTTCCTCAAGGAATGGGGTGAGCAGTACGGCAGCTCCCCGGCAGCGGCCCGCAGTGTCAGTACCTATGTTCTCGGCTTTGGTGGAGTCGTGCAAGATGACCTGGATGCTACAGCGTCGCAACTCGCCTTTGGGTTTTCTCCTAGGACGCTCCACGGGCCCGCCGCTAATGCCTCGAAGAGCTGGACGGACCTCGGTAGCTACCTGCCGCCTCCTGACGAAAATGTCCGTCCGTGGCTATTCTGGTTCTTTGTCGTCTCGTTGGCTCAGGTGGTTGCACTGAGTCTCGCAGATGCTGCGCTCATCGTGATTGTGTACCGTGCAGGCAAGACGCTGTTCGAGCAGGTGGTGCGCCGTGTCAGCAACGCGACGTTCCGCTTCTACGACGTGACGCCGGTCGGTCGGCTTATGAACCGGATGACGTCGGATATGGGCACTGTTGACGGGGCCATCGCGGGCCAGTTGGTCGGAGTGGCGTGGTACGTCCTCGGCTGGATCACGTCAGTCATCGTGATAGCTTCGACCACGCCCGTGTTCCTCATGCTGAGCGTCATTATGACAACGCTCTTTGTCGTCATATTCTTCCGCTTTCTGCCTACGTCGCAATCGCTACGCCGTCTTGAGACGGTCTCGCTGTCGCCGCTCATGTCTAATTTCGGCACACTTGTCGAGGGCCTGACCACAGTGCGGGCTTATCACGCCGAGCCTCACTTTCAGGCGCGAATCGTGGCCACCACCGACAAGTTCCAGAAAATGGATCACATGTACTGGGCCATGCAAATGTGGTTGCAGTTCCGGTTCGACTTGCTATCGGCACTGACCTCTTTCACTCTAACAGTCACCGCAGTGCTAGCAGGTTTGTCCGGTGGCTCGGTCGGATTTGTGCTGGCGGCCGCCTCGAACTTTGTCATATGCACGCACATGCTGTGCCGCCGTTATGGTGATATGCAGATGCAGTTTGTTAGCGTGGAGCGTATTATCGAGCTGCTACACCTTGAGCAGGAGCCGGTCGGTACTGTAAAGCCTCCAGCTGCCTGGCCCGGCTACGGCGATGCTATCGTGTTCGACCACGTCACGCTGCGCTACGCACCCCACCTGGACCCGGTCCTCGACGACGTCAGCATTAAAATCCCGGGCGGCTCTAATGTTGCTGTAACCGGCCGCACAGGTTCCGGCAAGAGCACCCTTGCCTTGAGCCTTCTCGGCACACTGCATCCGGACGCGAACACGGGCGGCGCCATCCACATCGGGGCTATCAACCTCGCTGATGTCGATAAGCATGTGCTTCGGCGTAATATCACCTTCGTCGCCCAGGATCCCGTGTTGTTCCCGGGCACGCTGCGCGACAACCTGGACCCTCTGGGCGAGCACGAGGAGGCGGATCGCGCGAGCGTGCTTGACCGCGTTCTCCACGGTCACTCCTTCACCCTGGACAGCCCCGTCGACTCAGGCGGGCACAATCTGAGCCAAGGGCAGCGCCAGCTGATCGGGCTCGGTCGCGCCATCCTGCGCCGCAGCCCCGTCATCATCATGGACGAGGCCACGGCGTCTATCGACGCACAGACGGCCGACGAGATACAGCGCCTGTTGCGCGAGGAGCTGCGTTACAGCACCGTCATCACCATTGCTCACAAGGCGGAAGCCGTCAGGGACGCCGACTTTGAGGTTGTGCTGGAAAAGGGGAAGGTCCTCAGGGCCGGGCCGAGAAAAGTAACTTCATCTGCATCATGAGTTTATGGTAACGGCCAATCTGGATCATGAGGTTTGGTTCTGGCGTTTTCTTTTCGGATACATGTGTGCGTTTTTTTTGAGAAAAAAGGTGCAACGCGATATGAAAGTTTATTTCCCTTTTTCTGCCTTTTTCATGGGAGCAAGGACAGACATAGTTATTAACATGGCTATATAATAATATAAATAACTTAATTAGGGTTGTTTACATCAATACGTGCCCATACTTGAGCGTCTGTGAGGATTCTCCGCTCTGAGCCTCGTGTAAGACGTGGCCGACAACATGTGGGAGATATGGGGGGGCACGTCAACTGCTCGTCCCCTGGGACGGCGATGCTTGATATAAGTATCAATAATTCATCTACTAACTCGGGCGGCGCATATTTGAGGGAGCGGGGATAGCTTCGAGTCATCGTGTTGTGATTGTTTGCTTTCCTCTCATGCTCTCTTCAGTTCTCAAGCCAGCGTCCGGCTGCGACTCGGGAGTTGATGCGTCGGGGGGAGGAGGTCGTGTTGCTGAACACCCCAAATCATCGCTCATCAGTCTGCAGTGGTACTAACCTGCTCTACTGGACTCACTTTCTACGATAGGTAGGGTACCTTTGTTTCCTTGGCTGAAACTCCGTGTAACTGGATGGCAATTGGCAAGTCACTGTGACAGGGAGGCTAATTAACTCGTGAGGCATAACGGGCTGCCGCCTCAGGCAGATGAGTATTATGTTTCCCTCTTTTCTACCCTCTTATTGGGAGTCTTTTCTTTTCCTCATTTTTCACTCTTTTTCTTTTCTTTTTCTTTCGCAAGTTGAAAAGAGGGGTGTATTTGGATGTTTCGTCTGACATTACCCAGATTTCTGGGCGTTCTTTGATTAAGAAGCGATCCTGTTTTTACGGCAAGAGATGGTCCTCACTCCGATCATGACTCTGCCCCGAAAGAAATTGATTTTACTTTGTTTTCATTTCCTCGTGCCGTGTCAAGGGGGGGGGTAGGAAACAATGATTGACAAACATGCGTAGAAACACGAGAACACGCCGCCTTCGTACATACATGGACCCAAATAGATAATAGAGTCACATCTATTTCACGTGAAGTTGCATTATGAGCTGCCTAGCTAGCCAGGGTTGGCTGGTGGGTGGTCCTGAACCGTCCTCCCTTTCTGTTCACTCCTTCTCGCACTTGGGCAAAGGTAACACACCGAGGCAACAGTCTGCAATTCAGCAAAGGAATAAGAATTGCCCGACTAGCTGCGAACACTATTGACTCATGAGGTCTAGGGCCAGGTAACTTGAGCTAACTTGGTGCCAGGTAAACATGGAACTTGACCGAATACGCTTAGCACACCTCTGGGGCGGCAAGCTACCTTCTTTGCAGGAGCGTATTGAGCAAAATCGATGCTTAAATAGATGCGTCCCAAGAGGGCGGACCACCACTCGCTGCTGAAATGGCATGCCCTCCTTGCTCGCACCCCTGAGCAGGAGCTTTCTTTCCGTCCGATGGCCCCCCGTGTTGGCGCGGGAGTGTGGCACAGAACATCCGAGAGAAACCTGTTGCAACCTGCAGGAAAAGGTTGTTGGTTTGGCACCTTTTTTTGAGGGAGAGAAGAGACGGAACAAGTGAGGCGTAAACTGCATTCGGAACTTCCAGGGGCGCCAACACGCAACAGCCGCTGGGGCTCGAGCCAATGTGCCACAAAGTCAAAGCTGTCAAGTGCTCTCAGTGGCGCGCGTGCGTGCGTGCGTGCGCGGACGCCTCTTCGTCCAAACTCCAAGGCCAAGTCCAAAGTTGGTTGTTGACTGCTTCAATTTGCCGGCTCTCCTTCCATTAGCTCTACGCCCAGTTGGGCAAACCCGTTGTATGCACGTACGTAATTATGTGCAGAGACGCACACACATAATTGCATCCAATTGACGCACCTCGTGTTCGTTGGCAGCGGGAAGAACGCAGAAGACGCAAACGGTCGAGATGGTGGGAGGGGGCCGAAGCTGTGCCCCGGATTTTCCCAAACGAGAGGCAAGCCGAAGCCGATTCCCAGACCAACCGTGACATGGAAAAGACGATAGCAGCCAATCAAGCCAATCAGGGTCTCGCGTATCTCGACTTGGTAAGCGTGGGATCTGGGGCTGGGGCGGCGGCTTGAGTCTACTGTGTACGCGAGCTCCCGAGCTTGCCAGGCTACAGGGGGGCACGGGCACGATCCACCTGACAGAGATCGCGCAACGGCACGACGGCATGGACGACAGACGGATCGCAACACGCGCACTGCTGCTGCCATGTTGGGCGGGGCCGGCGGGGCTGTAACTGCCAGAAGTCGCCGGCCGATGTTTCCTGCTCGGGCTTGGGCCGCGCCTTCCATGGAGATGGATCGTGCTTTCCATGGAGATGGATCGATTGACTTTGCGATGTGGGATCGCTCCCGGCCGTTCTCGTTCCCTTTCTTTCCGTCTCTCTGAGATCTTGCAGCCTGGGACGAAAATGGCCGACGGCTCCTGCTCGATTCTTGCGCTGTCCTCTTTCTCGCTCTGCCTTCTCTCTCCCCCTCTCCCTGTGCCCCAGACTGCCAAGTTAACGGACGCCCTGTCTTGACAAGATCGTCGCACAGACAGATTGGATTCGGGTAGGCTCGAGACGTGCCTCTTTGACAATCCCGCCGGCTGGCGGCAAAGCACACACACCATTACCAATTCCCGGCGTCCCCCCGCCTGGCGGAGGCGGATGGTTGCCCGAGAACCCTCTCGCCTGGGGTCCATGGTTGGCTCGCCCGGCGTTGTTCGCTCTGGCTAGGCGTTGACGTTTGCGTTTGTCATGGGGACGAAACGAAGCCGGGCTGGGATGCGGTCCTCCCAGAAGCTGCCCGAGAGCTTCCGGTGCTGTCTGTAAGGGGCAGGACGCCATGGCGGACGCCCTCGTATTCCCACCCCCATCCAGTCTCGTGTTGTCTGTCATGTTCGACTGGTGCGAGTGTGACTGATGCCGAATCCGCGCCTGCATGAAGCATATCCTTCTTCTCCAGCCAAGGGCACCCGGCCCAGAAAGCCTTAAAGAAGCACGCGCCCCTCGTCTCTTGTTGTGTGCTGTTAGTTACCTCGTTTCTCTCGTTTTCCGGAGCTCTCTCAACAGGCCGTGTTTGCCGCAGTCACTCACTTTATTTCTTTTCTCCTTTCCGTCCCAGTGTTCACTTTGTCATTCGCTTTTGCTCTAGTCGTCCGTTTTAAACAACAACAACAACAACAACAACAACAACAACAACAACAACAGCAGCAGCAGCAGCAGCAGCAGCAGCAGCAGCAGCGGCAGCATCAACACCGTCATCATCACTATGCGTGGCGTCTCTCTCGCTCTGGGGGCCCTTGCCCTCGGCGTGGTAAATGCCTGGCAGTACCCATACTGTGTAAGTCAGCCAAGGGGAGGTCTGACTTATCCGACCTGCATATGCTGACAACAAGTCCAGGAGAACGACAACTGCTACAGGAACCTCATAGACGACCGCTTTGCTGCTGAAGCCAAGACCTGGTGCCCCAAGTTTCTCAAAGGGACTACGACTGCTGCGTCGGCTATCCCGACCAACTTCAACAACTGCGGCGGAAAGGTCTCGGCTGTCAGCTCTGCTTGCTCTTGCGTCACTTACTGGGACACTACCACGACGAAACCACCCGCGTCGACCACAAAGCTGCCGTCAACAACCTCCAAGCCAACGTCCAAGCCGACGTCCAAGCCGACGTCTCAACCAACCTCCAAGCCGACGTCCAAGCCAACGTCCAAGCCGACGTCCCAACCAACCTCCAAGCCAACGTCCAAGCCGACGTCTCAACCAACTTCCAAGCCAACGTCCAAGCCAACGTCCCAGCCAACCTCCAAGCCAACGTCCCAGCCAACCTCCAAGCCAACGTCCCAGCCAACCTCCAGGCCAACGTCCCAGCCAACCTCCAGGCCAACGTCTCAACCAACGTCCCAACCGACGTCCAAGCCAACTTCTAAGCCAACATCTACGCCGCCAGCCTCAACCTCCAAGCCGCCAGCATCAACGACGGGCAAGTCCACGACTAGCACCATCTTCACCACCACCACCAAGACAACCACGTCGTGCCCCGACTCCGTGACCAACTGTCCTCTGGACCAAGCCACCACTATCATTACAACCGAGGTCGTCGTCATTGGTACCACCGTCTGCCCAGAGTCCGAGACGCCGTCCGAGACACCGACCGTCCCTAAGTCTACGTCCGAGTGTTTAGATTCGGCGACAGAGACGCCCACCGGGCCCGGGTCCGGATCCGGCTCAGGGTCGGGGCCGGGGTCGGGGTCGCCGACAAAATCCGAGTCCGGGCCTGGGTCCCCAGCCGAATCGGAACCTGGGTCCCCGGCCGAAACACAGTCTGGACCCGAGTCAGGACCCGAGCCATCGACCCCGATCACGCCACCGGCCTCGACGACGTCGTTAGGGACAACCACGCGCTCTCCTCCCCCAACCAGCACCACTTCCAGGACATTTGTCACGGCGGGAGCTGGCCGCGTGGCGCACGGTGTCGAGATTGCTGCTGCCGCTGGTTTCCTTGCCGTTATGTTCTTGTAAAGAACTCGCTCATCAATGAGGGGGCCAGCTTTGAAGCTGCATCTTGAAAGAATTGAACAAGTTAGGGATGAGGAACCTTCCTGCTAGCAAGGTTACTTGCAGTTACCCATCGTTTTGTAATTAACCAGTAAGTTGTATATGGGTAATGATTGCTAATTTTAGATTCAATCAACATGTGAACCTAACTATATCCGAGGTGTATTATGATTTTGAATATGACACTATATTTCCTGCTCTCATCGTCCCTAATCTTCCAGGTACATGTGATGCATGCAGTGTAGTCTACACGCGTGAGATGATGGTTATAATAGGGGGACCTCTGATTTGAGACATTGACTAGGAAGAATGCAGAACACCAATGCCGTGAGATGGTTCCCGAGACCCCCAGTTCCAAATTAGTACAGATTACAATTGACCGTGTAATTAGTGACCATCTAGGAGTAGGTGATCATGTGTTACTCATTCCGTGCCTATCTCTCTATAGTCTCTAGCTACCTACCTGATTCGGCATTTTCCCAATAACATGGAGGCCAATCAATGTTGAGGTCGGGTATTAACTTCGGAAACTTTCACTTGGAGAACAATTGATGTCATACATTCAGAACATTCTCTTTTGTATGAAAACCATTTTTTTCTCAATACGCACCCTGCTGGACTTGTCTGGACAAGTTGATTGTAATTAGAATGCCATACTTAAGTTAGACACACAAATAAGACACCTTGAGTTTGGCTGCATTTTCACCGATTGTCCCGACGTTTGAGCCTATTCTAACAATATCTGAAAAGAATGCTGTGGTCTCCACAAGTTTGTAAACAATGGATGGTTGTCCTTTGACATTGACGAAGTCAAGCCGCGACGTTCAACGTTGGTCCCACGATATCGGGTTTGGCGCGATCCTACTGCCAAGTCCGAGTGGTCAGCGCGCGCGGTCTTTTTGTGCATATTCGCGGCCCGCGGCCTGTTCTAAACGGGGGGGAACGAGACTCCACTTCCAGGGGTCCAAGACAAAGTGTCCCTCGGCGAACGAACTATCATTGGGGCATTTGGTGCGTGTTGCAGTTCCAGGTACGCGGACCACCAAAAAAAAAGCCCACTTCCTGGCTGAGCTATCTTTATTAGAATTGCCGAATGAAAAGACGGAGGCTTGCCGGTAAGCTTGATAAGACAACGCTGCTGGTCGCCAACAAAAGGGAGGGCAGGCTCTCTTTTTTTTAACTTTTTCTTCTTCTTCTCATCGCTACTAAATGGACTAATCCCTAGGTAAGTAATGATTAGCCCCTCCCACCGGCCCTATTTTTCTTGTTACTCACTCATTATGAATTACTAGCAGCCGGCTTTATTGTGACCACGTTCGGCCTCTCACCAATCACGGTTTGAATCTCTCCTTGTCACCAAAGCCTTGGTAGACAGACCTCCGGCCTTGGCTGGGCGACATCGACATCATGTTCGTCGCCGTAGTTGCGCTCCGGGCGCTGTGGGCTCTCGCTCTTTCCGGCCTCGCCTACTTTTTCTTCCGGCTGCACCAAGTCCGCATGCGCACCCGCGAGCTCAGCACCAAGTATGGGGTCGTAAGTCTGGCGCCTGACCCTCCAACTAATCAGTTCGCCAATTATTGCTGACGTTGATTTTTGTCTAGCCCATCTTGCCGCATTCATACTTCTGGGGCCACCTGATCGTCATGGGCAAAGCCATGTCAAGGATCCCAGGGGACGCCAACGGCACTCTCCTGATGCACTTCCTGTTGAAGGACTTCCCAGAGTTTGAGGAGCACGGGGCCGTTTACATTGATTCGTGGCCCATCGTGCAGCCTCTGGTCTTTGTTTTCAATCCGGAAATGATATCCACCTTTACACAGATCCGGTCGCTCCCCAAGTCTCCCGACATGAGAGCCGAGTTTAGGCCCTGGTATGCACTCTCCTGTCCCCTTTCAGAGCACATGCGAGTAGGGGACGAGAGAGAGAGAGAGAGGAACTGACAGACGTGCGTGGTTATTCAGGACCAAGAATCTAGACCTCGTCACGCTCGAAGGGCCTGAGTGGAAGCGGTGGAGAAGCATCTTCAACCCCAGCTTCTCTAACAAGAATCTCACCTCGCTTGCTCCAGCCATGCTCAACGAGATTCGCATCTTCTCCGACAAGCTAAAGGCGGCGGCGCGGTCCGGCGAGACGGTGAAACTGATGGACCTAGCCATCGATCTGACAATAGACGTCATTGCCCTCAACATCTCGTCTGTTATTTCTAGCCAATAACACTCTGCCTTCCTAGCGGCCTTCTAATTAACAATTCAAACAGGGGAGACCGTCTGAACTGCCAGACGACGAGCCAGCCGCTGCAAAAAGCGCTCAACAACCAGATATGGTGGACCTGCCCGCGAAGCACGCCCGTCGAGATCTGCAAGATGCTGCACCCGCTGCGGTCGCTGTTCATATGGAACAACAACCGCACCATCAAGAACCACTTCGTTCCCATAATACAGCGGCTCATCAACGAGCAGGTCGGTAATAACAAGGGCGTCGGCGCCGCCGGCGAGACCAAGACGATCCTGGCGCTCGCCATCCAAGCCTACCTGGCGGAGCAGAAGGAGGCCGGCAACCCCATCACGTCGGCCAGCCAGATCGACAGCGCGTTCCTGGAGCGGCTGACCATGCACCTAGGCATGCTCATCTTCGCGGGCCACGACACGACGGCCACGACGCTGTGCTACACCGTGTACATGCTGTCCAAGCACCCGGAGGCACTAGCAGCGGTACGGGCCGAGCACACGGCCATACTCGGGGCAGACCCAGCAGCGGCCGAGGCGCGCATCGCAGCCAACCCGACGCTGCTCAACAGCTTGCCGCACACGGCGGCGGTCATCAAGGAGACGACGCGGCTGTTCCCGGCGGTCGGCGGCAGCGTGCGGGCCGGGCAGCCCGACTTCTGGCTCGTCGACGCCAAGACGGGCCAGCGCATGCCCACAGAGCACTGGGCGCTGCTCAGCGACCACCACACGACGCACCACCGCGAGAGCCTGTGGCCGCGGCCGCTCGACTTCATCCCGGAGCGGTTCCTCGTCCGCGACGGCGACGAGGCTAACCCGCTGCACCCGCACAAGAACGCGTACCGGCCGTTCGAGCTCGGCCCGCGCGGCTGCATCGGCCTCGAGCTCGTCCAGCTCGAGCTCAAGGCCATCCTGGCGCTGACGGCCCGCGAGATGGACTTTGAGGGCGCCTTCGCGCCCGGCTCGCCAGAGGTCCTCGGCCACCAGGCCTACCACGTCGGCGACATCGTGGCGCACCCCAAGGACGGCATGCCCATGCGCGTGAGGCTGCGGAAGGTAGGGGGGAGGGAGGTCAATATCTAGTTAGGTAATTCGTTTATGACGAATATATATAAACTCATCATCTGTTCCCCTCTAATCCGGATCCCAAACGTGCAAGCTTCCCTTCGCAACCAGCCCGGCATGGTATCTGTATCGGCATCTTCAAGATCTAGAATCATTCCTGGCTTGGGGGGAGGGGTGAGAAGGCAGCTGTGCCTGGACTCAGTCGGTAAGTAGCATCCAACACGTGAAATCGCTGGTTGGCTAGGGGGGCATTCACAAGCCAGAGAAGGATTGCCGAGACCACCCTCGACAAACCTGGTCAGGGTGGGAAACAGACACTACTGGACCCCTCGCTCTCGACATGGCTTGGCGACGTGAACTCTCAGCTGCAGCTGACGGGGATACTTGTTCGAGCTTCCCCGCCCCTCGCCAGGCAATCGGAACCACAACAAAGGCCGTTTCCAGACCTGGCGCCGGCAGCATCGGTGAGTGAGTATTGTGTTCCAGGTTTGTCTTCAACCAAGGCAAAGACCAGAACCCAAAACGCTGATTGAACGGCTGCCGCTCACAGCTTGTCTGTTCTGGAAGGCTAAGCTGGGCACCCAGCTGCGTTGCGTCCGACTGGAACCAAGGCCCAACAAAAGATGCGACGCGAGGACCGGAAACCATGGCGCCGTCCCGCTCCTCCGCCACGACAAAGCCAGCAGCCACGTCGGCGACGGCGGCAGTCCCGTACGCGCTACAGCTAACACTGACGGTACTCGAGCCGCTGCTGGCGGCCAACGGCGTATTCATGGCGGTGGCGGGCGGCGTGCACGAGCGGAGTGACGCGGGGCCTGATAACGGTCCGGGGCGAGAACCAGTTCCGGTTATGGTTGTGCATAGCGCTGGACGAGGCCGTGGTGCTGCGGCTGGTCGACGACCTGCGCGTGTGGCGTTTGTTATGTGCCGGCTAGCTCGTCTCGGACACCTTCTACTGGCACAGTGCCGCGGAGGTTGTTGGTGGTTGGGGCGCCTATCTCACTCTTGCGGATTTTACGGCGTTCGACTGGGCGTGTGCCGTCACTGCTGCGATCCCGCTGCTGGCGCGCCTGGCTATTGTGACTGGCGTCGGGTTGAATAGCAGCAGCAGTGCGGGAGTGACGAGTGTGGCTGCGAAGAAGAGGAGGTGAGGCGTGAGTCTCTCTCGTTTGGGGGTTGAGCCGAAATGTGGAAAGTTTGTTTTTTTGGCTGGTGGCAAGCATCACGAGCATCCGAGGCTGGGGTATCGTTTGTATCTAGCTGCCGCCTCTATGGACCTGGCTCAAGCTCTCTAGAAAGCCGGAGAATGATATCTTGTTGCAAGACGGCCGACGACGAGACAAGCCGCTGTGCACACCCGTGGAAATCTGTGTCTCAAGTGCCTGTTTTGTGTCTGCGCCGGCAACTACGGCTAGGACAGACTATACTCGCCCGGCGCCAGAACGAAAGCCTCATTCTTCGCTCTCCTGGGCCTGCTTCTGTCCCCAGTCACCAGCGCGACAGCAATCCCACGGCCAGCCAGCAGCAGCAGCAGCAACTCCCTCCATGCGCGAGGAAGCGCCGCCGCAGCAGCAGCAGCACGGCCCCCGGTCTCGTGGGCCAAGGTGCTGTACGGGATGGCCAAGTTCTGCCCCTTCAGCATCGTCGTCGACGGGGTCGGCGAGGCCATGCTCGCCATGAAGCGGCTGGTGGCGGCCGAGTTCGGCATAGAGACGACGCGGAATTCCGTGCTAGACGCGCGTCAGTAGTGCGCCGACGTGACCATCGTCTTCGCGCGCGGCACCAACGAGGCCGGCAATGTGGGCGGGCTGATCGGCCCCGAATTCTTTGATGCAGTGGCTCGGCGGCTCAAGAGCAACGCCAAGGGTACCGCCGGCGCTTTGCTAGCCGTCCAGGGCGTCGCCTACGAGGCGAAAACGGCGACGTATTTCCTCGGCGGCGACGCAGCGAGCAGCGTGAACATGTGAGATGCTCTCTAAACAAGACACGGGATGGTGTCTAGCCGTTGATTCCCCCTATACCCATGTCTAGAGCCGCTCTCGTGACACGGGCGCTCGCAAGCTGTCCCAGCACCAAGCTGGTCATGGCCGGATACAGCCAAGGCGCGCAGTTGGTCCACCGGGCGGCGGGGCTCCTACCGGCAGCGGCCGCGGCCGCGGCTAGGGTCGCCGCCGTCGTCACCTTTGGATCTCCGGCCCACGGAAAGCCAGTCCCTAGCACGCCGCCGTCCAGCCAGCTGTCCATCTGCCACGCCGGCGACAACATCTGCCGCGGCGGTAGTCACCTCCTCGCGCTGTCGCACTTTACCTATATCGAGGATGTCGCGCGGGCCGCCGGCTTTGTTGTTGCTCGTCTCTCTGAGCAGGCGCCCCCAGTGTAGAATCACCAGAAAGAGAAGAGGTTCATCTTGGTCCTGCAAATACCTCGAGATTCTGCTCCAAGGGAGGTGGTATTGTTATACGTTAAACTGCAAGTGGAAACTCACATCTCGTCAGGGTCGGTCGCCCGAAGAAGGGGTACTGGGTCGCTCTGAGGAGAATTTCAGGCCGGAATGGACGCCTCTCAATCCAGGAGTCGTACTAATTATTATAGCTGACAGAGGCCATGATCCATTTATTATTGCTGATCCTCTTCGACCCTACATGTTTTTAGGTTTGCCGGCCAATACCTTCTGAGGTCTCTCTTTGGTCTTCTCGTTCGTGTTGGCGCTGAAAGTGAAAGACAACATGGCACACTTCTTTGGAAGCTGTGCTCTTTTTGTATTGTAGAACGAAACCTGTAAAGGCCCTCGGCGCTTTGTTTCTTGCCTGAGCTTTGCTTCTCTTACAGAGACAGAACAAGGTATACGTAGCGTCGCGTGAGACAGTGCGAGGGGCAGTCGCAGGACGTCGCGGTGCCTACTATTGGCATTCTGGTCAAAGATCATGGTAATAGGCCAAAGCCCCATCTGTATCCCGTGTTGTGGTTTTAATGCTGTGGTGGTTCGCATGCAAACCGCGAAAAGCAAGCGACTATTGATGAGAGACATGGAGGGGCCCAGCCTTACAAATAAATCCCGAGGATAGGTACCCGACAAATACCTCGATCTGGGCCAGACCATCTGCCATAATTATAAATAAATTATTGCAAAATCAACAGCAAGTTTTCGGTTCGTATCTTCCTCTTCCTCCACAGTCGTCGAGCCTTGCGAAACTGTTGACTACATAGTGGTAGCTATTTATGGATGCGATCCTGGGCAACGAAACGCGACGACTAAGATTGAGAATTTGAGATGGTAACCCTGGGTTTTTGCAACATTACCTGCATCCCCGGTCAGCCCCTATTTATCGGACGCTCCGCCTCTCTCCCCGCTCCCCACGTTTTGGAAACCATTGGAGGGGGACTTCAGGGGCTGGCTTCGTTGAGCTGAGCGTCAAGGGCCGGGGAGGCGCGTCAATTTCTTTTCTTTTTTGCCGTGACGGAGGCTGTGCTCCAGATTGCGTGTGTATATGTATGTACATACACGGGGCTGATGTTGCAATATCCACAGAGCGGGCTGTATTTTTCCGCAATACATGTCGTCTTGGGACACGAAGAAGGGCTGGACGGGCTGATGATTGGAAATCGCCTGCATCGAGCTGGCGCATCAGAAAAGGAGAAGGGAGGGTGCAGTCGACCTCCAAGAGATGGCAGCGCTAATAATACAGGTAGGGCGGTATAGCGAATGGCGAAAAAAGCGAAGCCCGACAAGTTCGGCGATTTGTAATTCGAACGATATTGCCTCCATGAGTAGCAGTAGCCAGCCCTTTGGGCCTCGTAAATCGTAACGAGTCTTTCCGTCCCTTGCCTAGCTCCAACCTGTCGCTGAGCCGAGGTTGGGGCACGTATTACGGGCACGAGCTCGTCTGGACTCTGGAGTGCCAGAAATGAACACGTTCAGGAAAAGGGGAAGGAGAACCCGACATTTCGTCATCGCTCCTGTGCCTGTGGTACCTGCCCGCTTGCTAGTTTGTGTGATAACGGCGGTAACTTATCGCTACCACGGCGCCAATAGCCTGCTCGACAAAAGATTGACACGACAGCACAGATCGGATTATTACCCGTGCCTCTCCTTCGCCCTGCGGATAGTTGACCCATTCAAACCCCGACTGATCTTGATATGTGACTTGTAAAACTGACCTCCTGTTGCAACCTTGTAGAATCCAGATCGCTACCACATGCGCCTCGGGCTCCTAATACTGTGTACTTACCTATCAATCCTATCTTACAATTACATGGAATAACCCGACATTCCGTACTTAAACGGATAATTCTATAGCATTAGTAGCCGTACTTCGTATTCGTACATACAGCACTTATAAACATACAGTGCAAGTGGTAAATAACTTATCTCCTAGGGAAAGCGCCTAACCATTTGGTCGTCCAGACATGCCTATCGCCATCCCAGGGGCACAGATTTTAAGTCTTCTCCGGGGGGGCGGGTTCCGGGTTCTGCTGTCTTCGCTGCTGACCGCATTTGCGGGGCCCTGCTACATTAGGTGCTTCGATTAACAACCCCCGCCTCCGCCAGGGCCCCTCATTGGTCTTGACCACAACCTTGGGGCGCCCGATTTACCACACCCACCTCCGCAGCCCATTGCCGCACGTCGTCGCCCCTCGACTCGACCTTGGAATCCGACACAGCAACTTGACGGCTGGCTGTCTATCTCTTGACACCGCCATCGTTCTCCCATATCCTATAACCTCAGCTTGATAGTTCGCCGACGCGTATTTGGCATCGTACCACCCTATTTTGTCGTCGCTAGCATTGCCATTCCCCGGGCCGGCTCACACGTCACCTTCCAAAATGTCCTGGAAACTAACCAAGAGTATGTCGCCATCATTTGTCTTCCGTGGCCGCTCCAGCACGTGCGCCCACGGTGGCACGCTTCGCCTCCCGATTACCGTGTCCTTGAAACTACCTCGAGTGAATAAACATGCCAACCAAGATAGATGATGCTGACGCGTCGTCGTTCCAGAATTGAAAGAGACTCATCTGGGTCCTCTGGCCAACACATTCTCCCGCACCCCGGCAACGCCCCCCCTTTCAGAGAAAGAAGACAAAAGCCCCTCGGCCCTTCCTCAAACACCGAGTCCTACAAATGAGAGCACCATAGGTACGTCGCTCGCGTGCAATTTTGGAATTCAGAGAGTACAGCCTAACCCCCCTTTCCAGCGGCCTCGGAAGACCTCACGCAGGCACCGGTTATCGAGCCCCCAAAGCCCGGCATCCTTGTCGTTACGCTACACGAGGGCCAAGGCTTCTCCCTACCAGAGCAACATCGGGACTCGTTCGGCTCTTCCCACCCTGGCAACTCGTTATCGACCGGAAATACACTCAGCAGCGTGGCCGGCTCCATCCGGCCGGCATCGTCGTCACGCGGGTTAGGCTTCATGAATGGCGGCCGACCTCAGACGTCATCGGGCGGCTTCAGCGGAATTCCGACAAACCACGGCCGAATCTCGGCCAAGTACATGCCGTATGCCTTGCTCGATTTTGACAAGGTCCAAGTCTTTGTCAACTCAGTCGAAGGCAACCCCGAGAACCCGCTGTGGGCTGGATCCAACACGCAGTACAAGTTCGACGTGTCGAGAGTGACGGAGTTAGCTGTACATTTATATATCCGGAACCCCAATGCGGCCCCCGGCTCTGGCCGGAGCCAGGACATTTTCCTCGGCGTCGCCCGGATCAACCCCAGGTTCGAGGAGAGGCAGCAATACGTCGAGGATCCCAAGGCCAGCAGAAAGGACCGCGAAAAGGCGGCGGCGGAGTTTGCGAACCGCGAGCGCTCTCTCGGACAAAGCGGCTTGGAATGGGTAGAGGTCCAGTATGGTACAGGAAAGCTCAAGATCGGTGTTGAGTACGTGGAGAACCGCGCTGGCAAGCTCAAGATCGAAGACTTCGAGCTCCTCAAAGTCGTGGGCAAAGGCAGCTTCGGCAAGGTTATGCAGGTGCGGAAGAAGGACACAAACCGTATCTACGCGCTCAAGACGATCCGAAAGGCCCACATCATCTCGAGATCCGAAGTCGCGCATACGCTGGCCGAGCGTTCGGTCCTCGCCCAGATCAACAACCCCTTCATCGTCCCACTAAAGTTCACATTCCAGAGCCCCGAGAAGCTGTACTTTGTCCTGGCATTTGTGAACGGCGGCGAGCTCTTCCACCACTTGCAGAAAGAGCAGCGCTTCGATGTTAACCGCAGCCGATTCTACACCGCCGAGCTGCTCTGTGCTCTCGAGTGTCTCCACGGCTTCAACGTTATTTACCGCGACCTGAAGCCCGAAAACATTCTTCTAGACTACCAAGGTCATATTGCCCTGTGCGACTTTGGCCTGTGCAAGTTGGACATGAAGGACGAGGACCGTACCAACACGTTCTGCGGGACGCCCGAGTACCTCGCCCCCGAGTTGTTGATGGGCAACGGCTACAACAAGACGGTCGACTGGTGGACTCTCGGTGTGCTTCTGTATGAGATGTTGACGGGACTGCCACCGTTTTACGACGAGAACACCAACGAGATGTACCGGAAGATTCTCAGCGAGCCCCTGCACTTCCCCGGACCCGAGATTGTGCCGCCTGCGGCCAAGGACCTCTTGACCAAGCTGCTGAACCGCGACCCTCAGCAGCGGCTGGGGGCCAATGGATCGGCCGAGATCAAAGCACACCCCTTCTTCCACGCCATAGATTGGCGCAAGCTTTTACAGCGGAAGTACGAGCCTCAGTTTAAGCCCAATGTGGTATGTAGCCGATCCGCGTCTGTTGCAGGTTATGCTCTCCGAAATAACCTACTGACCCTTTTCCTGCTTAGGTTGATGCGCTTGACACGGCCAACTTTGACCCCGAGTTTACGTCGGAGCCGCCACAAGATTCCTACGTCGACGGAGATGTTCTCTCTGAGACGATGCAGAACCAGTTCACTGGCTTCAGCTACAATCGTCCAATTGCCGGCCTAGGAGACGCTGGCGGCAGTGTCAAGGACCCTTCTTTCGTTGGCAGTATCCAGGACCGCAGATAAACGGAGCCCGGTGGTAGTGGTCAATGACGAGAAATCGGTTTAGGCGCGAGATCTATGCCAGAGAATCGCACATGGTCGATATATCCAAGCATTCTCGGCGCCCTAGTGCCTCGCGGATGTGCTTGTGAACGTGGAGGATGGTGTATGGGGACAGATGGAGAAAAGCGGAAGCGGGGGTCCCCGATAAAGAGTCTTTACTGAAGGAGCCTTGATCCTGGGGCTGGGATGAAAGTGCCTTGAACAAGGCTCGGACCGTGCCGCTTATTTACGGCGTCTACGTTTCGCATTTGGAGTTTGGCATGATCACGAGGGACTTTTTTTTGGTACTTGTGTTTCTGTTTATTTTTCTTTTCGGCTGAAGACGGTGTAGAACATGCTCCTCAGCCTGGGACGAGGAGACTAAGCCAGACCAACAATCCAGACATTCCAACGCTCCCGGCTGGCCTGTCTGGCCATGCTGTGTCGGTTGCTGTGATCAAGGAGTGCGAAAGCAGGATTGGGCTCACAGAGAAGTCTCCCGACCAAGAGGCAAACCCTCCTATTCCTTGCCAGCGGGCGTTATTGGGGCCCTAGCTAATGATGCAGTTGGATGAACCGGTGGCAGAGTTACACTAACAAACCAAGTTAATGGCAGTGGAACACAGGCACATTAATAACTCGCGCGTCTGGGCAATGCGAGTTGGATAAATCGGAGGGTGAGGACGTGAGGGTGAGGGTGACGATGAGGGGTTGGACCGGGTGGGGTGAATGAAACAGAAGCTCCGGCAGCGGGGCCAAGCTAGGTGACGTGGGGTGACATTTCGTCCTTACTGAGCACCACTAACTTCGAATCGAAGAGCCCAGAACTCAAACCCCCTCACTCTCCTTTGGCACTGTCCTCGTCCCTTCTATCGAGGACTTCCAGGTTGTATTATACTCCTAGGTCAACCCAACAGCTCTGGTAAGCGTGCGCTTTTTCCGTTCTTTCTTGGCTTAAGATTTGAAACCAACAGGGAAATCCTACCTAGCGGCGCCGCCGGTTCATTGACAAACTGAATGCTCCATTGCGGGGCAACACGAGTTCCCGCATCATCACCCCACCTCCGTTACTCCGATCGCAGGACTCTACACACACAGTTCCGACCTGAAGTTCTCTCGCTCAACTAATACGTACTCGTTCTTCTGTAGCGTTCAGTTATATTGCGTGGATATCCCCCTAAGCTTCTCCCAAAACCACACGAAACCCACAGCCACAGCTCCAGCCCGACGAAAATGGCCCCGGCAACAAGTCTTGCGGCGTGGTCCGACCTCCAGGCGCATCATGACACCGTCGGCAAGTCGATTGTGCTCAAGGAGGCCTTCAAGTCCGACCCGGAGCGCTTCCAGAAGCTGTCTCGCACCTTCACGCTCCCCGGCAGCATCGCTAGCGGCCCGAGCGGCACCGAGATCCTGTTCGACTTCAGCAAAAACCTCGTCACCGAGGAGACGCTCGACAAGCTCGTCAAGCTCGCCCAGGAGGCGGGCGTCGAGAAGAAGCGCGATGCCATGTTTGCCGGCGAGAAAATCAACTTCACCGAGGACCGCGCCGTCTACCACGCCGCCCTGCGCAATGTCGAGAACGTCGAGATGAGGGTCGAGGGCGTCGACGTCATGAACACAGCTGGCGGTGTCAACGAGGTGCTCCAACACATGAAGGTCTTCTCCGAGCAGGTCCGCAGCGGCGATTGGAAGGGCTTCACGGGCAAGAAGCTCACCACCATTATCAACGTCGGTATTGGCGGCTCCGATCTGTAAGTTTTACCACCCCCCCCCTTGGTAGTCTGGTTAGTGGTATATGGACCCCTTCTGACTCTCTGGTTGGTGGATAGCGGTCCCGTCATGGTCACCGAAGCTCTCAAGCACTATGGCGCCAAGGACATGACGCTGCACTTTGTCTCCAACATTGACGGAACCCACATCGCCGAGGCACTGTCCAGCGCGGACCCCGAGACGGCGCTGTTCCTGATCGCGTCCAAGACCTTCACCACGGCCGAGACGACGACCAACGCGAACACGGCCAAGAAGTGGTTCTTGGAGAAGACGGGTGGCAAGGGAGACATTGCTAAGCACTTCGTTGCTCTGTCGACCAACGAGGCCGAGGTGACCAAATTCGGCATTGACGCCAAGAACATGTTTGGCTTCGAGAGCTGGGTTGGCGGTCGCTACTCGGTCTGGAGCGCCATCGGTCTCAGCGTCGCCCTGTATGTTGGTTACGACAACTTCCACAAGTTCCTGGCTGGCGCGCACGCCATGGACAACCACTTCCGCAGCACCCCGCTCAAGGAGAACATCCCCCTCCTCGGCGGCCTGCTCAGTGTATGGTACTCCAACTTCTACAACGCCCAGACACACCTGGTGGCCCCCTTTGACCAGTACCTGCACCGCTTCCCTGCCTACCTGCAACAGCTGTCGATGGAGTCCAACGGAAAGACGGTCACATCTGACGGGTCCCCGGCTAAGTACACGACGGGTCCCATTGTGTTCGGCGAGCCTTGCACCAACGCGCAGCACTCTTTCTTCCAGCTCGTACACCAGGGCACCAAGCTGATCCCGACCGACTTCATCCTCGCCGCCAAGTCGCACAATCCCGTCTCGGACAACCTGCACCAGAAGATGCTGGCGTCCAACTACCTGGCGCAGGCCGAGGCGCTCATGGTGGGCAAGACCGCCGACGAGGTCCGCGCCGAGGGCAACGTGCCCGAGAACCTTGTCCCGCACAAGGTGTTCCTGGGCAACCGACCCACAACGAGCATCCTCGTCAGCGGCCACATCGGCCCTGCCGAGCTGGGCGCGCTCATCGTCTACTACGAGCACCTCACATTCACCGAGGGCGCCATCTGGGACATCAATAGCTTCGACCAGTGGGGCGTCGAGCTCGGCAAGGTCCTCGCCAAGAAGATCCTCAAGGAGATTGACGAGCCGGGCGCCGTCTCGGGGCACGACGCCTCGACCGGCGGGCTGCTAGGCGCGTTCAAGAAGTATTCTAATCTGTAAAGCCGGGGCGGCCGAAATGAGTTTGTCTCTCTCTCTATCCCTATCCTGTTGTAATTGATGATCATCCTTCATTGTGACCACGATCCCTGGATACTGCTGCTTCTGTTGCTTTGTTTGGAGCTGTTGCTGCTGTTGTTGCCGGTGTAGCGGAATGTTCATGTTTATCCTAGGGCTAGTATCGAGTAGATAGCAGAGCTTAGAATTCACTCTTATTATATTAGAACTCCTCGCCTGGGCAGTCGATGCTCTCAGTTGCCATGACATCATGATCACTTTTTTGGCCTTTTGAACTGAAATGGCCATGAGGTGTAACTAGTTTTAGTCTCTGCCCTGTAAGCCAGAGACGGCCAGTGAAGTGTAATGATATACCTAATACTTTTAGTTTCTTACGCGTACATGTTTGCCGAAAACCTTGGTCTGGCCAAAACCCTTTTACAAACTTCGATGACGACTCCTCGCACGAATTGTCCACCAGTCCACACACACCAAAAGAAAAAAGAAAAAAAAAACCACAGAGCTCCGCTACAAATGCACTCAACAAGGAGTCAGCGAGGGAAACTGACTGGACAACATAACGTACGGCGGTCTCAGAACTTCCTTTGCTTTTATTCATTTAAACATCGTAACCATGGCAATCGGCGAGTCAGTCAGTCACGCAACAGCCAGCGGGTGACAACTGCATTGACTGGCTCGATCATCGGCGATTATACTTCGAGGAATTAGAAGAAAACAGAAGTCTTTACAATGCCTCTGACGCTACCTTCCTGCCGTTGAAACGGTACACAATCCTCGCAGGGAGCTAAAGTAGGTAGGTAATCACGGTGTCAATTTCACTCCCCTTTTCTTTACTTTTTGGGCGCCTGATCCAATACATCTGGCCTCTCAACTGGTGGCAGCCAACCTCTGGCACCGAGCATCGATGAACCAGGGAAACGAAATATCAATCTGCCTCGCCCATTCCCATGATTAGAGTCAAACCACAGTCCCTCAAACTCCTCCCGAGACCCAAATAGGGCAAAACAGGAGAGAGAAAGAATCCCATAACAACCTTGCCCGACTTTTAGTAGAAAACAAGACAAGAAAACCCAAGGAAAGTCACGTAAAAATAAAAATAAAAAGACTGGAAGGCTGGATCCCTTTTGCGAACTGCCAGTTGCGGTTTACTGCAAAAGGTAGTATGGTCGGTCTTTCTTTCCATTGCCGTGCCTTGCCTAGCAACTACCACCACCAATGCTGACCTGACCTCACGAAAGAAAATAATATGAATGAGTAATTCCCTGCCGTTCCATGCTCGGGCCCCAACAAAAGTCGAGAGGAAACTATAACACACAAACATCCCAATGTCTGACGCCGTGATCGGAAAAAAAAATCGTACACAGATAAAGGCGAGGAGAGAGAGATGATCCCCTTCACAATTCACCTAAAGGACTTTTTTTTTAGTTTCGCGGTATAGGTGACTCATACTCGACGATTCTTCCCTTGACTCCGCAGTTCTAGGGGAGCCCCAAGCTTCCAACCCCTAGTGTTGTCCATTGTTGTAGTTGTTTCCCCAGCCACGAGGGGGGTTGCCGTAATAGCTTGCGAAGCCCTGCCCTCCGTAACCACCGTAGCTGTTCTGGTGTGTCTGCGCTCCAGTGGCGCTGACGCTGTATCCGGCAGCACCGGACTGGTTGCCGTGAAGGGCATGTCCTGGCAGCTGGCTTGGGTAGCCACCATATGCACCAACTCCTCCAAGCCCCTGCTGGTTGGACTGCGGGGGCGGTAGACCGGTTTGAGAGGGCCCGTTGTTGGCAGCTGAACCAGGACGAACAGCATTGGCGAGCGAAGGGCTCGGTCCGCCGGCGACCTTGGCATCTCCGAATGGCTTCAGGTCGTCGGCTGCTGACGGAACACCGCCAGGCTGAGAGCCTGCCGCAGCGAAAGACTGTCCGGCCTGCGACTGGTAGGCAGAGGCACCGCGTCCGAAAGCGTCATGCATCCCGGAAAATCCGCCGGCGCCGAGAGTCGGCTGCTGGGCTGACTGGGCCGTTGCTACACGTCCATACTCGCCCAGTCCAGCGCTGACGCCGCCATCTCGGTGAAGGGTAGTTTGGCTGAAGCCCGCAGCGGGTGAGGCCCCATAACCATGGGGTCCCTGGGGGGAAACACCGTACTGGTTCGGCTGGTATCCCAGACCGCCCTTGCCATAGGGTTGACCATAAGCACTCTGGTTGTAACTGGTGCCCTGGTTGGCCTGGTAGCCCATAAACGTCGAGTAGTACGGGCTGTTGTAATAGGGGTGAGAATTATAGGGGTACTCGTGGAGTTGCTGCTGGCCATGAGGCTGAGCCTGGTTGGCCTGGCCCTGAGTCGTCGCCTGGGTTGGCGTTGGGGCACCGCCGACCTGTGCCTCGGTCGCACCCGAGCCAAAGCGCGATTGGCCATGCTGGGCGCCGCTCTGGGGGTACTGGCTCAAATTGTCGGCCTGGGGCGCGGTATACCCGCTGAAAGACCGCTGGCCCTGCGATGGCAGACCCTCTTGCTGTCCCTGGGCCCCCTGTTGTTGGGCAAAGTTTTGGTTATAATAGTTGTTATACGCGTTCCGGTTTTGCGGATCGGCCGTGTAGTACGAGGTGTATTCGCTTGGGGCCGAGCTGAAGGCGCCGCCAGGTTGCTGCTGGACCTGCGGTTGCACAGCCTGTCCCTGGCTCGGGAAGCCAGTCTCGAACTGGTGCTGGGCGGCCGGAGCCTGCTGCTGCTGACTGAAGCTATCGAAGGGTTTTGACGTAGGGAACGATGCAGGCTCCTGGGGAGTGGGCTGGCCAAAACGACCGAACTGGCCATTCTGAGGGGCAGACGGCTGTGGAGCTGCTGTACGTTGTCTGGTCAGTTCCTCGCGCGAACAAATCAAAGTGAAGGCTCGAGGGGGTAACGCTCGGGGGGTTGGTGCTTGGGGGGTTAATGCTCGGGGTGTTAAGACTTGGGGGGGCAACACACCCTGCGGGGCAACCGGGATGTTATTCTGAGGAGTGGGTGTGGTAGCGGCTGCAGCAAGATCAGCAAAACGAGCCCAGTCACGAGCAGATGGATAGTGGTAATCATTACCAGCAGGACCGGTGGGGGGGAGTGAAGAGACGGGCTTTTGAGCCGAGAAAGCCTCTGGGACCGGGGCGGGAGCCGCAGGGGGGAGCGACGTTCGCGGATGGGCAACTGGGGAATCCTCTGGAGGCTGGGGGCGAGTCTCTGGCTCCTCCCGATCGCCGTCAATATCCTCGTCAATCGGACCGTTGAGACTAAATGCGCCAAATTGAACAGCGGCGCGATCGACCTGGTCGCGATTTCCGGGCATGCGAACAGGTTCCAGCTGATCGAGAATACGACGGGGGAAGTTGGGTGTGCGGTTTGCCGCTCGGTCCGTTGCCTTGCTGGCGGTCGCGGCGAAACCACTGGCGGGAATACGCGAAGCCTGCTGATGTTGGTGTTGCGAAGCCGAAATGGGTGTGGCGGTAGAGCTGGGCGCCGGGGCGCGGGGGTCCCAAGAATCAGCAGCTTCACTTGCAGAAGTCTCTGTCTTGGGAGGGTGGGAATTGTCGGGAACTTGTTCGAGATTGGCCTCTGTGAGCTGATCCTTCGGTGCGAGAATCACGTCGGGAATAACTACTGCGGGAAGCTCAGTTGGAGGAGCAGGAGTTGGCTCTTTGGGAGCCTCGGGCACTGGTTCCTCGGCAGCCGCGGGTGGCTCAGCATCAAGCTCAACTGGCTCGGGAACAGACACGGGTTCAGTAACAGGCTCTGAAGGCTTAGAGACGGGAGCTTCCTTCGGTTTCGGGGCCGGCTTCGGGGCAGTCGATTGTCTCAACATGCTAGCCCATGTCTTTTGAGTACCCTCGGGGATGACACTGGCCTTAGGAGTGGCAACGGGCGCGACAGAAACTGGAGCGACAGCAGAAGCAGTCTCTGCTTGTGTCGCAGGCGTCTCCCAAGTCGCGGTCGAATCGCCACATGGAGCCGCCTCGTCGGCAACTTTGGGAGCGTCCCACTCCGGAGCGTCTTTAGTAGGGACAGATAGAGGTACGGTTTCAGCATTGCGAGTGCCATTGGTTGCGGCGTGGGTCGATTTACCACGGCCGCCACCACGGCCACCGCGCTCGGTAGCTCTGCCGCGACCGCGACCTGCCTCTGCACCCAGGCGTCCGCCTCGAGTTGTTCGCGCAGCTCCTGGAGCGACGTCGCCAGTGGTGGTGGTAAACGTGTCGCCCTTCCCTTTGGTTCGAGTGCGCTCCTTCTTCGACTTGGAGACCTCGCCCCATTTGGAGGTTCCTAGAACGAAAGGTTAGTGAGCAGACTGGAGAAACGGGAGGACTGGAGGAGGATGATTGGCAAATGGCAGGCAATGCGAGTGTGGGCGCGCTAGCTTGAGGAGCACTTTTGGGAGTAATCGCGATGCAGAAGAGCTGCAATTCGAACACGGGCACGAAGGGGCACAGCAGGGTCGGTCAGTCAGTCAGCTTACCTGAAGAGATGCGGGTGGCTGTCTCGAGTTCATCGCCATCTGTATCCTGTAGAACATAGAGAATGTCGAGTGCAGACCACTCTGGGAACATTTCCTCGAAGAAGGCGAGCTTGTCGCCGTATTTCGCCTTGAGCTCTGCAACCTCGCCCTCGTCCTCTAGGGTGGGCATCGCCGAGTCTGCGTCGTGCTTGGCCTCGCTATTGGCAGGCGACTGGCGGCTGACGGCGCGCCCTCCTCCCCGGGTCGAGAATCCACCGCCACGGCCGCGACCAGAGCCTCTGCCGCGCGAGGCAGCTGGTCTTGAGACGACCTCAGACATTGCTGAGATTGTGGGTCAGAATCGGTCAAAAGAAGCTAGTGATCGATGAGTCGCGTCGGCGGCAACCAAAACGGTGACTGACAGTGGCAGAGGGATCGACGACAAAGGTTCACGGAATGGAAAAGAGATGTGTTCCGTGGGTGCACGGCGAATCGAATGCGACCCGACAGATGGATCGAGGCAGTGTGTGGTGGTGGATGGTGAATGGAATGTGAAGGGGAGGCGAGGCAAGAAGGGAGGTTCGGATTTCGACGATTCAGAATTGGCCCGCTGAGAAAAAGAGTGTAGGAGGCCACACTGCAATCCAAATCCGCCTGAGCCACCCGCTGTGGGCTTGCACCGCACCAGCGTGACACCCGCTGAATTGCGCCCGACAGCCTTGGCTAATTTTTTATGGGGCACACCGCTCGTTTTTGCACAAGGTTTCCATTCAAGTTTGCATGGAAGCTTTTAGGTGCCCAGCTCAGATGTTTGAGTTGTTGTCCCAGCCTTCTCACCCCCGACCTAGGTAAGGTAGGTACCGCAATAGTCACAGGGCGTATCCATATGCCGTCCTCTAACAAAAGAACCGAGAGAGGGAATTGGAACTGTCGTCCTAACCTACCTGAACCATTAGGCAGGTAGGTCCCTTTGACGCCCACTCCCCCGGGCCGGCCTCGTAGCACGGCTCCGTTCCCGTCTTTCAACTCGCACTCACTTTCATGTCAGCCCGGTTGCAGGTAATTGTTGCATGATTATCCATGCCATATGGAAACTTTCTCCACTAGAAACCGTACACAGGACGAAAAGTATTCCAGCCCAGACAAAGCTTGATTTCAATCTTGGGAGAATGGAAAAGCTATATATGATAGTTTCTGCCCGCAACGGCTGTCCATCTTGTGTGGGTACTAAGTTGGGATGGGCAATTGGCATTTTGCCACTGTCTCGGACTCGACAATTGAGAGTGGACGTCCGGAGTGGTTGAATTGAGGAGCTGACCTCTTGCGATCCCGTCTTGGGCGTCTCTCAGTCTCCTGGCGGGCGAGGCACCTGACAATCTGTAAGCCCCAGGTGGGGAAGAAAGTGCGACACGGCAAAGAGGCAAAGCCCCAACCTCGCGGCAGCATCCTGCGAATGTGGTTGGCTGGCGCTCGTCGCGACGCCCTGTGAACTGGGCCGCGTGCTCAGTGTCCATGCGTGCCCATGCAATCCGCCCACTGCAGCAAAGGACGCTAAAACAAAGCGACGTCAGGGTTGTCAGGCACCGGTCCAGGAGACGGGAGACGGGAGACTCGAGAGCGACAACGGGGCCACTGCAAATCCTCTCCGCTAAGGGTACGTAATCCGCAATGCCACTTCACTCAGTTGGATTTAAGGTCCATCACGTGATACTCAGATCACAGACCCTCGGGGTCTCGAAAAAAAATGGGACGAGGGTCGAGACTGCCAGTGGTGAGCTTCGAAGTTTTACGTCTGATAAGTGATCAACTAATAGCGGGGCCTTGGTAGTTGGTGTTGGTGCGAACCGCTCACAGCATATCGCCTTCCGGGCAGCTCCCTTCGCTATCAAGTTTCTTCTCTGAGTGAGCGAGTGGCAGACCCAAAGCCACATCACATCTTCCCTGCAGATGCCCGTTTCATTCGTCAAAAACATTCTCTCTCCGTCCACGTACAGCTCCGTGCCTCACTTAGGTAACAATCATTATTCGAGAATTAGATTGTAGTCCCGACTATAGAACCTCGATACCATAGTAGTTGGACAGTACAGATATATCTAAGACGTCCTAGTCATCTTACCGCTTCCGGAAGGCCTGTGGCGTGAGTATTCGTACATAGCAAGGTACCTGGCAACAAGCAAACATATTCGGCCTAATTTACTGAATGTCATACTCCGTACGGGTACACCATTTCAACAGCAGGGCCCCAATCGCCAAAAAAAAAATCCGGGGTGTCTAGAGGCTGTTGGCTGACTCCCTCATGGCTCCTAATCATGGCCGCAGTCGCAGTTAAAGACAATGAAGCACGATACAGACGGATACCCGACCTTGGGTACGGAATTACTAGGTAAAGTCTATAGTCCTCTGTAGTCGTAATGAGATAAGCGCACCTGCAGCCGTTTGGTCACGCCAAGACATCAGCCCATCCACGGACCTTCCCCGCCCTGCCTGAATTGACAGCTTCAATCTTGATCACAGTCGCCACAAGACCTCTATCCACGTCGTCACCGTAGAACTGCTCGATGCGCACGGCGCAACCAATTGACGCCGGCGCGTCTTGAGACGACAACGTCATGTTTCGCACACAGGCGCTTGCGTCTCTAAAGGGGATATTCCCGCCCATCCACCAGCCTCTGCCCTTGACGCCGCGCGACTCGCAGCGCCTCCTCGACGCCCTCACAACATCCTTTCGCAAGCAGCTCGACAAGGAGTATGGCTTTGCCCCGGACGCCACCGCGGTAGCAGGCGATGGGCCGGCTCTTACCTATCTCCCCTCGGCGCCCGCGGCAGCAGCAGCTGCTGCTGCGCCCTCGATGATGTCCCCGAAGGACGGCGGCAGCCAGAGCCACCACCGCCCGCCGACCGACCGACATCTCCGCGCCATCCTCAACAACCCGTTGTTCAGCCACAGCCACATCCCCGACAAGGCGGCGGCGCTGCCCCAGGTCGACACGGGCCGGGACCCCAAGCTAGTCTTCCGCCAGGCAGTCGCAAAGGGTCTCATGACCAAGCCGCGGGCCCTCGGCTTCCTGCTGACCGTCATGGAGCAGGTCCGGCACTCGGCCGCGCCGTCGCTGAGGGCGGGCCTAAAGAACTCGGGAGCCGGCCTCCTCGTCGTGCAGTGGCTGCGGGCCTCGGGCCAGGAGCGGGAGCTGTCCTTCTTCGAGAGCGGGCACTTCATATGGGTCCTGCTGCAGTTCATGGTCGCCGAAGACTTGGAGCCGCTGGTGTGGACCTGGCTAGAGCGGCTCGCCAAGGGAGACATGCCCGCCGAGTCCAAGAAGCAGGCCGCGCTGAATGCCGAGACGATGCTGCGCCGGCTAGTGTCTGTCAAATGCCTGTACTGCGAACTCGAGGACGCCATCGCCACGATCCTGCGGGGCGAGGCCCTGCTCAAAGCCAGCAACGTGCCCGTGTTCGCCCTTTACCTGAACTGGCGCAACCTAGCGTGGCAAGCAACGGCCGTCTCGTGGAAGTACCCGCCGCCCGCGGCCAAGTCCTTTGATTCTCTGGTCGACATGCAGGAGCGTGTGGCGACGTCGCGCCGCCGCGCCCACGCCAGCACGGAGCTGCTGTCCCAGAAAGCACACCTGGAGCTCCACCACCCGGACAGCCCCGACCCGACGCGCGCGGTCGAAGTTCTGACGAGCGAGAAGACGTGGCTCTTTGACGTGCCCAGCGCCGCCAGCCGCAACTACCACATCAACCTGCTGCAGTCCATGGGCCTCGACGCGGTCCGCCATCTCACCAAAGCGGGCGAGACAAAGGTGGCCCAGGATATTCTAGAGCGCATCTATACGCACCTGGTGCCCAATTTCTCGGACCGTATCATGCCTGCACGGTGAGGGGTGCTGTTTGTCAGACCGCGGCGGGTGATTCACCGCCATGTTCAAGTAGAAATGGCACGGCTAGAATGGCAATTGCCCCGACCTCAAGGTCTTAACAGTGCGTTTGTGTGCGGCTTTCTTGCTAGGGTATTTGACAATGGGCCATTACGTCTGACACAAAAGACTTGTACATAAGGACTTATACATGGCGAGCTTGAGGAATGGAAAAGGCCACTACTCTTATGGCGCCTCAGGTTCACATATCATATACCACACGACCAAAACCTTCTTGAATACTTTTATTTGAAAATTAAGATGAATATAGAAATCTTACTGTTATTCCTCTCCGCGAATTGTTTCCTTCTCTTTTATAGTGAGATATACGCCCGAATTACCCGAGTGGCCGGTCGTATTTATTGATTCCCTGCTCCGTCGTGTTCGTTCTCGAGCCCATTGACCACGCGCAATGCCCGCCTCGGGCTCAGGACGACGCTAAAGAAGCTCGGTTCCTGCCCGTCGATCAACTGCTCGGTCGACGACGTCGACCCGCCGCTAGCGCTCATGCTGCGCCTAGGTTGACGTCCTCGAACTGCTGCTGTTCCTGCCACTCCGCCAAGGCCGCTGCCACTCGCAGGCGTGGTGCCGGTGCCACTGCTGCTGCCCCTTACGCCATCTCCGCCGGCACCAGGCCACCACGCTGTGGGCCGCACAGGGTACGCCGGATCGAAAGAATGGCGCGTGTGACGCGAGGAGGACACGGCCGCGGCGCTGCTGGTGTGGCCACTGACGCCGCTTTCCGGGGTGGGCTGGTCGTCGAACAGCATTTTGGGCTCGGTGGGCGGTATGCCGCCGTAGAAGCCAATTGAATCTGCCGTGCTGGCGCTCGACAGATCGCGCCAGTGGTAACCGGAGCGGCCGCGCGGCAGCTGTTTCTCGTCAATGTAGTCATCGTCGTCGTCGTGTCTGCTGGAAGCCCCTATTGCTGCCCCGGTAAAGACCCCGTCGCCGTTATTGCCACTCATGGTGCTCTTCTTGCTTCCCTTGCGGCCGAAAAATGCAGCCAGCCCGCCGCTGAGTCCGCTCGCCGACGCCGCCGCGGGGCTGTAACGGTTCGCGACGGCCAGATGGCTCTTATAGGCGCGGACTTGGCGGCGGTAAAGCCACGCGCAGTAGCCCAGGTACACAGCTGCGAGGCCCGCCAGTGCGGCAATGATTCCTGCAGCGATCAAAGAGGCACGGCGGTTATCCGACATGCCGCTTCCTCCGTCTACGTTACTACCTCCTTCGCCTCCCCCTCCGGTGCTAGATCCCCCGCCACTGGGCCCCCGCGTCGCAGTGGCGCCCGGCTCCCACTGGGTGACGGTTGCGGTACTTCCTGAAGCTGTGACAGTAAATACAGGTGATTTGCCTGTGGCGAAGGGGCCGCCTGTCGCCGGCCCCGCGGCAGGTGTAGTGGCCGTAGCTCCGCCTGTGCTACCTCCTCCAATCACGCTGGCAACGACGGCTGGCACCTGGTACCCATACGAGTTTCCCAGGACCGAGTTCTCTGGGTCTAAGTCGCCCGAGTGGCTGAGCGCGGTGAACTTAGATTCCCACGCTAGCGAAGAGGCGTTGAACACGTAAATTCCAGGCGATTCGCACGCCGGAGACGTGCCGATGTAGCCACCCACTACGACGACTTGGCCGTCGCGTAATTGGCATGAATGGCCTGCCCTTGCGGCTGGCATGTTGTTGCCTGATTGGTCTACCTTTATCCAGGTAAAGGATGGGATGGACAAGATAAACATGTCAGAGTACTGGATCTGCTCTTTCTGTTTTGGTATTTGTCAGTACCTGTCTTGCGTGCTGTGTGGGATTATATCTGGGATCAAGTAGAATTGAGAGGCTTACATAGGGTTGTAGGTTTTGTCCTCCGTACAGAAATATTTGGAAACTCGAGGCATCTGGGGCTGAGGCAATCACCGCGCAGGGGTTGACTCGAACCTCTGGGGGTGTTCCAGTCGTCTGCTGGTGATACCATTTCGAGCTTGCTATGTCGTAGACGTCGAGAGTCGAAAGATCGTTTGTGAACGTGTCCGCGGTACCGCCTGCCAAGCCAATAAGAACTCCCAGATCGCCCCAGCCTGGGACAAAGACCAGGACGCCATCAGCTCGTTCGGAGAAACCCGAGTCAGTTTGCAGACCGCCCTCGGTGATATTCCTATAGACACCGTCTTCGCCTGCTCCTGACCCGCTGGCCAGCGAGTAGACTCCATTGTTGGTGAAGCCTGGGTGCGTGAACTCGAGGAGGCTCTTTAGGTAGACACGAGCAATCTGGTTCGACCACCCAGGGGTAGTAGACAGGTCCAGGTGGCCACCAAAGTAAAAGCTGAGACCCAGCTCAGGCACTGAAATTCCAGCTCCCTCGGCGGCTCTCTGCACGGGCTGGCCCCCGCCGTCTGAACTATTGCCGGCTGAGGTTTTGGGGGATGTGTATTCGATCCATTTTGCGTCGGCAATGGAGTATCTCCAAGTAGAAACGGGGGCAGGCTCGACAAAGGGGTTGTCAGCAAACTCGCCACCGTAGAGATAGAGACTGTTGTAGTCGTTCCAAAGATATCCCAGCGAGACGGCGGGTGGGCCCGAGGGCTGGGGCAGGCCGCGTATTGCCGGGGAGCTTATATCCCACGATTTGGTGAGGTCGATGGCAAGAAAGTCGCTGTCTGTCACATTATCAGTCGTGTGTATCCCAAAACACACAGGAAGGAAAGAAGACATACTCCAAGTGTCTATGGTCTGATCCTCAGTAGTCTTTACCTGGCCACCATAAAGGTAGAGGGTTCCGTTAAGATGTGCACCTTGGCGGTCGTCAGCATTAGTGTCTTTCATGTGTCTTGGACTAGCATGGACATACTCTGTTGTCCCCAGCGTTTGCAGACCTTTGTCGGGCTATCTCCCCGAGGTTCGAGAACCGGACCAAAGCCTCTGGGTCTGTTGTAGATGACACCGGCGTCTGCGCCGTTTGGCGAAACCTTTTGGTCTCCGTTATAGTAGCTAAATCCTGGGATCACGACGGCAATCAGGAGAGCAATTGTTGATATTCTCGAGATGGTAGAAAAGCTAGTAGGCGGCGCACTCGAGGCTGTCCTGACCCGTGGCCGGCGGCCTGGGCTCAGCTTTGTATACCACGGCTTTTGCGAGGATTCGGAGGTTGGTGTGCTTGGTGACTCGATCTCGGTCTCTGCCTCGGCCTGCCACCGTCCGTCTTCAGAGGGATTTCCATTCTCCCTCCTGCCGTCCTCACTGCCGCCGTCGCGGCTCAGGTCAGGCGTGCGAGGCGGACCAGGCGTACCGGGGGTAATTGGCGACGGCAGCCCCGTGATTTCGCCAAACTCCTTCTCGCTCGGGCTTGTCGTCATGGGCTCGTCCGTTTCCAGCCCCAGCTCCTTGAATATGGATTTCCGGTCTTTTCTGATTTTTCCCATCATTGAGAATGAGGGAGGTCTTCCCGAGCCTTCACGGATTCGATCATTCGTGTATTGGTGGTGAAACTTTGGGCGAGTGGGCTGGCTGGGAGTCGATTTGGGGATACTGACAAAAGTCATGATGACAGAAGAGGCCTCAAGCAGTCAAGCTATGTGTACTTGGCCGTAGGGTGACAATCGCCACAGCAGGGAGGGTGTCGGCTGCGATAGTGGTATCGCCACCATGCAGGCTGGAGGGGGGCAGCACGTCCAGCCACAATCGGTAATGAGGTCACAGCACAGCTAACACCGTCTATCTAGGCATCAATTGCAGCAGCGTTGCTAGGGACGGGAGTATTACAAGCAATAAATTTCAGGCAGCGTTTTTGAGAGTAAAAAAGCGAAGTGGTGGAGTTCTCAGCTTGAGAGTCCAGTCGGGAGCAGGCAGGATCGTGAAACGGATACTAATAGGAGGAAGTCGCGATGGATTTAAAGAGAAACAAGAACTTGGAAAGCGCGTCCCCGTTTTGTTTGCCCTCATCACGACTTCTCGGCTGTCCGGGCTGTCATAGACGCCAGCTTCATCAACCTGCTGCAGATCCGGCCAGGTGAAGCCCATTTCAGGCTAGGTGCGGAGAGCAGAAGCAGAAAGCGGGCGCTGGAAAGAACGTGGCGGGCCAGGACAGGCCAACAGCTGGCGTTCAGACCGCCCAGTGACAAGCAACTGGATGGCCGTCTCCCTAGGAGTCAACGACATCATCGCCTAGGAGGGAAGGAAGGACGGGAAGGGGGTTCCAGACGACACACTGCCCCGCAAGGAACGTCGCAATATAAGCATTGCTGGACATATATGTGCATGGCCAGCCCAGTGCCTAGTCCAGGAGGGATAATTGAATGCCAGCCCTGGATCTCGATTTGGCGCCAGAGGGGGGCTTCGGCTCGGATCATTTTCCAAGTCTGGGACAGCGCAGAGGCTGACAGAAACTTGAAATGGCCCTGTCGTCGACAACGGAGTGTGGTGGTGCCTTGGTCGGGCCGTTGACGTCCACTCAGGAACCGAAATTTGGATCGCGCTCTGATTGGCTCAGGCCGTGTCAATGACCTCATGGGCCCAGACTGCCGACTCCCCCCCCCCCGCGCAGAGCGAGCTTTCACTTCCTACAAGCAACCCTTTTCGTTATGGCCTTCCATCTGTAAATAGGAGACTTGAACTCCATCCGAGGCATTCCGTGCACTAATGCAATGTGCGGTACATTAGTGGTGGGTTGGTTGAGCGTTCCACAGCGTTCCTCTGATGGTCCTTGTTGTAAGATTAGGCCCTAAAGCGGCTCGCTCGTTTGTCTGGCCCGGCAAGACCACACGTGCCCCAGTTAGCGCGACAGATGCGTTGGGCAGACTGGAGCGAAAAACACGAAACCTACAGAGCTTCGTAGAAGCTGATTATGGTATACATGGTACCTTTCGGTGCGGAATGAGCTGAAAGATGCGATTATCCTGTTGGTTTTCATTTTGGCCCATTATTCGCGGCAATGCAGAGGTTGGAAGCCCCCCAACGGTGGAGGCTTGGCATTGCTTGCCCCTCCTTGTGACGACGTAACCCGGCTGGCTGGATGGCTGGGCCCGCACGCGAGTTAACATCGACCTTTTTTTCACCTAGGGAGAAGCTTCCGCGTTCCACACCTCGATATTTAACGGCGCAAACGTAGTGTGATGAACCGCGCCCGTCCTGGGCTAGTCATAATTCTGAAAGTGGGGCCGGCCAGTAGGAATGACGAGACAGGCATGCGGGGCAGGGACCCGCATTTGCTCTGTGGAGCGGGGCACGGAGCAACGGTTTTATTGGCTCTACGGAGTTGCTCCATAGCTCTGCCTGAGAGCAACAGAGCAACAACCTAATTGGGCCGCTCTAAATAGATATATACGACGACCGTAGCCACGGTCTTAGATAGTTCTTGCTTGGTTCTTCAAGCAAGCAATACACATTCACTGCACTCATACACTTTGAGTGGCATTCCGATTTGACTGTATTACCCGTGCGATAGGAGCTTGCCCTTTGTTCTATCTTCATAATTACCAACCCCAGCATTCTGTGGAGCCCGTGCTCCCTTACAGACAGACTGTGAGGACCCGTCCACCAAACTGGCCCTGAAGCAGCCAGAGCCGCCCAGAACCCACGGGCCTATCAGAAGCCTCCTCGAGGCCCCACCTACCCCACTGATAGATGCAAACTTATTCGCGAGCACGCGACGCGTTGTCGGACTTTTCCTTCTTTCCCTCCTCAGTTTAGAATCTTCGTCGATAGCACCCAATGGACTGAGTTCACCTCAATGCCTTGCCCTGGTCGTGACACAGACGACCCTAACAGTCGAGTGGTTTGTAATACGTAGTACTCCTTTATATACTAGCGTACTAACTCGAGTCTCCCTTGAAGGTAAACGTGGAGTTCCTTAACCCGATCTGCAACCACTCTTGCACGGGGTGCGCTTGGTGCTTCCGCAGGTGGTCCCTGCCTAAGATCCGCGTCGTGCTTGAAGAGGTTGAAGAAGGGTGTGGTTCCGGTAGCTTCCAGAACCGCGGTATTATAACTGAACTCTGCGCTTAGTAAGAGGTCAACCCAGTCATCTTGTTCAAATTTGACGTAGATTCTCAGGTAGGTTTCTAGAATCTGGCTGAGCCGCTTTGTCTGCTGTTACAATCTGGACAACAGGTCCACGGAGCTAGGCCCGGCCTAGGATTGTGGGGGTCTGGACGGCAGGTAGGAGATGACAGGAGACAAGGAGTATCGTGCACAGATTGCGAAAGACAGGCTTTCAACACACAACCAATGTATGCTTAACCAGATGCATTGATAGCTGCAGAACCGTTCTCCAGAGAAAGCGTGCTGCTAGCTCCTATATAGAACTATGAGCAACCAATCAGAGTTCCTGCCTTACATGCTCAGTCGTGCTCAGTCCTAGACGCACTGATCCCCACTGAGCTCCCTGCTCAGTGCGCTCAGTGGGTCTCGGCACTGATCCTACTGAGCTCAGCCATGCTCAGTGCACCTTGGCAATGGCCCCACTGAGCACTCCCTAATTGGATGCACCTTCTCTTAGCGAGAGCCCCACCCTAAGTGCCGTTCCAGCCAATCCGCAGCGGGCGGGCAACGCCCTCTGCACCTTTGAACCAGGATCGTAACATCTGCCTATCGGTTTGCGGGTGGTATGATGTCGAAGGCTTACCTCTCGTTATTATCTCTTCCGTAAGAGTCTTCCAGAACTTGGAGACGAATAGCTTGTCTCTGTCTATAATGATCTCCCTTAGCCAACTGTGTTTTGACCCGATGTGCTTCTAAAAGACCTTGGCGAACCGTACGGTATCCCAAGTCTCTTTGAAGGGTACGAAGTACAAATACTTCGTGAACCTATCTATAACTACCTAAACCGCGTCGTAGACTACGTTCGTGACTTGGTCCTTCGAGGGTAGTAGTTTGGTGATGAAGTCCATAGTTATCGAACTAAATAGATCTTCCGCGACTGGCAGTAGTTCTAAGAGTCCGTACGGTATATGCCGTTTTGCTTTGCTCTTGTTGCACTCCTCGTATTCCTCTAGTACTTCCTTTACCCTAGATCTAATCTTGGGGAAGGTCGTCTTCTTCCTCTGGAGTAGTAACTCGGAATTGGTACTTCCTCTCGTTAGCCCAGTCCACTCGGTAGACCATATAACAATCGGACCAATCCTCGATCGGGTGGCGTAGCACATTCCCGTCTTGCTTGAAGAGCGGTAGAGATTCTATTTGCTCGCCCTTGACCCAATGGTCCGGTCTCCGGCTAAGAGCATCCGCCCTGGCGTTCTCCGTGCTCTTGATATGGTGGATCTTAAAGTTGAATAGCGCGAGGAACTCTGCCTAACGTATCTATCTACCGCTGAGTTTCTACTTCCTGGCCTATTGGATAGAGGTTGTGGTAATCGGTGTTGTTGAATTGCGTGTTGCAGGCAGGCGGAGCGGAAGCGTAGGCTGGGGAGCCAAGTGCAGGGTAGATCGCAGGGAACTGTGCCTTACGGTCCAGTACAACAATCAAAACCTAGGAGTGTAAATGAGTACTTGGAATAGGCAAAAGCAGCAGGTTTCTTGACGGCTTCTCATTTTTAGCATGAGGCTTCAGGTTATCAACAGTTCAACACTCATACTTGCAAGCTCAAGTAAATCGATTTCTGCCGCATTAGACTTCGTTATACGGCCCAGAGAAATTGCACAGATCATAAATTCAGAGGTTCATTACTATGTGCATTCTCCCATATAAAGAAGTCTGATTCACAATGAAACCTCGTCCAGGCAAGAATTAGAGAGAAGACGAAGCTTGTGAGCTGGGTGGTAGCCTCGGCTAAGATTACTCGCGGGTGTTTAGAATACGACTCATTCCACTCTTTTCCATGCCTAGAGTCTATATACACCGCCGAGAAATTTGGGGCTTTGTTGTCAAATACTCATTGAATCAACCACCGCGTGCCAAAAATTGAGGTTTTCTGGGGACTGCCTCATTTCTGCCATTTCTATTTTACAGGATATACATTCTTTTCAGGAATTCGGAGGCTTAGACCAGGGGCAGGTTAGTGGCGCTGCGCCAAGTTGCTCAGCCAGTCGGGGCTGTTGTTGGCCTGAAACAGCTGAAATGCAGCTGAACTCGGCTCACTCATGAGTCACGCCGTGAAGTGAATAATGAAGAGAGAACTTGCGCCAACTATATCGTAGCTATAAACTACACAAAAGTCGTGCGTTCACAGTCTCAAGAAGCTTTTCACTCAATCATTCATCAGTCCATTATCCACTTGCCACAGTTCTACAATCTCAACACTCATCGCAAGACACGCTCGCTACCACGGAAGCAGCAAGGCAAAAATATCTCACGTCCACTTGCACTTTCAATTTCCCAAATCAGCCACAACACACAACAATGGAATCCACCACGGCGCCGACCTTGCCGGCCTCGCCGCCGCCGTACCGCGAGATACGCGCGCTGTTCGATGACGGAACAATCACGGTGTACCAAGCGTACAGCGGGACCATCGCGTCGGCGGCCGTGGCGGCGCAGCGGCTGAACGCGTCACCCGCGTTCAGCACCACGCGCATGACGTGGATCAAGCCGAGCTGGGCGTGGATGCTGTACCGCGCGGGCTACTCGCACAAGGACAAGGGCCAGGAGCGCATCTTGGCGCTGCGCATGAAGCACGCCGACTTCCTCTCGCTGCTCGAGAAGGGTGTGGTGGCGCGGAATCACCAGCACAACAGCCGCCGCCGCCGCCGCTCAACAGACAAGGCCGAGACTGAGATCAAGGTGGGAGCCCCGGGCGGCGATGGCGATGCACGTGAAGGAGCAGCAGGGGCCGGCATGGTGGAGGACAGCCAGTCATTGCAGGTGCCCAGAGAAGGGAGCATGCTGCCCCAAGTTAGGATCCAGTGGGACCCGGAGCGGACGGTCCGCCTCGAGAAGCTCGGGCACCGCAGCATCCAGATCGGCGTGCCCGGCGCGCTCAGCGCGCACTGGGCCGAGAATCTGATCGTCAGCATCGAGGACGTGACGCAGGCGGCCCGCGACCTGAAGAAGGTGCTTGACGAGAGGCCCAACGTTTCAGACGACGAGCTGGTTCGGCTGGGGCTGGTCCCGGTCGAGAGGCCGTTCCCGGTCCCGGAGGAGCTGCAGCGGGCTCTAGGCATGATCCTCCCGCCACCATCTGACTTGGATGCTAGTGAGGATTAGGTTCAAAGAAAAACTGCAGGTACTGTTAGCTACTGATAAGGCGCCGGAAAAAAAAGATAGAAGCTCAAGGTTGATCTATCTCAGGTCGCTGGCTGCTCGCATCACGTCTATGTTTTGCCTATACTTATCGCGAGAAATATCCCCACCTGCTACTTCAGCTTAAGATTCCTTCTCCTTCCAGCCGGAAAAAGCTAAATTGCGTCCAAGAAGAGCAAGAGTCGAACGCCGCCGACGCCATGCTTTGAGAGGGTCGAGATCATTGCTGCAAAGTGCCTAGCAAGACGCCCAACCCCTCATTCCTTTTCCTCGGCCACCAACTTGCCCACAACGAGATACTTCTCGCTGAACCTTTCCTCCCAGCCCTGCAGGGCCTCGAGCTCGTCGCGGCCCAAATCGGCCAGCGTGTCGAGCGGGCCGCCGAGGTCCTTGGTGAGCATCTCCTCGTCGAAGCTGCCGCAGGCCAGGCCGCGCGAGGCGTCGCGGCCGGCGAAGTTGGCGTACGGCCCGCCGGGCCCGTAGAAGTTGCGGCCGCGCGTCACGTCGAAGACGCGGCCCCGCACCGCCAGGTACACGGGCATGTTGTTCTCGCCGTTGAAGGGCAGCAGCGTCCGCGGCGTAAACGTCTTGAACACGACGGCAGGCTCTTCCTTGGGCAGCGCGGCGGGCGCCTGCGGCTTGACGAACGAGTAGACTGTGTACAGGAAGAGGCTGAGCAGCATCAGGTTGAGCGGCGTGAAGAGGGAGCTATTGGAGGGCGGCAAGCAGGCCAGAATGTCAGCAGACAGGCATCTCAACTCGACCGGGACTGTATAATGAATCTCGAGAAACATAGGCTTGACTTTGCGCCAGGGTTGCTTACTTGGTAGCTTCGGCGCCCTTGGCCGCTTCCTGGGCCACTCTCTTCTCGACGTACTCCATCGCGAAGTATAGCTTCGGAGGTTGATGGTGGGGTCGGAGGTCAACGGCAGGTAGCCTGTCGGGGGCGGATATCGATGGCAGGCGATTGGTTGCGGTTTTTACTGCGTCAGTAATTCGAGGTGGGCAATGCGCGCAGATTCCGAGATGACTGCTAGTCGATGTTGGAAGCTTCTTCAACGGTGCGACACCGATCGGTCTGTCCGGACTGCCAGCTGCTTGGTGATTGATGGTCCGAAAAATAGCAGGGAATTTCGTGCAGGACAGATAGTGCGTTTGACAACGTGAATGCGCCGTTGCCCTGCAGGACCCCTCGGAGGCGCGGGTCCCACCGCAGCGACCTGAGGAGCTCGGCATCCCCGCATTGAGACTGCGAGCAAGGGGTGCCACGGGCCCACCAGAGCTGCTGCGAACCCCTCTGTCCCACCACAATCTTTCATCTCTACCCCGTCAAATGCGGACATGAAAGGATTTAAGCGTTTGCAGGGCCGAGCCCAGTTTCCGAGCCCCCCCAGCTAGAATCACAGCTGGATCTGTTTCTTTTTTTGCGCTAAAGGCGGGCACATTAAACATTTGCTGGCAATGAAGCTTCGCTGCTTGCGTGCGTGTCAGGGAGCGGGATCTCCGCAACGTCAGATGGTCAAGGATCTGGCTGCAGAGCTTCGCCTCATGGCCAAGGCGCCAAGGACGGTGATAGGGCGTCGATTGGTGGATGCCATCTGATAGCCTCCAATGTCTCAGAGCCCCTCGTCTAGCCCAGCTGAGAACCCGCATCCCAGGGCAGTCCCACTTGAGACGCGCATATATCCCTCACGGCCAAGGACACGGGAGTCGGGATAGGTACTTATATCTAGCACATGGCCGCCCAAATCACCACCTTTGGCAACTGAAACAACCCAAGACTCGACGTTCAGACCTTTGGTGCCAACTTTTCAGTTTTCCCCACACAAATAGACCCCACAGAGCAGATAGGACAGCCATGGATCTCTTCAACAAGTTCGCCCAGCAGGCCACCTCGGGTCGCAAGGACGACGAGGACGAGCAGAGGCAGGACGAGCAGAAGTCTTCGGGCGCTGAGGGTCTGCTCGGTAAGCTCAGCAGCTTCACCAACGGCGGCAAAGAGGACAATGACAAGGAGTCCTCGGGCTCCGGCAACCTGCTCGACAAGCTGCATGGCCTGGCGGGCGGAGGCCCGGAGAGCGAGAAGAAGGAAGACGGCCTCGACAAAGGTACGGATGCGGGAATCCCCAACACACCCCTTATGAAGTGCTTGGTTTGGTGGGTCAAGAGCTAAACTATTCTTCTTTCTTCGTCTCCCGGTTAGGAATCGACTGGGTTCAGGAGAAACTCCTCAAGCAAGGCGCCCAAGACAACGAGTCCGCCGCCGAGCAAGCCAAGGACAAGTTGATTGCCGAGACCATTCGCGATCAGTACAAGAAGCAGTTTGGCAATGATTTCCCCATCAGGGACAGAGATTAGGGCGCCGCTTAGGTTAGTCGGTCGTCCTGGCTGCGGCTGTGCTTTGCCCGTCGATTATTTGGGGGTATCGCGAGTTTATATGATCTCCTGTGTATCATTAATTACGAGTTACTCTTCCAGCCAGCACTTAGTACTGAGTCGGATGATCGGAAGAATGCCGAGATTCCATTCCTTCACCGTGATTATCAACTGACTCTCGTACCACTGTCTACCCGGTGTTATGTTATCCCCAGACTTCTCTTTAACAGGATAGAGGGAGAGCCGGCATCTCTTACATCCCCGATGAATTCAAGTCGCCCACTGCTTACCTCAGTATACCAAAAAGGGACCGTTGGCTAATATGTGGGGTTTCATCATCTTATCCTTTTTTCAAAGGCTCGTAAGAGACACAAAACAGGCCACCGCCACTGCAAACAAGCCATTCAGGTTTCAATGTCGAGCAACCATCCCCTCACAACAGTCAAAGGACTTGCTAAAAGGCCATAAAAGCCATAGTTAGCCCATTTCGGACTCGATTGGCACTTATCACCAAGTGAGTAAGTGACCAAGAATATGCGTATATAAATATCTCGCAAGGACTTTGCCAAACAGGGCTGCGCGTTTTCTCAACAACTTCGGATAGCCATCCCTCAGCCCTAACCAAGCTCTTCACAACAGCAACACTCTTGATTTCAACCCAGGCACTCATAACACCACTAACCTTGAACCGCACCACAATATGCACTCACGATTTGGAGCAATAGATTTACCGTCGATACAACAAGCTTATTGACCATAAATGGATCAAAATTATTTCGTGCCCCAACCGCAGATATTGTGGCCGTCCCCGGCTCCGGTAAATCCACAAGATTATATATCTTTGCGGCTGCCAGTATGTCAGCTAATCAAATGAGCTGACGACATGATTATGGCTGTCGGTCCATATTGCCATTAAAATGCCACAGTAGTCCTATTTCCCCTAATTTCCATTTCCTGACTGGCAGCAGGAGCCACCACCAAAATAATGTAAGGATAAATCTTCCGCCGATTCCTAGCTGTAGGGAACTTGCTCTCTCTAGGACAACTTCTACAACACACAATTACCACAGTTACAATAACGTCCATCAAAAACAGCAAGACTCTAACGCCCAGATATCTAGCTGGCTACCTTCGCTCGATCAAGCACAATCTTCTCAGACACCATCGTAATGTGCAGCTACAACTTGGAGAAATGGGTGTGCCGCCGCTGCGGGAATCTAATTAAACTAAAGCGGATCAACAAGCTTCAGTGCAGCTCGCCTCGCACCTGCGGAGGTCCTCGCCTCCGCAAAACCGAGCAGATTGAATGGCTGTGTGGCTAGTAAACGCAGCATGCGGCGATACTAAGACAATCAATTATTAGCTGAAATTTAGGGTTCGTCCATATCGCAAAACATAAAACTAGGTAATTATGGGTCTTAATTACGTCTTACTCTTCCATCGGTCATAGAGTCGAAGTTCTTGAAGATAATACCCTCGTTCAGTTGCATGTCGTCGAGGAAGTACTATCGCTGCTTGGGATTGTGCTTCAACTGGAAGTTTTCGCCAACGTAGTAAGAATAGATCAAGTCGTCACGAGGTCTGCGTATTCGACAGAACGGGCGTCGCATACGGCGAGCAGCATGTCTTTCACTAGCCTAACAATCGGGCGCCAAACGCTGTCTCCTTGCTTAGCTGTCATCTTCTCTGCCGAAATAAATGGTAGAGGTGAGGCTAAGTAGAGCTCAACTTTAGAAACCTACTTAACCAACTGGACCCGTCGATCCCGAAGGGTGTCCATGGCGCCCTTGAGGTGAAGTTTGAGCCTTGTAAAAGCGGCATGAGAGTTTTGGTCTATAGTTATGGACCGATTAGCTGGCAGGTGATCCAGTCAGATGTGCGTCAATTGACAAATACCTGTATAGGCCGCTCTGCCTGGAGGTCGAGCTTCATTCTACTCGTATGGCACCTCCGGCGCTTTGACACGCCGCAGCTTTCACGGCCAGATTCCATTTATACATGGTGTACTATGGCGCAGCTAGACTGCCGTACAAGGCTCGGTATTTTTCACTCTTTCCTTCGACGGCCGAGTGTCCGAGGCCAATCGCTAGAGTTCAATGTAACATCATAATTATAGTGTAGAGTGCAGAGGGTAAGGAGGACACGCATTGATCCGACTGCGGAGAGCTTGCTACAAACTACTGGGTGGCAATTACGTGTGCTTATGTGCAGCAGTCAAGCCTCGTGAATCATGCATGACTGGACAAGAATGCGGGCCAGGCTCCCGAGACAGCCACCAACGTACGGCAAAATATCAAAGCCCAATCAACCCCGCAAGCCTTGAATTTTAGAAATCCACGAAAGGTCAGCCAAGTGCCTTTAGTAGGCACCTGGCCGGATTAGATATAGCATCCGTTCCATTCTCTGTGGGCTCCGACACTCGAGCACAGCCAAGGCTTGGGATGTACCGCAAGCTCAGACTACCCGTCCCCGAACTCGGATGTTTAGGTTCGGAACTCGACAAGGAAGCTAGCGAAAGCAAGCACCGCTTCAGAGCTAAAACCTAGCGGGACAGAGAGCGCGGGATTCTAGTTGAGGATCAGGCTACCGCGCTTTTCGAACTCATCGAGGACAGGTTAGCAGCAAGCCTTGGTACCAGAAGCCTGATGGCATTGGCCATGACAGCCAAAAACCATGCGCGGCCTGCGGAGTGGTGCCAGGGAAATGCATTTGCACTTCCTTTTCAGATGGAGGTACCGCCACCTTTGAAGGTGGATAACTCATCTCTCTTGTCCGTGTCGTGGTATTGTTGGTGGCGCCCTTGTGTTCCCTCCTTTCCATAAGACTCATTTCAATCAAAGCAGGCGTGGGTGGGAGCCGGTTAGAGACACGGGGTTCATAGGTCGTCAAACAAAGTCCAAGCTCTTTTTTTTTTGATAGATCCACGGGAAAGGTATGCGACCGTAGATGTGAAACCAGAGCTATTGTTGTCCAAAGTGCCAGGCAGCAGGCCTCCATAACATATGCCTGCTGGTGCAGCGACAGGGCGGTGGATTCCAGTTATCGGAGAAATTAAAAGGGCCTTTCTCCTTGCGCTGAAGCCCGGGTTTCCTGCCCGTTCCCGCGGCCCATGTGTGTTGTAAAAGATGGCCGAGTCGTATGGGATACCTTGATTATGTACCAGGTATTTCCGCTAGCCAGCTTAGCGGGCGGGGAGATGAGTGAGAAGGGCATTTCTCCTCTGTGAGACAACAAGAACATCGTTGCCAGGGGGCGTGCCAAAATAGAAGTGCTGTCGCATCTCAAGACTTGACAAGAGGTCCATGTTCGCGACCCATGGCCGAACAACGAAATCGTCAACTGCCAGTCCATCAAAATCTTCAAGTTGGCCGCCACCAGGCCACCCGCAGGGTTGATTGGAGCAATAATGCGAATCTGTGCCCTGACGGAAGGTAGCTGGACGCCGCTATTGGCTGTTGTGATAATGCTGAGGCCGGTTATCATGCCGACGCCGACGTCTAAGTGGTTGAAAATGTGCGGAAACAAGGTATTAATGGTAGATGCAGTGTCGTTCAGAACTAGCGATGGTTAGAGAAAGGTCCAAGGTAGGGATTGCTCTCGTAGTGTAGAATGATAAACTTACTCTAGCCTTGGACGACATGGTCTGCAACCCCGCCCATGGCTGGGTTGAACCGGACTTGGGCAAGGAGCTGTTCATGGTCTTGCGGTCAGCATCATGTAAACTGTAATCAGTCAAAGGCGCGACGAAGAACGAGGGGCACTTACATAATGATAACCGGATAGTTGAACACCTATCTCTTTATATTGAGCCATCTAGCCCGACTCCCCAACCCCGAGTTTGATGCTGGGCAGGTCATTGGAGGGCATCACATGAACTGGAGGGGGAGTAGAACTAGTGCTGTCCGTAAATTTCGCCGTCCCGTGAGGCATTTGACGGGTATTCGACTGCGGCTACGTTGGACATTAGGAAGCGAAATTGGATAGAAAGGAAGAGCTATCTAGGTAGTGAATAGAGTGGGGGCTTACATGACGGAAACCCCAATCCCACGTATTGGGCTTCTTGCCCTTATTATGAGCAATAACGGCAGTTTCGTATTCATTACCAGTACCATATTCGACACCGTCCCCGAATACCCAGATACAGTGCCTTCCAGCAGGAAACGTTTTACCGGCTTTGTAATACGCAATCACTTTGTCGTATTGCGTCGCGGTACCTATTCGGACTCTGGTGAGATTTCTTGTTCTCTAGGTCCTTGACAATATGGGCGATCTGGACAGCATGTGCTTCATTCCCTACATCGTTGAGAGCGGTGGTCAAACCGCCTCTGCTACTCTGCGGCAGACATGGTGGACTAGAAGTGGTGGTAAATAATGTTGTTGATTTACGGAGAAGCTTATGCTGGAATGAGATTTTCGATACTGGTTGTAGGTGAGGAACTATGTCTTCATTTTCTAGATATCAAGCCAAATGGCCAAGCTATATATACTATTTCAAGAGAGTTATCAACATTGCTGTAAGTCAGTGGATCGGTCCTCGCCCAGGCTGATACGAGTCAACCAACAAAGACAAATTTCAAGAACAGCACATCCATCATGTCCCCTGTGCCGCCATCCACTCACACCGCCGACATCTATTTTGAGGCCGAACAACCGAATCAATCGTTTCAGTAATCAGTATCCAACCTAATTAGGCGGATTTGGTCTCCACCTGAACCGAAAGATTTTGTCGACATACCATACCTGCCACTTGTGCCGTCACCTTGTTTCACCCCCGAAACCTCTTTTGAGGTCGAGAAGCGAGATCGGCCCCTTTGGTGCGGCCTGGTGGGTTTGTCCTCGCCTCAGCCGATAAGAGTCGGCCAACGAGGACATTTTCCACTGAGAATACACACACCGTGTCCGCCACCTGTGCCGCCATCATTTCTCTCCATTGGCACATTATTCGAAATTTAACAAGTGAGTCAGTCTCCAAGTCCAACCGGTGAATTTGTCCTCGCGTCAGCCGACAAGAGTCGACCAAGAAAGGCCTTCCAACACGCCACATCCGCCTAACTTGCCGCTATCGTATTTTATTAGCGCTACGGTTGAGTTGCCCCGGGACCTTATTTAGCGCCGTCACGAGCGCCTACGAGTTCTTAACGCTAAGCTTCTCTATCCAGCCTTGCGGCTTATTCACTCAGTTTTCAGTTCCAAGTCCGAGTTTGTATCAACAAGCAGCGAAAGAAGCCATGGCCGAGTCTCGCTTCCTCCAGCCCCTGGACCTGCCCGAGCTTGATACCGGCTCCGGCTCCGGCTGTTGCATTTTTGCTGCTCTCCACTCCGGTTCCGAGATCAGCCCGGAAAATAACATGGCCCACAAAGGCGTTGAGACAGCAGCAATGACGACAAGGTCAACAACAACAACCACGCACCGACCAGCCAGCCACACGAGCCTCGAAATGAGCGCCATCACACGACTATTCTCCCTCTTCCCATCCAACTCAGTGGCAGCAACAGCACGCAAGCTGCCGGCGCCGCTCATGGTCGTCACGACGCTACTCCTCGCGCTCTCCACACTCCCTACCGCCGCCGCAACGCCAACAAACGCAACAACAGACCTAACCCAAGACGCCGCCCTCGCCGGCCGCGACGGCATCGTGTCGCCCGGCAGCAGCTGCGGCGGCTGCGAGGGCCAGTGGAGCTGCATGACATCGTCGTGGCAGCGCTGCGCAGCCAGCCGCTAGTCCGTCGTCATGTAGTGCGCCGACGGCACCCACTGCGCCCCCGCCGGGCTCACGTACGACTTCCGTGTTTTTGATTCGAGGCCGGGCGCCGGCGGCGGGGTCATGACGAGCGGCGGCGCGCCGACGGTTAGCCTGGGCGGCGCTAGAGGGTCGGTGAACTTGTTGGCTGTGTGGGCGGTCGTTTCGGGGGTTTTGTTCGGTCTTTTCTTTCTCTGAAAGGGCGGAGGGTGTGTGTGTGTGGGGGGGGGTTGTTTGTTTTATGGTCGTGAGGGTGCTTGTTTGTTTTGCATTCATGAATGTGCTTGGGCGTGGTTTCTTGTGTCTGTCTTGCAGGGGAATGGAATTGCGGGTTTGGTGTTTTGGATATTTTGATTAATTCACTGCAACCGACATTTGGAAGAGAAGCTGGAGTTTTTATTGTATACTAGCCAAGTTACTGGAAAGAGTCATTGCGAAGTCGATAAAATCATGAGTCTCTAGTTTCTGGTGTGTTAGATGCTGAAATGATGTTGAGAATGTGGATAATTTTCTCAAAAATTGACCTAGGCTATTAATTACGTTAATTTATTTCTTAGTCTCAATATGTGGAAGAGAGTTTTGTGTAATTAAGAGGTTAGATTTAGAGACATGAAAGGGTTTAGCATCTGCGTGCTTCGTGCGAGACTCGTCACCACATCTCGGGCCTACATCACCACATGTACTATGAAACCAATATATCGCCCGCGTGGCTCAGTGGTAGAGCGTATCACTAGTATTGACTCAAGTCTTCTATGATAAGGTCCTCGGTTCAACGCCGAGTGTGGGCATTCCATTCCCCTTCATAGGGATCGGTCGAACCACATCTACTTTAGTAGAGCGATCATTTTAACTTTTGCTCACAGGTTGTTCGGCTTGGTTTTGCTTTCGGAACTATACGATAGAACTTGGGCCTCACCTTTGTTATATTGGACGACAACAATTGGATTTCAAATGAATCGATGCCACTGAGACGGAGTTGGAGCACCAAAATACTTAAACTAGAATGTTCACACAGTTCGTGCCCGGCCTGTGACTTTGTACCTTGCCAGCCTCGTGACTGCCCGACCTGGGGTTACCTTGATTGCCAAAGAAAGTCGCGCCCAAACCCCAAATTCTAGACCCGTTCCTCAAATTTTGGGAGCGGTACTTGACAGCGCTGGAATCGGTCGCATAACGGTGGCAGTGTTGACATGGAAGTTGAACTCGTTTGAACCTGGAACCTATTAGGTTCAGCCCCTGTGGCCCGTGGGGTGGGGTGCAGCACTTGGGCGGTGTTTCTTCGGCAGATTAGGTCTCCCAGGCCTGTTGCCTGCCGCTCAGTAAGAGCCTGGCCCGCCCTGCTGCGGCTGGCAGCAGCACCCCCACCAGGGCACCACCACGCGTCCGCCCGTCAACCGACCAAGCTCACTGCCCAGCCGCGGGAACGGACTGCAAAGGTAACTTGCCTCCTCAACCAAAGTTCGTTGATCCAAACACAGCTCCGCAAGTTCTGGCTAGTCTGGCACCTGCACCAGATAAGGCGGCTTATTACGCGTGCTTGGATTCGCTGCAGTGTTAGTATTACTTGTGCTCGAGCCCCTCTTTGCGTCTCACAAGTCAACTTCCCTGGTCATCGACGCCAACTTTTGCCCCTCCTTCGGACACGTCGTCGGATAACTCGATAGCCCTGAGGCGCAGCCTTCGCTTCAGCTTTCTTGTATGTCTCCTTACAACCAGACATCCGATTTGCCGAACCAATCCGGCACCCTAGGCAATGTCCCGACCTCGCAGGGCAGAAGCCTAGGCCCATCTCCAGCAAGTCAGGCCAAGGCGCCCCCGCACCAGGCTCCCGCCACCAGTTCGGCGGGCGGCGCCGACGAGGAAGACTTGTTAGATCTTAGCGACGATGTGCCCCCGAATAGATCCCGGCAGCTGGCGCAAGATCCTCCGGGTTTTCACGGCGGCCCCGAGCACGGAACAATGTTTGACGACACCACAGACCTTATGTCTTCTTCGACTGCCACTTTGAAGCCGATGACCTCCCCCACCGCCACGACCGCCACACAATATCTCACGATTGATACGAGGACCTATGTCGACCCTACCCCCCCGACTCCTGCTTCCTCACAGCCTCCCTCGAGAACCCCCTCAAACGCCGCGCCCCGGTCGAGAAATGGCTTGGCATCTGACGAGCCTTCGCCCACTGGGTTCGATGCGGCAGATGACGATAAGAGATATGCTAGCGAGGATGATCAAGAGAGTGGGTCGAGATCAGAAATACAGAGCATAATGGAGCAATTCAGCGAAGAAGGCGGCGGGCCGGGCGCCGATGAAGTCATGAGCCCGAGACTAGAGATGGCTTCCCCGCTGCTCGGCAGCCCAATCCAACATCCGCCTCGAAAGTCCAGCTTAGAGCCCCTCGCCCCCAGCATTGCCCAGCAGCTTCAGGATACCCAGACTCCCCGGCTTTCCATAGCTTCATCTGCTAGCATCCGACTCAAGGAGAAAGAAAGGGATGACTCGAGACCCCCTGTTCCTCCTAAGGACGAGTCGGTTCATCCTGGCACCGCTGCGAGTTCACTGGATAATGTACATGGCACTTTAGATCCGCCCATGTCTCCATCCGTATCTTTGCATCGCCCGCCTCCGCCAGAGCCCGAGCCCGAGCCATCATTGCCCTTTGACTTTCATCGGTTCTTGGAGCAGCTGCGCAATAAAAAGGCCGACCCGGTTGCACGATACCTCAAATCATTCTTGGCCGAATTTTCGAAACGACAATGGATGGTTCATGAGCAAGTCAAGATAATCGGCGATTTTCTTGTCTTTATCGCCAACAAGATGGCCCAGTGTGAAATCTGGAGAGATGTGACAGACGCCGAGTTCGATAATGCTCGTGAGGGCATGGAGAAGCTTGTAATGAATCGTCTCTATACCCAGACCTTTTCTCCAACAATACCGGCACCACAACCAATCCCAGGAGCGAAGCCAAAGAAACGTGGCGGGGAGCGACCAATGGGCCCAGGAAGGCGAGGTCAACACCAAGAAGATGTCGAGCGTGACGAAATTCTCGCCCAAAAGATCAACATTTACGGTTGGGTGAAGGAGGATCACCTAGACATTCCTGCTGTGAGCGAAAGTGGGAAGCGGTTCCTGAAGCTTGCGCAACAGGGTTAGTTCTCCAGCCCGGAAGCAAGTCACACGTCACTGACCAGCCACAGAGCTTCTGAAAATAAAATCTTACAGGGCTCCGCGAGACAAGATCATCTGTGTCTTGAACTGCTGCAAAGTCATATTTGGTAACTTTTAATGAGACCTCTAGTGTATCTGCTTCGCTGATTCCCATCAGGTCTACTCAAACACTCCAAGTCCGACTCGTCTGCAGATTCTTTCATGCCGATGCTCATTTACGTTGTGCTACACGCAAACCCGGAGCATTTAGTCTCGAACGTCCAGTACATTCTCAGGTTCCGGAACCAAGACAAGCTGGGCGGAGAAGCTGGTTACTACCTTTCATCGCTGGCATGTTTACTCTTATGTCCCCTCTTGTGAATTCCAGGCTAATGACGAATTTAGATGGGGGCCATTCAGTTCATCGAGAATATGGACCGGACCACGCTTACTATCACTGATGAAGAGTTTGAGGCCAATGTCGAAGCTGCCGTCTCAGCTATCGCAGAAAAGCATCGTGCTGAATCCCCTCCGCCACCGCCACCTCCATCAGAGAAGCCGGCTTCTTTGCACCCACCTGGCACTGGGGAATCTGGTCCCTCGTCTGCTCGCCCCTCTATCGACGCAGATGCCTCTCTCCGCCCTGTAACCCCCCGTCGCTCACTGTCATCCAATGAAGGTCGCGACAGCGGCGAGCACAGCGGAAACGACGAGAAAGCAGCGATTACCGGCCTGCTTCGGTCAATTCAAAAACCGTTGAGCACGATAGGTCGCATATTTTCTGACGAGCCGTCCACTTCAGGGGCGGGCCCCGCCGTGGCGAGCCCGGCCCGTACGCCGCAGCCGGAGCGCAACGAAGGAGATCTGCCCACGCGACAGAAGCTGTCAGCTGAAGATGCTGCAGCCCGGCAGGCAAGTGCCGAAGCCGCTGAAGCGCAACGGCTACATCGTGCAGAGCATGCAAATGTGGTAGAGACTTTGGCGGGCATGTTTCCAGATCTTGACCGCGATATCATTAGTGACGTCGTGTATCAGAAAGAAGGAAGGTAAGTTGCCCCGCCCCTCGACATTTCAGTCAGCCATCATCTACCAATCTGTTTTACTCGATAACTGACTAGACTAATAGGGTTGGGTTGGCTGTCGATGCATGCCTTGCTCTGTCTTCGTGAGTCCATTATATGCTGTCCTTGACCAGGGTAAAATGGAATCTCAAAGGAGGAGGTACCAACCACGTATATGGGAAAGGAGGGAGCTTGCTGCATTTCCGCGGGTTTTCGTCGTCGTAGCGAGCATTGAGAGAGGATTAGCGGCACGTTAGTTGAGTGTTTTGTTATTTCCCCTGTCACATCTGCATAGGTTAAGGCCAGGTGCAACAGGATAGCGGTTGTTCCTCTTAGTCCAGCAACATAACCTAAACTATTTACATGAGAGTCCTATATTAATATACCCAATTTCTTTATCTTTATTTTATAAAGAATACGGAGTCCAAAGAAGGTGGTCTCTGTGTACCTGTCCAGATTGTGATGTGTTTCGAGTGAAGTGTTTGTCAGGTTCAATCGTGGGTTCTGCTGCCTGGGTCATAGTCACAATTAGAAGATCACTTGCCATCGAATCCAATTGGAACAGCTGCGTGGCGCAGCGGAAGCGCGCCGGGCTCATAACCCGGAGGTCACTCGATCGAAACGAGTCGCAGCTAGAAATCCTGCAGAATCAACTTCTTTTTTTTGAAGTCTTTCCTTTTTGCTCTCTTATTCACCGGCGGTTAATAATTCCATATTGAACACTTTTATTATCGTTTTTTTTATCCCGAGTACCTCGTACTTGTATTGAAATTTTCCTGCCATCTTCACACTTCTTTGCGCCGCCCATAACTTCCCCCCATTTGCACGTGCACAGCACTGTTAGCGCTTGATCCTCTGTATTTCCGGGACCTTGGGTGAGTCATCAGCCCGAACCTCACCCCAACCCCATTCCGCGGGGCAGCCTTCTCCTCCCTCACCTACCGAGGGCAAAAAGAATTCCTGCACCTTGCAGAAACGCGAAAACGCGAGAAGCACGCAACACCATGTGCGGCATTCACGTCGCGGTTTCTGCAACGGCGCACGAGGTGTCCCCCGAGCTGCACTGTCGTCTCTGCAATCGAGGACCTGATTATCTCGGTCGAGCTGAGCGGCATGTGCGCCGCGGCTCTTTGTCTTTGCATTTCACCTCGACGGTTCTTGCCCTGCGCGGCGACCATGTTGCACAGCAACCACTCGTTAACCCGCGCACCGGCTCGGTTCTCTGCTGGAACGGCGAGGCCTGGCGCATCGATGGCCTTGGCGTCGACGGAAATGACGGCGAGGCCATCCTTACCTGGCTCATGAAAGCAAGTGCTTCGCCACCCGCTGTCGCTGCTACCCCCGGCAGCGAGAGGGAAGCTGCCATCCTTAACGTCTTCCGTGCCGTCGAGGGCCCGTTTTCTTTTGTCTACTTTGACGCACCAACGGAAACGCTCTTCTTTGGGCGCGATCGACTCGGCCGCCGGTCGCTCATGATTGACAGCAATGATGCCTCGGGCAAGCTGACGCTTTCCAGCATCGCTGAAGCCTGCGATCCCAGCTGGAAAGAGGTCGAGGCGGATGGCATCTACGTGCTCAGATACGCCTCTTCGCCAGCCACAACGCTTCCGGCGAGACATCAATGGATTGCTGGGCATGAGCACGCCGACTTCGTGAGTGGATCAACCGTGCTCTTTTTGAAGACCAAGGCGAAGCTGCCATGTCGAACTCACTCTGTCAGGTTTCTAGCATTGGGAGGTTCAACAAGTCTCTGCCATCGACTGCTTTTGTCTTGACAACAAGTTCGCCTTCTGTGGCGATGCTGAAGCATCAACTGCTTGACTCACTCCGGCCCAGGGTTCTCGAAATTCCACAGCCCCCGGCCTCCGATGTGACGCCTTCCAAGGCGCGCATTGCAGTACTGTTCTCTGGAGGACTGGACTGCACAATGCTTGCCAGATTGACCCACGATCTGCTCGAACGAGACCAGGAAATTGACCTCATCAATGTCGCATTCGAGAATCCCCGCGTGGTTGCCCAACTGCGAAAGGATTCCAAAGGCGGCGAGCTGCTGACCGACTTTTTTGAGATCTGCCCTGACAGGATCACAGGGCGAAAGTCTTTTGCAGAGCTGCAAGCAGTCTGTCCTGGGCGAGTCTTCCGATTTGTGGCAGTAAGCGTCATCTACACATAATTCACCCAGTTCTCATACTAACATTACATCCAAGGTCAACGTTCTCTACTCGGAAACTCTGGCACATCGATCTCAAGTGGTATCTTTGATGTATCCTCACAACACGGAAATGGACCTTTCCATTGCGTTTGCTCTTTACTTTGCTGCCCGGGGCCGAGGACTTTGCTACGAGAGCTCGAGTTCGGTCTCGCAACCAACACCTTATACCTGTTCGGCTCGTGTCTTGCTCTCCGGTCTTGGAGCGGACGAGCTATTCGGCGGGTACGGTCGCCACATGGTCGCCTTCTCAAAGCAAGGCTACGCAGGGCTTGCCGACGAGCTCTTGCTCGACGTCAGCCGGCTTGGCAAGCGGAATCTTGGGAGAGATGATCGAGTAATGACGCACTGGAGTAAAGAGGTGAGATTTCCCTTCCTTGACGAGCGCCTGGTTAAGTGGGCCGTCGAGACGCCGTCATGGGAAAAGTGTGACTTCGAGAATGGAGAGGGCTTTACGGGCGTTGAGGCAGGCAAGAGAGTGCTGCGCCTTCTCGCTCTAGAATTGGGCATGGAGAATGTGGCCAGGGAGAAGAAACGAGCAGTATGTTTCGCTTACGGGTGTTCCGCCCATGTCGTGGAAAAACACATTACCGGCCGCTTATTGACACTCCCGGCAGATACAATTCGGCTCCAGGACAGCCAAGATGGAGAATGGCCGCGTCAAGGGAACAACAGCGATCGTCTGATCGTGGGAGTGATGGGCGGATTCCGGAATTCTAGATCACAGTTGGCGATGATGATCAAATCAGATACTTCTGAATGTCGTGATCTCGACGGACGCTAGTGCTGTTCGGGGTCGGCGACTGTGGTTTTGTTCATTCGAAGCCCTCTCGCTGGCTTCCGTTCAGCCAGCTCCGCATCGTACTTTCCGACAATGAAGATAAAAGGCAAATCTGAGCCATCACGTGCATATCTAGCTTTTTGGATACAATGCATAACACTAGGGTTACACTGGGGCTACCGTTTCTCATCTCCTCGCTGTATCACACACCTGTCCCCAAAATATTGTGTCATCACTCCGCGCACGATTCTCCGCCGTCGAGCAACTGCATTCCTCGAGACATAAACAAACCGTGTGAGCCGTGTCAAGTCTCCTGGCCGTCTCAGATGATCAGCCCCTCAGCCGGAAGCTGTGGCGTTGCCCGGGTTTTCCTCGACGTTTCTTCGATATTTAACCGGAAAGCCCACTTGTTGAATAAAACACAAGGAAACAAGGGCGTACAGCGAGCGCCATTTTACGGGAGACGACTCCATCAGGATAGATAACTCAAATTCGTGATGTGGGCTGGAAATATACGTATTACACAGTGTGGTTTCGCAGATCAATCACTGGGTTTCTCAAATACGATTTGAGCTTGCAAGTTGAGCAACATTGTCGACCGACCCGGAGTCAGACAGATCTGGGTCAGATCCTGGGGCCAACAGCCCAACCCAGCGTCGTTCTGCCGTAAGCAGGGGCATCCACATTAAAACATGATGCAACACACGACCCGGGAGCTTGGGCCCCCTGAATTTGCGGCAGCTGCGGCAGAGGCGCTGCCGCTCAAGTGTTTGGATTCGCGCCGGGGTTGGGGGGGGCTGGTCAGGGGTCCAAGTTCCAGGCCCGAATGGAATTTAACCATCAACCGACCCGGCACCCACCCATTGAGCCTACACGCCCCCATCTCCGAGAAAGCAACCCCAACACCAAACAGGTGACGACAAGAGGTCCCTGACGGTTACATCCTGTGATTCCTGTCCCTTCCTCGCCCCGCCCGCCCACGTCCCGAAATGGACAATACCCGGTGGTACAGTAACAGTATGCAGGGACGGCTTGGTGTTTTCTTTTTTTCTCTTTCTTTCTTTCTCACCTGATCGAGATGAGATCAATGGGATAGATCATGGAACGGCGGGTTCCCCTCCACTTTTTCCCCAGCACAGCACAACACCACCCCGTCCATTCCCACGTGTTTCTTGTTGTTGGCGTTTCGGGGGCCCTACCTAGTTGCTAGGCTCAACTCTCCTTTGCCGAGTCCGTAACCTTGAGGTGCCCAACCTTGTTCGTTCTCTCTCTCTCTCTCTCTTTCTCTCTCTCTCTCTCTCTCTCTCTCTCTCTCTCTCTCTTGTCCTCTACGCCAAGTGATCTTTGTCCGTATGGGAGGTTGTCGATACGGATACACTACCCTCTCTCGAAGTGGGAGTGTGCGGCACAAGCATCGTCGAACCCCGCGCCGTTGAACAAGCAAAGCCGACCAAGCGTCGGACGAGGGAGGCTCCCGTGCCGCTCGCTATCACTGTGGATGTGCCGCGCACTGTGCGTCGCTTTTCACGGCCAACAAGTGCTCATTCCCTCGCTCTCACTCCCTCTGGCTGAGAGCAGCAGAAGGAAATAGAAAGAGCGGCGCCGTCTCCAATTACGGCGAGCTGTTGTTCCTTGGGCGTCTACCGAGTGCCCCAAGGTAAAATTGTTCCCAGCAATATTACTTGTTCCGAGGACCCCCTCCCTCACCAAAAGCAAGCAATTGCTGTGCCGACCGCGCCCGGGATCTAGACCGGGACCTGGATCTGGAGAACTCGAGGACAAATACAATCTGTTCCACATCACATACATTCACGGATATCCAAACTTTATTCGAACACACCAGTCACCAAGTCGACTTGCACATGTGCTCGCGCCCGCTCGGAGGCGGGCCTTAAATCTTGGAGATTGGAGCTTGGAGCTTGGAGCTTGAAGCTGCCGGACATAGCTTAAGTCAGCGGCAAGGCGACAAGGAACTTTACCGACGGATTGCACCTCTCCTCCAGAACAGCCTCTCTCGACGGGCCCACCAGCTGAATCTCGGGGGAGCACCGTTCAAATCGGGGGGAAATGCGCTGCGCGCCTGTTGCCCCCCGTCGGCGAGCCGGTTCTGCCTTCGATTCTCTTCGACTTGGATTTCTTCAATACCATACATACCGTACCTCGAATTCAGCACTAGCTTGATCTCCGGGCAGGACCGCAACCAACGCCCTCTCTTGACGATCGGCGTGCTTCCCACTTGGCGGACGCACCCGCGCGTCCCGTATTGACCAACTTGCACAGCCGCCGCCATGGCAAGCTACCCGACCCCTTCCGCAACCCCCGGCCCCGGCCCCGCAGCTCCCTCGTCGGTAATTAGCAGTATAAATTCCCGGCCGGGCCTGGGACCCCGCCGGCTGTCCAGGTTCACCGAGGAGACAAACATGGACTTGAGGCCCACGGCCTCGGTGCTAGCAGCAGCTCATGCGGCCGAGGCAGACGATGCCGACCAGTGGTACGACGAGGACGGATTCTCTGCCGGCATCCACCCGGATCCGATCGATGCCAGCAGAGTCAAGGCGCATCAGATGCACGTGAAAGCGACCGTGCAAGCTGCCAGCAGCACGTCCCACGCCCTTCTGTGCGTCGTCGTGACGGTCGCCATGGCCATGTTCCTGAGACATCTAGGAGGCGACTGGATCTTTTACAAGCCCTCAAGGTGAGTAACTTGTATTCTTCCTTGGCCGATCCTGTTATCTCCAGATAACGGCCAGCGTGCCGTGTTTTTTTTTTTTTCACTGTCGTCTTTGCTGACTTGTTTGCCTTGTCATGCTCCAGTTCTCAAGCTGTGGCGTTGCTCGTGCTGCTCGGTCTAGACATATCCCTCGATATCCTCTCCCTTTTGAGGCTGCCGCATACAACATGGCCGGTGTGGGCGCTGCTCCTCCGTATGACATTTGGGATCGGATACGTTACTCTCTTCCTGGTCTACATTGGCATCGGCCACGTTTTTCCCAATGCCTACACTTTCTGGGCCATCCCCCCTGACCGGTCAGGGCCTGTCATCTACCTCTTCCTCTGGCTTCTCGGGTAAGTCATCTTGCAACACTAGCACCGCTTCCCATAAGATCTGAAAGACGAAGTCCGCTAACTAGCATTGCTGTAGGGTGTGGAATCTTATCCACGCCGTCTTGTGTCGGCACCAGATCGCCAAGTCCGCCCGAGCATACTTTAGCACACTCGCGTCTCTCCCCAATCGGCGATTCCGAGACAGCAGCAGCAGCAGGCGCACCAGCGGCCAGAGCGCGACGACGGGCTGGTCCGCGTGGAGGAGATCCCGGGGCTCGCAGATAATCGACGACGACCCCGAGCTCGACCTCCAGAGGACCAGACGAGCAGCCGCGCTAGGCGTCGGCTCGTCCGGGACCCTCACGCTCCGCGAACAGCAGTCGCCCGAGAGACACAAGCACGAGAGCGGCGTCACTACGGCAGCGTCCAGCATACATGGCAGCCACGGCCCGTCGCAGCCCGGCGGACGAGACGACGCGATTTGAAGACATATGTCATGTCGTGATCGATCTTATTAGCACCTTCTTTTTTACTATTTTATTTTTATTCTAGGATTACCCAGACATACTATATACCATGCCATACCATACATTGATAGACATATTCCATAAAAATTAATTACATGACATCAATGTTAATGCTATTTGTAATGGTTAGAGAGATGGTAGTTGAAGCTCGATGGCACCAGATGGCAGCAGCACCTGCCCCGCGTTTCTGCTAGGACTCAGGCAAAAAGTAAGGGCCACTCCTCAGACCAGGTTTTAGACTCCCATGGTACCACGGGGCTTGCCAGTTGTCCGCTTATGCCTAAAAATTTCTTAAACCCCATATACGAACCGTGTAGGCCTCTACCTCATTTGACTGAGGATAGACTTGTTGGCCGGGCAGCTGGCGTGTCAAGCTTAACCGGCTCAGAACGTGGCTGACTGAACCTTGCACCGCTTTGCCTGAGCCTCCGTACCGTGTGTGCATTGGAGGCTCAAGTGAGTTGAGCTTGGTATCTTGTAAGCCCCGGTGGGCTTTCTGACAGCGTACCGCCGAGCACGCAGATGCACACCTCCTTCCAGTCCCGGGCGTCTTTCACCGCGTGCGTGATCTTCTCGCTGTCCGTCGCCATGTCGGCGAGACTGTAGCTGCTAAATTTAGAAGACTTTGCGAACTAGAGGGCCATGAACTTGGCCCGTTCCACGAGTTTGACGAAGTCTTGCTATTAGGTAGTCGCGTTTTGCATGTGTAATCAGAGCGTTGTTTTCTTTTTAGGCCGATGGTGAGGAATGAGGTCAGAAAAGACTAGCAACCTACCTTTACGAACCTCTTATATTCTCCGTCCAAGTCATATCCCTAAGCCATATACTTGCAGATGGAGTCACTAAGGAACTTGTCCCAAAGGTGCTTGTTTTGAGAGACGAGAGAATGAATCAGAGTTCTGCAAGCTCGTCAGTGGCGTCTTGTCATAGTTAGCATGATAGTTGCTTGCCCTTTTTCCCCTGGTTTGTTTGTTGGGTCTGGGACCGAGTTCGGTGAAACCATCCTTCAGAGGGCCTTGGATTGCCATCGCGAAGAGCATCTACAGGCATCCAAATTTTGTCGAAATCTAATACAAGTGGGAACAGGCCATGACGTACGTCGTCGTTGGTCCAAGGCCCGGGTGGTATTTGGACCACTCGTTTGAATATCAACAGCAGGTTTGGGGCTCGATTGACAACCCAGCATATCGCAGAAGATGCAGCAGCTCATTTGGTGCCTGAGTTAGGCACGCAAGGTAGGCCACAGAACTAAACTATTCATGGTGAGTCACAGGGTCTTATTACATTAATTTGAGCTGAAGGCAAGGTCTTGGTAACGATATCGTGGCTTGTAGGCCTAGGATGATTACTTACCTGCTTACTCAAGCCTCTTCAGGTTCGATAATCAAATTTCTATTACATCAATTCATTCCTAGAGAACTCTGTTGTGGTGATGATAGTATAAGGAAATCTGTTATCCTGGTGCGGGTAATTAGTCTGAGTCTTGACAAACATCTCTCACACACACCATAGCAGAGAGACATACCTCACCAGACAAGGCCATCACCACCGATCAACCACACTCGTCTTGGGGCTGAGTTGGGCATCCTTGGGTGGTATCAGAATGGGAAGCAATACGACCCAACGGACAGTGCCCCGGGCAGTCCCGTTGCTCGCCCCCCCCCCCCCCAAATCAAATGCAGAGAGGTCTTTCCTCGATCCCGCAGAAGCTCGAGCCAGAGATGCAAACTATGATAAGCCGAGGAAGACAACAGGAAGGCCGAGATCAGAAAAAATCAACCTATGATCAGGACAAACGCTGTCCCACCTGCCACCTGTCCACTGTCTTACAGTGTACAATATCTTCCCCGGTATCGATACCCGGTCCCGTGTGGAATGGGCACTGCCCCAATCCGCCTTTATCGCTTCCTACCAGCCATGAGATGAGTATCAATCAAAAGTCTCAACATCGAAGCCATGCCCGAACGACTCTTGCAAACGAGTATTCAGTCGCGTCTAAAAGCAAAGCCGAGTGTCAGCCCCAAGCCTCCCCGCAGCCAAGCATCGCGAATGGGCAGAGGCATCGGTGGCCAATCTCGAACTCGGTATCATCCGCCCACTCATCTACCGTCTAGACCAGTTAGTGACCCTGTCATGAGCAGACGCGAGCGAGCCCAGCTCTCAGGGGTGGGCTTGACTGCATGGATTGGACACGTGTGGGTGTTTAAAACGATGTGCAGAGGAAAGACAAAGAGAGTGAACGAATAGAAAGAGGGGAAAGTGGGAACGCAGATATCTGAAACAGACAGCAGAGGCTTCTCCGTCTTCAGCCGCAGCGACTTGTTCGTGTCGAGCTTGTTGAGTTGCGTGACTGTGATACGAGGGAGGCGTCGTCGAGATACTTTGACGACTAGACCAATCAGGACCACATCTCGTGATCATTGATTGGGAAGGTACGCCTGGCAGTGGCCCAGGCTACATGCGGCTTTGCTCAAAGAAAGCACACGAACCGATTGCGAGAGCGACCGCAGACGAGGCAGAGGGGGGACAAGAAACGCCAAATGCGTTCCATTGGGTTCGTGATACAGTTCCGACCATACGGAATGCGGTTGAGATACGGGACAATTGCGGCAGTGCAAGGCCCTGCCAAGAAACCACTGCAACCCCCACCGCCCGACTCTCAGCTCATCGTCGGTTCGAGTGGGAGCTTAGAAGGAACCTACCTGGCCTACCTACCTAGGATGCGCATTCAGGTCGTCGTCACCTCACCCCCAGTGCAAACACCAAACTCGGGTCGTAGTCGTCAGCACCCTGCTTCAACGGCAATGGCGGGGTGGAAGAAAAGTTATGCATGGATCCCCGAAGACATGCGTACATACTGCACTGTTCCGTGCCGTAGATTGCAGTGCAGCGCTCGACAAAGCATGGGAAGGGAGCAAGTGTGCTGGTCGGAACACGAGAAAACATCGAGCTGGGGTATGAACATGGACCTTTTCCCCGGCGATTCTGGAGAGAGAAAGAAAGAAACAACCAGTCGTGGTCGAGTGTCGACAGACGCTGACAGCCGGGAGCTCAGGTCGTCAGTCAACCTGGCCTCTAGGTAGCCTCTGGGCTGAGCCACTGGCACCTCAACCCTCTCGGAGGTCTCTATTAAGTAAGGCCAAGGCTTTGGAGATGCCTACCTTCTATACCCAGTTCGCAAAACCCGGGCAGCGCAGACTTGGATTGGACGAATGGATCAATGCCCCACTGTTCGGCCACCAACTGAGCCCCGTGTTCGGCTGAACCTTGGCCCCGAAGGTTGCGCTAGACATGAAAACCGCCCCGTGGATATGCCCTGGCCGAACCGTGGCACGTAGCTCTGCCACCACAACCAGACAAGCCAGCCCAGGATCACATTCCACTCAGCCAAGGTTACTGCTGTCTCGTGCTCCCGTCTTTCTTCAGCTGGCGGGCCGCCAAGACTCTGTCGAACCGACTTGAGTAGGAAAAGAATACTGGAGGCTGAGATCGGGGTTGGGCCCCCGTGCAAGGTAAGCCTACAAGCCCGAGCGGTCAGTATCATGGCCCGCTTATCCCTACGTACTCAGTGCTGTACCGGTATATATTTAGGGTTGATATTGGGCGGGCGGGTCACAGCACGAGGCAAGTATGCGAGTCTGGCATTAATAGGAGCTCGAATCCTCCCGTACGCCCGCCCGCTTCGAGGGTGGTAATACAGTAGATGGATTTAGAGTGGAGGGACCCGTCGGAGGGCCGGCCAACCTTGTGCTCCGCGTCACCGCGGGCTGACTATCGTCCACACGCGAAACTGGATAGTGCTCTCTTTTGGTATCTGGCGCCCGAGTGGGACGAGGGCAACCTGAATGGGGGCTGGCTGCGCCTCCCATCGGTCGTCGAATGAGGGAGTATTGGGGGTGGGACGGGAAGTCCACCACCACCTCGACGCATGGTTTTGGACGCAGATCCACACAGACGCGGGTGGGCTGTGGTTGGCTAACCGGTAATTGTCCAGCGGGTTTTAGCGCTTCCCCAACTCTACTTGCAGCGCTGCACAGATCGAGACCGCAGCCATTTATAGTACCAGGTGCGTCTATGCGCAAAGACACGGCTAAGACGACACTGCATGATCTGCCTCTTCCCCCTCCACATGTGCCCCCAGTATGCCTCTCCAAGACCTCAGCCCGCCCAGGCCACGCATCTCGATGGCACTGGCAAGTACATACAGTACAGTACAATATGCACCACAAGGAAGGCAGGGTACCTAAGGGGTATAAACACCAGGTGGCCCCCCTACACCACACACATGTTCACATAGCAGGCTGGCTCCTGTCGTCAACCCACCAGAGGACACTTGACGATGTTATGTATGCACTCAATACCAAACACTACCATACTCTTCCCGTGAGCTAGGCTACTATCACCTTCATCGCAATGTCACCAATATCCGCAGCAGTTGAACCCTGGCAGTCTGTGGCGAACTCGCCATATGGCTCCGAGGTCGACGACAGCGGCACCTCGATGAACTCGCCGGTGTGGATTGCCATAACCATAGCGTCCGGAGTTATCCTTACAGTGGCACTCATCGTGCTCGCCGTGTTCATATGCAACAAGCATCGTCGACGCCAAAACCCAGAGCAAACGAACCCATATTCGGGCTCCGGCCAGTTTGCTACGAGCCAGAAGATTATGAGCTCGGCTGGCTTGGCTGAAGAGGAGGAGCTGCAACGGCAGTTCATGATTCGCAAGTCGCTTGCCACACGGTCATGGAACACGATCGAGAGCCAGGCTTCGATGAGGACGACGACAGAGACGACGACAGAGACGACGACGACGGCCATGACCGACCAGATTGAGCGGCAGACGATGGACATCGAGGATGAGGAGGACGCCGAGGCTCGCAACCTGAGAGACGACTGGAAGGCTTGGGAGGCCAGGGTTCAACATGAGCGCTCTATGTCTGGGGAGCTACATCCCGCAATCGATTGCACCGTGCCGGCGCTTCGTCTCCCCCAGCCGCCATCCAGAACTCGGTCCCTAACCTGCCCGCCCGTACCGCCGCGCCACCCCGGCCGGCTCCGCGCCACATAGCAGCCGAGAATCAAGGAAGGGGTCGTCGAAGACTCTTGCGATACCAACTCCACCATCGGCCGGTGGGCCTCCCTCTCTGCGTGACAGAGACTGGAGATTTCCACCGTCGACCACCCGCGTCCCTGACAACGCTGACCAGAAATGGAAGCGGCTCAGAGACGCGCCGTCCAAATCAACTACCTAGTTGACGGAGAAGCGGCTTCGAGAAATGACTTGTCCTACAATCACCGCCACTCCATGCGCCGCGGATACCGATGGGGTGGGTTGCGTGCCCCACCTTGGGTGTCATGGGAAATGCGCCTCATATCCATCCCCACACGGCGGGAAAGGTGGACACTAGGAAACCCCCAAAAAGTCATTACGGTCAAATGGGTGCTACATACTAGTAGCAGGTGGGATATGCAGTTAACGGCAAACCGCACATACAAAAAAATGGGCGAGAGAGATGATGACCTTGATGCGCCAGAGAGGCTGAATCCAAACCCTGGGTGTAAATAGCTCAAGGTAAACCCGTGTCTGCTAGCGAGTGTCGGGCAGTAGACGAAAATTCATTCTCGAGGCTTCAAGAATGGCCAGCATGCTGAATGCCGACACAATAGTGAACGGATGAGAATGCCATGTCGTTGCGTAAGGCTGAAAGGTTGCCTGGATTGTTCCAGGCCCATTCAAACCCTCCATTTTGTGGGGCTGGGTTCGGTAGTGGCGCAGGCCAGGTGTTGGAATGCTGAGTCATTCTGTTTCATGCCTCCAGCTTATGAATGTCCACCGACCTTGGGGTTCGAACGAATGATGCTTCCTTTGACAACCTCCTCGTCTTTCCTTGTTGGACCCGCGCTCCACCTGCCCCTCGCTGCTCTTTCAATCTATCGCCAGAACTGCCGCCGCTGATGTTCTAAGTCGCAGCAGTCAACCGCGATCGATTTATTGGCAATTCGAGCACTTCGTAGAACGCAGCGCCGACGATTTGCGACCGACAGTGCCTGTTCTTTTGTTCTGAGACGTGCGACCCGATCCACCCTCAATCCAGCAGCCATCTCAGACGCCTTCACTGGTAGCCAAGAGCAGCCGTCGCACGTAAGGGGGATTTCCAGCATTTAACAGGTTTCCAAAGGGGAACACGCTGGAAGAAAGCGACGCCATCGCAGTTCAGGACTTGGGCGCCAGGAAACGGGCAGGCGGGAGGACCCTCGGGATTTGAGGCCGGCTTTGGAGCCTCCAGAGTATTCTGACGACTCGCGCTCGCCGCGCCCTGGCGATTCTCTCTTTATACCATTAGTGGCGCTTCGCAATACCAAGCGCCGGCTCACTTCGTTCCCATTTTCGCAGCCAAGCCTCCGCGCGTCGCGCCTGCACATAGGAAAATGACAGACACCGCTCCAGACGTCAGTCCTAAGGCTGCCGAGTTCCGAGAGGATCTCAACAATATTCTGATATGCAAAGACTGCAAGGAGTTCCCCCCAAACCTTATCGAGGAGTTCTCGTCTGGAGACATGGTGTGCACCTCATGTGGAGTGGTGGTTGGCGATCGAATCATCGACACCCGCTCCGAGTGGCGTACCTTCTCAAATGACGACCAGGGCAACGATGACCCTTCGCGTGTCGGTGATGGCCCCAACGTAATGATCAACGGCGATCAGCTGCAGACAACTATTGCCTTTGACGGGAAGAACGCGAAAAACCTGTCGCATCTGCAAAATAAGATCACCCAGGACAAGTCGTCCAAGACGCTCCTTCAGGCCTATCGCGACATCCAGAGCTTAACAGACAGCTTCAACGGTGGAACTCAGGTTGCCAATGCCGCGAAGCACATCTTCAAGCTCGTTGAAGATAACAAGGCGCTCAAGGGAAAGTCGCAAGAAGCAATCATTGCCGGGTGCATCTTCATTGCGTGCCGTCAGATCAACGTGCCGCGAACCTTCCGCGAGCTTTACGGCTTGACAAAGGTGTCCAAAAAGGAAATCGGCCGTGTTTTCAAGCAGCTGGAGGCTTTCTTGCAGAAGATGGGCGGTGAGGATGAGATTGCGAAGGCTAGCTCCCTTACGCAACAATACCAAGCCAAGGGCTCAACGAGCGCCGTTGAGCTCTGTGCTCGCTACTGCAACAACCTCCGATTTCATAACAATCTAGAGATAGAGCAAGTCGCCAAGCAGCTTGCGAGACTGTCGACATCAGTCGCCGATCTCGCTGGCCGCTCGCCCCTCTCGGTGGCGGCTGCCTGCATCTACATGGCATCACATCTGATGGGCCATCCCCGCACCTCTAAAGAAATTGCAGCGGTTGCTGGCGTCAGCGACGGCACGGTCAAGACAGCATACCGGTACCTACTAGCCGCCAAGGACGAGATTATCAAGCCCGAGAACTTTCCCGCCGAGGACTTTAAGAAAGCACCCGACGCAAGCAAGTTGCCCGTGAACTAGAAATTGCAGGCTAAGCCGAAGAAAGACTCGGGCCTGCGAGTCAACCAAATTCGTGTCGCTATCGCTGGTTGAATTTGATCCGGCTTACCTTCCTAGAACTCCCGTGCTTTTATTTCGTCCTCCTCCGAACTATACCTTGCAGTGCCTCCGCTCGGCGGCCGATCATCTCACGGTAAAAGGTTTATTTCAGTGCGAGGGGGCACGCGTCAACAGCATTGAGGGCCTGATATATCTGCAGGAGTTAGACGGGATTACACATCACCACCTCTGCCCCATCTCATGGGATAGATGCGCAGCATAATAGCGGATATGCATCTTTTAGTGTCAAGTGGCAGAGTGTCTTACTGGAAAATGTAACGACAGTGGTGAGATTTGAAGGCAGTACAGCGATTCTTAGCCCTCTGCCCTCATAGCTTAGACCGGCTAGTCTATCATTATGGTAGACGTGGTGGCGAGAATTGCAAGGCACTTCTCACCGTCGTTGCGTTCTTTTCCCATAGTTCGGACGCGCTTTGGGCAACCATAGTCGCATATAGCGGAACTAGAATGCGGTCATGAATAATAATCCATTTTCAGAAACGTGACCTGGGTCTTTTGGTGTGTTATGTTTCGATCTAAACTTTCCGTTCGTGACGTGACTTGAAGCCTCGTTGGGACGTTGCATGTGATGGATCTCGGGGGCCAAGTGATAGACTATCGCCTCAAAATGAGTACACCGACATGGGTATGGACACCGCACACCTAATGCTAGTTATTACATTCCTCCTCGTATACACAGCATCCAGTTTCCCTGTGCATTTAATACCAGGTTTACTTGCATACCTGAAGGTTTACCTGAACTTGACGACGGTACAGTGCGCATACAATTCCCTGGATCGTTTGCACAGTGCCAGGTTTCGCGTGGCACAGGGCGGTCCATGCGCGCACCCAGACATCCAAACCGCCAAAACTTACGCTTGTGATGTGCCAAACCGCGTCCCTTGATTCCGCAGCCTTCCAGGTCATTTGACAAATTGACACGCATTTGCGCCAAACAAAAAAAAAATTTTAAGGCAACAGCAAACACTTTCCAACACCCCACAGTCATCCAAAGATGCCGTCTCGGCGATCAGGGCGTGCAGCTGCAAAGCGCGCCCAGCGGGCACTTGGTAAGCCCCTTCACTTTCTCTGCGGGACTCCTCCCATCGGCAATGCGCGTGCGCCATCCGTTCACGATGCGCCGAGCCCTGTCTCAAACATCCGCCCTTTCATTGCACTCTTCCCACCCCCAAACTACGCGCATTGATAGACGTGCCTCGCTAATTAGTGACTATTCCCAATATATAGAAAGCACACCAAAAACGTTCGAGGGTTTTGACGACGAGGACGAGACCATGGCCGATGTCGAGCAAGACGAAGCCGAGCTGCAGCCCGAGCCTGAGGATGAAGGAGAAGACGGAGAGAAAGAGGACGAGTCTGGCGCCGAAGATGAGGCGCAGGACGAAGATGAAGAGTCAGCCAAATCACCAACCCCTCCGCCAGAACCCGTCATTCGGCGCCGCCGTTTAGGTCGGCCTCCTAAGAATCGTCCGCCAGACTGGGATTCTCTGCCGATTGAGCGCCCGAGCGATGCGGATGGCACGCCTCGCCGCCGTGGCCGCGGCGGCTGGAGAGGGCGTGGCGGCCGCAAAGGCCAGCAGTCCCAACCGACCCAACAATCTATCGACAAGGATGGCACGGTCATGGATATTATCGACGACGAGGTCGATCTTCCCGAGGACCCCGAGGGCGAGACCAAGGTCGACAAGATGGGGAATCTCAAGGATGGCCGCGAGTACCGCTGCCGAACCTTTACGTTGGCCAACCGGGGCGACCGCCTCTACATGCTTTCGACGGAGCCGGCCCGTTGCGTCGGCTTCCGGGACTCGTATCTCTTCTTCACCAAGCACCGGAAGCTGTACAAGATCATCGTTAACGATGAGGAGAAGCGTGACATGATCGAGCGCGACATCATCCCCCATAGTTACAAGGGCCGGTCAATAGGAATTGTCACGGCTCGCTCCGTGTTCCGCGAGTTTGGGGCTTTGATCATTGTCGGCGGCCGACGCATCATCGACGACTATGAGGTCGCCAAGGCCCGAGAGGAGGGTATCGTGGAGGGTGAGCTAGCAGATCCCAATGACCGCTACGAGCCCGACAAGCCCTATAATAAGAACCAATACGTTGCATGGTTCGGAGCCAGTGCGGTGTACCATTCTAGCGGACCGGCGATGCCCCAGCAAAACATCAAGGCCGATCCGAAGAAGCGCCGCGTCGCTGTAAACGACATCAATTGGCAGCTGGAGCATGCTCGTGAGGCGAGGTCAGTACATGCCATGCCTACCCCCTGATACTTTCTTGGACCAAGCTGACGTTTCTCTCTTTATAGTCAGTTTAACAGCATCCTGTCCGCCGTACGCCGCCAGAACTTGAACGGCGTCTACGACATCCACACGAACCAGATCCAGTACCCGGCCATAATTCAGCCGACGCACGTGCGCATCGTGCAGGTTGCCGACACCGACGAGCCCAAGCAGCCGGCGGACCCGACGACGCTGTTCCAGCCCGTCAAGCCCGCCGTGTCGCGCAACTTCCTCATCATGGACACGCAGCTCGAGACGCCCCCGGCCGGCATCGCACCGGCAGCCTACGACGTGCCTTTCCGCACGTCCCCGGCCGACCGCGCCCTGTCGATGCAGGCCGACTTCCTGTCACCCTTCAAGGGGCTGGGCGCCGTGTCCGACGACATCCGCGACCTGCTGCCCGACGAGTGCCGCGAGGCGTTTGATGCCACGCGGAGAAAGGAGGATAGCTGGTTTGCCAATTGGGGCGACGAGGTCACGCACGCTTGCAGGCGCGAGCCGGTGGTGGACAAGGCGATTGTGCCCTACACGATGACGCTTTCTTGAGCCTTTTGCCTCTTTAATGTCTCTTTTTTTTTCCCCTTCCTGCGCTTGGTTCTCTGGTATGGAATAAAATGCTAGCGACAATCCTCCTTCCCATTCCGTGTCCAAGCCCGATTACTTTGTTTACAGTTATATGTAACGAGACTATTTTCCTTTCTAGGGCCCCTCTTTGTTTCTCTTTTTTTATCCTTTGCTGGGAGTCGGATTTGCGAAATAATAACGCAGGATTTTTCTTTTGCCGTGCCTACGTGCCTTTGGTTTGCCCCTCTTCGCGGCTTTTCCCCAGATTGTATGGATGAAGGCTTTGTTTTTGTTATGAGAGAGAGAAAAAGAGTTGGTTGGCTCAGTTTGGTTTCATGTTAACGACCTATGTAGGTGTTGTTGTTATTATTACTATGGCTGGGAGGTTTGCATGCATGCTGTACTTTTTTTACGATAGGCGAAGTTGGCAGTAGGTAGGTAGGTAGGGCAGGGGTGGCGTCGTCTGCCAAAGTCTAGACAGATAAGAAGAGACAGGCGCCTTTGTTGAATGCATTCCCCTTTAATGATGGAAAGGATAGGTACCCATCTTTGTAGGTATTCATAGGGTTCCTCTTGTGAAGGATGTGAATGTGTGTATGTTTAGACGGCTAGCAAAGGTAGACAGCAACCTCAAGAGCGCTGACACGATTCTGCTTTTTGCAAGAGAGTGTCTTGCAGAAGTCCCGTTCCGGAGCATTATGCTTATGGATGTGGTGTACGTGTTTCTTTCTTATTCGGGACCAAGACTTCAAGGAAGAAGATGATGAAGCAGAGGATGGAGAATTGGATGAGCTTTCCTTCTTTCATCCTCGTGCTCCCTCGGGGCTTGTTTTTGTTGTTTTCATTGTGTAGACCAATGTTTATTTATTCTTCCCCTTTTTTGAGTAGGAAACTTCCACGGTGTTTTATCACATTCAAGACTACCTACCGTACAGATGGCTCATTCCCACCGCCTTAAAAGACGCTGATAAAGGAGCATTATTTGTTATCATATGCAAATATTTGGTACGTGCATTATTTCGTCTGCTTCAATAAGGCTTGCTTAAGGAGGGACTTCCACAAGATATCTGGTACATGTGTCAGGTATCTGTGTAATTTCAGTCTCAAGCACCACTGTAATAGGATGGATGGGTTAACTATCAGGCATATAAACCGTGTATCACTATCAGGCATATAGTTGATAGTTCTGGGCTACAGAAGAAAGTGAAGACTGTTTCATTTTAGCATGTGCGAGCAACATTTACTGTTCTTTCCCACCCGTACAACGCTCGATTATATTAGCAGTTTACCAGTTCTTGAAATAACTTTGCCTTGCCTACATCTGCCTAGCCAAAAAACGAAAAGTAAAAAGAAGAAGAAAGAGGCTATAGTCATGTGTTTCTTTGCCGCAGATACCTACAGGAAACTCATCCAGAGATTAATATTTGCTAATCGTAACTACTTAGGAATATTGAAGGTGGCCTGGAAAGACTCCTAGATATACCTTTCACCACGGCGTGCTAAAATCGAAAGCCAATTTAGAAGTATCCAAAAAGGCGAGTACCCAAGGTCTGAGAAACCGGAGAGCCAGTATTTACTTTATGTATCTCAACCCCGAGAAAAAGAAACCTTCGAACCGTAACTGCTCTAACCGGGGATGGATACCATGCCACGCCCCAGCAATGGTATTGAGTCAAGAGATAACAACACGAAAATATCCTCCTCAAACAGTAACCGCCCCTGACCCAACGAGAACTGCTTGCCCGGGGCGGATGGCCATTTAACGGCAGGCCGGCAACCCCTTGCTACAAAGCTACCATGTTCAACCGCTGAGCTAGGTATATCGATCGCCATTACACTGCCTAGACCAAATCTCCCATCTGATCGTCTTGCCTGGAAGGATCTAGGTAGGCATGGCGGCCTAGATTGACGGCCCCCTGGGCGGTCACCCCCTCTGAACGCGTTTGTCCACGGCCGGCGGGGCGATGGCCCATCTCAACATCGCGGACAGAGAAAAAAGGGAGAGAACGACCATCTCACACCACAACACTGTGCATACTACTAGGTCTTTTAACTGCGCATAAACACAACCAAAAAGGTACCTTATGGTGGCCGGATGTACTAGGGCTGGAGCTTCTTTGGCCTGGCAAGTGACCTGAGATACCGTCTCCGAGACGGGCCAGTCGGGCAACAGATACAACAGCTCTTAAGCCGGGTCTATACTGTGTACTAAAAAGTATCTGGGGTTTGGCTTCTTCTACCTTCTACCTAATCTAGAAGCAATAGGTTCATGCAGCTGAACATCATGACAGCCACTAGGCATTTATAGGCAGCAGGGCGCGCTCTCCCTGCGCTCTCCTCATCTTGACTGAGAAAAAAAGAATGACGACGATTCACGTGCCTCATGCCGGGAAACATTTTTTATTTGACACGTGCAATGATGAGCGGTAGCTGTCATCTAGACGGCGGGCTGCATGGCGATGCAACAGATAGGCAAGGTAGGTACGTAGGTCAGCCAAGAGAAAGAAACATTAGTGTCATTGACTTTTTTTCCCCCATGTCTACGAGAGATCTGCCCTCCTCCGCTGCGAACCTAGGTAGAAACGGGTTCAAGAGTTCCGAAAAGCAAAAGGCTGCTGCTGCTGCTGCTGCTAATAAGGGTAATCCGGCGGGCTTTATTATTAAAGACAACAATCTCACGAAAGCCGTTTGGAAGAATTCCGTCTTGGGCCACACAGGGAGGGAGCCCTTCCTTCTCACTTTCTCCCAGAACACCTGCATTTCCCTCCCCCCCCCAATCTCGCGACGCGAGCAGGTAAAGGGTCGTCGGGACTGTTTCCTGCCGAGCTTGGCTGCTGCTACAGTAGGTAGGTAGTGTCCTTGCCAGCGGCCGCTGATCGGCCGCGAGCCAGCCAGCCATTTTTCCCCCAGTCGACGACGACGGCGGCGACTTGGGAGCCGGCACTACGTTCCTACCTAGGCAAGGCTGTCTTACGTTTGTTAGGGGGGAGCCTTCTATTTCATGACGCACGTATGGTAACATGTTTATTTAGTGTCGATGTATGATATGCACGTCAACAGACGCCGTGCCCGTCTAAGACAAGACAAGACCGATAGGTCGGGTTCATCGTTCCCAACCTACCAACCTTTTTCCCTTTCTTTTTCTCGGGCCCGCGTCTCAGGCACCGAGTGTCCCATTTGTTCCCCACATTTGAGAAGGCGAAAAAAAAACTGCCTGTCAGAAACAAAAGCCAGCCTATGGTAGATTTTTCCCGCAAGCGCTAGACATGAAAAAAAAAAGTGGTTTCGAGTCCAAAAAAAAAAGGAATTATGGATCTAACTCTCATGCCACTTGCTAGTGGCTCGCGGGGTTGGGAGCTTAAAGTGGCTAACTAACCGTTCAACCCCGCAACTACCATCTGTGGTGGATTCGATACAACTGAGTAAAAAAAGAAAAAGAAAAAGAAAAAAGAAAAAAATTTCCATGATCTTGGCCTACGGGGTACGGGTTAGGTATTCCCACCCTTGGACCTAGCGGCCAGCTGTCTAAAGGTAGGAAGGTAGCGATGAGGTTGTGATGGAGAGGAGATGCCGAGACTGACGAGATGGAGAAGAAGATAGCAAAGAATTTCCCTTCATTTTTAAACGCGGGTGACCCATCCGACCCCCTCTTTGCCAATCCCGGGTTTTGTCCTTTTGGCTCTCGCGGCCACTAAAAGAGCAACCACACGGTGGCCTATCAGGATGGATCTTTTACGCAACGGAAGAGGTCTGTCTCTCTCCGTGTCCGCCACCCGTTGAGAGGTGGACAGGAAAAGAAAAAATTTGAAAAAACCTTGAGGAGTGTTCTCGGACGAGAAAGGCTTGGCAGATCGGGCTTGTCAGCGAGATCTTCAACCGTTTTCTTTTCTTTCTCCTCCTCTTCTCCTGCCTCACACCACCCCATCGTCGGGCTTCTCGCAATTCCTGCAGGGAAGGTACGGGAGTACGGAGCACTTTGCCACTAGCCCGGGTGCCAATAAAAAGCGTTGCAGTAGTAGCGTCCTTTGGGAGAGAGGCAGAGGATGGGATTCCGTTCCGTCACCAGGTGGGGGGGACCGCAGGCAATAGTGGGGGAGGGGAAATATAACGCAGTCGTATTTCTCCACGCTGCCTCACGGTGACGCTTATTACTTTTCATCATGCTGGGTCGGAAGGGTCGTCCAGAGGACAAGAGGCCCAGAGGCAGAACATGAGTCAAGGCTCAGGTCCTTTGCACACTCGCTGGTACGGAGTACTCTGTACTGCCCGTGTAAGGAAGAAAGAGACTCCGCTTCTGCAATGCCGCTCCTGGTGCGCGCGGGCGTGTTCCTGCCCAATGCCGAATCTAGCCAGCCGATGTCTCCACCCTTTGCTTGACCATCGATTAGGACATTCGAGTTCAGCTGCGGAAGGCACCGGCGCAGAGCAGGTGCAGTCCCGGAGTCGACTGCGGTAGTCAGCATCTTCTTCTTGTCTTTTTGTCCTTCTTTGAATGCCGGGTGATTTCCACCCCCATTCGACCGCTTCGTCGAGTCTCCACTTCGGCAATGATCCACAGGTCTTCGGCCTTGAGGATGGCGGGATGGAGCCTTTCACACACACTTTGTAGGCCATTCCGGTACCTGCTCCGTATACGAGCGCACAGCCTAGTACATACAGAGAGAAGTCTACGTAGGCCGTCTACGCATGTGGCAACCAGGAAGGCTGGCAACATATTCCAGCTCTAGGTAGGGCAGTTCCCATACGCCCCTATGCCTTCCATCTTTGTCTTGCCTGGCCTCTGCTGCCTCTTTCAAGATGTGGTTGGTACTACCTTCTGCAACAAGGAGCCAGCCACAGTTCCCCGCGAGACAACCCGGATCATAGCCCGACAGGCAGGCGGCTAGGGCTGGCGTAGAGTTGAGGGATATATACCATAGTAATTTCGGGACTCTGTGACGGGAAAAAAGTGTTCTTTGTTAGGCGGCTTGTTCGAGGTGTGA